CGTAATTGGGCGTAATTGGGAGGCATGAGACAGAGGCCACTCGCTTTGGTTTAAACAGGGGCTTAGGAAACCTTTCTGATTGGCGTCCCAATGATCTGGAAGAACCATTGACATCGACGGGCGTTCTGGCGCAAAAGCCGAGATGACGGCAGTCCGTTCCTCGTCTCGCTGGATCCATGGAACCTATCCCCTGAAGATCAACACTCTTAACATAATAGGCGGCTGGACATACATTTCGTACCACGCATGCTCCATGCCTTATACACGCGACTTAGTAATGTTAGGATTATTTTGTTTCTTAGGACGAGTAATATAATAGCTCAATTATTATTTTGTCGTATCTGGGCGGGCGAAATGTCGATCAGGAACGGACCGTCTCTCTCGCCCGCTAAGCTCGTCCGTGGCTGAATATCGTGGGCTCCGAGGATCCACGTGTAAACCGCCTGATTTACTTCATATTAAAAAAGAAACTCACCTTTCGCCCTTGAATAGTCGGGCTGCCCACGATACCGGAGTGGGCGAACGCATTCGTCCAAGCAAACAAACACACAAAGATATATTCCATGATATGATATGTCATCCAAGCCAAGCCAGTGTGGTCCATTCACGGGCATCATTTGAGATCATGATCAGGTTGGAAATAAACTCGACGATGTCCGGGTTCCCCAGATCATGTCAGATACTCGATCTTCCCTTCTCATGAGAACACAGTCTTCAGCTCGCAATATGGGATGACACGCGGCTAATCCCTTGCGCTATATCTGGAATTGGCCCGTCATGATCTATCACTTGCGTTGATGACTTGCGTTAGGAGAAAGTTCCGCGACTCCCGTCGTGTCCACCCGAACAGTTCCGTGTTGCACAGCTTGTCTGTACCACACAGTCCGAATGCAATTGGCCGTATACAAGTACGCACGAGTACAATTGGCGCGGTGTGTGTGGTTATTGCTGCATGGTCTGCCGGATCACCCCTCTTTAAGTCGGAGGAATGCAGAAACAATCCACGTGGTATCGCGGGAAGCCAATTGGGGGCAGAAAAGCTGAAATTCTCAAGCTTCGCGCACCCCGATCTTGTTTGTCGAATAGTCGCAGGATCGGGCAGATGACAAGCAGTCTCACAACTATTTTTGGTCAACGTGGTAGAAATAAGAGTAGAAGGATTTTGAGGGGGTTGATGATTACTACCGTTCCCAGCCATTGGCGTGGGGGTTCGTTGATGCTCAACACAGCCCAGCCCTTTTTATCCAGGAGACGCACTAAACTCACGACGAACTTGGAACAAGCCTGGGTTATACCGCCGGCTGGTTTCATGGCTCGACGACGTTGTAATGTGCTAACGATGTGGTAACGGTAGTTTGGAAATCCCCCTGAGATAAGCGTATAGGTTATCGATCGTAAGTCAGATTAACGAAAGGGATGCATCTATGCCTACCTATCTATACTACTGATCACTCGCATAAAGGTAGGTTGTCTAGAATTTGGAGTTGTTTGGATGCAGCCTATGTCATTTAGACGTTTCTCGCACCAAAATGCCTAAGCTTGCTACGCTTCAACCCCTTTTCTCACTTGCAACGGATAGAACCCAGAGAGATCAACCACCTCTCCCTTACGTCTAGTTTCCCTCAGGATAATGGAAACATCATTAGGCTATTATTCCATCTGAAATCCCTCTGTTTATGCTTTGCTCTAGTGTATGAACATTCCCCTCTGGATGATCAAGTCAATCAATTGGATCAGCCCCGTCGGGATTCTAGTTCCCAGGGGCTACAGGGATGCCAATTATCTGGGCAGCTGGGGTGTAAACTCCAGCATAGGATGGACAATCTAATGGGCAAGTTTTAATCGAACGATCTCTAATTTCCAAATACCATAATACTCGATGATAGCAGGACAATGTATTCTGTAATCCAGGGGTGCGTTCAACGGTTGCAAGCATTAACATTAAAGCAGCGGCTTTATCATCTTCGACCCACAACAGAGCACTATCTCCCGCTTGTTCATTGGATGGCGTCCCGTTCGCAAAAGCTTCTAGGTCTTCTATGCGTCTTCTAAATATTCCGAGAGCTGGTTGAAACTTTCGGCGCGCAAAGAGGGCTCCATGCTTAGAACAATGGTTGCAAACGAACATAAGCCCACGTGTATTTGACACGCGATGAGAAACATCGAACTTGTATCAGGTATACGGGTTAGATACCACAGATACTACAGATGCTACGCAATTTATGTAACCCGTCTATCTTCCTATCGCTTCACCGAGCCTCAATGCATCTAGCGCGAACACTCCTATGGATGTGTACATACCCTACCTAATACCGCGGGTTTCCCAGGTTCGCCAAGCGGAACGAGCACGAGGCCACTGCAGCTCGCATGCATATATCCATACCTACGTATGTGCGACGCATTTCGTGAAGGCGGCATACCCCTCCCCCTCATAGTCTTATCTAATAGGACGAATCAAGCTTCGGGTTCAAGCTCTCAATTTGGCGTCTTTTCGAGATAACAGATCTGATAAACTGTGCTATGCAACTGACGACTACCTAGGTGAATACATGCGTAGTATATGTGTGTATACGGATGAACTGACGAGCGGATGAGCCGCTGATCTAGGCCTTATACTATCCACGGTAAGTTCATGGAAACATCATAATAAAACTTATTTGCTTACTTGGCTGCACTATAGACCATTCTAGATATCTCGAGGCTTCATGATGACATTCGATGGCGATTGCCAACCACTAAACTCGACAAAATGTTTCCCACAGAAGTAAGCTTATTCCAAACTTCCAAAAGCAAAGTTGTATCGTGCCTAGGATACAAGTCGCATATGATACAGTATTATTATCGTATGTAGACACGGAGAAGCAACCTTTCGAGCTACGATGTACAGTATCAAAGCAGGATATCAACTGTAATCTGGCCACTGAAGACCCCGACCAGATCCTTGCTCGGATCTCATAGTGTGGGCTAGGTATTACTTACTAAGTAAAGTATTACTTCCCCCTTTAAAATCAGACCAGTCTCTCGGCATCTTTTCGAATGAGCGGTCGGCCAAGGTTGCAACGCACAAAAACAGTGCATCATATTATGTTAGCTTATGCCAAATGTGCTAAAGAGTATCTCAAGTAGACGCAATTGATGACCTGGGATGACAGTGGACTATTACAGCTGACTGAGAAGATGATGAGAAGATGACCTACCTAGCAGATCTGAGGGAATGGATTTGGCCGAGATGATGATACCAATGTAGATGCTTTTATCGATAAATGGATCCTTCTTTGTTCGCATGCTCCTTCTTTTACCAGAAGGTGCTTGGCTTCCTAAGTAGTGTAGGTACGTTACCAGACCGACTTGCGGCACACGCACACGGACCACGCCAGCGGGTGTCTTGATATTATCTTAGTCGTCCTCGCCGTCTTGGTATTCGTTCATTCGCCAACGAACAATGGTTATACAATATGCAGAGACCGGATATGCTCAATACCTAGGAATGAATATGCACATCTTCGCTATTGTTAGCCTTGACCAAGACTTTATTTAATACCTACTTTTCCATCCAGTCGATTGGGTCTGTGTAATGTGAAGAGAACAGATCCAATCACAATTCCCAATAGCCAGGAAAACTTAAAGGGGTCTTTCACAAAGAAAGAGGGGTATGTCACTGAGAACCATGTACTATTGCCCAATGAGGAATAGATGGCTCCAACTTTACCTACCATAACGGCTACCCTATGAACTTTTTATGAGCGTTTATGAACATAAACCACATAATACGACATAAGGTATGAATACTATGGAGTACAAATCAATACAACCAGTACGACCGACGTGAGGGAAACGAGTACCAGCATCAGAACCCAGCAGCTAGCACCAAGCACCAAGCACTGGAGCACTTGGGTGACCCCGACTTCCCAGATCTCGCTCTTACCTGACCTATCTCGTACCTACCATCTACCATCTTTACCTTACCTCCGGGTTGTGATTATCGGCTTGGGAACCAAGAAAAAAAAAAAAACCACCCACCCCCCCTTTCGTCGATTAAGCAACATTGAGCAACTTCTACCACTGCTGCACCACCATCTGCACCGCCATCTGCACCACCGTCAAGCAGCTCTAAATCCCATAGGCTGTAACCCTCCTTCAACCTTTTCTACATTTTACCGTGCATGGCCCTATCAACCTATTAGACCCGTTCTCTTTCAGCCCTCAGCCCTTAACATTAATCCATTAGCACGTTAACATTGACACTTAAGCCCCGGGACAACCAGGAGACCTACCGACTAGCCTTTCTCGTCAACGAATTGAACTCCTTACCTCACTTTCCTTTACCCGCCCATCGACCAGATTCATTCAACCATTCACATCATCTCCTGTATCATTCTACGCCGGCAACGAGACCCTTAGCGCTTGTAGGCAAAATTCAAAGGGGAGGAGTGCCTTTTTTGATTGAGGGAGAAGGGGGAAAATTACCATTGAACTACTTAGACATTCTGCCTTTCCTTATTTCGTTCATTCGACTTCAATCCTGAGTACTGGAACACACCAAATCGGTTCGAACACGCGATACCGCCTATCCTTAATGATTTCGAAAACGAAAGCGACGACGGCGAAACCTATCAACGCACACCATCGCGTTTTCGCCTTCGTGCCCCCTTTGTTGTGAGACGATCTTTAGCCGGTTACCTTACCTGTCTACGCGAGTTTGACGGCTTGGCCTCGTTTTACTTCGTATACCCTTCCATATTAACTCGGGCATGGTTTAATTCTATTCTTCCGAAAAACCACTTTTAATCACGCTTGGCGCATCCGACGTCACGATGCTCATGACGCAGTCCCCAGTGTCCGCAATCGTAACAAACCAGAAAGATAACAAGTACAATTCGCGCAATAGATCTCGGTCTAACACTCTCGATAAGAATCCCGATTCTGCCATCGAGCTCAGGAACCCGGCATCGTTGGGCCAGTCCAGCGGTGACCGCGACTACAATCCTTACACATACACCATGAACGGCATACTAGGAACTGCGCCTCCCGGCACGTTGTACGTGCGAGCACTCTACGACTACGAGGCTGACGACCGGACAAGTCTAAGTTTCCATGAAGGCGACGTGATCCAAGTCATCACACAGTTGGAGAGTGGTTGGTGGGACGGTGTCATTAATGGGGTCCGAGGCTGGTTTCCAAGCAATTATTGTCAGATCATCACAAATCCCGAGGAGATCCCAGAGCATATGCAAAACCTGGAGGGGGACAATGGAGATGACGAGCTAGAGGATCAGGTAGTATATGAAGAGGAGTTCGACGATGGGAATGAATCAGATCCCGACGACCTTAACGGGCTACCTCTTGAAGGCACGAGGACTAGGAAATCTGGTGCCGATTTCTGGATACCTCAGGCCACGCCTGAGGGCAGACTATTTTACTACAACACTATGACTGGAGAGAGTAGTAATGAGCTCCCGCTTGAGTCACCGACTTCTAGCACCGAAAATGGACCCCGGGACCGGATGAACGTAAATATGCCGGAAAGGACAAGGATACCTCCGGAGGTAATGGCAAGAGGTTTGATGCAAGACGAAGACGAAGACTCGGAGGCAACGTCAGCTTCGGAACTCGAAGGCGAATTGCTCATGAAGAGCTCAATGGGTTCCTTGGTAAGTGCAACCATCCACGCGTATATATTGTCACCCACTCACAAGTGTCACGTAGCCCCCGAGACGTCGTGGTTACGGAAGCGATAGCGTCGGAGTCTCTCCATCACCATCCATGGATTCCATCAATGGCTCGCAGGGAGTACGCTCTCGAACTGACACTTTCATCAATACTAATATCGCAATAACCGCCGGTGGTCAAGTACCGACACTGGCATCTGCTACGTCGTTCACAGGCACTGGTTTTAATCTTCCGCAAGCAGCTACGATACCTCGCTCCTTTTTTGACGACGGCACTACGCAGCCTTTATCATGGAACCTTCTCGTGGCAAATATGAAGCGCGCTATCGACCGTTATCGAGACGCGATCACGAGCAACAACAGGTCCGAGTATGTTTCCCGCGCGGAGGATATATCTGATCATCTGCGATTGTTGCTGGCTGCTGGCTCGGGTACGACGGATAATCACTCTGGCCAGCCTTCTATCATCTCCACTAACAAGGCGCTTTATCCCCACTTCCGGGATATGATGTCTAAATTTTCTAAGCTCGTCATCTCATCGCATATAGCTGCCGCCGATTGGCCGAACGCCGAGTCCGTCCAAAAGTGTTTGCAAGAAGCCGATGGTGTGCTCGGAGGCGTTTTCAGCTTCGTTGAAGTCGCAAGGCAGCAAAGAGGCGAAGAAATTCCGCGGCTATTCCCCGGCTTCGTCATTGGCAGTACGACCGGTGGAAGCTGGCAAAACAATGGGCTTGGTCCTCGTGATCCTATCACTTCGAATTTCTTGGAGGAAGACGATGGGTATACTGAGCCGACGGCAGTGCTCGACGGAAAACTCCTCGAGAGACTTGACGAATACAAGAGGATGCTGGTTTCCAGTATCAGGGAGCTAGAAAAGAATCTCGGCATATCGGACAAGATTGTGTCTCCGTACAAACACGAGCTTGTTGGCAACAATGTGTGCATCGCCGGTGGAAAGGTTTTGGAGATGTTCAAGCCTTGGATCGCGATGATCGAGTCTATTGATCTTTCTTCGCTTGGAAATACCTTCCAGACGCCTCAGCTTGCTGACTATGGTACCAACAAGCAAAGTCTTTACGACAACATATCCGACCTTGTGTTAGGGTGCCAGGCTGTTGCTGGTCCTCTAGGTGATGAATGGTCCGAGGTCCGTGGTGAGTCGTTGGAAGGCAGACTCGAATATGTGAGACAGTGCGCCAGAGCACTGGAAACAAATTCTTCTCACATTGGCTTTTCACTCCAGCTTCTCTCTGAACAGGTACAAATCAACATGCAGCAGCGGCAGGAGTCTCGAATGCGGGAGGACAGCATGGGGAGAGATCCACCCAGAAGAGATACCATGCCTGCCTACGATACAATGCACGCGCGTTCCGGTTCTCGTAACCTGTTAGATGCTAGGCCGCCTCTAATGGGATCTATATCCTACACCGAAGGTGAAATTCCTGCCAAACCTAGAAAGACTAATAATCTTTCAAAGATTGCGCAAATCCTAGGAGAGGGGTCTGTCCCCCAAAGTGCCATTCAGCAAGTGGAGGAGACACCCGCATTCTTGCGACTTGACCTTGAAAACGACCTGTCTTGGGACCTGAAGTCGACACCACCAGCAGTCAAGGGTGGTACGTTATTAGCTTTGGTCGAGCAATTGACAAGGCACGACAAGTCGGATTTTAGCTTCAACAACACATTCCTTTTGACGTACCGATCATTCACGTCGGCGCGAGAACTATTCGAACTACTAGTCAAGCGCTTCAACATCCAGCCGCCAGAAGGACTAGGCCCTAATGATTACGACGTTTGGAGGGATCGAAAGCAAAAGCTAATCCGCTTCCGTGTTGTGAACATCATCAAAAGTTGGTTTGAGAATTATTGGATGGAGGAGCCGACCGATGAGACTAAACAACTGATCCGAGATGTCTACGCATTCGCTAGAGACACCGTCAAATCTACGGAAACTCCCGGCGCAAACAATCTCATGTCCGTCTTAGACCAGCGACTTAACGGCAAAGAAATTTCTTCCAAGCGCATGATCCAGACGTTTGCTAACAATGTACCGGCTCCAATCATGCCGAAGAATATGAAGAAGCTAAAGTTCCTTGATATCGACGTTACGGAGTTTGCTCGTCAACTAACAATCATTGAATCGAAGCTTTACGGCAAGATAAAGCCAACGGAATGTCTCAACAAGACATGGCAAAAGAAAGTCGGGGAGAATGATCCTGAACCGGCACCGAATGTAAAGGCACTTATCTTGCATTCCAACCAAATGACGAATTGGGTTGCCGAGATGATCCTCGCCCAGATGGATGTGAAGAAACGAGTGATAGTCATCAAGCATTTCGTTTCAGTTGCCGACGTAAGTATTGATAAATTGTACTTTGAGTCTTTTAGATTGCTAACAATACCAGAAATGCCGGAGTCTCAACAACTTCTCTACTCTGACATCGATCATCTCCGCTCTCGGCACCGCCCCTATTGCTCGTCTGAAGCGAACATGGGATCAAGTTCCGGCTAGGACTCAAGCCGTCTTAGAGACAATGCGACGTTTAATGGCAAGCACGAAAAACTTCGGAGAATACAGAGAAGCTCTACATGCTGCAAATCCGCCGTGTATTCCTTTCTTCGGTGTCTACCTTACCGATCTCACGTTCATTGAGGACGGTATTCCGTCGATCATCAAGAAAACCAACCTTATCAACTTTGCCAAACGTGCAAAGACAGCCGAGGTGATCCGTGACATTCAGGTCTACCAGAATTCACCATATTCCCTACAACCCGTGCCCGAATTGCAGGACTACATCCTAAGCAACATGCAAGCAGCCGGGGACGTACATGAGATGTACGATAAGAGCTTGATAGTAGAACCGCGTGAGCGCGAAGATGAGAAGATCGTAAGGTACGTCGCTGCCAGAAATAAATGATTTGCATCGGGGCTTACCTGTCTATCCTACAGAGTTCTCGCTGAGTCTGGTTTCTTATGAGCCAACCCCACTTGGCATCCATACCAAGCCGTACCACACACAGCTGTATGCTTGGCCATATATTGAACCAGGCCAAGCATGATATAGCAAATCGGCTTGCTTGGACTATGTGGGTTACGATATGGATGGGTAAGGGGCATCATTCATCGTATTGTAAACCGTATTCTCGATGCTTTTCGGGGCCAGCACTACTCGAAAGTCATGTTTACGGTACACTAGGGGTTGTCGGTATCCTTCGGCTTGGGCTTAGGCAGATTCCCCCGGCTTTTGGAAATCATGGCCAGCATTGGGAGTCAGGTACAGGGGGGTTGAGTAACCAGAGGAGTACTGTGCGGGGGGAGTTAACTAGTTGTGCGAAGACAATGCGGTGTAAGGTGCACCCTGTCCTAACCTCTCCCGAAAACCGGATATAGTGGATGCTGGAGTAGCATTCACCTATCCAGGAGTACGTTTAAATCTAACCACACGTCGATTGATGAATCAAACAGGCTAGGTGGCTACTGGGGAATCTCAAATCGTTGCTTGAACATGGATGATGGATGGCCATCACGAAAGCAACCGCAACGATATTATGACGAGGGATAAATGGAAAAAAAAAGTTCAGGGGAACGTCTTTGTCGAGGATTGTGGAGGAAACCCAAAAAGTTCAAGGGAAATATTTGAGGTGGCCCATGATTTTCGGGGCAATGTCACCTACACCACATAGACTTCGTTCACTATTCAGACAACTACACAGTTGGTTCCTTTGTGTGTTTTTTTCTATGTGGGACGATCGTCCTCCGGTATTCGAGAGAGCTTTAGGGCCTTCGCAAGAATGGCTTTGCATAATGCCTGATCTACATGTCAGTCTAGGCGAAATGTCCTTTTGTTGTGGGCTATATACATAGATCGGTCGGTCCTCGGTGACATCTCATCACCAGGGCATAATTTGCATCACGGATTCATCTAACTAGTTTACTTTTCATGCTGTGGTTGTGAATGTTCGATGTGAGCGAAGACGTAGTCAACCGCTTTCAGCCTATAGACCAAGGTCGTTTCGGACAAATCTACGCAGTAGGTGAGTCTTAAGCGAACCAATCGATCTCATTCCCAAGACATGTACTCTGTCGTTTCTGTTTCTTTTCTATTTTTCTTTTTCGGGGTGCGTACCATTACCGACGCGTACATAGTTAGGATTACCTCAGTCTTCAAGGTACATATTGGGATATTACACGACGTGCTTACTTATCCTCCCCTACCACGCAACCAGGTATCATTGGTGGCTTTTCTCCAGCCCTTTTTCATGCTTGGACTTAAACCCGAGCAAACGAAACCCCTGGGGATCGTGGGCACGCGTGGCAATCACCATCTCATCTTCTAGAGTTTTCCTCTTTAACTATAGGAATATTATTTGGTCTGCTATTGCATGCTGACTGTATTAGGTGTGTTCTGTTATAGGGTTTGCGGAGGTAGGGGAGGGGGGAAGATGCATACCGTACATAGATGGGCAGATACATAGGTCAGGTAGTCTTGGTACGGTGCTTTTCTTATTGCGATGAGCACTAGAGATGTACAACATAACGCGATTCGGCCCGCGGGCGCGGAAGGATTATGAGGTGCAGGCGCCACGCACCCGCATGGCGATCGGGGTTGGATGTGTTTTAGATGTACTATCATGTAGGCATGCATGTATGTATGTAAATAGGTATGTCAAGTATGGGATATGGAGAAGACCTCGTTTTCGTATATACTATGTATTTTGCATTATCAGATGCTATTCTGCGACGACGGAAAGGGTGTGATTAGAAAGTAGAAGAATCAGGAGCGTTGATCATCTCATTTATCTGATCGGAAGGATTTCTTGTCTCCCCTCATTCCAAATCTCCCCCTTCCTTCTTATAAGCATAAAGAAGCTCTCCTTGCCCTATACTCATCATATGCAGCGTACTTTCGAGATGTATACCAATCTTCCTCTAGACATTTCCCCGCGTAGTATATGCAGCTAAGTGTCATATATTATCCATCTCGGTCTCATCATATCCCTTACAGCGATCATTGACCCTGCCTGCACGGATCCCGTTGTTCGAGATCATCCTACATGTCTGGATATACCAAGGTAATTCCCGGAGCTTACTGGCGTCCCTCGTGGCATCTGCCTCTTTTAGGACGCTCTTCCCGTATGTGCGTTCGCGCCAGCTCCTTTTTCGCATGCGTCTCCAAATTCCCCCGCCATTCAGCTGTAAGACGCCACCACACCACGCCCACGTTCGAGAGATCCGTGGTCCGAGAGCTTGCCAAGGGGCCGTTGCTACATACATGACTCGCTTACATAGCTACCTCCAGCTACCTACCCGCTACTACTGTACCTACATACCTACATACCTACCTACATACTTACATACTAACATACCTACCTAGGTAAGCGATATCTTGTTTGAAGACGAGACTACCGCACGGGGTACATGACGACGGGTTCCAGCCATGCCAAACCCACATGAGCCTATTCGTGGATGCTACCATCGCACAACCAACCCACCCCCTGAGTCTGACCTGCATCAGTCACTATCCCACGAACTACATCTGCTCTTGTGCGCTCTCGTGTGTTGTGTATAGGAGACTCGTGTAACCTCAGGCGCATGCGAACACCGCATCCGCGAACCTCATTGGCTGCTATACGCGGTCTTGGTTCCTGTGTCAGTGTAGGTGTAAGTGAAAATCGTGCTATGTAGCTAATGATGTATGTAAGTTTGAGGAGAAGAGAGAGAGACATCCCATATAAACACTTACGGCCGCAAATTTTGTCTCGGTTCCTGCCACTGTGTAGGTTCATGATCTATCTGGGTGAGAGAGATACGTAGATATGTACGAGATATTTTGGAGGATTGGAGGATCTGTTGTGACGCTGAAATCTGTCACACATTGTTAGATTATGCTCTGTGTCTTTCGAAGTCCTTGTTCTGAGGCGCAGACTGTGTGTGTACTTGGAGGTACGTCGCCAGAACATGACATATATGAGCACACCCTCTAGTAAGTAGGATGGATCTATTTAAGAAAAATAAAAAATACGCATAGTTGGGTTAGTTGGGAAGAGGTAAAGTAAGCGCATTATCTATACGGCTGGCTAGGCCAATAATAGCCACAAGAACAGCTCCAAGGATAACACAGCACTTAATATAGGTACATATAACACCAGAATGACCTAGAATACTAACTCCAGAGGCCATTCAACCTATTGAGGATCCATATACTCGGGCGAAACTGTACTCGGCCGATTTCGATCCCGGCCGGCGTCAGTTCCCCTGACAGGCATGCCACATGGCTCTTCTGCTAGCCTTATCTGTGCGTATCCTCTTGCCATATCAGGGACAATGATCGAAATACGTAGGTACCTAACTGGGCATATATGTTCGATATCCCCTACTATCAAGAGCAGGCATCATTACTAATCCAGGACATCTACCGCCGACTATAGTAGGCCAATGCCATCTCTATCTTACTACCATCTCATGAATTTTGTTTATATCCCACTATTTATTACAAAAATTTAGAAGAGACTATCAGCAATCGTAACACTCATGCTCCAATGAAACCTTTGCCATGATCGCTAGAGATTTTAATGGTAAGACAAACCCCTAATCGGCGTTGACCGTGGATTGTACTTGGATAGGTACCTAAGCCTAAAAACAGCTCACGAGGGGTAGACCTTACACTATGAGAGTACTAGGATAGGGGTAGAGGGTGTGGTTTATGACACATTATTTGATCCGTTCATAACGCGGCATTTCATTAAGTTGGGGAAAAGAGCATGAGCCATGATGCAGGGTACCACGAGGAGGTTGCCAGACCACTTAGGACGAATTACGTCTTGCTGGCAAAGCGGCATCTTATTCGAGAACTTTGGCTTATCGGAGAACATATACGTTTGGACATACGAACTTCAACAAGTTTTAACTTACATATTAAGAAATACTAAAACAAAACTATAAGGGGTAAAGCGAGCTATACTTATATCCTCTACAAACTTCAGGGGTTACCTTACAACAATAGCTGTAACTTAAGCCACCAGAGCTCTCCACCATTCGCAGTTTCTAAGTTATATAGGTGAGATATTACATCACGATGTCTAGTGTTAGCTCCGGAAATTGATTGATATCATTGAGGATGGGGATGGATTTGTACAAGCTACTTTGTCAAAGCGATTCGTCGGCTAACATATTTTGGAAAATCCGACTCAAAATAGCGACGGAACATTTCGTAGGCCGGTTGATTCTTGGCCAGCCTACTTTATAACAAATCTTCACAATGCTTAGCCACAAGCATGGTGATCAGTTATCCACTATGTTCTCGCAATAAAACGATTAAGAGTAAGCCAGAAGCAGAAGGTCTTATAGCGAGACTAAAAACCAGTAGGTAACAGTACACTAAGCTCATAAATCAAAAGCCAGCGGATGTTTCCAGTTCAACACCAACCCGGGTTTCTTTCATCGTGGATTCGTTCGTTCGTTCGCATTAAGCAAATGAGGTAGGGGAGCTTCTTCATAGCCTCGTAGCCTCATAACTCCCAAAGGGGAGAGGAGAAGAGGGGGCGTGGATGATCATAACGCATAGCAAACAGGTAAAAACGGAGAAAACCAAATCGACATTTTAATCTAAATCAGTGCCGGTGCAGCTTGTTCTTGATCTTCTGGCCAATGCTCGTCTTCTCTTTCTTCTCGCCGTGTCCTGCCTCATCGCCATCGTCTCCATTGGCGCTGTGTATGCCCTTCTCCTCCATGATACCTATCCTCGTTAGTATCCTTCTGCTTAGGTACATTGATCAACGGAACGTGAATTGGACTTACGATCAGCCTCCCTTCCAGCGCCAGGCTTCGTCGCATCGAAGTCTCCTCCATCCGCCTTCAGCCCGCTGCTCTTAACATACTGCTCACCAGTCCCCTCGCCCTTACTCTTCGCATTCGGGCCACTTTCCTCCTCCTCTTCCTCCTCCACAACCTCCTTCCCACCCACATCCCCAGCTCCACCCTTCGTCTTCCCCACGCTGCTCTCCTCCGAGACCCCGGCGTCGCCGCCGTGCTGGCGAGCCACCTCCTCCAACGGCTTCGGGCCCGGCCCGTCCAGCTTCTGGGCCTCGTTGGGACCATCGTCCGCGTCGTTCACGTCCGTCGGCGCGGCCTTCGGGTGCGTCTGCGGGTTCGCCGGGTCGCGCGTGTCGGCCTGGCTCTTGGACGTGTCCTTCGGCGCGCTCCGGGCCTTCAGGTCCGCGGACGGGTTGGCCGGGGCGTCGGCCGACTCGGCCGCGGTGCCGGTTTCCTTGGAGAAGTGCGCGGCGGAGGAGGGGGAGGAGGAGGAGGGGTCGGTTGTGCCGTTACTGGTAGTGCTCTGGTGGTGGTGGCCGTTCGTCTCTAGTTTTGCGGCTTTGGCTTGGGGGTCTTCTGTTTTGGGGGAGGATTGTGTGTTAGCGCTTTGCAGCTGGGTGGATGGATGAATTGATAGATAGATCTACTAAGAGGGGGAGATTTACCGATGTTGCCGGCGTCGTACGGCTCGCCCTTGGAGGGGTCGCCGGTCTGGCCCGAGATGGGCTCCTCGCCGCTTTGCTTGCTCTCGCCCCATACGGCTTTGGCGGCGGCTGAGGCCATGTTGTTTACGGTCTCCATGATGGGATGGGTTTAAGTTGGTATGATGTAGTAGGAATTTTCTGATGGGCTTAGGTAGCTTTAGGTGATACTATGTTTGGCAAATGATGAGGAAGAAGTTGATTGAAGTCTTAAGGTCGTATTAGGATGTATAAATCCGGGGAAACAAGACACAGTTAAAACTAAGTAAAGGACGGGTCTAAGATAGCATATTATATGGAGATCCGTCGAAGTTACACATACAGCACGGCAAGGCAGAGTGACGGAGTGACAGACTTGGGCTTTCCCGCTCTGACGTCTTTTATGATGGCATACGGTAATTTCCCTGCAAGGGAAAGGAGACCGCTTACGAAGCTGGGAAGGCACGGTCGTTGGATTTTCGAACAAAGAGGAGTTCCTTCTAAGGCCTGTATTCTCTCTTCCTGCAATATACATGTGGCTTGACGACATCGATTGAAGGTGGGATTGGAGCTTCGGATTGGTCGCCACTGCTGATATACCTAAAACTTTGTATTGATCTCGATCTGAGAAAGACGGTTCCTACACCAATAGGGTAGTTTAATCGCTTTATTTAGAAGGAGGCGACACTTTCGTGAGTATAAGTGGTCGAGAAGAACGTGTGCATCTGAGCAAAACAAGCTTAGGTGGGGTTTTAGGAGCTATGGGCGATGACGTTTGTGGAGAAATAAGGTGTTGACGTCACTGTGTTTCCAGCTCCGAAGCTACGTACATACCTTCGGGTACCTACTATACAAGAGCTTCGCTAGCTTTGGTGCTAGTACCTCGTAATTGGAAACCACGATAGATACTACTACTAACCGGCCGAGAATACAAGTTGCCAAACATACGCAAGTGCGGCTATAGGAATCACCGTTGATTGGATACTATGAAGCTATTCCCACTGCCTCTGACGTTTGTCTATACCTAGGCATCCTTTATTATCTGGAATATCTCGGCCGTCATCTTAATTATCCCGAGGGAATCCGGTCTTATCACGAATGAGTAGAATCCTCATAAACCTAAGAGCAAAGCATAGTTATCCCATCAATCCACTTCCCTTCTTTCACAACGACTTCTCATCTTAAACAATATCATATCCTAATGCCTTCACCCTCCAAAAGGTACATCACATAACTATCAAGTCTATCGTCGAAAGGATTTCAACGTCGTCTTTCAATCGGTAGAAGCTTCCAACATTGAAAGATATCTACTATGGAAAGATTCACGGTGAAAACCAACTAGAAACTAATAGATGGCGGAATCAATCGATTGGGAGTTGAATTTAGACCTGATGCGATACCTAACCGTCTAGCCTAAAACTGGCTAGATTTAGATCTTAAGTTATACTCTTTCTCCAGCTAACCCGAACCAGATAGCAGCATCTTTATCATATATCTATCCAATTGTATTCTCTTGATATGATATGAAATCTGTATAAAGTAAGCATGGTGGTAATTCACGTGGCTGAGGCTAACCACCACCCCCACAGCTCCCAACAAAACGTGGAAGGAATCAGGGACCTTGCGTTATGCATGTGTATAAAGGATTGGCTCACGGCTTCCTATTGGCTCTGGCCTGGTGACATTGCTCAAGTGCCTTGTGACTTCAGCACAATTATACTCTTCGTCAATCGTCAGCTCTATCTTATCTTCATAACTTACCCATATATGAATCTAGCTGCCTAACACTTATCAATGGCTACATGCACTTACTTTATTTCTACTTCTACATCAGAAGTAGATACTCAAACTATGTATTTCGGTAGGCGTCCTTAATGAGGCCCAGCTTCACCATGCGCCTGGGTGCTGCATTTACCTTCACTATCTTCTCTGGGCTTGTCTCTAGCCGCACGTTTCAATGGCATCGTCTGGCTGCTCCTGAGTCTCAACATGTCATCGGGAACAGGCCCACAAGGGATTATGGGCCACCTCAACAGCCACTATCGTTAGCTTCGCTTGGAGGTTTGGGACTGCTGAAGGGTTTTGTTGCCTTTGGCGACTCTTACAGCGCGGGAATCGGCACTGGTGTAGATGGCAAGGAGGACGATTGTCGACATGGATTGGGCTCCCATGCTGAGCTCATCGCTTCTGACTTGCTTGCCAGCCATGGCGGACGGAATTCTTCGGCTTTCCAGTTCTTGTCGTGTACAGGTGCTTCAACCCAGGACATCATATCCGGCAGTGGCGATAGCCAGGTCGACACTTTCAATATCTCGCTGCCAGTAGATTTGGCACTCTTGTCCATCGGCGGCAATGACCTCGGTTTCTTTGATGTTATCAATGCGTGCGTTTTCCGCTTCTATAACTTCTACTCGGGCACGTGCGAAGCCGCTCTCGCGAACGCAAAGACACAGATCGAGAGCGATGAATTCGATCGACGCCTAGATATTATTATCATGGAGATACTCGACAAGGTCCGCTGGGAAAAGAACCCGAATTTCTTCATCACCATTACCGGCTACGCTCGGTTCTTTAATGAGCTCACTGACGAGTGTGATGATATGAGCTTTGGTATTTGGTGGAATGGACCGAAGCTAAAGAAGGACCTGAGGTTAAACATGAACGCTATGGTCCTCACCGTCAACGCTAAAGTTCGTAAGACGGTCGATCTTATCAATTCTCGGTTTACCAAAGATAAGCTGCTATTTATTGATTATGATGAAGAATTCGAGGGCCATCGGTTCTGTGAGGCGGGTGTGAAGGAGCCGGACTACGATCGCAAAGATACATGGTTCTTCCTCATCGGTGGCCCAGATAATGCCAGGAACGGCACACAGTCGAAAGATGCTTCCGACCTGGCGACTTTGCCCCCAAACTCGGCTTTGGTAGATCCGGCATCGTGTCTCGGACCAGCCCAGAGATCTGGGGACTGGGGTAAGCTAGCGTTGTGCTACATGGCGATAGCGAGACAGGAGCCGAATCTGCAATTTGCTCGGGGAGATTTCATCGCAGAGAATTCTATGTGGTACGTTCCTACGTACTATGGGAAGGTCTTCCATCCTAGGTCTCTTGGTCATGAAGTTATTAGGAATAAGATCTATGAAGCATGGCGTGCGCGGGAGTAATTGCGGTCTACCTTGTTACGCATAAATTTGCAATATGAATTGTCGCGGGGGTTATCATTTTTATGACGCATATATCTGGTATAGTTTGTCTTCTAGGGGGAATATCCACTTTAGCGATGCATCTTAGAGGCTTCAATAGGAGGAGTTACATGATTATAGGCGGTATGCTAGTGAAGAAAGGGTATCTAGATCGTGTTTATTATAGGTCTATTAAGATCTAGCTGACTACAAAGACAATTATGCATTAACCACGAGGGTTTAAATGATTCTAGATCATTAGTTATATTCGGATGATTGGGTCGGTCTATCCAAGGGATGATTGAGCCCCTATTATGGAAAAACATTGCTACCTGGTAGACTTCCAGGACTGCCGTACTAAACTCGACTGGAGGCTACTAAGCTGAGACTTGAGCAGGTGTAGCTTATTCTACGCTTGGGAAACGAAATTGCTAGATTTGCTTTGCACCTCTAACGAATCCCCTGAAGTACTCATTACCACAGCATGTTACGCAAAATTTCTACGAAGCTTTTGACAACTGTCAAGGACTCCCACTCTAAAGTCGGCAATGCCGAATTAGAAAGGGTGTTAGCCTTGAGCTGAAAAATCCCGTCGCGCTGGGAAGGCGTAGACACTATTGACCGTTCAACACGGCCGGGGCCGGTCCTGGCCTCGAATCCTTGGACTTGTTGGCTTGGATCGGCGGGGGTGCTTCTTACACTTCGGCCGACGAAGGCTCCACTTCTTGAGGTTGCCCCTGAGTTCGTGACCGCGTTCGTGACTCATGAATCCCTATCCTCCCGCATCGCCGATGCTCACACCGGACGTGGTCGGCCCCCACGGAAGATTCACCTCGCTTGCCAAATAAGCCGTTGGTCTTTTTGTGCTTCCTAAGGAGGCGTAGATGGTGACAATGAAAAACACGGTCTACTTCTGTGGCCATCTCACTGTAGTCGGGCGTCCCGAAGTTCTGCTGAAGGAGTGCTGAGGACTCCGCCGCCTAGGGCCGACCTGTGGCTTGACCGCCACTTTCGCCAGATATAGATCAAATGGGAATACTAGGTAGACAGGCATAAATTAGCAAAGCAAAAGTCATCTTGATGATGACCACTTGGGCCATCTAGCGACTGGGGATTTGCTTATATATGGCCTAATATAAGTGTTCACCGATAGGCTTGTGCAAATCCCCCAAGTTATCATGGCCATTACCATCCCGGCGCGAGTAGCCTATCTCATAGCGCGTTCCGCTATGATGGGCTAACCCAGGTATCTCGGACGTTAAACCAGCAAGTGTTGGGTCTCGACTGGGCTAGGTGGATGGCGGCCACGGGCCTGGTATTCCGTGTTTCATAATTTCTCGCATCTCGAGAGGCGTCGAGAAACATGTTATATTCATCCACGTCATAGGCGCTGGTTCTTAGCTTCTGCTTAGTGTGCCACGAATCTCGCCTTTGTAGGTTTGTATGGACATAAGCCGAGAGTCTTTCCTCTGTTCGTGCTTAGTTGCTTTTCCCACCTTGATATGAAGATGATGAAAGGATTTGGCACTGGTTAGCCTTGCCTAGTTTGGAATTAATGAGGTGCGTATAGAGCAAGGATACGCGGTCGAAAGATCATACAACGGGACACGCGTTATCGACGATATATCTCTTTACTAAGATGGCGTGCTTATGTAGTATTGTTGGAGAAACGTAGTATTTGAGCCAGTCTGATACGATTTTTTCACCCTGCTCACGGTCAATCTCCTGGTAAGCCATGATGAGCCTTACGTCCCGTGCAGCAGGCCGGGATGATGATTGACTACGGATTCGGCCCCATATCGGGAGGGAGTAGGACTTGCTGTGATAGGAAAAATTCTTCTTCAGTGGCTTGATCGTATCCCGGTTGGCGACGTGCCGCCCGGTTTAAGTGATGTTAATGCCGGACAAGCCAGTTTAATTAAAAGTGAGCCTTGATGAGTTGTACAACAATCCAAGGGCTTGGTACTGTACTCCTTACGGGCACACTTCCAACACTAATTGAAAAAAATTTGCCGGGCGGTGATGATTCGTAAGGGTTTCTTCCCTTTCCCGCCAGAAATGGATCGGACAGAAAGCTACCCATAGATAGCCATGGTCTTTGAGACCGCCTCAAATAGAATACGATAAGTTTAATTACAAAGTTCCGTCAGATCAAGACAGAGCGTCCTAGCTCAGATAAGTTTAGGTGATCGTCGAATCGGGAATGGAGTTCAATGGAGCTGATGGACCCAACTGGGAGGACGTGATGTCATCCACAATTCTTTTCTTGGTTTCTATCACATTTACCACGCAGTAGTCCGTGCAAGTCAAGATGGCTCCGGCAGATGCAGAATTTCTGGAGTTCGCTGCAAGCTTAAATGATTCCACGTTCGAACGATGCCAGGAACTCCAGGAACCTCGCAGGAGAGCCTTAGGGAGAATCTTGTGATAGGGTTGAATTTATTACCCCTTTTCGTATAAGGTGGGCTCAAACCGGATGATAGACAGAAATGCAGGTGTTTAATATGTAGACATTAATGCATGATTAGATAAAGAGCTTACAAAAGGCGGACTGATGTAGCCTCCCTTAGTCTCTTAAGAAATGTAGGTATGCAGAGATATTGGCATTTAATTGAATTGAATTGATTGAATACCACATGCAGTTGTGAGATTCAAGATTCAATGTTTCCCAAGAAGTTCCACTGTAAGAGTACCTAGGTACTTTGGGGTATCGGAACCGGAATTACAGGATGTACTATGTGCTCCGTACCTTTAAGTGAGAAACTCAATCTAACCGTGTGCGGATGGAAGTACCACCGAGCTTTTGTGGCTTGCCAAGCTGAGGTGAAGTCAATTTATGCAAATTGATTGGCCTGACGCGCTGCTTTAGCATAACAAAAGTAAAACGCGGCGACGCGCTCTTGCCTTCCAATCAGACGACTGCTCTCAATTCCCGTACACTTCCGTACTCTGCAGCAGCGACGCACGACCCTCCTAACCAATGAATCCCACTCCGTCTTGTCAATTTTAAACACTCGTACCATCTCTTTCTGCACTTTCTGCACGTTGTGCACGGAGCCCAAAAACTTTGAAGAATTGGGAATCAATCCGGTGTAACAGGCCTTATCTCGTTTTGCATTCTTGGATGCATTTTAATCCACTCAACATTTCTTCTTCTTCGTCCATCAGCACTATTGGGACCATTATCATAGTTAGCTTCAGCAGCACTCGAGGATTCTCGTCAAACAGCTTCTAACGAACGGGACCTTGGACATTACAAGCATTAATAGCATTCGCAATCCATTCTGCATAGCCCATATTAAGCCGATATCGTAATTGGATGCAGCTGGCAAGGTTCTGGCCTGGTGGGAAGACCGCAGAGACCGCAGAGACCGCATATCTATCCCATTTAACCAACCAAAGCGGCCAGATACCATTCGGATGACCCGTAAAACTAGGATTTCGCTACGACATTCCTTGCAAACAGCTTCAGTCTAGCAGGTCTAACAGCAGCAACTCTTCTTTTTTGATCTGCCCTCTTTAAAACAATCCTTGCTGAGGAACTTGATCACGGTCTAGTCGTGTCAGCCCGCGACGCCATCATCCAATCCTCGTCCGTGTTTCCACTGACATCCATACATCCATTACATCCATTACACTCGAGGCGGGTCTACCTAAGTGGATCTCTTGCTGAGTTGGCTTTCTTGATTCTACCAATCCTGGTCGTCCATTAACCCCATTCGGTCTTTTCTCTCTAACCCGAGCCCTGGCTCAATCTATTCTGCGTGCCGGTCCTGCAGCCTTCGCGCAGTTCTTGATACACGCTCTTTGACTCCTCCCTCTTTGGTCACTTTAGTCTCTCTGGTCCGACTGACTAAACGACCTTATTGCTCAACCGTTCGACCATACACGCTCTCTTACGCCTACCATAGGCAAAATACCTACCTACCTAGGCATATTGGAACCACCGGCAGGCCAAGGTTGAGACGCATTCGCTATCTCGATCCCCCACGAAATCCGCCCTTCGTTCTCCCCTTTCCCCCCTCTTCTTCTCGTCGCTCCCTTCCATCCATCCTTTTTCTCCACTACTACTACATACTACATACGCATACTCGTACACATACTATTCAATATCCTCAATTAATGACGGTATTGACTCGACTGAATTGTATATCGTTATTTGAACTTTACGACAATAGTTCACTTTTGAGACCTTCTATGCTTTAGGCACGTCAAGTGCCTGATTCCTGGCGCGCCACAAGTCACCCTTGCTTCGTGGCTCCACAGCTAATTAAATTCACCCAAAGTGAGTCCCGACTGAGTACTAGATCGTTCCATTTACCTTGTCTTCCCATCGCTACACGCTGTACAAGGAGTATGATGAACGGAGAACCTAATCTTCTAATATACACTTCAGTCACACCGTCCATTGTACCTTAGTCTCAACTAATACCGAGAGCAAACAGCATAGCTTTACCGAGCGTCGAGAAAACTGTATTCTGGCCGACATGGCCAAACCAACGCGTTTTGCGGCAAACAACGAGCCGCTACACATATTCCAGGATGACATCTTCAACACCCAGCAAGCACCGTCTATCAGCCGAGCACCGATGCCCTCTGTCGGCAAGCAAGCTTCTCCCCGCCGCGCGCTGCAGGCTTCGAATACGAATGTAATGTTTAATCCTCCGAATGGTCACTCGAAGCAGCATTCACCCTTCAAGGCGACAGGGCGCGCCGGCGCCTCACCGTTAGCACCGCTTGGATCGTCACATGGCGGTAAGCTGAATGCTGTGTCGATCTTGCCACCGACATCGCACGGCCAGTCAACGGATTCTATGCAGAAGAAGCAACCTATGATGTCTAGATTTAAGACGGTCGTCCAGAAGCCGACGGTGGATTCGAGCGCAAGTTTTGGAAAAGAGAACGTCCAGCCGACTCTATATCCCGCGCCACCCCCCTTTAACCTGAACTTGGAGAACTATTACCAGAACGCACCCAGCCGAAAGCGCACGTTACTCGAAGCGGCACCGATCCAGGACTCCAGACCGCCGAAGAAAGTCAAGCTGGACGAATCTGCTTTGCCAGCTCATGACTCGTTCCCCCCTATCGTGGACAATGGAGCGAAGCCTTTATACAGCTACGCTCAGCTGATCGGAATGGCTATCTTACGTGCCCCTCAAAGACGACTTACCCTTTCGCAGATATACAAGTGGATTTCTGACAACTTCTCATTCTACGGCGCACAGGATGCGGGCTGGCAGAATAGTATCAGACACAACTTGTCTCTTAACAAGGCCTTTATTAAACAGGAGCGGCCAAAGGACGACCCGGGCAAAGGAAATTATTGGGCAATTGAACCTGGGATGGAACACCAATTCATGAGAGAGAAGCCGAGCAAGAAGTCAAATGCGAACATGGGAAACACCCCTTTCATGTCTAGCCGCGCGGAACCCCAACGCCTTGAGCCTACTAATTACCCCGATTGTCTGGCGTTGCCATCTCTGCCTCCTGTACTCCCCGTCCAGGCGCACTCGATTGCCCACGATCAGATGACATCCCAAGCGCCGAATCAGTCCGAGCCTCAGGTGTCGTCTGATGCCACTATTCCGCTCTCCGATAACGTCGGCCCGGAAGATCAACCAGAGAGGGCACAAGAACAAGATTTACCTGTGGAGTGTAGCCGATACTCTCCTCTTCCCGCCGCAATGCATTCTTCTCCCCCGGTTCCGCGCCGTTTGGAGGCTCGTAGTAACACACCGCCTCCTATCACGAGAGACCCGCCTTCTTCGGGTCCGCACAAGCGTAGCCATAAGCGCAAGTATGCTTCGATGGATGCTTCTATGGATGACAGCGGGTATATCTCGTCTCTAGACTCTTCGGTAATGCGCCCTAAGGGTAACCGATTACTTAGTTCGGGAACCGATCGTCCTCGAATCAAGCGAGGTCGAGCTGAGGAGGAGATTGCACGACTGCGTGCCTCCTCCTATGACAGCCCTACTAAAGGACGTCCATACGACTTCGCCCCGCCTTCTTCCTCTCCGTTGAGACAGGCTAGCGGTCAGATGCTGCCGCCCTTGACCCCAGCTGTCAAGGTAAAGCCGCCTCAAAAGCCTCCTGCTTCCGTCTCACCGAACACGAACCTACGTATCCACAGAGACAAAGTCCGATCCATGCTCAATTCGCCTCTTCGTCGTGTTAGTAACATACAGAGTGCTGATGATCTAATTCCGTGGAGCCCGGCATTCCAGATGGATGATTCGCTATTCAATTTCAATGAACCCATCACGGAATCCACCGACTTCGATATATTCCAGGATATGTCTCTAGATCCGTTCTTCGCGGCTGCGGACAATGGTTCTCCCCTCAAGCGTTCAGCCAGAAAAATGCGCTTGGATCGCTCTGCTTCTGCTAATGCCCTCGGTGAGATCACGAACTCGACTTCTAAGAGATCAATCACCTCGGCGCCTTTGCTGAAGGCTCCTGCTTCATCGCTAGCTCTACCGTACGAAACTCCCAGCAAGGTGTTCGAAGGCATGTCTTCTCCTAGCAAGTATTTGCAGTCACCCACGAAGAATGCTTCCCCTATCAAGAACGACTGGAACTTAGAAGAATTCTGCACTTCCCAATTCTTCGAAGATGACCTCGATGACGGCGCGGGTATAGATATTCTTCAGGGGTTTGAGCGAATTAGTGGTAGTCAACCCCCTAACGGAACCTCCGCGTCTATCAGAGCCTCCAAGCCGGGCCTAGGCCGCAGCTTTACAACTTCATTCTAAGTTCCCTGCGTCACCCACCCGCTGGTTACTATGGGAAACATGCCCATTTTCATGATGATTACGAATAATGACTCGACTACACCACCTACCTCTTCTAAGCAGCCGTTTTCGACTCACTTTGGTTGAAGACACTGCCGACACCTTTTACGAATATAGACCTTACTGCCTACCTTCTCGCCCCACGGCTTTCTTGCCTACTGCTTACAATCTTAATGACGACACGTGTCAAGTACATACCATTACTACTACTACGCCTACATGATGAGATCTGGATTTTCTCAACTTTTTTTCTTGTTGGGGTTTCATGCCGCGTGGATACAAGCTGAACCGACCTATTTTTTCCTCCTGGCCGTATTTGAGAGTCCGATCGTTCAGGTTATGAGGAGGCATACGAGAAGGCGTTAAAATGACATGTACTTGAAAAGGGGAGCTGGTAAGGGGAAACTCGGGGAAATACGAATGAGGATTACACACCTCGAGAGGAGTTTTGAGAGTTGAGAGGCACCATTCCTTTTGGTCCAGGACGGACATATCGCGTTTGGAGTGTGGATTTTTCTTTGCTTTTTACGGATGGATGGGCACAACCTCAAGTCATGTAGGACGGACAACAAATGGAGTTGGGACTGGTGGTTCTCGTGCTGCTTGCTTCACCATACGTACAGTTACTACTAGTGCTGAATACTACTGCCAAAACTATGGCCCTGTTTTTTTCCCAACTGCGAATCCTATTACCTCGTGATATAATGATCATTCTGCCGTGTGTTGTAAGACCATGTCCATTTCACGGAACAAACTTATTAAATTCTTAATGTATGCCATATCTATGATGGGGTATCATTGAATTATCTGGGCGTAGTCAAACCAGCCTACCACCATGACAAAAATCCGTGAAGAAACCAAGTCTATATCACAAGGGGGGGTTTCCCTAGGCGCCAGTCCCATTCCTCTCAAAAATAATCCGGAAACGATCGATTTAACGCCAGCCCCAATGATTATTTTATTCCGCTTTGCCAATACAATACTAATGCATTACCACACTTCCTCACCCTGGCTCGGCCACCCTTCGGCTAAACCCCAATGCCCTCTTGTTTCCTCTACTACTACTATTATTACTCGACGGTACGGAAGGAGGAGAGCGACTTGAGCTTAGGCTTCAGGTTCCACTAGTAGATACCCATGCGAGTGGCCCAGCCGGCGTCTTTCTGGTTGACGTTGATCTGGTAGGGGAAGGGGTTGGCCTCGCTCGTGGTGATGGGCGGGATGTGGTCTTTGTGGGAGTTGACGCAGGTCACGATCTTCATGGCGGTCGTCAGGAGGGTTTGTTCCATGGCCTTGCGGACCTTGGCTCGTTCTGCGGGTGGTTGTTCATGTTAGAACGGGTGCTGTTTTCACGTCTTACATTCATCTCGCGTCCCGCGCATCATCTATAATATAAGACGGAGTTTATATGGGGTTTGAGAAGGGGGGTTATATAGGAGGTATATAAGACAGAGAAACAAACCACTATCTGTGCGCGGCTCGGCCACGGTGACCTTGACGGTCCACGACTCCCAGCAGATCTCCTCGTCGCCGCCGCCGTACGCGCGCATGTACCAGGTCTTCCTCCGTTTCTTCTCGAAGAACTGGACCGAGATGTGGCCGCGGCCGCCGCTGCCTCTGGTCTGTTGTTGTTGTTGCTGCTGCTGGACCGGGTGAGACAGTGAGCGAGTGTGCGTGTGGACGTGCGTCGTGCGTTCGGCGTCGAGCTCGCGCGCCAGCTCGGCCGCCCGCTTCTCGATCATCGTGTCGAGCTCGGCATCTTCGACGTACGGCAGCGTGATGTCAAGGACCTCGCGCGAGCGCGGCGTCAGCGACGGGAAGAACCGGTGGAAGAAGATCGTGTGCAGGATGCCTGGAAAAACGACAAAGAGACGCGCGGGTTAGCTCGGACTTTTAGGGTTATGTATGATATGTATAGATATAGATATAACTTGGAAGACTTGGAAGTATAAATGGGGATATGTAAGGGGTTTAGGAGGGCGTTTATAAATGGGTAAAAGGGGGCTCGCGGGTGGATATAGGGGATCCATCTTCCCACCGTCGTGGTCGACGATGGGTGGACGGAGTCGAGAACGACGATGACGGACGCGGGGCATGTGATTGGATGGTTCTGTTTGGCCTGCTGCGGAACACGGGGCTTCTTTCTCTCTCTCTCTAAATATATATACCTCGCACTACATCTCGTACCGACGCTGGATCGGCGAAGGCCTCGAGGATGAATTCTTGTGGTGTTTGTTGGTCCATGGCGTAGTACGGAGCCGGGTTTGTTCTGGGTTGCTTGTGAAAGTTTGGCGGCGGATAGAGATGACCTTCCCGAGGTCTAGGGGCCACGATTGTTTGTATCATCAGCAGCTCTTCTTGTAATGGAGGGGTTCTTAGTCGGCAAAGGAGAAAGGCTGAGTTCTGTCCTGCTGAGGGGAAAATTGGATTTGCTGGATTTGGCCTGGAACGTGGGGTGATTGGAATGGGCACGGGGGATCTGTCGCGCTAAGTTCCGCTAAGTTCTTCTAAATTCCTAGGTACAGATACTTCCCAACATCCCTAATCGAATGCGTCATACCAGCCACAACTACCCTAAGACTTCAACTAGGTACGTAAGTACCTACTAGATAATGTGGCTTACAAGGCTCTACGATACTGTTCATGGATGTAGCAGGTAAAACTTGCGCACTAAAGCTTTAGCTCGGCAGGGGATTAGGCGCCTATCTTATCAATTCATTTAGTTAGGTGCCTACTGTACTACCATGGTAAGGGACGACTCGCGCGCTTGGACCGAGGCACACGTCAGTTTATTGAACTTTAAATGCAATTTTGGCGGTTGCAGGTGTCTTCTTAGCTTCTAGGGGTGAGCCTTCCAATGCTGAATCATAAATCGTTACCCGAAATATCCATCCGAACCCTTTCAGAAGATCGAATCTTCTTCAAGAATTTGTTTAATTCTTGAAGCTTCCTCCGGTCTCAGCCATGATATCAGCTTCACGGCGATGGCTACGCCGTAACAGAACACCAATTGCCATCGGTGTCGGCGTCATCGGCGCCGGTTATTTGGCAACTCAATATGTCCTCAGCAAGATCAACGACGCGCGCGAGCGCATGAGCAGCGATCGCATTGCGAAGGAGAAGTAAGACTATATGCGTGTCTGAATACCAATTCGATCGAATCTAACGATTTCGTAGCCTTCGCCGGCGGTTCGAACAAAACCAGGAGGACTGCACCTTCACGGTTCTGGCACTGCTACCGACCGCGACCTCCAACATTCTCGAGACTATGAATACCGAGAAGATCACGTTGGAAATCCAACAGATGAAGAGCAAGAGCCTACGGAATAGCGGGGAGTCGTCGGCCACACCGCCTAGCATTGCTGATACGACAATGACTGAGGAAGAAGGGAAGAGTATCGTGAGTCTAGAGAGTGGCGTACATGCGAGCCAACTGTCATTGCCTCCTATGTCTTCTGTAGGGGATGGGTCTCAGGATGGTAGTCAAGTTATCCAAAGGCCTAACCGAAAAACGAAAAGACAATTGTGGGATGATTTAACAATAAGCTGTGAGTTTAATCCATGAGGGCTATGAGAAAGCAATGGGTTTCCAAGCTAATTGACCATTCTCCAGCCATAACACGCGCTTTTACTCTTATCTATACTCTAGCCCTCCTCACTATGCTCACGCGAATTCAACTCAATCTCCTCGGACGACGGAGCTACTTATCAAGCGTGGTGTCGTTGGCAACTGGGACAGCCCAATCAACAATAAGCTTGGAGAATAACGACGATGATAACCCGGAACACGCCTATGGGAGTGACTTTGAGACGAATAGGAAGTACCTAACCTTCAGCTGGTGGCTATTACATCGCGGCTGGGTCGAGATCATGGAAAACGTCGAGGGTGCTGTCCGCGAGGTCTTTGGACATCTGAGCCCTCGTGACCTCCTGAGCTTCAATACCTTCTCGCTTCTCACGATCGAGGTTCGTAAAAAGATGGAAGGCAGGTCAGAGGAGGAAAATAAAGGGGCACGGCCAGGTGCCAAGTGGCTACCATTCCTACTGCCACCTACCAAGATGGAGGACTTTGTTCTCAAGGAATCAGGAGTCCTGGGGGATAGCGCGTCGTCGACTACGCAGCCGGGCGCTTCCTCATCTGCCCCACCTGAGACATCTCTCCGTCGCCTCCTCGACGAGACATCAGACCTTATCGAGTCACCTGCCTTCACTCACGTTCTAACGCTCCTCCTCGACGCCGGTTTCTCTACGCTCCTATACAAGAAACTTCTCCCAGGAGCTTTTGACACGCCAGGGGGGGCCTTCACCAGTCCTCCCGCGGCGGATATGGGGACGTTGGCAGGCCAACAGGCTGCGCAAGCGGCGGCCTCGTCCAAGATCGTCCTACTACCCAAGATCCTATCAGTGTTAACGCGACAGGCACACGTCATCGGCAACGGCATGCCCAACGAGTACTTGCAGGATATGGAGCAGGTGCGCGACCTCGAGGCCTTCGCGGCCGTCGTCTACTCGAGCAACTGGGAGAACGAGATACACCAGGACGATGGTGCCTTTGCTGAAGCGGTTGCCAAGCGAACCGCTGCAGATGAGAAGGAGGTAGCCAGTAGTAGTCGAAGTAAATTATTGGGGTTGGGACCTGAGGGCGCTGTAGGAAGATTCTCGCAGACCTCGACAGTGGGCGAGGAGAGCATGGTTCTAGTCGATCCTTCGCAGTCACAATCGCAGTCGCAGTTGCAGAGCTCGTTCGAGAGCGCCTGGGGTAAGGCTACGGATGGGAGTTAGAATGGTGCGGAGAGGGTTGGTTACGTTGGTTTAGCATGGACAATTATACATCACGTCTAATATATCGAAAATGGTCTTAACTCGGCGAGCGGCGCACTTCATAATACAGTCTACGTTAAAAGGAGGGGCAAGAAATCACAAAATTCAAGACCACATCATCTTGGCGTCGGTATCGTAGCTGCTAGCTCCCAATTACCTCATAAAGCATATATGTAACAGTAGTATCGCGGATCTCGAAGCTTGTTTAGTATTTATTCGGTTAGGGTTGACTCCGTTGGGGGAGTCCAATATGATATCATGTCTACCTAACTTAGGTCTTTCTAAGTTTCGATGCCTCCGTTATCTCGTATGGGAGGCTGTCTTTAAAGGTGGTTGGTCTTGATTAACCACAGATGATGTCTACTGTATGCCGGGTAGCAGATCGAGGCCTCTAGCTTCCCCCGTCTCTTCTTTGCATGGTGCTTAAGATAAAAATCGAATGGGTATTCGGTCCCCAGCCAACTGTAACCACTTAGGGTCCAAAAGCATCGGGCTCCCTCCTTGAAGCCCAAGGCGGACTTCGTCCTAAACTGCTGCACTGGAGAGGGCTTGTCACATCAGCCCCCTTACGAATTTATCCAAGCCCATCTCGAACATTTCGTTCCGAACGCCTTCACCGCCTTTGTGTTCAACCGGCGAGAGCGGATTCTTAACAACTAAGCAGAGAGCTATTAGTACGGTGTTTTTCAACTTCCTCCCACACAGCCTCCAGATCATACAATCTCCCACTCCCAGAAAAGGTCAGCGGCGTAGGCACCCCCCTAGGCGTTCCACCCCAACTCCTCCATCACTCCGTGCGTAAAAAACAGCCCAACACAAGAAAGAAAAGACCGGGAAGTCAGACGAGAAAAAAAAACCCACCGTACTCGACCCAGAGGTTGATGTAGATCTGGTGCAGGACGTTCCGCATGCTGAGGGCGCCGGGCTCGGTGAGCATGGCGAAGCGGAGGTTGGTGGGGGTCTCGTAGTAGTGCAGCTTGTAGTGGGCGGTGCGGTAGGCGATGAAGGCGTCGTCGTCGCCGCCGAGCTTGCGCACCATGTTGCGCAGCGAGAAGACGGTGCCGAAGATGAGCTTCGCGTCGTCGTCGAGCCTACGCTTCGACGCGGCCGAGAGCGCGCTGGCGGGGACCGCGGCGGTCTGGGACGGGTGCGACGGGTGCGAGGGCTGCTGCGACTGCGGGCGCGAGGACGGCGGGGAGGTTAGGCTTGGTGTTGGGGCGGATGACGGAGGGGGCGCGCGGATGTGCCATTGTTTGGAGTATATACACTCCGCTGAGAGAGGTATGTTAGTTGTCTGAGTATTCCAACGTTATCTTATTGAATATAGGAGTGTAGAGAGGTGGTCTCTTACTATGGCGGTCGAAGATGTAGAATGAGTAGACCTGTATAGGCATGGCTTGAGGTAGCTACTGTAGCTACTATAGCGGGCTCGCGGCTGAAATCACATGCTCCGCAGTTGGAACGAGCGTGGGATGGAGTAGTGCTCGGGTCGGTACTGCGTATGTTCGTCGAAATTGCTAAAAATAATGGGAAAGCTTTCCAGGTTGGAATTGGAACGACGACCGGCAAGTCGGCACATGCCATGTACGTACTTCAATCACTATTTGCGGACCGGTCCAGGGGGGGAGGGGTCCAGACTTGCAGACTTTCAACCTTTCACTAAGACGGTAGGTACTTAGGCGAACTTAAAGTCGCAACCTACCTACATACATACATAGGTACATATAGTTGCGCGATATTCATTCTCATGTATTTCTTATATGCAGCTACTTATCAACACATAAACAAGAACCACGGGACAAAGGATTATGATAATTTCCTCGACTGGTTATTCGCACAAGTGCTTATTGTTACTTCAGCTGCTCAAGGGTTGAATGTGCCCTACCAATTCGTTATCTAGGGACGCGCCTGCCCGCCTTAAGAGAACTCTCAAACCCCTCCAGCGGGGATTAGAGCTGCAGGAGCAGGGATGATCGAGGTGAGTTTGGGGGCCGTGATTCGCCCAATGGCGCAATTAGCTTTCTAGTTGGGCTAAACCTCTTGAAAATCCATAATCCTTGGAGCACATGGGGTATGGGGGGAGTGCCGGGGGAAGGCGCCAGAGAGAGAGAAAGTGAGACGGGAAAGAAGAAAAAAAAAACAGAACCTTAAGAAGTAGGCTTGAGTACTTTCGTACCTAGCTACCTAAATCCCGATCTCTTCTTCATTTCTTCCGTCTTGTCTAACGTTGAGCTTTTACTCCTAATAATCCCTTTGTCCTCTTACCCCAAATATACTTTTATCAATGTGTTAAAAACGCTGTCGACACCTTGGGGTTTCGATTTCACATTCGTCGTCTACGCCCCAAACAGATCAACGTAGACCACTATGGCGGACCCTCTATCTACCACCGTCTCAACCGCCTCTACAGTAGTGCAAGAGGGAGATGTCGAATTGGGAGGAGCCAAGACGCGAGTGCTTGACAGTTCGTTGAGCTTCCCCTCGTCGCCACATATTACGATCCAGCAAGATGTCGATGCGCCAGAGCGACCATCGCTTGCCCCTCACCTGTAAGTCCAAGAAGACTATTGTCCCCGCGATTGTCTTGGCTGCGTAGGTATCTACCATGTGGTTACGTGTTTGTCTAAGACATCTATTGCAACCTATTAGATCTGCGCCGCCTACCGTACCGAATTTCCCAAGTCCCATGAGGCATCATAGAAGGACGCCATCGCAACATCGCGAAGTCAAGGTTAGTGGGGGATCATCAAGATCACAGATCGCGTCATGAGCCGGGACCATGAACTAAGATCCTGTACCAGGAAACTCTCAATGCCAAGACCGAATATACCAACGACGAGACAGATGGAAGGTCGCAACAGGCCATTAATCAATATACTATCAGAGAGGAAATCGGGAGAGGGTCATACGGCGCTGTACATCTTGCTACAGACCAATTCGGTACCGAATATGTAAGCGCCATCCAGTTCGTCTCTTAAACCACAACATCCCTAATTAGCTTCGCGCCAGGCCATCAAAGAGTTCTCCAAATTGCGCCTCCGTAAACGAGCCCAGTCGAATATATTAAGAAGGCCCGAAGGAGGTAGACCGCGACTGGGACCTGGCCGAAGCCTATGGAGCGCCCATAAGAAACAACTCAGTCATCATGAAATTGCAGAAGCCAAAGATGCTCTATATTTAATACGGGAGGAGATTGCCATCATGAAAAAGCTCAACCACCCCAACTTAGTACAACTAATCGAAGTGCTGGATGACCCCGAGAACGACTCCTTATACATGGTTCTAGAGATGTGTAAGAAGGGAGTCGTCATGAAAGTCGGTCTAGATGAGCAAGCGGACCCTTACGACGACGAGCAATGTCGCCTATGGTTTCGTGATCTTATTCTAGGCATAGAGTATCGTGGGTTGTCATCGAGCTACAGTTTTATTGTATTCATACTAACTCTGCATAAGTACATTCTCAAGGAGTTGTTCATCGAGATATCAAGCCAGACAATCTCCTACTTACAGAAGACGATGTGCTCAAAATTGTCGATTTCGGAGTATCCGAGATGTTTGAGAAGCCAGAACATATGATGACCAGCAAATCTGCTGGTTCACCTGCCTTCTTGCCGCCCGAGCTGTGTCAAGTCAAACACGGTGACGTATCAGGCAAAGCAGCAGACGTATGGTCCATGGGAGTTTCCCTATATTGTCTCAAATATGGAAAGCTACCCTTCAAGCGGGACAACGTGCTAGATATGTTAGAGGCGATCCGAACCGAGGACTTACAAATACCCTCCGAAAACGAGGATCCGAATTTCGTAAATCTCATCACCAGGATCCTAGACAAAAATCCAGAGACAAGGTTAACTCTTCGAGAGATAAGAGTAAGTTTACCTAACCTAGTATCGTCAGAATAGCGGGTGCTGAACCAATTAGAATCATCCCTGGGTTACGAAAGGAGGTACAGATCCCCTGCTTTCGGAAGAGGAGAACTGTTCAGATGAGGTAGAAATGCCGAATGCTCTAGAAGTTAACCACGCATTCACAAGGAAAATGGACCACCTGGCCTGTGTGGTAAGGGCCACTGTCTCCCGTGTGATGTCCATATTTGCACATATTAACGCACGATCCTAGTTGAAAGCGATCCATCGGTTTAAGAGCCTCACTTCTAGGAGTAGATTCTCAACGCCCGAGATTAGGACGCCTCAGACACCACATCCGCCAGAACTAGCAGAAAAGGAGGCAGTACCAGAAGTCACAGAGACTTCCACACTATCCACGGCTTCAACGGACGTTCCCGAGACTCCTCCACAGCCGACGCGACAGAAATCGATTGCGGAAGAAGCGGCGGAGCTCATCAAGCAACGCAGAGCTTTCCTTGCAGCACAGAAGCACGCTGCAACCCATCCGCCGATGCCGCTCGGAGAGGGTGAGAAGGGCCACGCCCATGACCTAACGGATAAGGCACCGCTCTTCCTAGGTATTGGCACCGGCGGACACGATGACTTCACTAGTTCTGAGCCTCCAACTGATGTTGTATCTGATTCACCTACCGGGATCGACTTCGACGTGTACGATCGTGCCTTCGAGACGGAAATCAAACGCATCCGCTCCGATAGGAAGAAAGGCCGCGCCAGGACCTATCTTACGAGGCTTGTAGGGGAGCAGGAAATGGACAAATACGCCGGTGATGATTGCATGGTTCTCGAGGCCGGAAAGACGCTAGTATCCAACGCGTATGCGCACGGCTCGTCAGCCGTGGGAAGAGGATTGAACCATTTTCACGAGGCAACGGAACGTCTGCATCAAGGCAACAACGGCGTGGAGGGGGAGGAGCGTAGAAGCCCAAGTAGCGTCTCGGAGGCGGTCGAAGCAGCGAAAGAGAAGGGACACAAGTTCGCGAACTTAGTAACGACCATGATGAAGGACCCTAAGGAGAAGAATACGAACTAAAGATAACGCTTAGTGAGCATTCCGAGGTCTCCGGTATGAAGAGGGTGTCTGGTTCCAAATGATCGTGATGTGGCGCGTCACATCATGACGCGAAAATTCCCGCGGGATGTTCGGACAACAAAAGTGAAAGGTGACGGAAATGCGATTCCCAAACTCTCCAGCAAGCGGGCGTTCGGGCTCTAGGACGGCAAGGTAGGAAAAAGTGGACTTAAACGGGACCGAATTTCGTTTCATGACACGCAAACAGGTATCGCGCAGGCCGCGAGATCGAGATAGCGGGACGGATCGGAAGACGAAAAAAATCTAACTAACTATCCAATGCTGTCATGGATCCTCTCCACTGCCCTGCTCGCGGCCTATTATCTAATTTCTGGCATATGAATCGGGGGAGAAGCGCGACGATCAAAGTCGCGATATATCATCTACGTAATCCAAGTAATGACCAATGATTCGCCCATGACTCGAGACATTATGTCGAGAAAAAGAAAGCAAACTCGGCGAAATGGAAACTTGCTCATAAGATGGATTGGGTGAGACGAAATCGACCAAAGTCCTATGCGATCGGGGTTCGTTTGCTCGTCGAGAGATTCGGATGTGGCTACCGAAGAGAGCGTAACCACCCATTAAGAGGTATTACATACATACAGCCGTAGTCACGAGCGGGAATCATTGCCACATCCGTCCAACTGACGAGCGCGCCTTATTTGTTCCTTGCTATTGTAAATTTTTGCAAGGAGCTACTTATAATCTAACGTACACCCGTCGCATTATTCTTAGAGGTGAAGGCTGGCGAGTTTGTTAAGGGAGTACCTCCGCGATCCTACTTATCAAGTACTCCATATAATATATCAGTTACATACATACATACCTAGGTACTCTACTTGACGCATTACCTTACAGCCCTTCTTTTTCTTTTCACACCGCGGGAATAAAAAAGATCTCACCTCACACACAGGAAAGGAGACAGGGAGACAGGGAGAGAGGATCGCGGAAAGTTAACCAAAGAGCGCTCAGAGTTCGACACACGTGTAGAGCCTGGCCAATGCCGTAGGTGAGATAGAAAAAAAAAGTTGCATGCCGGGGCGAGGTTTAAGGCAGGCTTTTTGGGTTTGGCCGGGAAGCGGGAAGGCTGAGACCCGGGTCCGTACACCGCTAATCACCAGCTCGATCGTTATCGCCGTCGTGTTTCATGATGGAGAGGAGGGCAGGGGAGGCTGTCGAGTTAGGGGGCCTAGAGTAGAGGAGTAGAGATATGGGAAAGGGGGGGCCTGGACCTATGTATGTTCTACAATACCTTGCCCTACCCTGCCCTGCCTTGCCTTGCCTTGCCTTACATATGATATTTACCTTTACATACATACGCTCTACGGCGCGTATGGTCCGGTGTCTCTCGCGTGATGATGATGATGATGGCGATGGCTAGAATTGCGTATTGAGACAAATAGAAAAATTTTGTCTAATGTGTGTTATTCCTGCTTTCCTTGCATGCTCGCTTATTCGCTTCAATAACCTCAAGACCTTCAAGACACCGATAGCTCCCGCTCCGCCCCGTACCGTGTTTCTGGCCTAGGGGGAGAAGCTCCCTCCGTCCCCCCTTTCTTAATGCAATTGCCAGCTGGAACCTCTGTCCCCTTCGTCTCTTTTTCCCACTTCTTATTCCCATTCTCTTCCTCTCCTCCTTCATTTCCCGCCACTGCTACCTGTAGGCACGCGGACAATGGAAATGTTAGACGTATGTATGAACAACGAAGCATATCAAGAAAATGACAAAAGCTAAAGAGCTAAATGGACCCCCCTCAGGGTAACCTAACCTAACCCCGGATTTATGCACTTGCCGCACCACACACCAAAAGAGCTAGCTCGGCAAGCGAAGAATCTAGATTCCTCGTCAAGCTTTCCGGCCGGGCCAAAAGTATTCGTGAAAGGGCCTTGGCGGAACCATTGGTCTGTATAAGTTTGGAATCTACAAAAATTTCTTTCTTCCCCTTTTTCCTTTTCGCTTCTTTTGCTAGAAAAATCCTTGATTGCTGTTGTTGTTGTTGTTGTCCTTTTTGCTTGGCCCCTTCGGCAATTCATCATTGGCGCCCGCCCTGGCAATCTAGGTAGCTAGGCCTTCGCGGCAAACAACAAACCCAAGGATCGCAGGGAAGATTCGGTGCAATCTCGTGGCGAAGATGGACTCGTGATACTACAGAGCCTTCCTCTGCTGTTGTATCGTGCCTTGGGGTAAGGTAGGACTGTCAAATTACTAAACCTCGTCCGTGGAGAGAGACAAGAGACGCCTCGCCTCGACAGCAAGATGGGAAAATAGGGAAAAGATAGACAAAAACCCCTTTTCCCAGATTCGTGTTCCACGCGTCACTTTTGATATCTGAGTAGCTGTCTCGGTTCTTAACCTCTCTCGGGGATTACCTACACGTTAGTCTGAAACATTGACATCCCACGTTTTTTAACTCCTCTACGTAACGATACACCATAAGTGCCGTGGGTGCCGTGGAAGTCTTCTACGATGGAACATGTACAGGTAGCGACGAGGGATTTAATGAGACGACAGCCTCAACCCGCATGGCCGGCTACGACGGTGATTGGACGGCTTCTCCAAAAAAAGAAATACATATAATTTAGATCACTACCATAACAATTCCTGATATAGCAGTATATAGCAGTTGCAGTGTAGAGCATCATCGCATATGACGCCACTAGACGACCGTACGACAAGCAGGGGAATGATATACCTAGTCTTCCCCAACTCCCTGAACCTCCTCTTCTAAAACAGGAAGCCTGTGGTCGTATATCCCCAGGTTTTTCTGGTCTCCGGTCTCCTCATGTTTGCGTGGTAAGTATGCCGAGGGCATAAAATGGTACTCTGGCGTAGGTGTGATAGCCGAGGCGACTGGATAGATGTCCCTAGGATCTAGAACTAGTCGATTATTTTCCCGGTAATCTCGTCTGAGTTAATTGTGCAGTGTGGGTGCACAGTCAGAGGAAGCCGGCTGCCTTTTTGATGTTGCTATCTGGTGTTGGAGTTAACCAGCCAGGCTCAAGTAGGAAATCCTATCCGACCTCCGATTTGCGTTGGCCGGCGCCATCGTACTTAGGGAGCCCCGGGTTTAATAAGGGACATCCGGATAGGCGCGCCTTCTTACCACAATTTACGAGATCCATCATCGACTTCCCCTGCCCCGCCTCTAAGCGGTTGATGAGGACTGGAGAAGGATGGGGACGAAGAGGCTAAGCTCTGGAGGAATTGACCCAAATCAGCGCTATGCAGGCGAGCTACCGACCCCCAAATTAACCATTTCGGTAGGCTGACTCTTGGATATTGGATATTCAATATTGGCTTGTTTTTTCAGCTCCCTTAAATTCCGAGTCGTTTGGTCTCGGGTCTACAATCTGGCCGACTGTGCTACCTCTTTCCCCAGCCTTCCGCGTGGAGGAGAAAGGCGTGGAATTCGAAGTTTTTGATTCAAGCGAGCGGTGTGGTGCCAGATGCGAATTCGGAGGGCTCCCGGCTCAACTGCAGAAGCTGGCCGGGATGAATGTTGTAGACAGGTTAGATACCTAGGTAGGTAGGTAGACAAGGTAGGAAATGCTACCATGGGCCGTGGCCGGTCTTAAAAACACCACCGCTTAAGAAATAGGCTTAAAGTACGTTGAAATCCATAATATCGCTTGACAACTATGTGAGCGGGAGATTGTATGGCTTTACGGCCCCCATTACGGATTAGGCCATGTCGGTATAAGTATAGTATCCAAGTATCTGACACAGTGAAGAGGATCGACGCAGACACATAGTTGAGACATGTGGTTATCGGAATACCAGGCATATGATCTTCATTGCATGGTGGCCAAATACCTTGGCATTGATATCTGTCCGCTTCGGGTTTGTTGATGGTGTATAGGTAGGCGTACAGGTATTTCGTTGTCACTTTTACTTTTTCCCTGCGGGTGCGCAGGCGCGGATGCGGGACTCGCAGGCTTGCAGGTCGGCTGCAGATGGAAGAACGGCCACTTGGCAGGAACACAGACGGCCAGGCGTCGAAGATGGGCAGGCAGGCAGGATGGGATAATCAGATAATGCGTACTCCCGAAAACGCTGTACACATGAACCTAGGTAAGCATTGTTTGGTTCGCAGGGATAGGCGGAAGACGCTGGACGGAGATGACATCCAAATGTGTTGGAGCTGACAAGGCTCAATCACAAGCTTGCGAGCAGCGGATTCATGACGTCAGCTGCCGAATTGGTAATGAATCCAGCAAGCGATCAGGTCAGAACGTCTTCTCAGATGATCATGATATAGCTTGCTAGCCACATGTAGATTGGCTAATACAGAGCCAGTGAATCAGCTCTGCCGAGTAAATCAAGCCGATTAAGCTTGCGCTTGAGACGATACGGCTGTACGGGTTATTTTCCTGGTGTAGATCGGAAAAGGTAAGTCCTGTCACATACTCGCCAACCCCTCCCAGACTACTGGGTCCAATTGCGATCTCGTCTGTTCAGGAGCCAAGAAGTCATAGCCCTACAACACACCCGTAGTGCGCGTAGTACGAATTGAGATGCTCCCGCACGCCACAGCCGATTCGGAGCGGAGAAGACACTTGCCCCTTTATGTAGAATAAGCTGCCGTTGGAGGCTGTCAGGAGGCCTCCGGGACGATAATAAGTCAAATGAGAAGGAAGAGAAAAGAGTGCGGGAAGCTTGGCGTGCAGTCGGACAGCTCTGGCCCGCATGGGAGCAAGCTTTCGTGCTTCGACTTGATATGCATGTAGCTTTAGCTACAGCAGTAGCTATGAGAAGCTTTCGACATCATGACTGGCCGCCTGCAGCAAGGATAAACGTGCAGTTTACCCACTTCAAGAACCCTCCCAAGGGTTCCCGTATGTAGCAAAACGCAAAACAGCAGTAGGTAAAAAGTCGGCCCCTTTTTTTCGCCAGATCATCGACGCATGTCGATGCTCCCCTGCCTTTACGTAGCGAAGCTGATATCTGATGGGGAGGAGGAAGGATAGGTAGTATAGTAGGAGTATCAGGGAGCATGTTAGAATAGTGGGCAACTTGTAGCGGTGAGCGTATTCGAATTGGCTATGTTTTGCATTCATGGTGTCGGCGAACGCAAGGTGACCGGTAATCACGAATACTCGCAACATGTGGTCTCGGGGTCGCAGTAGCCGAGCTAACTAGCCCAGACGGCCGTGGCACGAATGCCCAGATTTGGATGTTCCAGTTTCGTTATTATTTCTCATTATTAGCTGAGCATGGAGCATGAAGGGAAATGCCTCATCTAATGGTCAGCACAGGTACGCCATGCAACATTAGAATACCTAGGTAGGTAGCTAAGATAGCGGCTGGCGGTGCTCCCGTAAGCTACTCCAATAAGTTAGATAGGATGCTGTGTTCCGAGGCGGGTATAGTGTCATTGTTGAGGCTATTTCTTTTATGTTCCACTCTATTGGTAGTCGAACAAATAGGGCTCTAACATTATAAAGATGTGGGGGTTGAGTTCTAAAGTGTGTTGAAGTCTAAAGTGTGTCTGTGTCTGTGTCTGTTACAAGAGAACTAGACTAAGATCTGAGCTGAGGTGGGTAAAGACAAAAGAGATGAAGGTGGTACGGGTGGTAAAGGTTCGTGGTACACGGATTCCATGATAGAGGCACAGGAACAAGAGAAACAAGTACCGGAATGCCAATGCTTCTTTATTTCGATACATAAAAAAATGACGGGGGATGGTGGGAATGATGCTAATGTTAGATTGATCTGGAATGGGCAGAAGCCGAGAGAATTGCCAAGGGTCTAACGGTTCGTAAGGGAGATGGGAACAAAAAAAGAGGTTTGTCGGTAATAGCCGTTGTTAATCTGGCATGAGGCTCTTTGTTTTAATAAACGCGGGTTAGATGACCTCGTGGCATCTGGATACAACACAACGTACCCTTCAGTTGGTTAGGCGAGGGTGGGAAGAGACCTGATTGTTTCTCTCCTTTTCTTGTCTTGTTGGGATGGAGGTGGGATGATTGGTATGATGGCTGGATGGTAGATAGAGGTTGACGATTCTCAAAAGAGATGGATCGTGTGTTACTCAGAAAAAAAGTCCTGCAGATTCTAGATTAACCTACTGGGGAACTAAAAGCCCACCAATGGCAACTCCCGCAGTTCTTGTTACTTGCAGAGAATTCCATTTCCGTTGCGACATTCACCTAGCATCCTGTATAATGCAAGTATTCTTTCGTTTAGACTTTAGACTTTTTGACTGAGTGTTACCCTGGCAAACTTAACAACTTTTGGCAGGTACAAACAGATTTCCGTCACCGCCAATAGCGTACCTATGTATGTCGCACACATTCGATTAGCGAGTATATTAGTCAGATCAAATCAAAGGGACTGTGCAACTCATGTTGCGTAACACTTTCCCACAACTTTTCCACCGCTGCGTTGACAATCAAATGGCTAACTGAACTTAGACATAGGTACACCTCCAGGGTTACAATACCCACGTAGATACGTACCGATCGAAGGTAACCCCAAACCAGCAAAGAGCGTGGATGTGACTAGGTAGGGATAGATGTATGTACGTATGTAGGTTAGGAGGTTACCTAAATTACGAAGTACCTAGTATTAGAATGATACGGTACTGAATACTTACCTAGCATATCCCACCCACATCTTGACTGTTAACATGCATCCCACTCTATTTTTGCGAGGCCATTTTCGAGACGATCTCTTCTTCTGGCACATTTCTCTACACGAGCTATGTACATATAATACTATACCTAAGTAATCATAAGAAAAAGTTACTTGTGTGATTTTTCTCTTCTTCTTTACCTGCACAACATATCTAGATACTTATCAATTCCACGTATCTAGCATTAAGTAGATATATAATGCGAATACAAAAACCTTGACATCACCTTCATCGCAAAAGCGGACCAATACTTTATTTTTAACTCCCTTTTTTTTTCTTATCCTCTATCTCTTTGCAAGTCAGAAGTCGGCAGCTAGCAATCGATTATTCATTCCTCAGCCTAGACAGAAAGAATCGGCAGTACCGTACCTCTTTTTTCCTCTCCACTTGGACTACTTTGACTTGGATCGACTCAAACCTGGCTTCGCACGAATCTTAATTCTAGCTGCTTCCGTCTCCTCTCTCTCTCTCTCTCCCTATCCCTATCCCTCTCCCCTCCGCTCCGCGCGCCCCGTCGCCCTGTTCTCTTCTTCTCTCTACACTAGTCCTGGCTTCTTAACGATGACCGTCTTCACTTATACGAAACGAAGTCTGGTCAGTCATAATCTGCGCCGTCTCTAACATTAGCTGGAACCCTCCCAAGGTTCCTATCGATTCGCCTCCACTCGAACCACAACCACCATTCACACCATTCACACTATTCGCAATACGTAAATACATAAATACGTATTCGGTTCATTCGGTTCGTTGCCGATATCCCGCTCTGAACCCCCAGTGTCTCGAACGGTCAACCATCATCCATCACCATTCCACATAATTTTGCCCTACCTCCAAGGTACCTAGGTAACTTACCTAACCTACCGGAGAAAGACGCTATCCATATCCATATAATACATAATATCCATCAGAGGTTATTCACTCACTGCTAGTGGGAGGATTTAAAATAGCCTGGCTTTTCCGTAACTAGCTGCAACTCTTTTCGAATACGCAATTCGCTATTCGCTACTCGTTACGCCGGATACACAAACAATATCTAGTGGATTCCTGAAGGCTATTTTCTACGTATTAATTATTACGTTCAACTCTATTTTCGTCTTGTTTTAATTTTTTTACCTTCTCTCTAAATCTTTCCTTTTTGAGATATTACCAAAGATACGACCGATACCAATTTAGTTAATTACGGGAAACGAGAGAGTTAAATCATAATTCCACACTGGGCAGCCGCAACCTGCGCAATCAATCCAAGATATTTGAATTCATAGTTCGGACGACCCAACGATCTAAAAAAAATAAATCACCACCCAGAACCTGGACCACCAGCAAGAGGCTAGAAGCTAGACTACTCTAAACAGTAGTCCCGGTTCGCCTCCCCACACTCTTGCCCTACTTTGATTATTAACTTTACTTGTCACGGGAAACTACAAATTCCCAGCATCCCGCTTCTAATTAATCTTCCCCTTTCCCACTTCTTCATTGCGAAACGCACCCGACCAAATCATTCCGCTGTTTTGCAATCCGTCATCAGTGTCGCCAACACCTGGGCGTAGCCCACCCCCAAAGGCGACTCGAGCCGCCAAACCACTTCTCGATTCGCCGGAACTAAGCCTTCCATCTCCCCGCCGCTGCCCCGTCGCCAAGTGACCTTTTTCCTATTCGAGACTTAGAGACTCAGATCGATTGTAAAAAACCTCCGCCCAACATATATTACCTTTCCGCGCAGAGCACCCTCCCTCACTTTTAATCCTTCAGAAATGTCGAGCAATTCGGAAAAGACGGTTTCACCCAGCGCCTCAAAGCAATCGTCAATAAAATCATTCGAGCTCGCCACAAAATCCCCGAAGATACGACCCCAGAATGGTCAACCTATTAACGATGCCCTTCATGCCGAGGCTCAGCCGAGGCAACCCGAGAAGGCTTCCATCAAGGATAGGTTAACCCGGATGTTCTCCAATAAGGACGAACTGCCCAGATCCGGCCTTGTTGATGCCTCACAGCCTTCCAAGCGCGCTGTCCCAAGCCCCTCTCCCAGCCAGACTGGTGTCGCATCACCAGCAAAGCCAGCCTCCGTAGCACGCAAGCCATCCTCAGCTGACCCAACTGCCGCGACAAAGTCGGTGCACCACCACCAACGGTTTGTCATGAATCCAGATGTTGCCGGCGGCCACGAACATCACCTCAAGGGTAGCAAGCGACAAGAGAAACTGTCCGACATGTGGAAAACCCTCCTTGGAAGGAAACAAGATCAACCGCCCGAAGCCGATTTATCTTTGGTCTCTAGCTGGGTCGATACCCTGAAGCAAGAGAAGGAGTCGCTGGCCGGTGATAGGAAAGGAGGGCCCAACCAGAGCTCCACTCTAGTCGAGAAGTATGGTAAATGCCAGGAGGTTGTGGGCCGCGGCGCTTTCGGCATTGTGAGGATATCGCACAAGAAGGTGGATAACGGAGAGAAGCTTTTTGCCGTCAAGGAATTCCGTCGCAGACCCGAAGAAACCGAGAAGAAGTATAGTAAGCGTCTGACGGCAGAATTCTGCATCTCATCTTCGCTGCGCCATCCGAATATTATCCACACCCTAGACCTGCTGAAGGACCAAAAAGGTGACTACTGCGAAGTTATGGAGTATTGCTCTGGTGGTGACCTTTATACTCTCGTCTTGGCTGCTGGAAAATTAGAAGTGATGGAGGCCGACTGTTACTTCAAGCAGATGATGCGCGGCGTCGAATATTTGCACGAGATGGGTGTAGCGCACCGCGATCTAAAACCGGAGAATTTGCTCCTGACAAGCCATGGCGCCTTGAAGATTACCGATTTCGGCAACGGCGAATGCTTCAGGATGGCCTGGGAAAATGATGCCCACATGGTCTCGGGTCTTTGCGGATCGGCCCCTTATATCGCCCCCGAAGAATACATCGACAAGGAGTTTGATGCCCGTGCCGTCGATGTCTGGGCTTGCGGTGTTATTTATATGGCGATGCGAACTGGAAGGCATCTTTGGCGAGTGGCTAAGAAGGACGAAGACGAGTTTTATGAGCGGTACCTAGAAGGGCGCCGCGACGAGGAAGGTTATGGCCCGATCGAGTCGTTACACCGAGTAAGCTCTCTCCAATCGTCCTAGGACTTGATGCTCTTGCATGATACTAACGAATAACATGAAGGCTCGGTGTAGAAATGTTATCTACTCTATCCTGGACCCCAATCCTACGCGACGTATCACAGCGTCGCAGGTCCTCAAGTCAGAATGGGGCCGCGAAATTAAACTCTGCAAGGCTGGCGAAGAAGGTGTTTAAGCGATGCCGCTTTTTCCGAACGAGCACCTGCTCTTCGAGCAAGGGACGAGGACGTTTTAATGATCGGCCGATCTTGGAATGTTGTGTACCTTCGTCCCTTTGGTGTCCTCATCCCTTATAGGAGATGACGACCCTGATGTGCTTCGCTGCCTTGCCGAAAAAAAAGATCCTTCCATAACCCTGTCCAATCCACAAGCACGAGTTCTCAAATTCTCATTCATGAACTAAACATCCTTTCATTTTGCATGGAGTTCTGGTGAAATTACGGTTTCTTGCATCATCCTTTCATTCTCGAATTCGTATTCTTCACTACACATTTTAGTCTCGAAACTTCGGATCATAGCACCAGGATTTCCATGCGCAGCGCATCAAAACAGGATTGGTGGATAGATGCGCCACGCGCTCTGCGAGTGAGCGTCACGTAGGGGACAGCTCTTATATTCATGTCGTGCATCGGAATAGACGCATAACTCGCATTTCTCCTGGGCAGCTGCAGAGAAGGGAAAAGGAACTGGGCGGCTGGGGGTTGTCTTGTATTCTCGGTTCGGTTCGGTTTTACCTATTCGGGCGGCGTGTCCGGGGCGGGATATCACATAGCCAAGATCTGGTTTTGTTCATTCAAGGCGGCCTTCTCATTCGGAGCACTCTAGATAGGTGGTAGGCGGTATAGTTGAAGTTTAGAAGCTCCTCTTCGCGTCTTGTATCTCGACACTCTTCCGGGCGTGGACGGCAAATAAGGAATCGTCCAAGGCTTCAAGGGGACAAATGAATAATACCTCTGGAATAACAGTACATATTAGTCCCCGTCTTTTTCAACATGTTATATTTAGGGCAATGAATGGGTGGAGGGGATCTCGGTCGCCAACGCACATACACTCTGCCTAGCCAACAGGTTGGATATGGATCAATTTTATGTTGTCCAAGCCATGGGTATCGAAGAGAGAGTTGGTCTAGAGGGAAGAGAAGCTTAAATAGCCGTATGTATCGACTTCGGTCACATACAACAGATAACTCAAATTACGAGAAATACGAATGGCACGACGTGTCTATGAAAGTAATGTCGAGTCTGTCCATGAATAGGAAGCAGCTCACCCGTGACTACGTATGACAGGCTTCTTGTCCTCAACATGAATTTGACGTACCTAACGTTTAACAAGCCCTCGCACTCACCGACAGCCCAGTCATGACTCAAGGTTGAGTCAAGAGAGAAGAAACATGCATCCTCCCTCCCTCGTGACTCTACTATGCCCAATGGAGGCCCAGAGCAGTAAAACAGCATGTACCACCTCGCCCGTGTTCCTGACGCCACACTCGTCTGTCTCATCCTCCCCTAGGCACTTTCTACTGCTACTCCAGGACGACGTTCTCATAGAGTGAGACTGCCGTGAGCTAGTTATTATTATGTTGTCTCTGCGTTAGCACAATCGCATTACCGCATCACTCCCGCCAGGCATGAATGCCCGGAGCTAGCTCGAATGGCGGCACCAATTTATCATACAAACTGCTCTTTGCAAAACTTCGCTATCATGGTTATCGAGCCCCGTGTGATACTACGTAAAAGCGGTGCCAACCAACCTGAAATTTTACTAAATACGTGCCCGTCGCAATTGCATGCTGGGCAGGCATGTAGGTACATAAACAACATTATCACACCAAACTTCCACGTACGACCATAGGAGCTAGAGAACTCGGGATCCCGTCCGCTCTCCCACTAGATAAGCTGGCTACTGCCGGATCAGTAGTTGGGTCGGTGACGACCAGCGAATCCCCGGTGTTGTACGTTTCATTTCTATTTTTTACTGGTTTTTTTTGTTCTTTTCTTTCTTTTCAGGTATACCTATTTCCTATTCCTATTACGTACTAGGGAAAGAGAGAAGAGTTTTCCATGGGGAAAGGAAAAAAAAAAAAAAAAACTTCTATACGCTAAAGGATAGTGTAGATAGACAAAAAGTGAAGGTCCGCCTGGGGGTCGAACCCAGAATCTCCTGATTGACTCTTCGATCCGAAGTCGTAGTCAGACGCCTTACCATTGGGCCAACGGACCTTGTCTGCAATGTCTCCCGGAGGACTGATTGCAATGCCCTTCACTCTTGGTGTATATAAATCCTCGGCTTTGAGAGCGAATAATGTCTTCCTATTACCTTAGTGAGTAATTAGTTGATATAAAGAAGGGAAGGTTGTTAAAGTCATAAAGTTTGTTAATGTTTAGGAGCTGAGAAAACCTATAAACTTTCTATAACACTATCATATCGTATATATAGATAACACGCGGAGCAAAGGAAACTAGCTGATGAGCAAAATCTCATATAATCAGACACTACTGGACCAACACCATGCAGAGTTGTCTCACTAATTCTTTGTATGCCTTGCCGAGACCTACGTTACTATACTGATACATAAGACCCCTATATCCATAGTCACTTAGTCCCATTGGTTGCAAGGTACAGCAACATGCATCACACGAAGCATCAGAAGAATTTAGAAGAGTGTAGATTCGGGATCTATTCATCACAGGGCCCATTGAGTCGGGAAAGAGCCATAATTATGTATTTACCGGAACCCACTACCATAAGAGTTCCGGGCTCGCTCCTGATGCGAGCCGGCCTCTACGCGCAAAGCCATTCCTGCCCATTTCCCTTCCCTGAGCCAAGATGCTCCCGCGAATAGTGGAATAAATACAACGCCCCTCCGTCCCTCCGCCCGGCATGCCTCTTATGTGGTCGTGGCTGCCTTGGGAATTCCCACCCTGCCCTCAAACAGATGTACCACCCTGTCATACTTCATCTCTTTAAGACCGCCATCAAGAAAAAACATGTTTTTGAGGCTCCTTCACCTCCGAAAAGAGACGAAAGACGACAACCCACCCCGAAAAACGACAAAAAAAGGAAACGTCCCCTGATCTTTTCTTCTCTCACCATCGGTATCGGGTATCAAAGCCCCCAGGAAATGGAGCGTCCCGACGTGACCGCTCCAGATAAGTCCGGTCTCAGACGGCGTACAGGATATCCGCCGTAGCTGCTCGTGCCGAAACGCCATCACCTCATAGCGACGTAGTCAGTTTTAAGACATTATATCCCCCAATCTTTGCCCGCCCCCGTGTCCCGCGAATAGAAAGCCCATGTCAGGAGAAACAGGATTATATCCGTGACACCGGTTTGCGAGCATAGATCGTCGTGTCAAGTTCAGACAAAGCCCGTCAGCAAAAAGCATACATTGCCTCCCAAAAAAATAAAATTCCTCATCGGAGCATGTACACGCGAACAGGCCGTTATGTGTTTCATACCGTGGCGTAAAGTCATCAGGCTGCAAGAAATGTCAATTCGATCCGCCGCGGTAAGATTCGTCGCCCAAGGTTCATGAGTGGAACAAATCCCAGGCTCTCTCGCATAACCTCAAAAACTCTTCACGCTTTTGTCGTTGCGTTTCGGGGCTATCACGTCCCGCTCCGAACGGCCCTCTCCGTGTGGCAGCAGGACCGTGCCCCAGGGGAGGGCTGCTGCCTTCCTCGTACTCAGCACGAGTTCTTCGCTTGCTCATGCCTCTGCCAGCATCTAAAGGGTTGATTCCGTTTCGGGGCGACGGAGGTGTCGGGGGCTGGTGTCCAGTGTAATGAACGAGCTTGGGTAATAACTCTGGTCGTCCACCGGCTAACTCGTGCTGTACTTCCTCAGCCGATTTATACTCTCGGCCCCGCCCTGACATGGGTGGCTGTGAAGGAGCCGGCGGCGGGTGGCTAGGCGATGCTAACGGTCCATGACTTGAGCCGGGATATAAGATCTGACGGCTTGATTCCGCATGCGAAGGGAGCCCTTGTCCACCAAATACATCAGATATCGGCGGTAGGCGGTTAGCTGTTTGATTTGCTGGGATATGGTGGATATGAGATGTGCTGGAGAGATTTGAGGGCTGGTTAGCAAGATGCCGAGTTAACGGCTGAGGGTTGTGACGGCCTGTAAATGTTTGGCCCAACGGTGCGGACTGGATGACTCGCTCGTTGGCAAACTGCTCGTGGGAGGGTGCTACAATGCTCAGCCCTGGAGGGGCTTTATTCCTTCGAGACATTCCTGGAGTCTTCGCAGAGAATTGGCTGACGGGGTCCTTGTCTTTGCCGTTATCAGGACCATCACCCTTCGCGGATTGTTGTTGTAACCTAGCCTCGATGATACGGCGTTGTTGTTCTCTGACATTCATGCTCTGCTGCAGATGTTCCTTCATCACAGGATCTTGAGTGACAAAACCAGGCGACAGGCACGCTATGCCTACCTCCTGGATACCGAGTCCTTCTCTTCCTAACGCCGGGCGTGCCGTCGCAGCGCCTGACCCAGTGAGAGTGTTCTTGGACAAATCCAGCTTTCGAGGGCGATGACGAGTGGACGGTATGTCTGGAGATCCTGGTTCCTTCTTCACGAAAATTTTTGGTCCCGAACTTCCCGAAACATTTCGCGAACTATAACGCATGCAAGCGATTAGCTACCAAATTGACCAGATCGACCTGACAATGAGACTACATAAGAGAAGGATCCTGGTTTTAATTGGACCAGAAAAAATTTCCGTTATGGATTGAAGGATCGTCAAGACATAGAAGAAAATAAGACAAAATAAAAATTAGGGATCTTACGCGCTTGGTGGTGAAGACTTTGCCGCGGTCTGGGCAGCCGATCTGGTGGGACTTCGGCTGGTTGGACGTTGCGTCGCAGAGGTAGAAGCAGTGGTGTTCGGGGTGCCCGAAACCGCAGCTGAAGTGCGTGGGACGGAAGGTGATGAGGCCGGCGCAGCGGCAGTTCCAGTAGTAGTTGAGGAACTGTTACCCGCAGGAGCCAACTCAGCATAAGCCGGTCTATCGTGGGGAGCCGGGGAAGGGGCCATAGCAATCGCCGCGCTCATGATGGAGGGAAAAAAAGCTTGAGCTTTTTTTCTTTCTTACTTAATATGGTAATTCCAGGTACGGTGGGTGTTAGCTTGGAATTGAGTTTTTTTCCTGTTATTCCTTGGTTTTTGGTTGCTGATCCTCTCTTATTTTTATTCCCGGCTGAAATGGCTTGATGCGCCACGCGGGAGTCGGCAGCAAGGGAAAGGAAAAATGAGCGCAAAGTCTTGAAAGCGTTGCAGCGATGGGACTGACAAGACGCTCCAGACGTCAGCGAAATAGATTGACGAAAAGATGAGGCGCACTTTGAGCTTTGAGCCCTCCTTCACAACTGCGCTCTTGCAGGGCCTAAGTCGCAGAAGTATTGATGTTGGGCCCCGAACTATTTGTGCGAATGGCTTTGTGGCCAATAATGATCAGTTTCTCCTTTTTTTCTTGAATCTGCCCGACTCCGTATTGGTAGGGTGTTCAAACGCGCCAATGATCGATGGCTCGATCGATTTAACCTATTAATTCCTCTGATGAGCTACCTTAGCTTGCCAATCACGAATAGTACGAGGAACGAATAGGCAAGATGCGCGTCAGCTCCGAGTAAGCAGGCAATCAGTTTTGTATCGCGCGCTTTGCTCGTGAAATTCCGGGCCTTGGACCGAACGGATCAGATATGCTCTGGTGCCGAAGGGGGCTGATATGGGTTGCTGTATGGGGACTGCAAATAAGTCCGCCGTTAAAGATAAGAACCGGTCAGCCAGGTAGTCGGATGAGATCGATATTCGATTGTCGGTTCGAGAGGTGTTCCTGAAGATCGGATCCGATATGCTGGCTTGTTTCCCCTCCTTTGTTCTCTTTTCTTCGGACTTTGTAACTCTACGATTGTCTCTCGACTTGATATGATGTCTCTCAGGCCGGCTATGGATTAATGAACGCTTGAGTCTCCTTATCTTTCTTCTCGATACTACCACACCAGGATGTAAATTCCTGTCGCGCTGCGTCGGGTTCGTCGCACAATGTGGGCAACTGGCTCTCGGAGGTGAGGGATGTCTGCCGGTTCGATGAATCGGTGTATTACTATGGTTATGATATGGTATGGTATGGTATAGACAGATACCAAAAAATGTGGCTTGAATTGGAGATTCGGGAAATCGAACGAAAACAGCACGAGACTCGAGTTGATAAGTTGACGATTGTAGATGTATATACGGCCGTACCGAATTTGTTTTTTCCCCCCAAGAGAAGAATATTAAAGAACAGAAATGCAAAAAGGAAGGATTAACAGGGAGCAAAAGAAAATGTAGCGAAAGGACTCGACCAAGGACGAGTACGGAAGGTATGGGATTAAGGTAAGGCAAGGTCGAAGGGAGGGAAAAGGGTAAGAAAGGTTTCGAGGCGGAAAGAGGGGCACGCTTATGGGTCGACCTCCCATGTTATTAGCGGTTTCCTTCAGGGACATGTACCATGTGTACTAGTATGTCTGGTAGGCAGGTAGGGAAAGAGAGGGCAGACTGGGGGAGCAGGGACGACAGCTGGGCAGGGACAAGTAGCAGAGGTAGGCACGCACACAGCACGCAGCACGCAGCACGCAGTAAGTAAGTTCCAGAAGCACAGACTGGCTGCACTCCCCTACCGTTTTCCCTGTCGGTACCTAGTAATGTACTTAGCAGCAGTGTTTTAGGCCAGGATATTCTAGGAGCAGGCTAGGATGCTCCTAGGCCGTTACTTACCCTATTAGGCACACTGAGTCGTTAGCGTGCTTTAGCTGCGCTACAGATACCAGCACGGGCCCAGACGCGGCCCTCAACGCTAGTGTGCCAGGTAGACACTAGAGATTCAAATCCCTCCGAATCACGATTTATGAAAGGGGAGACGGAATGAAGAATGACACAGCTATGTGTGAGAGAAGTGTGGGTTTCGCGAAGACCTGGGGGAAGTTTGGGGACTTGATCCCTGTTCGTTGAAGAAGATCATCAATAAGTGACGAATGTGAGAAGTAGAGAAAATAAAAGTAGCATGATAGAGATGGAATATGGAACAGTGAAGATGGGATGGCTTCAATTGGTTATGATTCAATTATAGCTTCTACAAAGTGAAGTGTTTCTACGTTTCTATGGTTCTAACTTAAGTAGCTTCAGGTACAGAATCGAATACGCATAAAAACTTACAACTTACAAATGCGCCGCAACTATTCTGGTCGACTAGCCGTGTAAGTCATCCACGACCTCTTTCCTTTTTTTTTCCCTTCCCTATTAGCCACTTCCCTATTAACTACAGGCTACTAATTTGGTCGAGGTACATATGCTACATGTATGAAGGTTGACAAGAAACAAAACGGTGAATCCAAGCCAGTCACATGGTGAAACCAGCCCAGGTGGATTTCATTCGCCTTTTTTTTTTCTCTCTCTTCTCTTTTTCTCATCTGCCATCTATTACATACACGAGCTTGCGCCGCACCAATACATGGAATATCTACGGAAAAGAAAATTTGAACTCCCATCAAACTCCTCCGCAGCCTGGGCATCGGCAGCCGGTGGGTACTATAATTCCTCATTTCTTCCTGGACGGTGAAGAAAACAGAAGGCCCTTTGTGGAACTGTTTCCCTATTGGAATCGCTGGAGACGGATGGGATTTGAGCCAAGGAATGGGGCCCCCGTTGCTCTGCCTCCGTAGGTTGTTTTACATTGATGCTTAGCAACCCGCCTAAGCCAGTCCAAGGGGGTGTGCCTTTTTGCTGTCTCTCACATGATTGGTCCCCAACGCCGACTGACGAATTTCTGGAATTCCATGGCTGCAATTTTCACCAATTCGCCAATTCACCAGGCCTGCGATAGGCTCTCCAACACTCATCAAACAAGCCTCTTCCCGAGGGGGACGAAGTTGGCCAAGATTGATTCGATGATTGATGATTCGACGAGACGATGATTCGACCCTGTAGATTGACGGTACCAGAGTACTAAGAGCACCAGATTTACACAAACTATTGAAATGTGAAATGCTGGATCAACACACATCAACGCCTCGGCTCGGACACTTCAGACGATTCAATATTATCATTCGCCCAATCATGTAACACAGGTCGCCGAAGTCTCGTTAGTACATACTGGGGACGGTAGAAAGGAGTTGATTCGACGGCTGGTGTGACTGTGTCCATCCATTTGTCCATCCAGTAACCCACTCGTCCAAAAAGTTGCCGCATGGTCCACCTGTCCACCCCCTGTATACGAATGCAACCTCGATTCTCAGGTGAATTCAGGTGAAGCTACTATACCATGTATGTGTTGGTTTGCGCCTTACCATCTACGTCTCCTCATGTCTTTTTGCTAAGGAACCCTCCGCCCAAACAGGTCAAGTCTGCCATTCTCCGTCTCTCTCGCCATTCCAACTTACCCTTCTGCCCTGCTGCCCTGGAATTATGGTAAGTGGGTAGATCGGATGAAGATTTACCTCGAATTCTGCTTAACCCGAAAAGGATACCGTCCGTATGGAAGCTTTTCTCCTGCCTTAGCGCTGCCACCTGCATATGTATAATACAAGACCTACCGATCATCGAGTTCCCTTAAATGTAAAAAATCTTCCCATAAAGAGTAACCTCCTTTTGGCTGCTTCACCGTACTTATTAGCTGTCTCAGTTATACATGACCAACATGTTTATCGGTTTGGCGATGTCGGTAGTAATATTATAGGTCTATTATCCACCACCGACCTCTTATGTGTTTCAGCCGCGGTATCTGACTGCAAAGGAATAAAGGAATCGATGGCGGGATTACGGCCTGAAGTCCCGTGTCTGCGCATCGACTTCGAAGAACGGTGGTCTGTGAGCATATCAAGGTCTTCTAAGCCGGCCAGGATAGCGGATCGCCGTCATGGGTATCAATGTACACAGATACTTGGCCCTTCGTATCGACCAACGTAGATCCCGTACACGTATGAGGACAAGAGGGGCGAGGGGTCTTGTCTGAAATTCCCCTGTTGATCGCCTCTGTGAATCGTGATTTTACAGCGCAATACATAAGGCGGGAAGTCCCCTGTCCGCGAACGGCTCTGTTGGGACCTAGTAATGTGGTATATTTAATCGATCAGCAAGCAACTTCGTCATCATTTCCATTGGGCGCAGCCTAGTATGACAACGTGGAAATGATGAACAGCAGACGTTGCTCCCTGCTCCTCCTCTCGCACAATCACAGATATTATCATACAGTCATATGCGAATCTCTCCGTCTCCATGAAGCAAACGAATTGCCGATGGTTGGGTTAGCATGGCCTATGGCTTCGCTTCAGGTGTGTGTAAGCGCCTTGCAAGTGAAACGCGAACCCTTGGCTCGTGTCCAACCCAAATTGGGAACCCTTGCGCGGTGACGACAAGGAAGGCTCCGCTAACACGTAGTGGTGTATTTTATATTATTCATCCTCCTCCTTCGTGCCGTCGAGAAGAAAAAAGAAGGAAAAAAACTGCGCTACGAGAGTAGATGTCTCAGATTTGTCGACTCGGCAGGTGAGATCTTATCATCGCGACGCTATTGGTAATGTGCAGCAATGCAATGCGGTAGAATAGATTATGAAGGGGGACCTTATGATTGTTCTGCATTCCTCCTTTCATTAACGACTGCAGCGAGGGCTGGCCAGATCTCATTAGATCGCTGAATCTGGAGAAGTCTACAGATTCGTGGGGGCATTTCAAGCCCATCCCGCATTACGAGATGCAAACCTCTTCATAATAGAAATGGCTATGCTTGCGATCCAGGTGGGCTAAGACAATAAATATATTTTACCGTAGTTTTCTGCTATATCGGGTATGGCCCCATGCCATTTGCCGCGCGGCAATGGGAGAATCAGAATAGTGTCACCGTTCCTCGGCCATTATTCGACCTAACATATATATAAAAAGACACCGAAATCATGTTATGCGATTCGAGAAACAGGTCATTTCCCTTGCGTCGACCGATGCCGTCATCCATCAACAAGGAAATATAATCCGCGTCGACTATACGTTCAAGATCTAACAATCTATCTGAGTAGTAGCCTGAATAGGAGTATACCTACTTACAATACCGCGCTTATAAACCCCCGAAAGCTGAATGCGCAAATTTCCACGCTAAACCACACCCGAAGCCAGATTACCGTAGGATCTCGTCCGCTAAATTAACGAGCAGACGTTGAGAACACTAAGCGGGTCCACACTCACGGTCCTCACCCTTCCTTCTAGAAGGTCGAGAGCAAGTAAAAAAAAAAAAAAAAAAACCCTTAGCTGAAAGCGGCAATGTAGACGAAACGAGCGATAACTTCGTATTTTGTCCGAACGGCGCGCATGTACGCACATATGTACGTAGGTATGTAAGTGCTTATGCGGCGCTCCTCCTCGTGATAACTTATTTTCCTACGAAGGCCCGCCTCCGCGGCGCCGATGTTCCGTTTCCCTACGGGCCTCCCCTTTGGGCCTCCCCTTTCTTCGAGTGCCGAATCTTGAGACGGTAGTGCGAATCCTACTGATATCATGTGTGTGTTAAGAGTCGTAGAAGATGGGGGCCGTTGGAAGCAAAAGCTACCTCGACGCCTCGTGGCTGCAGCATAATATGTTTATTTATGCCGCAGACAGATGAGATGGTGCTGATACCTAGGTTTCTTGCAACAACGATGAATCTTAGCTTACTATAATGGACGCGAGATAGCAACGCCTCGGTGTTAATTTCTGTTGATCGTTCTCTGTTATCCATGACTTATATCGGTACAAAGCTACTGAAGCCACAAAGCTCCTGCGCAAGGCTGTTGTCTTGATCCAGTGTGTTGATAGATATAGGTATACCTTATATAATGGTACCTGTGTACATCGTATTATTTCTAGGCATTGCTTTGATCTTGAACGTAGCCCCTTTTCATATTCGTATTAAGAGGGTATCACAGCCAGCTTACACGAGCACTGGATAATGTCCAAGACAATGTATCTAAAGTCACTTGATCACGACGAAGGACATACGTATCTCGGCTTCACGTGCTTTACTTACCTACCTACTTTATCTATCATCATGTTATACGTAGAGTAACATATTGCTAAACCTCCACGTATCATCAACCAATAACCAGCCAACTCACGATTTGCAGAGGACTTCTCTAAATTTTGCATACAGGTTTTTTATATACATTCTTGCCCAACCTGAGCACTATGCTTTACAGGAAGCAGTAAGGTATCTTATCAAACATCTATGTAACCTCTCCCCCTTCACACGATGCTATAATGCCATGCAAATGCAATATGTAAGTTTCGAACTGATATGAGCCCTCCGGCGCCAACACCGAGAATATCCAAATGCGCCCAAGTTGCCTTTTCGCCAGTTCGTTCGTTCGGTTGCCCGTATCATCTTCATCTTATCTTCAGTCTTCCCCCTCCTGGTGATAATCCAATCTAAACCGACTCAACTTAAAAGTATGATCGAATACCACGAAATCAAGGCATTTAGTTTCATGACGAACCACCTCACTTAGAATCAAGCCTCCGCCCCCTCCCCTCCTAACCCGATACCCTTCCTCCTCCCTCTCACCACAGCAAGCAGCGCCCTACCCACCGCCTCCAAATCACCCAACATGGTGATGTGTCCCCTATCCGTGCTCACCCGCCCCTCCTTCACCAGCTCGTAGCCCTCGGGCAGCATCGCCTCCCTAGCCAGCACCACGCCGTCCCCGCTGCGGAACATCAGGTCGTCGTACGCGTCCGCGCACGCGATCTGCTCGCGGGACGTCACGCTGACCGCCCACACCGTCGGCACCTCCTTACCGTAGATGACGGCGAGCGGGGGATACCTGTTCGCCAGCGTGTGCTCGGGCCGGTGCTTGGTCTCCTCGCGGAACCGCTTGGTATCGGCCAGCACGCGCGTCAGGTACGCGAAGTTGGCGGACCGCGATCCCGCGTCCGTGTCCGTCTGCTGCTGAGCGTCGCCTTGCGAGGAGCCCATCTGCGGCGCCAAGGTCCTGTCGGTAGCGATATCGGCCTTGCGCGTCGCTTCGGTGACGATGTTGCGCGTGGGCGATCGGGACTCGCTCGCCGCGCTGTTGCCCCGGCTTCGGAGCGGCGCGGGAAGTCTTTCGGAGAGCTCTCGGAGAGAGGCCAGGGCGCTCGAGCGAGATTTAAAGGAGGGCAGGCAGGGCTCGATACACGGACTCCAGCAGTACTTGACCCACTCCTGGGGGTCGTAGAAGTCTACCGGATATTGCTCTCCCGTGTTTTTGTTAATAAAGCAGAAGCCGTCTTCGGGTAAGAACACGAATGTTGTTCTTAGCGAGAAATTGACTTGCGCCGTTAGAACCTTTTCGTTAAAGAGAACGGCGTCTCCGTTTCGAATCGGCCCTAGGATATTTATACATCGTTGCGGAGTACCGGCATATATCACCCCAGAAAACAGTTCTGGACGTTGATTCACGGCGTGGCGTGTGATGAGGCCCCCAAGACTATGAGCGATTACCATAGCCCCCTTATTGTCGAGTGGATCCTGTCCTTGGTTTGAGGGCAGATGTTCGAGAAACTTGATAAGTCTACGTGAGAGTAAATGAGGACTTAGCCGCCAGTCGTAACCATAATCCCATATCCTAAGCTTTCCGGTCCGGGCGTTCTCACATTCTCTAAGTCTTTTAAAGAGACGTTTCGATATATCGACGGGACCAATATTCTTAAGCATCCCAGAAGCATAGATGGTTTCCTCCATCCTCTCCTCATCCTCTGGATTCGGGCCTACTTCCAGGTTGACTTTTCGAATGTTTAATCCAAGCTTCACGGGTACCCATACTTGTCGATTAGTTCGGGTCGATCTCAACACGGAACCGCGATACCCGCCCATGATGACGATATCGCCTGTTAATAATTCCAACGCGCGGTCCAGATCGGACAAATTGTCATCCCTTGGTGTCGGCGAACTGACTTCAAATATAGTTGACGTACGCGCTCCTCCCGATAAGGATTGGTCAGACTGATCAGGTCCCAGCAGCGGGTTTTTCTTGAGTGGTGCTGGGATAATGTTCGGTAGTTGAGGTAATTTGAAAGTCGGTCTATCCCAACTGTCTGTGATAGCCTTGAGTCTACTATTCGTCTGCTCTCGAATATCCTTCCACCTATCGTCGTCACCGAGAGATGATACCCTTGACAGTGAATGATAAAGCATAGATTCATCAGATGTGGACCTCCTTATAGCTCGTGGACGGATAGGCGGCCGAGATAGTGAAGAGCTCTCAGCATTAGGGATAGATAATGCTACGAGCGATTGTCTGTTAGGCGGCGGCGGTAACTTGCTCCTAGAAATCGGGCCTGGTTCATCAACAAGGAATGGCGGGAATTGCTTTGGCTCAGATGCACTATCATTGGAAAGGGAAGACCTTTTTGCATCTAGACTCGGGCTCTTTGCTGAAGATGGCCCGGAGAAAAATGACTGCAAGGATATAGATGGCATCGACGGCATCGATGGTAAAGCTTCTTTAATCCTCTTTAATGCATCAGCCCCGCCGGACGAAGACCGACGGTGCTTATCCTGTCTAAACACAGTTGACAATACGGGCTTCGGACTACCTGATTCATTCTGCACGACCATCTGCTTCGGTCCTGATTGCCATGGCGACGGGAATCTGTAAACCGATGAATGGCTCGAAGGGAGTTGGCCCAAGGAAAGGCCTCTGGCTTGACGTGTTGATGCCTTGTTCATGGCCACCTGGTGCAACGTCTCGCTCGATTGACCCATCATCGGCGAAGGCTCCGGATCTGGAGTCGCAGTCCCCTCGATGACACTGAATAAGCCTCCACCTGTTACTCGTTCCATCGCCGCAGCTTTTTCCGCTGCGGGTGTCTTCGGCAGCGTGAGCCTCGTCGCCACAGGGCTCAACGCCGGCTGAATAATAGACTGAGCATCATCTTGGTCGATATACAGCTGCTCCTCGTCCGCTGCGCCGTCTGACGTTGGAGACGGCTCTCCGTCCGAGGCTACCAAGCTCGGCGGCTCAATAATGCTTGGCAGGGGCACCCCCTGAGATCGTGTGGTTGTTTTCGCCATGTTGCCCAATCAAATAAGTCGATGTCATTGAATGTTGCGCTTTTCGATTATATTTGAATTATCCACCTGGATACTGTTGATAAAATTTCCTTGGCAGCTCATTTGGTAAATATTTTGGAATTAATAGTCTCTGGAGCAAGTGAAATCGCAAACCGGAAGCTCCGGGGAGGAATTTGTGCAGGCTTTCATATGAAAGCAATTAGTTTAAGTAGCTGAGCTCGTGACTCGGCAGCATTGGGACTACTTGGGACAGGCGAGTGAGAGAAGCCGACGCTAATTGTGGGCAGAAGTGGGTTTATCATATGTAATTCACCAACGCTATCGAAGGCGGCAGGCTCAAATGTTGGATGGTATGTAGATAGCTGTCGAGTTGTCGAGTTGTCTCTGCTGCTTTAGGCCTTTGTTAAGACTGGAACGAACCGGACTTGGCTGTCATCGAATACCTTACATACCTAAGTACCTTACGTTAGGCAACACAATAAATTGACCTAACTTACATATCCTTATGGATATAAGTGTAATTGAATGGTTCCCAGTGGCAATGAGGGATCAACGAAGGAAAATGATTTGAGGAAATTGGCAGGAGGCCGAAAGTCTGGACCCATCTTACTTACAAACCTTGGAATTACCAGGTTCATTCATGTACCTGCCACTAATTATAATTCTTGAACCTTATCAATATAGCGATATACAGCAGTAGTAGCACCCGCGAAGCCACGTACTCTCCTGCCGTAAATCTATGTCCGCCCGATCAGTCCCTTCTTTACCCGGACCATCTCACCGTTCGGGAGTAGCTGCTCAGCGTTCGGTAGAAGGATGCGGCGGGTAAGTACAACCTTGGGAGTTTGTCATCTTTTAATGGGCATGTGCGATAAAAAAGGAAATGTTACTGGCGAATCGGGGCGGTGAAGTATATAACCTTTTAAAAGTACATGTAGCGTATAAGATAGGGTTTTGTTTGGCTTCATGTAATCCAATTGCACAGACTCATATGTATCGTTTGTTAAACAAACATTCCGTTTGGATTGCACTGCAATACGAATTTATTTTGTGTTGAGGTTGGGTCGATTTTATTATTACTATTGTAGAGGAGCGGTCGAAGAATAATGCCAAAATGATCAATGAGATTCGGATCCAGAGACAGCCGCTTGGATGGATCGGCCTATTATTGGGCGCCATTGGATGATTAATGCACGTTGACGAAATCTATCTATCTTCAACAGGCCGGGATGTTAGGTTGACCGCTACTGCAAGACGCACACTCAGCTCCCGCCCCAAACCGCGATCCTGCCATCTCGTCCAATCGGCAGGCTGCATTTAGAATTCGTTTATTCCGAATTTGCAATATCTTCTTATCGTAACACATGAGTAGAGTATGATAGTACGTACGTATCTGCTGTTCGATTGAAACCCCTCAAGATGCAAATTATGACGGGTACTCGGTACTGAGGCTTGAGTCAATTTCCTTGATCTTTTCAACAGACTTCTTATATCCGGGTTGCGCCTCAAGTCTGTCGATGTACGCAAAAAGCTTGGGGAACAATTTCTTGGGGCCACCTGCTTCCCACGTTCCGAATGTCTCAAATTTATCCTTGGCCGCAATCAATGCGAAGCTGATAAGCACATCCGCAGAGGTAAGATCCGGGCCGCATAGGTAATCGCCTCCAGATGTCTCTAGTTGCTGCTCTAGGAAGCCCAGCTGAGCCTTTGCGTTTGGAAGAACCAGGCGGCTGAAGAGTTGGTTGACGACCAAGGATGTTATCGGACGAATGAAGAACGGGACCTGAGGACTTTTAAGTGCGCCTAACACGATTGACATAACGAGCATCGGCATCAGAGAACCCTCGACATAATGCAAAATGTATTGCCATCGCATCCACTGTTCAGTTTCGCCGCCGACTTTTCCTTCCTGGCCTTCCTTCCAGCGCTTAGGCATCATCGTGGTTCCTTGACCAAAGTGTTCGCACAGGTATTGAACTATGAATCCACTTTCGGCCAAAACCATTGGCTCCGTAGACCCCGGAGGTGTGATAGAGATCACAGGTGACTTGCCTAGCGGATGGATCTTCTTCAGCTCCGGCGGGGCAAGCATGTTGACCCGATGAAACGTTTCGAGCTCATAGGGCAGCTTGAGTTCTTCGAGGAGCCAAAGGATGTTTTGAGCGCGAGACTGCTCTAGCCTGTCTGATAGTTAGAATTACTATGATAAGCAGTCGACGCTGACAAGAAACATGAGCGTACCAATAGAGCTTAACCTTCGACTGTTCTTCAGTAGCCATGATTGATGATGCTTAAACGATGTTATGTTGAGAAACGAGATGCTGATTCGGAGAGGATTAAATATCTTTTCATCTAGTAATCTAAGCTGAGGCTGCAGACGGAAGTATTATTTAACGTAAGACTAGGACGGTCATATGTGTAAGATAAATTACCGTGTAATCCACTGATGCTAGCGAAGATGATCCTCTTTTCCTTGAGCCTTGTCAAGCCTTTTAAACTTCTCTGCAATAGCTTTGTCTACCTAGTACTAGCATGAGCCTCTCAGTTGCCGAGGTATTATCGCGTCACGCTAACACACTGTGGATTTGTAAAATGCATCATAGATTTGTCTAGGCATTGATAGGAAACATTTAGATTGAGAGAGAGTATTGGTAGGTAGCCAAAAGCACTTGAGCAAGACATTGTGGCACAATGCATATTCGTGGTACAGATACGTCCGTATATGCATCGTTCGATTGCTCCTCGCTATACGATTCATGCATATCAATATGGTTTATTCAAAGGATACCTATAGCCAACTCGGAACCTTGAATTGGTGTTCTTACGTCAGCGGCACAAAAGCCAGCCAAGCCACACTGTGGCTGAACCCCCCACGTTCTGAAGCCTCAGCCCGTGCGGAACGTCTACACTTAATTGCTTAATTGAAGCTACCCGAATCATTCGCGATTAATTGCAAGATTGCTTGAAACCAATCCTCTAAATAACCTCTCAAAGTGCGCGGCTGCTGCCAAGATCTTTCAAGATGGCTGGCGCAGAACATTACCGTAAGTCTGCTTCCGAGATCCCAATTGCGACAATTGGCAAGTAAGAAAGCTAACAATGGTGATAGGCCTGGCGGCGGATCCGGCCATCCAGAAGCTGGGAAGTGCGTTCACCCGATTCCTCCTCCCTGTCGCATGCGATTACCGTGCCGGGACGAGCGATGCGTAGTAATTCCGGGAGGTAAACCGTCGCTGACTTCCATGTTCAATAGCTATGACCTCGAACCGTCACAAGTACTTCCGATGGACCCCGAGAACCGCTCGTCTCACGTTTGTCTACGCAGTCGTTGTACCCGCTATCCTCGGAACTATTGCCTACAATACAGACGTGAGTAATTCGATATATCGCTGGCTTGGAGGTGGTCCTGGAAGAGCTTCTGACGCGAATCTTAATATATAGGGAAAATTCGATATCCGAGCGAAGAGGAAGGGAGACCTGATTTCCGAATACTAAGAATAGTCTCGAAATCGGGAACGCATGAATGACTGTACATAGGGCTAGGTGCATCACAACAATGAAACAAGAGCTTTGGTCAAAATTACTCTTCCGCGTCTACTGCCCCAAAAATTAGATGCCGTGGAAGAAATATTGCTACATATCAAGAGATGACAATTCAAGTTAGTTACTCTTACGACGTTAGACTAGTACCTGCTTTGTGGTGTGTGTGCTCATTACCCATGATTGGTGAAATGTATATCTTAATATCAGCCGTGATATTCCCAAGCGGATATCTATATGCACTGGTGTTAAGACGATTATAATAGAGAGGCATCTATGGAAGAAAACCGTATGGATTGGATGCTTTACTTCCTCGTCTAGCTGTATTGTATTAAGGTTTATATATCACCTATTGGTTTAAGAGCCTCGATTACTTTGATCAGGCTCTTTGTTTTAGGTTCACAAAACAAAACAAAATCTACATTGTTTAATAGATATAATAGAAATTTGTATATAATACAAATATTCCCATTTGCTGGGCGTTTCGTTAATGTGACCCCAGTAGAGTCTCCGTTCAAAGAATTGTAACAAATTTTTGTAACCTCAGTCCATGCAACCTAACCGCCGAAATCCCAATGCAAAGTCCGAATAGTGCATATTACAAGTATAGAAACCCAGAAACAATATACAGGCAACTGCAGGGGTATCTAATGCAATACTTTTGTTGAATACCTAGATAGATACCATTCAGGTATCGAAATGCATTTGACATCCTAGCCCAGAGAGAGTAATCTGGTTGCAAGTCAAGTTAGTAATCATCATGGAACTAATCACAGACAGGAAACTATATCGATACAATTTGTAAGGTTGGTTAAAATTGATAACTCACTTTGTTATTTGTCCACATGAAAGCATCTATACCATACTGCGTTTCCCCCCTCACCTTCAGGTCCAATTGGCCTCACACCGATCCTCGTGTAGTCTGCAGGACACGTCATCGTATATAGCACCATCATACATCAATATCGTCTTCCTCCTCTACCGCGTCCAACCGGCGGCGGATCAGGTAATCGCTCTCCTCTTCTCCACTCGCCCGATGGTATGCTACCACGGTTGAACCCATCATATCCCCTACCACTATTTCTTGGTCTTGCAGGCCGGCCCTGTCCATTCTCACTTCCTCCGAACGAACCGCTAAGCGGTCGAGTTCTCGACTCGCCAAGCCCGTTCTTAGCGCTAGACACTGGAGCAACGGCTCCATTAGGTAGCGGAGGGAGGACGGCGCAGGATATGAAGTCGCCGACAACAAACCTGGCGTCCGCTAGGGTCTTCTCGCCCTCGGCCTCAGCCTCCTTCTCGGCCTCAATGTCGTCGGGGTCTAGGCCTTTACCTCCGTCACCTATTATTACGCTGCCTAGGTCTTTGACAGCGTAACGAGCTGTCGTGTGACCAGCGGCGTTGTTGCGGGTGTCTGGGAAGATGAGGCGGAAGGCTACCCGAGTGCCTACCGCCGGGTCGGGGAGAAGGTGCGGTTTCGCGGCGGCAATGTTAAAGACAAGCTCGGTTAGGGTGACGTCGGGCCAAGCATGTATAGTTATGTGTGGTGGGAATGGTCCATTAGTGAACTCGTCCGGTCTAGAGTGAGGCTTGCATAAGCTACGAATGGACTGTGAAATATCTTGGGAGGGCCATTGTGCTTACCTGTGAAATGCACCTGTTCGGTAGAAAAGCCGCAGCATAAACGGCGGAGTTGTGTGACGATCCATGGCGATGTTGGTGTGGTATCAATTCCCCCTAAGCTGTAACCCTAAGAACCTTGGAAGGACACCTTCGTAGGGACGAGCCAATCTTCGCTCTCAATTCATGTTGTTGCTACGGGAAGAGGTCGGCTAGCAGAAAAGGTCGGAATGTTAATATATCAGGGGGCTAAATTTAGATCTTCGGTCGTCGAGGCTTCCGAGCCGTGGTAAAAGGAGGCCCAAATCTTTGAGCAGGAGCAGGCGGAGGCGCGAGCTCGGGGAAGCTTCAACGATAAGATTTCAGTATAACCAAACACAATCTCTAGGGGCACTTAAATAAATAAAGTTTAGGGCCCCACCCGCCAATACAACACCACAATTACCCTAGGCTGTTTAGCGGCGTTTACAGTTGTACGGAGTGATGTAATTGGGTGGCATGTCGGTGTTTTCCGTTGAATTCACCGACTCTGGTACTAATCGATAGCTACCCGCCGCTGCCTTCTGTTTTTGCAATTCGTCCATCGAAACTTGCGACTCATCTCATCATTCACAATACATATTGACTGATATCAACCCCAAACATCAGATCATCCAAGCACAAGACCTTAAAGGCTACTCTCTCAGGCCATAGTCGCCATTTACGCTCACCTACAAGCATCCACATTTCACAACTCCAACACCAGCCTCGAACATTCCAGGAGGAAACAAAGCCCCCCATCCGCGACCATGGATTTCGCATCCCTCATGTCCGCCGAGCTCGCCAAAGCCTCGCCCAAGCAACCCGCCGCCGACGACCCGTCCTCCAAAAAATACATCCGCCGCTCCGAAGCCGAGGCCCAGCGCGAGGCCGCCTACCGCGCGGAGCAGAAGGCGCTCGAGGAGAAGCGCGCCGCCAAGGCAGCCGAGAAGCGCAAGCGCGAAGAGGAGGCCGTAGAGGAATCCCGGGCCCGCGAAGAAAAGCGACGAAAGCTCGAAGAAGAGACGCGGCGACGCCGCGAGGAGCAGGTGGCGGAGGAGGAACGGCAGCGCCGGAAGCGTCTCGGATTGCCGGAGCTGTCGAAGCAGGATAGTAACAGTACTGGCAATAGCAGCCGCGAGGGCAGCGAGGCGGCCGCGGACGGCGAGGAAGACGTGCCGGACGCGGAGCTGGTGGCGCGGCTGCGCGAGCTGGGACACCCGGCGACGCTGTTCGGGGAGACGCACCGCGGACGCCTGCGGCGGTACCGCAAGCTGACGACGGTGGTGACTTCGGGCCCGATCCCGACGACGCTGCGGCTCGTCGACGAGAAGGACATGAAGATCTCGGACGCGATACCGCAGGACCGCGCCGGCCGCGCCTACCTGTTCCGCCAGCTGGCCTCGTACTTCACCATGGTGCTGCGGGAGTGGGAGGTGGCGCTCGCGCGCGAGGAGGACAAAGGGGGCCGCGACACGTTCGCCGGCAAGGCCGCCGTCAACGCCATGGTGTCGAGCCGCGAGAACATGGTGCCGCTGTTCCGCAAGTTCGAGAAGGGCGAGCTGGACGACGATGTCCTGAAACCCGTCGTCGAGATCGTGAAGGCGGCCCAGGAGCGCCGCTACGTCGACGCCAACGACGGATACCTGCGCCTGAGCATCGGCAAGGCCGCGTGGCCGATCGGAGTTACCATGGTGGGTATCCACGAGCGAAGCGCGCGCGAGAAGCTGCACGACGGCGAGAGGGGGCATATTATGAGTGACGAGGTTACGAGGAAGTACTTACAAAGCATAAAGAGATGTCTCACTTTCGCGCAGGTGCGCTGGCCTCCCGAAGATATTAGACAGCTGATGGGATAGTCTGGGAGAATAGAACTCAATATGTTCATGAACTACCTGCCTACCTAGCAATGGGTATTCCGCGAATTCCATCCCCCCCCCCCCCAACAGATATCAAGGCATTTAGTCATAAGCTCGTACAGTCTTCCGTAAAGGTCCCAATGCAATGCCCGTGACTCCTTATCCTAACTCCTAAGGACTACTCCACCTTTGTGGCTCCATGCCTGTGTCGCCCATGTCCATCTTTCCTGTTTGCAATTCGTTAGACGAGTTGGTGTCCTCGCTTCCTGACAGGTCCATGCTCAATGTTCTTCCATAGTCTCGTCGTCCCACTCTGGCAATGTTTCCTACGCTACTTCGGCAGAGTTAAACTCCAGTCTTCTAGAGTCCTCCGGCCAGCCGTCGCCTCCTTTCCGGGAGCCCTTGACTTCGAGATCAGCCGCTACAATGTTCATTCGTCGAATTCGCTCGATAGCTTCTTTCTCATAGTTGTTAGCAGCATCTAGAGCCTTCTTCTGCATAGCAATTCGGGCGTTGTTGGATACGGCGACGAGGAGCTAATCCCAGATATTAGCAACACATTACCAATTTCAACAAGCATGCACTGACTCACCTTGTCAATGGTATTAATGCGGGCATTCAAAGCTCCATTCTTGATCATTTCGACAAGCTCTGGCTCGATAGACTCCCCGGGTTTGGCGAAGGTTGCGTTCAAGCTGTCCAAGGTAACGCATGAGAATGGTAGGAAATACTGAACGATACACTTGCTGCGAATCTGCGAGAAAATAGCAGAGGCGTGCTTCTGGAGATATATGTCAAGGAGATAATCGTTTGCGTACGACTCGATTATCTCCAAGCAAGAGGAGTATCGTCCGTTGACGAACATGGAGACAGCCTTGCGGATATGTGGCTCTAGTTCCAGGAAGCTTCTGAAGCTGGAATTATCTAAAACTCGAGACTGTAACTCCACACGGTCCATCGAAGCGAGCGCCAGAAGCCCACCATACGTAGCAATGTCATTTGGACTGACAGTGTCGTTGTAGCGTTGACAGTTAGTCGGATCGCTAATCTCAAGGAAGCATCTAGCCGCTTCGTAAAACTTTCCGAGACCAAGATGTGCTAGACCAGAAACTATCTTCTGGTAGGGCTGCTCGGCGTTCTGTTCATCGCTGCTGGTGACATTTACCGCCAAGACCTTGTTCACATTGGCCAACACGCCGGCCCAGTCTCGCTTTTGAAGCATGATGCTGACAACGTGCTTGCCCACATCTTGAATGTGCGACTGGGTACTAGCGTCGGGCCTCATCTTGATGTAGTACTCCGAAGCAGCGGTCAGCTCACCAACGGATTCTAAGTGTTCGCCGAGATCACGATGACCAATCTGTAAACATTAGCATGAAATAACTCCATGGCGTTGTCTGCTTAGCTCCGACGCGAACCCATACCCTTATGCTTTCCTTGACTAGGTTGTTTTTGTAACCCTTAAGTTCGGTTTCCATCCGAAGCGTTTCCGCCTTATTTGCCCGGTCCGTCTTAGTTACCCAAGCATCATCCCATCTGGCCTCAGGCTCGTCCGGCGCGGCAAGTCGGATGCATTCCCAGGCATCACGGTATCGTTGGATATCTTTCCCACGCTTGGCTTCGGCTACGGCAGCCTTCAGGGCATCGACGCATAGGGGTACAGAGGATTGGCCGATCAACAATAATCGCTCAAAACGAGTGCGGCCTAATTGAACAGAGGGTTAATACCTGTTGTTGAGGGCTAAGGACGGTGGGTATATAAGGAATGAAGGAGAGAACGAGGTGAGCTGCAAACGACATGAAGGACGAACCTCTGTAGTTGGAAATGTACAAATCAAGATCCAGCTTCGGGGCATCTACAATGTGTATTACCATATTAGCTTCTTTTCACAAAAATTATTCAACCCATGCAACTAGACCTCATACCTCTGACGATAATACCACCCTGGTTATCCATGGTGGTGAAGTAGGTGAGCAGATTCTGTTCGGCCGCCATGCTGCCGACGCTGAGTGATCGCAGCCTAACGTTGAACTCGTCTTTTAAAGCGACGGTCTTGTCTCGGAATAGAGTATGAAGAATGGGTGTTCGTATGAAGATGATAGTTCTAGTAGTAAACTCACTACTAGGTATGTATCTGCGTAGGAGGGATGCACAAGGTATGATGTACGACGATGCAGGTAAACGGTTGGATAGATTGAAGGTCTAGGTTCAGGTAGGGTCCAATAAGCCGAGTCGTTATTTTGGCGGGGTAGCTTCTATGGGGAACCTTGGAACTTCAACTTCCAAAATTCTAAATTCCATAGCAGTTTTAACCGTCGCCTTATCGCGTATCGGATTTTCACATGCCGTGAATCCCATTGGGTCAAAATCCAGGTACACGGGTACGTATTAAGCTAGCGTGCGCGTAGGGCTTAAGTGGGGTTAGCTTATTAACTGAGAATGTTTTAAGGTTGAAAGTGCGCTGCGATTCGTTGAATGCGACCTCATATCTCTTTTTAAGCATCTTGCTTCATCTTGCTTCTTTTTACACGAACTTTTGTCTAGTTTTCACGCACCGCCAGTTTGAAGGATGAATAAATCCCCGTTGTTCAAACCCGTACAATATTTTTATCGTATATCACTTCCCACGAGCGAAATCTACGAATTAAGTGGTGTTAATCAGAAACGACTCAATCTCTTTTCTTCCATCTATACCACTCCAGACTCATCAAGCTACCAACTAATTTGAACCGAGCAATTCAAACCCGATCGATGTTCAATCATCTAGACATAGCAAGCAAAGGTGTATAATTCAAACAGGAAGGTTGGACCATGCCTTTGTCTTGCAGATAAAAATCCTTTGGAAGGGCTAAGCCAGCCGCTCAAGTAAATTCGAACACATGTGTTGAACCATCCAGCCAGCCCGCCAAGCCATTATTCCCACTGCTTGAGGCTCTATGGAGAAACGTATGGTACGTGTGTAATCCATAGCAAACCTATTCCCGCCCACCGGAAAATGTGGGAAGAATTAGGCTCCGATTATTCAAGGAGGCCTCAATCTATTATTCAGTACATACCGACATTAAATACCCAGGGGTGTTTGGAGCGGTTCATTCTACCTGGTAGACTACATGAGTAGGTACTAAACCGGTTAAGAAGTTTTAGATTAGGATGCGTTACGAGTATACGAGATATGAATGATATGGTAAAGTGTATACTTCGCTCTCTATTAAGCATGATAAGCAGTAAACATATGAGCATACATAGGGAAGTATTCGTCAATCACTGCAATGACTAGTGATGACCAATTCGAATCAATTATCAAGAGGCCGTCCTCTCCCCCCTAGCGGCCAGAATGAGAAGCATGTCGCGAATAGCGCCAAGCTTCAGGTCTGGGCTTGGACGGTGACGTGAGCTCCAATCATCGCGTGTTCCGATTGATAGGAGCCTTGTCGGTGGAGAGGGCCAAGACGACAGCTGTGCCGGTTTTCCGAGTCCCAAGTAACTCTACCTCAGTAAACAACGGCGTTTAATGAACATGAAAAGTACTTTACTGTAAACGGGCAATGCAACGCCGCATGGGGTTGAGGAAAATGCTGAGGAATGAGGCTTCTCGTTAGGTTGCGGACGTAGGTAAACCATCGATATCTTAACAGACATCTGTTTTTACTTTTCGGATTCTTTTATATATGGGACTAACAAACTTCGTCCTACGAGTAGGAGAATTGCTTGGCGGCCCGATCTAAGGCATGCCAAGACCGCCATGGGCTCCCCGCGTAAGTGACCCATCACTTTGCACCTGCAATGACACCCCATGTTCCTGGCCAGTAAAAACGTGATTAGTTAGGTGGCAGGTATGATGTCGTCGACGCGCTAGGAGGCCGCCGTTGCAAGAAAGCCCATAATACCTAGTATTCGTATTTATCTACACCAGCTTCGTAGAAGTTTCTTCGAATCTAACATCGAGGCTAGCAAAATGCTACGGCAGATTCTTCCTACATAGCATATCAAGTTATCATATCATCGAGTAAGAATGTAACATATAGCAGAATACACAAGCCACAAACATTGGGGTTACAAGCTACTCATGCAGCTCATGGCATTAGAAACTTAACAACTAAGAAACTTAGGGATTCAACTGCTAGGGTCTAGGAAGAAGTGAATGAGCTCGAAGGTCATAATTAAGCAACTTCAGCCTCGTACGTAATGAAAGGGGTTAAGTAACTTCCTGTCATCAACTTCATGTAAGTAATCTTTCAACACCGAGACAGACCCGAAGACCAAGCTACCTCCTAAGACAATTGATACACCAGAACCTACCTGATTTCAAGTATGGTAACAAAAGTGCTATGCATGATTGCTCAAGAATGAATGATCTGAGTTTGTCGGGTTGTTATAATGATACTGCTCTCCTAAATAAGCTTGGGAAAAATGATAATCTGTATATTGTTGTTGACCTACATAGTACCTAGTAGGCAATAAAGCTCAGAGGCCTCCAGTTGTATCCACGGTCACATATAATGCGATGGGGACATGTAATTGGAAATGAATGCTCCAGTATAAAGACACCAAGCCTGACCTACATGTGAGCTTACACAAAGGGCGGGATGCTGCTTTAACTCGATAACAAAAAGAATAGCTTTTGACGACAAGCAATGACTGCCCATGGTGTCGATAAGTTTAAATGGTTAAACTAATGTTATTGACGATACGTATAATAACCTATAGATCTTCTACATATGTTCTCTTAGTGTTTATACATATCTATGATCTAACATACGCCCAAGATTCTTTGAATATGGTATCCGAGGAGATACGCATGTATGTAATGGAGTCACAGTCATGTAAGTGAGATATTGATATCCATATTTGCTTTTTATATGTACTATGTATCAACCGCTGTGCCTGTTTAGGTTGATGTATCTTAGATATACACGTACCTAGGTATGTATTATGTATGATCCCCATTGAACCTGCCATATCTTGTCCGTCGTGACTCGTGCTTCCCACGCTGTGCATTTCCTTAGCATTTCCCGGTTGCATGTACCTGGGTAGCTCGTAGCTCAAAGCTTCGGCGGCCCCGCGCCTACTTTGCAGAGCATCTCCCAATTGTCCCATGTCCTGGATGTCCCAATTGTAGGTACCTACCCCTACCACCATCCATGTGCGCCTTACATACAGGTACATATGTACCCACCCCCAAGCCGTTTTGGCCGGTTCTAGTCCATCCAAGTCCAACCAAGTCCACCTAACCCAAACACTCTCAAGACCCTATTGTAAGAACCTAAGGCCTGAACTTGACCTGGACCTCAATCTTTCTAGAAAGCCATCCCCACTTGAGCCACCACGTCTTCCTGAGCGTTCCATCGTCTCTCCCCTTGAATGAAATGCCTCTAGGGCCGAATTGACTCTGCACTTCCGCCAACTTCATCACCTCAAGTGCTACTCCTCTAATATCAGAGGGGGAAAGAGAGATATCCCGATATCCTAGTCCCTAATCCTGCATCAGATATTCAAACCTCCCGGGCCTTAGTCAGTATCGGCTTCTATTTTCCCAGCCTTGGACATCCTTGGACCTCCTTGAACATAGGACCGATCGGGTTCTTCCGACCACCTTGCTTTCATTTGTTTTCTTTTTTTCTTCATTTCAATTCAATCTGATCTGTGTCTCCATCCGTCACCCACATTCACCACAAGACAAACAGACGCGACAAATCTTCGCTCGGTAGGTAAGGTATTTTCCATGGTATTTTCCCGGCACATACCCTCGCCCGCTGCAGCGCTGTAGCCCTGCAGATGCAATCTGTCTCTCCGAGATCCAATCCTCTTCAGCCAAACAAGAGGAGAAAGAGAAGACTTTACCCCAGGCATACGTAATAGCGAGACTAGCCTTACCTAGCGCTTTGGGCCCTACAGAGCTCAAGTGCTATTTCACAGGCCTAATCTTGGCAACTCGCGCACTCTGTGTGCTATTAGGTACTGCTACTACCTGTGTGCGTTACCTACATCAGCCACCAACTACCTATCACACCCCGGTCTTACCTTACTTGACCTACACTTTTTTTTCTTCTTCTCTTCGATCAGCAATGCACAGATAACAATTATCTCTACTCTTTTCCTTTCCTCTACCCTATCGCTTTACTTTCGAATCATTTCTTGGTCATAGTTCAATCCACTCATTTAATCATTGCGCTCGTTTATGAGGGTTCAATTGGACCGAATCCCTCATGTGAAACTAACATATCTTTATATAGATATCTTCATTTCTGTGCTCCGCGTCTTAGCATTCGTCAATTTATGAACGTTTCATCTAGGAGCAGCGAGTAACTTTGAAAATGCGTCGGGAACATACGCCTTATCCCTCGGACAAGTGAAGAAATTGAGAAAGAAGGTGACGACAACGGTCTGTTTTTCATCTTGTCGAGAAGGGTGCCATCTTCGGCACCCACAACCAGCCGGCTATGTCTCCTCTTTCTCGCTCTTCACAGCCTCCGGCGAATCGCGCAGCATCTGTAAAGCCCGAATCTGCACAAAGCCAAGCCTCCGATGATGAGGATTCTGTCTTGCAAGCTCTAGCGACCGAGTCTCCTGCTGGTGACACCCCGGCGTCTGGAGCTCAAGGGAACCGCGCTGGGAGTGCCAGCGAGTCCTCGTCTATTCCTCTCCAGAAGCGCCGGAGGGTCACGCGCGCATGCGAGTATGTAAATTCAAGCCAACCCCCCCTTTTGATATCTTTGTCGAGCACAACCGTTTTCATGAAAATTATATGAAGTCGCATAATACTCCGAAGCTTAAATACCAATTAGCAGCATGACCGCTAACTTATTTTCCTAGTGAATGTCGTAGGAAAAAGATCAAATGCGATGGCAAGCAACCGTGTACTCATTGCCAGGTGTATAGCTATGGTAACCTTTACATTCTCTAATTTGCTATTTCCTAGCCTGGCTGATATTTTCCCCTTAGATTGTACCTACGATAAGCCTTCTAATAGGCGTAGAAATCCAGCGCCGCAATATATAGAGGCGCTGGAAAATAAACTATCCAGAGCAGAAACGTTGTTGCGCAAATTCATGCCGGATGTCGACCTTAACGACCCAAGTCTGGATCCTGCTGTTCAACAAGAATTCCGTATCCGTGAGCAGGCTAGAATCCGGGCTGCTGCAACCAAGGGAAAGCAGTCTGGTTCGTCATCCTCCGTGGATGCCCAGCTGCATTCTATGATCGAAACTGTTGGCCAACTCGACCTCGACGAAAGGGGCGACTATGATTTCCACGGAACCTCCTCCGGATCGGTCTTCTTTAAGAGAATGAAGGACCATTTCCGTGGTCTTCTGGGCAGAGACTATCAAATACCATTCCTTCCCCGTCCACCCCGACCTACCGGCATTGTTACTCTCGATTCTCCCACGCCGAGGTCTTCGTCCAGCTCGCGGACGCCTCAGAATCACGGCGCGAATAGATATGATTTACCTTCAAAAGAAAGGGCACTCGCGCTGTGCTCTGAATCACTCCATAATGCGACATGTCTCTTGCGAATCGTCCACATCCCTTCTTTCTATGCAATGTTGGACGAGCTCTATGAAAAACGGGCAGGTGCATTTGGAAAGGAAGACAAAAGGAGTTTAGCACTCGCATATTCTGTCATGGCACTCGGCTGCATGTACAATATGCCCGACGATAACGGCTCGGACACCCCGCCTTACAAAGTTGCGGTCGACGAAGCGTAATATTATAGCCCCTCCTACGAGATTCATAGCTCAGGTCAACTAACTTGTGGGTTTTAGGATCAAGTATTATAGCACGGCAAGGATGCTACTGCAGGATATTACTGAGTGTCGAGATCTGACGTCGCTTCAAGCGTTGCTCTTTATGATACTATTTATCCAATCGATATCAAATCTAAGCACCTGTTATGGCTTTGTCGGGATTGCCTTACGATCCGCTCTGAGGATGGGCTTACATCGACACCTACCACACATCAAGATAAATCCCATAGAAGCCGAAACGAGACGAAGAGTATTCTACATATGTCGACAAATGGACACTTACGTGTCAGCACTGCTAGGTTTTCCGTTACTCCTCAATGACGAGGATATCGATCAACCTTTACCGACTCCCGTGGACGACGAATATATCACGAAGGACGAAATACTCGTCCCACCTCCGGGGACGCCCTCCTTCTTCGAAGCTTTCAACGCTCATGTGAGGTTAATGGATATTCTGAGTAAAGTTGTAAAGAATATTTATCCATTGAAGAGCATTGATCAGAACGAGGCTGAAGGTGTTGGAGAACCCTATGCATCCTACATGATCAGTTACGGGAAAATCAAAGAAATGGAGAAAGAACTTCAAGGGTGGAACGAGGACTTGCCATATACTTGGCGGCCGGATCCTGAAGGTCCTGTCGAAGTTGTCCGGTAAGAACCCATATTAAATGAAATCATCCCTGAGTTTTACTAAGCAGTGTTCTAGAGTGCGAAATCTCCTGAGGTTTACTTACGCCCATGTGCAGATGGTGTTATACAGGCCATTTTTGCATTACGTTTCCCCGCGTATCTCTGCTGGTAAGGAAGTGAATGAGCGTGCGTACGCCTGTGGAGCTGCTGGTATCAGCGTCGCCCGGAATATCGTGCACATTGGAACAGAAATGCGGAAGCAAGTTCCTCTTGTCGGGCCTTATTGGTTTACCCTTTTCACCGAATTCTTCGCCATCATAACCTTGGTCTTCTTCGTGTTGGAGAACCAGGATAAGTCTGGATCTATGGAGATACTTGCGGATGCTGTCGCGGGCAAAGAGATGATTAGTGAACTTTCCGGGAAGAGTATGGTTGCGGACCGCATATCAAGCTCTTTAGTGGTAAGTTGGGGCTTCGTAAGCGCGCTGGTGTTATGTCACTAATCTTGAGCAAGATGCTTTTTGACCAATTACCGGATAACCTCAAGCAAGTGAAAGCACGGACCGTACCGTCTCGAAAACGGCCCGCGTCAGGGGCGTCGAAGGATAGTATCAACACCCTACTGGCACATCCTTCGATATATTCCACTGAGTCAATAAACCCTCAATCCGATGCAACTAGTCGATCTCGGGGTATTTCGTCGAAAAAGGCCGGGAAGGCTCCTGCTAGGCCCATCCACCAAGATATCTCAATCAACGACTCTCCTTTGCCGCAGCCAGAGCTCGGCGGCCCATTTTCTTCCGGTTTCCAGTTTTCGCCGTTAGATTTAACAATACCGTCCCCCGGTTCCGTGACTGCCGCAGCCTTACATGAGCCTAGTCCGATGGATTTGCAGCACCAGGAATTCAGCGCCGGTAATCCGATCCACGAGTTGGATGCGGTGATGTTCCCCTCGGATGATCCCTTGGCGTATCCCAACCAGCCTCAGGTCGACTTTGGTACTCACCAAAGTAACGTTGCCGATAATAGCCCGGGGGACCTGTCACACCACGACCCTTCTCAGTTTTACATACCTAATTTTTATGAAGGTATCGAGGGGCAACTTATGGGACCACTACCTCCATATTTAATGCAATCGCAGGCTCAGCCAGGATTCAACTTCCCAGCCCAGATGTACTCGGACCCGATGCTCCTGCAGATGCACGCTATTGAGCACAGGCCCTCGCAGCCGCAATCTCATCTACAGTCGGGCCAGTCACGCTCGGTGCGGCGACGGGGCCAACAATCGGGGGATATGGATGGGCTACTGGCCAATACGTCGTGGCATGGATCGTTTTCCCAACATGGAATGGACTAGGTTTATGAATAGAGAAAGGATACCCCTCTGCATGTGTGTGACACTGGCATATCTGCGAATCTTTGCTTCTTAGACGACCGAAGGTTTTTGGAGTTTGGGGGGGAATCAAAAAGCAAATTATTGCTTGGCGGTGCCGGTTATGGGCCCTTTCATATTCCGGATGGCAATTTTTCGTAATATGGATGTTATGCTAAAGAAAACAAGGTGCTCGAGGTTTGCGTCGAGTCTCGTTATCTCGACGACAGCGGCAATGGTGATCTTAAGATATTCGGCGGGATAGTGCCTCGCCACTTATTACGGTGGAAGATGTACATACATAGATCGGCGCGAGTCAAACGCACAGCTTGACAGGTATGCTATTCTACACGTTATTTTAATGAAGGGTGGTGTCGGAGGTGCGTATTTGGTGATATCAGGACGGGCCATCGTAGCGATCTCGCTCATAACGCATCATAAACGATGCTCGCCTAAGCACTCCATATGCCCAACCTTTGTCGGTTCACGTCCGATGCAAAACAAGAGATGAACAGATGGACGAAGCGGCGGAGTCGAGAGGAATTTTGTTGGCCCAGTAGGTGGAGAACAAGTGGGCATATCGGCGTAGAAGTATGTTTTCCAAGAAGCGGGATCTCCAGTCCCATCCGGTTCCATCAGGTCCCATCAGACAACCCCTGCCCCTTAAGGTATTTCGGGCTGCCTCAGGGGCTGCACGACGGCCTTACTGGAGGTCATTTGGTCTGGGAGGGTCTTCAGTGTTTCGAGTAATTATCCATACCGCACGTGTAAAGTAGCTATAGGTATTTTGGCCAGACGCGAACCGTACTCCGCCACGTGAGACCGCTCCAACCAGGCTGAACCAGCTAAGCGGCTGCATAAGCCCATGTCGCCAAATGAGATCACCGCCTTAACGATTCGATACGAGCACGCCCGGGGGTTACCTAATCGCCGAACGTGTACAACAATCCCACCCCACCGACGATGCTGTCGTTGCTCTACTCGTTGGAAAAACAACAAACATCAGGAAGAGAGAAAGTCAGTCAAGATGGAAGCTATAGATATAGACCACGACCTGGTGGTCGTCGAGGAATTCGACGCTCTGTATGTGAAAACGCCATCCCAGATTCCCATTGCTAACATTAGCAATACCCTTCCGTCCTCATGCCGTCTCCTAAGATGGATCCCCATACTCACACTCACAACCACAACCACAACTTCCGGGATCACGTCAAGTGCAGGACAAAAAGCCTCCTGCAAAGCGCAGTGTCGGCCGCCGTCGCCGTTGCCTTGACCATCCCTTTTATATCTAAATTACCACTAACCGATGTGGCCCGCAGATCTGTCGAGGTCAACAACGTTGCGGAATTGGAGGCTAAAGATGGCGAGGGTCCGAAGAGATATCCCGGTGAGTTGAGAGTCTCTACGTCTTATTCCCTCGAGTTGCAGGTCGGCTCCATGATCCATCTTCTAGGACTATGCATCAACCGTCTCGAGACTTGTAATTCATTCCATACACTCACTTGTTTGCGGCTTCAATGTTCGGGCGGTGAAGCCTAGGGGTGACCCTAGACCCCTTAATCCTCATCCTCAATCCTCAATCATCCCGCCTCTCCTAGTCCCCTTTATAGATCGAGCAGTGTAGCATGTGCTGAGCTATCTCATCTTAACTCACCGTATTCCATGCCCGAACAAAAATCATTTCAATTGTCCGTCACAGTATTGACATTGCCTTGCTTTGAGTTTTTCAATTTGCTTCCCGAGCTTCATAAGTTTGAAGGGATATTCTAACCATGATTAGCGAAACAACACGCGAGGAAAGTTGCCAAAGAACTTGGCACCGACAATGGCCTCATCTACTTGCCCGGCCAGCTAGAATCGACATGGGAAGATTCGGATCAGGGACCGCCGTTTCGGCAGCGACGGTAGTAAGTATCCTGCACATTCATCCAACGGGATCAACCCATATATATACATATACAGCAAATACTGACCAAAGCACCTAGTTTCTACTACCTGACCGGAGCAGACTTCCCTGGTTGCAGCGTCACATACGACATTGCGGCGGATAAACTTACTCTGTGGGTTCCGTTTACGCCTCCCGCCACCATTCTCTGGTTCGGGAACACGCCCTCGCCCGACGACTGCCTCTCGCAGTCCGACGTCCACGATGTCAAGTACGTCGGCGAGCTAGCCCAGTACCTCAGCGCGCGTCTGGCTACCGTCAAGACGCTGTACGCGCTGCGGCCCTCGCAGCTGCCCAAGTTCGAAGGCTTCGAGCAGATGCGGCCGAGCCTCAAGATCGACGTCTCGTCCCTGCAACCCGCCATGGACGAGGCGAGGCTGATTAAGAGCGAGTACGAGGTCGCCATGATCAAGAGGGCCAACGACATCTCGTCGAACGCCCACCGCGTCGTCGCTAAGAAGGCGGCTGCCTTCAAGAACGAGTGCGAGGTCGAAGCCGCTTTCATCGCGGCCTGCACTGCCGCCAATGCGAAGACCCAGGCGTACCCCGTGATCGCGGGTTCCGGACCTAACGCTTCGACGCTGCACTACGGCGCCAACAACGAGTCGCTGATCGGCCGGCAGCTCGTAGTGCTCGATGCTGGGGCTGAGTGGTCGTGCTACGCCAGCGAGGTGACGCGGACGCTACCCATAGGCCCGCGCTCGCAGTTCACGCGCGAGGCCCGCGCCGTATACGAGCTCGTGCACCGCATGCAGGCCGAGTGCATTGCGCGCATCAAGCCCGGCGTCGTCTTCCGCGACCTGCAGCTGCACGCGACGCTCGTCGCCGTCGAGGGCCTGCTCGAGCTCGGCGTGCTCAAGGGCGGCACCGCGGAGGAGATCTTCAAGAACGGCACGGGCGCGGCCTTCTTCCCGCACGGCCTGGGCCACCACGTCGGCCTCGACGTTCACGAGTTGGTTTCTTCTTCTTTATTCCCCACCCCGATTACCCCCTTCAAACCCGTCCCCTTCCTTTCCTCGAGGCAGGACGCGAACGCGCCCGAGCCTCCTTTCCTTTGTCAGAGTCGTGATCGTCGTCGTAGTAGTATAACTAGTCAGAGAAGTGGGCTAAATGTGTTTCCTAGCGTTCTTAGCAGAGACCTCCTGAGGCCCGCCGGCGAGGGCATGTGGGGCAAGCGAAGGCCCATCGGCCCCCAGAGCGTGCGCGCCATGATCAAGCAGGCCGCGGCTGAGGCGCCGCCTCCTCCTCCCGCGTCGACGAGCAGCACGACGATGAGTAGCGGTATCTCCCAGCAGCAACAACAACAACAGGCGACCACCACGCCGCCAAGTTCACAAGACGGGACCGCACCACCCCTACCCCCGCGATCCATCCCGTCTCCCATCCCCGAGGCAGCCCCATCAACACCACAACCCAGCTCCCCCGCGTCGTCGTCCAACGGCTCGCCGACCCGCAACGGGCCCCCGAGGACGTCTACTTCGTCGCCACCCTTCGCACCTCCGAAGCGCGCCAACACCATCACGCCCGCGCAGCTACAAGAGCTATCGCAGAACCACCCTCCCGCACAACTGCAGCCGCAAAGACAAGCCTCGCACCACTCGCACCATCATCCACACCACCAATCCCAATCGCAAAACCAAAACCAAACTCAACAATCACAAATCAAGCGCAGCAACACCAGCGCAAGCACAAACGCAAACACAAGCAACAGTACAGACAACAAGAAGAATGCGGGCGCGGGTGCGGGGGCAGGAAAGCGGGCGACGCACAACACGCTGCAGCCGCAGATGATCGTGACGGTGGAGCCGGGGGTGTACTTCTGCAAGCCGTACATCGAGGCGTACTTCCTGCGGCGCGAGGAGCACGCGCGGTACATCGACCCGGCGGTGCTGGACCGCTACTGGGGCGTCGGCGGCGTGCGCGTCGAGGACTGCGTGCTGGTTACCGATACGGCGTGCGAGGTGCTTACCACGGCGCCCAAGGGGAACGAGTTGTTGCGGATGATGGGGTATGCGTGAGGTTTGCGGACCTGCCTACCTAGATGCAGATTCTTGCGTGGCAAGGTAGGTAGGTAGGTAGGTACGAGATCTACGCGTCTATATACCTACGCGACTACACACCTACGACCTCATATACCTGCATACTTCAATGGGTATATATATATATGCCGGAGAGGAGATGACAGGGTGGGGAGAAACATACATACGTACATACACACATACACGACTTGACGTTGCAGTTGATGTATACGATGAATGAAGTGGAAAGGGGGAGGGGGCTCACGAAGGGACGGGGTGAAGAGAGGAGGAGGGGATGGATGCATGATGACAGCATACTAGGCGTTCGTTTTTTTATTATTCTTCGTTTTCTTTTTCTTTTGTTCACTTTTTCGTCTAAAAAAAGCGATGGAAACATTTATTTTGCATTGGTCTGGAAAGCATATAAGCATGAAGCATAACTTGTACTGTATCTCGATGTATTTCTTTTCTTGCTTTCATGCTTTTTTTTTTTTTTTTTTTGGTTTTGGTTCTCTTCTACTTGGTCTGCATACGGATTATTTAGGTCGTCTGGAGTTGCTTTTTCTCTTCTTCTTCGATATCTTTGGCACTTTTTTTTTTAAATGAAGAGGGTTTCAGGACCTCTAATTTACTACACATGCGTACTGCCGTATTTCACACGATCTATTTGTTAGCTTCTTTTTTGCGGCGGTGTCCTGGTTACCACATCAGTAGATAGATAAAAACTCACCTGCGTGAAGCTACTTACACATAGTAGTACACTACATACATATTACATATTAGTTCAGGGCAAAAAAGAACACGCTTCCAAATGGTTCAAATTCATGCGCTACGGAAAAGACAAGCAACGATGCCACATTTAATCCCACATCCATGGATCCAAATACTTTTTTTATACAATGCCCTACGCCGCATCTCGCCCGATTACCGAAGCCGAAGTCTGTCTAAACGATTACCCCTAAGTGATCAAAGTAACTATTTATAGGTACTTCTTGGGAAGGGTCTTCTTCCTCTCGTAGTAGATGTAGGCGGCCACTATTAAGATCTGGCTTCCGATGATGACGAATATGAGCTTTCCGTGTCGTGGAGCAGCTTGGACGGCCACGTGTTCCAACATATTGCCATGGTTGGTGCCTATGAAGCTCTTTACTGCGTGCTCCGAGTCTTTGACCTTAAGGTTGATATCGCTTCGCATGTCGCGTAGATCTCGCTGTAGCTTGGTGATCTCGTTCTGAAGTGACTCAAGCCTATCTAACTTGTATAACAACTGTTTAACGTCGTTGATGGCCTTCGAAGTCTCCTCATGTCTCTTTTCGCCAACATTATTCAAACCCGCGACCTGCCGGAAGATACTTGATAGGTGATGGTTGGTGCTTTGTATGCGGTTGTGGAGGTCTGCGAACTGAGCCTTAGAACTCGTGATAGCATCAGCATTAGCATCAGGAATAGAATCGTCGAACGGATCTGCGTTGCCATTGCCATTGCCGTTGCCGTTGTTCTGGTTAGCCTTGCGGCCGTAGCTCGTCTGTGCTTGCGCTTGATTTTGCATGGGTTGTCCTTGCTGTTGCGGAGGCGCATCATGCTTAGCTTCGAGGTTCTCGGTCATGGTCACCATCTTGAATATCTCAAAGGAATCCGGGTTATCTCCTGCCGCGGCCGTGATACCAAAGTAATATCCAGGCGGAATAGTGATCTTATCGCTCTCGAAGCATAGCCGACCATCCACCTCGACTTTGAACACTTGATGTGTCTGTCTAAGCTTAATTTGAGAGGGTCGACCTAGGTTGCGGTATGGATAATTGCAGTGCCCAAATGCTAGGCTGTCGACGCTCGTATGCGCCTTGAAATCGGTAGTTCCGTCATTTAGGAAACCCCTGATCATTCCACCCGAACCGCCGTGCTGGTCGATAACGAGGGCCAAACCATCAAACCTGTTGACGGTATAAACGCTGGATGAACCAATTTCTTGGTTTCCTCGCCTTGCAAGCCAGATGTTGAGGTTACCGCTCCCCCTCTCAGGTCCGTTCACCCGGAAGTCGACGTCAGCTACCCACGTTTGATATTTGTTTTGTTGGTCAGCCCATATCGCGCCTCGAGTGTTACCGGGATGTGGCGGCGTTAGGATGACTTTATTGGAGAGGACTTCGGGGACGTCTGGGGTGCCCTGTATGGAGAAGCCTGGCACGGTTGCTTGGCCTCGATCGTTTATTCTATAGTCGAATTAGTCCCTAGTATCGAGAGATATATCCATTGTAAAAAAAAAAGCATACCGGCCAGTGTAGCCAAAGCTCAGCTCGTTGACAAGGAATTGTGCCTGCGCATCGACGAGCTTCGCAGTTGTAGCCAACCCAAAAGCTAGGGTTGACGATTGGAACAAACGCATTCTGAATCCAGGAATAGGGCAAAATTAACGAAGTAAGACGATCTTGAAACTTTTGAACAGGGTATATTGGAGGATAAATTGAGGGATTAGTCTTTTCCTTGGTGGTAGGAGAATGCGAAAAGTCAGTAGTATTTCAAGGGAATGTTCGTGATATTCGTGATGCTCGTTAGAGGACACTTTGCACCAAGCTATTTCTAGTTCCTATGGCGTAGCTCAGGATATGTGGGGAGCTTAATACCCAAGAATTGGAGTAAAGAATTAAGGAGAGACAACCGTTGGAACCCTCCTATTTCAAGTAGAAGCACTGAAGAGCATTGGCCATGAGGAAAATGAAGAAAATGCGGCGTAGGCTATTAGAAGATGGGAAACGGGAAAAAATAAAAAAGAGCATCGACAAACAGATTATGCAAGGTGGACAGTTCTCAAAATCCTCAGCCTTCTCAAGTTCCCCGGATAGGGTGCAGCTGTGTAGCAGTTTTAGTCCAAAGCTAAAGAAGCTTGAAACCGTCGGTACCTGAGTACCTCCTTCACGCTAGCGTCGCTGCGACATGTCGAGTACCTTGTACTTAACCCCTGCTTTGTGTTATGTCAGGGTATGGCGGGCAAGGGCGGGCAAGGCGGTAGCTGTGCGGCATGCGCCATTGGTCTTCTCGATCGAGTCAATACTAGAATAATTGATCGACTAAACATACGCACGGACCCTTTCCTGGTACTACATAGTACTGTCGATTTTTGATGGATTTTCTCTTGACAGATGTCGCACATCGGTAAAAGTACGTACCGATCACTGTGGAGCCAGGTATCCTAGCCTCAATTGACTTCAATTCTTCGAACTTGGAAGCTACCCAAGTACGACGCTACCACAACCACCAATCTCATCTTCTTTTCTTTTGTTTCGTCGTGACGGTCCCCAAACCACATCCCAAAACACTCATCTAGGAGATTATAAAGCGCCGAGACGTGTCATGACTCCAAGTCTAAATGACTGAAATATACCCTACTATTGCGCAGTGCGCAGTAGTTGCGACTGCTTTTAAGATCCTCCTCTTCCCTGCATAGTAAGTCGTGTTGCACCAAGACTTTTGTTTCTTGTCTCCATCACGAAGGGAAATACAGCGATTGACACTTACCCAAGCAAATCCACCGACTTCGAGGTGCATCGGAATTGGCTAGCTATTACGAATAGCCTACCTATATGGGAATGGTATTATGAAAAGACTTCTGAATGGACTCTTGACTATCCGCCCTTCTTCGCATATTTCGAATGGATTCTTTCTCAGGTTGCGAAGCTGGCTGATCCAGCCATGCTTCGGGTCTACAACCTGGAGTACGACAGTTGGCAGACAGTATATTTTCAAAGGTTTACCGTCATCGCTACTGAGCTGTTGTTAGTATATGCTCTGCAATTGTATGGTTCGAGAGATGCTTGATTCTTGGTTCGTTATACTGATATAACTACAGGTTCGTCGAGTTTTCGCATGGAGTTACCAAGCGCGCAACCCAAGCTGCGGCAATCTCGGTTCTCCTTTCTCCTGGTCTTCTCATCATAGACCACATTCACTTCCAGTACAACGGAGCTATGTATGGCGTCCTGATCCTGTCCTTGGTTTTGGCCAGACACAAGTCCGGCCTCCTAGTCAGTGGTCTCGTATTCGCAGCGCTCTTATGCATGAAGCATATATATCTCTATCTTGCCCCAGCATATTTCGTCTATCTTCTAAGGACTTACTGTCTCTCGTCCCACTCCATCTTCCGAATCCAATTCCTCAACTGCGTGAAATTAGGGTCCGGTATCCTTAGCATATTTGGGTTGGCATTCGGTCCATTTGCCATCAAGAGCCAAATACCACAAATTCTGAGCCGACTCTTTCCATTTTCCCGTGGACTTTGCCATGCGTACTGGGCTCCAAACGTGTGGGCCATGTATTCTTTTGTGGACCGTGTTTTGATATTCGGTGAGTCCTGTCTAATCTATCTACGATTCTTATTGACTCACAAGGTTAGTTGCGCCGCGGTTGGGGTTACCGGTCAAGACGGAAGCTATCAACAGCGTCACAAGAGGTCTAGTTGGGGATACGGCTTTCGCGGTGCTTCCCGAGATCACTCCTAGGGTCTGCTTCGCACTCACTCTCATCTTCCAGGTTATACCCCTGGTGAAGCTCTTCTTACGTCCTAAATGGGATATTTTCATCGGCGCAGTCACTCTCTGTGGCTACTCCTCGTTCCTATTTGGATGGCACGTTCATGAAAAAGCCATTCTTCTCGTGATAATTCCTTTCAGCTTGATTGCTCTCAAGGATCGACGGCATCTTAGTGCGTTCCGTCCCTTGGCAGTATCTGGCCACGTCTCGCTTTTCCCACTACTCTTCACCCCGGCCGAGTTCCCCATTAAGACGGTTTATACGATATTCTGGTTGGTGCTATTCTTGATGGTGTTTGATCGCACGGCGCCTGCTTCGAAGCGACCGAGGTTCTTTCTCTTTGATCGTTTTGCTATTCTGTATATCACGATCAGCATACCCCTGATTGTATACTGTTCATTGATGCACCAGGTCGTATTCGGCAAGAGCTACGAATTCCTGCCCCTGATGTTCATGAGCTCTTATTCGGCCATAGGAGTGGTTGGTAGCTGGGTAGGGTTCATGGTAGTCTATTTTACATCGGATTACCCTGAACTGGTACGGTCTTAATGCCCAATATACATAAAGCAATTATATACAGTTCTATAGTTCAATGAATTGACCTGTTCAAAACTTGGTCATGGTGTCCATGGCGATTCGTAGTATTTCCGATAACAATAACATATGTTTATCGGAATTCCCGGATTGCCTTTATGCAAGGCAGGTGGCAGGTTTTGAGTAGTCGCGTAAGGTACCTAGGGGGGTGTGGGCTGTTCTGGTTTTGGTGGCAACCATACGTAGGGTAGGGACTAAAATTCCCTGCCATACTTGCTACCTAGGTAAGGCCCAGTCTCACCAACGGCCTGCTGGTCTAAACAAACTACGCGGATACCCAAACAAAGATGTCCGAATCAACGCACGCTTTAAAGACGGAAAAGACCAGAAAACTACATTGGAGAAAGGTAGGAGTTCTTTGGAGTTCTGCTGCATCTCCTGCATCAATGTCTCTACGCGACTTATTATAAAAAGCAGGTTACTAGAACGGCATAGTGTTGATATATAGCTGCACTCGACTTGATATTGGACGGAAATTAGTCAAGTTTGCCAATTAGGCGAATGAGAAGGCAGGCTTCAATTTGAGATGCTCAGAGTTCTGTTCCGACACGTGGTTGACTTGAAATCGAGCTTGCTATGTCATTGTTGAGATCGAGGGAATTTGGCATAAACTAGCCCACATTGGACCCAGGATCGGTGGTTGTTCTTATATGGGAGGTATATTACGGAAATGAGATAGAAATTGATTGATCGAGTACTCGTTCGAATCGTCTGGAGGAGGCGATCCGAATGAGTATAAGAATGTTGTTGCAAAGTTCTGTTGTGATATCTCAGTGAGTAGAGAGTGACGATGGGGTAGGTAGGAGTGGTTAATCTAGGTGGACACGACTTTGAGGCCCATCCCAAATAAGCGAATCAGACCCACCTGCGGAGGAGGGTTTGGCCAATCAGAAATTAGAGTTGAGTGGCTTAACCCCCCGTCATCCCGGGGTCTGGTTCTACTTCCCGCCCGCCATACATAAGGTACCTGAGAGTAGCGTTCCCCTTCTTCCTCCTTTGCCCTTCCGCCTTATTATTTTTAGTCGACCTTACTTCTCCCCCGTCCAGGTCTTCTTCAAAACTTTTTAACAACTACAACAACTAACCTTCGTCGCGTCCGCCATTTGAAAGCTTTTCCCCCAGCTACAACCACCACCAGCTTCACGAAACTGGACTATGCACTTGGCTCTCGACGCGTCTTACAGATTCCTAACCGCGTCCGTCTTATCGAACATTTAACTACTGCTCTCAACTTCACATGTAAGTCTCCCGCCCCATCACACCCTACCCCTACCCACGATCTTAACTTGCGCTTCCCGCGCCGTCACCTACCTCTTTTTTCCACGCTCCACCAATTTCACAACAACAACACATCGCACATCGCCCTAGCTCTACCACCACTTAAAATTCTTTCACCTTATCCATCGCCTCGCCCACCCAATCCACTTACAACCACTTACACGTCGTATGCGCTACGGAAGGCTGACTTTCAGCCTTGCAGGGTTTATTGTGCGGCTAGCTAACAATCTTGGCTTTTACGTAGCCAACAACCACAATGGTAAGCAAAGACCGGGGCAATTGCGTGGGAGGTCGAAAGCAGCTGACATTTCACAGGTCCTTTTTAAACGCAAGCCGGTGCAGTTTCTGCAGACCCCGCCGGTTGATGATGAATCTGCAGAGGTAAGTATTATACACTATACATATCGCATTGTTACACAATCGTGCACATCGATCACCCCCACTGACAGCTTTGATCTTTGTAGGTCTGGTGTATTCACCAGACAGGTGAAATCTTCGTTACTTACGAAGAGTATCTGAATCGGTAAGTACACATGTACCTCTAAACCTAGACCGTTATACCATTATACTAACTCTTGAGCAGGATGGACTTTTACAACCAGGTTCGTACCTTCGCGTCTTGACTAGACCCCCTTTGCCCCTTGCGCCTTAATTTGTTAGCTGACCTATATATAGCCTCGATTTATCTGTCAGATAACCGGCCATTCTGGTTTAACGTTTTTTGAGGCTTTGAAGAGTGAGGTAGGCGCTTTAGATCTCGCTGAATACGTCGTGATTCCTCTAACTAGTAGATTAGCTTAATGGCGCTCAAGAGGTCGAACAAGCCTTCCCAGAAGCTCTAAAGGCCCCGGTTCTGCGCCGTGTCCAGTTTCAGACGATTTCACGAATCGATACTCTAGTCGACATGGTATATGATGAATTCAAGGCGGATTATTATCCAGGAGAAGTAGTCATGATTCAACAACAGACCGGCGAACGCTTGACAGGGACAGTAAGAGATAAAGCTCGTCTTGGAAGCAAGGTACTACCCGACGGAACTCTTACTCAACCATTCTCGCGATACAGCATAAGCACGGATGGCCATCACGATCGAGAAATAGTAGTGGATGGTGGTCAAATTTATCGGGATAGGAAGATTTTTACCAAGTCGGTCCTTCGATCGTTTATCAAGAAGACGGTCACTAGAGAAGCATGGACTGGTGCGCCGTGGTTAGTCAAGCACGACGTTGCAGCGCAATACCACATTGATACCCGAGTACCACCTCATCTACGATATGACAACAAGTTGCTCGAGCGAAAGCAACATCAAGCCCAGAAGAAAGCGTCGCACCCGATGAACGGAGCTCAAGAGATGAACGGAATAGGCGCTGCGTTCCAGAGCTTTGGCCCTGCTCGATTACCAGAGCTAAAACCAGCCCCTAAGAGTCACCATAAGCCCGCAAAGACTCACCATAGCGAGCCTCCGCACCAGGATCTTAACGGCCATCACGATCCCGGAATGTATCATCAGAATCATGGGCCACTTCCGCCGGTACCAGGAAACAACCCTTTCCATTTCCCTGTTCCATTCCGGAACAGCATGCCCCCTCCACCTCTCGTTTCTCACCCTCAACCGGAAGCGCCACCCCCGCCTCCTCCTATCAAGTATCCTATAGAGGATCTACAGGTTGAACCACGTGACGACTATGTTCGTCCAACACTGAAGTTTATGTGCACTGATCCGCCAGAAGGCGTGATTGACAGCGGTGCGCAGAATGACAAGATCTTGATGAAGTCCATTGGTCCATTGCTTGAGACTTGGGACACTTTGAACGTCTTTTGTGAAGTCTACAAGCTTGACTCATTTACCTTCGACGACTTTGTGGAGGCAATGGAAGTTAGCAATGTGGACACCCCTTGTCAATTATTTACCGAGATTCACTGCGCTCTTCTGAAGCAGATCGTGAGCTCCGAACAGGATGGTGGAAAGCTTTTAGTAGACCTACCAGATCTTGATGAGGATGATGACGATGATCCAGATGAGAGTGCGTCTCCAAGCCCCGAGCCGGAACCTGAACCGAAGCCGACGGGACGCGCTACTAGAAGTAGTCTGGCGAAACTAGAGGCTGAGCGGATCAAGGCTGAGGCTGCAGCAGCAGAAAAGAGTCCGGAACCTGAGATCAAGCATCGTGCTCCCGATGTCTTGGCTAACTTTGATTGGATTGAGCAGTTGAGAGATCGTAATTTCCAGGATGGTGGTTGGGAGTTGATTGTGGTCGGACTTTTACACCAGTTGTCTAAGAACCCGCGATACACCGAGGCCTGCGAGGAGTTACTATCTCACCTTGTGCCGCCTGACATTGAGCCTAGCCAGGAGACAGTCAGGCAGCAGTACAGCGAGCTTGACTTGAACCTTCGAATCTCCGCTCTTCGGATAATATGCCTGTTGACTGTTGATACTAAGGCCTTCCGCGGATACATGGAAGAGTGCGGCGAGACTATGACGGGTTATAGGAAGGAGAAAATTGAGTGGCAGCGCCAACGAAAACAAGCGTATGTCAAAACTTCTCATAATATTACATATGCGATATATACTAACTCGTTTTGCAGGATCGAGGACTTGAAAGGTCTCAATGATCAACGCAAGATTCTTCTTCCGGAGAACATGCCTCCCTCGCCACCGGCCGAGGAAGCCGAGGTCCCGAAAACCAACGGCGATGTCAAGATGGTGGATGCTGACGAATCTCCCGAAGAGCCGAGCGAAGATGCTGGGGACAGCGATATAGATGTCAATGCTCGCCGAAACACCCGACGAGGTGGCAACCGTGCTGCGGAACGTCAACGTAAGCGCGAAGAACAGGAGCGTAAGAAAGAGGCCGAGCTAGCCGCCGCTAAATTGCCTAAGCAATCCAAGCAATTCATAAGATTGCTCAAGGACATACAGAAAAAGCAGGACACGATCAAGAAGTGCGAAGATGAAATAGCAGTCATCGACAACGATCTCCGAGAAGCGGATTGCGCCCGAACTCGGGTCCTCGGGAAAGATCGGTTCTGGAATCGCTACTACTGGTTCGAGCGCAACGGCATGCCCTATGGCGGGTTGCCTACCAGTTCAACGGCCGATGCGGGCTACGCAAACGGCTGCATCTGGGTTCAAGGACCCGTCGACATGGAAAGGGAGGGTTACATAGACATGCCCGAAGAGTACCAGGAAGAGTATAAGGCGAAGTTCAAGATGACTGTACCCCAGAGAAAGAAAATGGAGGAAGGCCGTACCAGCGTATTCAACGCAACCCAATGGGGCTACTACTCGGATCCCGCCGAGTTAGATTCGCTCTTGAACTGGCTCGACCCTCGAGGTTTTAACGAATGTAAACTGCGAAAAGAGATCCTTCTCTACAAAGACAAGATCGTCGCGCATATGGAGAATCGAGCCAAATATCTTGGTGTGGCGGACGAAGAGGACGAGAAGGGTTCTGCTAAGGAGAGCGGGAAGAGCGATGCGAAACGAATGGTAACCCGTACGAAGGCGCAATCTAGCCCAGAGCCAACACATTTCCGTTGTCTCAATTGGACTAACAACGTTGCCATCGAAGAGCTTGGACACCTCCACAGCGAGCCGCCTCCACCACCGAAGACCAAAGGCCGCAAGACAGCGCGCAAGGGCCGAAATTAACTCACCATCGGCCATCTTCCCTGAGTATATTTGGTACTCTTACGACGAATTCACGACAGAACACGTGCAGGACGGTTATACAATTTTCAGTTCTCAGCACTAGTACATAGACCCGTTTACGCACAGATAAAAGTTATTATGAACGAATGAACGACAAAAGGCGGTCTTTTCCCTTTTATTTCCCTACACGCATGATTTTAGAGTGGTCAACGAGTAGAGAAAATCTTTTTCCAAGGCTGGCATGGCGTTTCACGGGGGTAGGGATCAAGGCGTCTATGAGGAGGCTGACCAACACTAAACTTGGGGAGGGTGTGGTGTTTTAGGAGGTGATTTGATGGGGGGAGGGCAAACTGATTTTTTTCTACTTCTTTTTTTCTTCTTCTCTTCTCTGGACGATGTGCTACGAATCGATAGACCCCTTTCTTGTCATAGTTGTGGACGACTTCTTCATACTTGGCAAGGCAAAGGCGCAGAGCAGAGAGCAGAGCAAAATTGGCATTGTGGCGAAAGGAGGAGAAAGGGGGGGGGTGGGGATGAGGGGAGTTGTAGTGTTGGTATACTCTGGATTGTACATATTGCACAAATGAGACACGGAGAGGAGGAGAGAGAGAGCCCTGGGGGAGGTTGGGGGGCGGACTTGATAATCGTTGCTGATGCTCGATGCTCTGGGTAGGTAGATAGGAAAGCTCTACAAGAGAATTGTTGGGAACCATGACTTTTTAAGCAGTCATTAAAATGGGGTTTCGTATTGTGTCATGTGAATTGTGATGTCTTATACGCTTGACCCATATAGTGACATGATCATAACATTGAGTTCTCACGTACATTGAAGTCTTGTCGAAGCAAATCATATCTTGAAGTGACTTGCTTGCGAAAACGGCAAGCAATACGAATACGCCTAAGGAACGAGGTCTTCCCTAACAAGGCTCTAGACTCTAGACTATCATCCACGTCTCTCGTTTTCCTATGAGAATGCCTCAATCTAGGTACCTGGTCTTCGAAGACTTAAGCTTGAGCCGGCAAGGTTCCTCGCAGAGTCAGCATCTAAATACATATGCAACACATCACCAACACGTCACGACAGAATCTACACATTATACTCGATACTGAAGACAATATTATATGTGTTACGAGGCACTTATGCCTCTAGAAGCAAGTTTATTTATCTGCAAAAGCCACTACATACACGCACCGTGCCCATTTTCCCCCGGCGTTTGATGCCCCGATGCCCTATGTCAGATCAGTGTGTGGATGTGAAGAAAGTTTTGTCTCTCACAAGATGATGCCAGAGAACATAAGAAAACTGAGAAAGTCGGAAAGAGGGGTATCTGAATAGACGGGATATGCCATCTCATCTTCCTTTCTTGAAAAACCCCCCAAATAACCATTAGTCGTCGTTTCGGCTGTAATGTTGTACTTCGCACATTCGTCGTACTGTAAAATAGAGAGGAGAATGACTGTCATGGCTTCCGCGATATCAAGTCGTTGCTACACGTTTGTCTTCCGCAAGTGCCTATCTCTTCTCCCCTTATTACTGGGTGGCTACCACGCCGATGGTGCAAGGTTGTTGTTTCGCGATGAGGAGACTAATTATCCTCACGCATTAGGTCGAGTTGCAATCAAGTCGAGTGTACTCACGAAATTGCGAAACGGTTACTTTCGCAAACTACTATGTTAGTATCAATGTAAAGTGATGTGGTGTCAGCTGCAGCAGATCAGTTGGCATCCAAAATGGTCCAAGACGACTTCTGCAGAGGCAGAAGAGGCGGAGGCGTCGTATCATTCGTTACGTTTCCTTTGCACTCAACCTACAGCAGCAGCAGATGCGTGTAGATTGGTTTGCGATCGCTTTGCCGGTGGGGGGTTGCCCTGAAGAATGAGTCAGCAAACAGTCACTCTGAAGATTGAAGGGATTATCTTGGATATCCCGGCGATAATCGCGATATTGGCCATCCACCACTTAGCTCTACATACTTCGGACGACGCATTGCGCTTCATTGCGACCGCCTTCTTAAGGGGCCGCGTGGGCTTAACCTCGCCTGGCTCGAAAACATCGTCAGGTAGATTCGTACTACATTATGGTTAGTCGGTTGTAGTATCGTGACATTTATTAGGGACTCACTTCTTCACGTGCTGAACGCTCAAGTAGTTGAGATTTGGCTCGTACTTTTCCCACTGGCCACACATGGATTTGAATGCATCGACTTGATAAGATAAGTTCAATGACTTTGCGCCTAGCACGTCATCAAGCTTAGGTTAGGGATCACAAAGAAGCGCTTGTCGGCTGAAAAGGCCATCGTGCATACAAAACGGGGGTAAGGGGACACTTACCTTCAGCAAGCTCAAGGCCTACGTAGTGAGTGGTGGTGTAGATCTTGGTGCCAAGAACAGATGCATCGGCGACATTGTCGACTTTCGTTTTCTGATCTTCAGGGTCGGACTTGGTGTCAGGATTCGGCTGGCCATTCTCTTGCTCGGCTCCAAGGTTCGCTTCTGTCTTTACTTCACCTTTGCCATCAGCGCCGTTCTCCTTTACCTTAGCATCATCTGGGCCATCATCATCTTGGACTCGATAGCTCAAATTTCCATTCTGCACCTCTTCGGTCTCCTGATCATTCTTAACTCTGTGGGCCCTCTCGTATCCTTTGTTGAAGGGACGCGCAATGGCGACGGACTCGACTCTATCTAGGTCGCCCACCAGGACTCGAACTTTCGATTCCACAAAGCCCGACCATATCTTGTGCGCCTCCTTGGTAGTGCTAGTGGCGATGATTGCTAGGTAATATTTGTGGTCGGCAGTGAAGAATGTATGCTTTACGAACAAATCCTTCCATGCGAGCTTGCCGGCTCGTATTTTGTTAGTGAGGTCAAAGCCACGTTCTAGCTCACGCTGTATGATGGCCATGGTTGAATGCGTGATGTTGAAGGTCGCACACATCTGCGGGTAGGCTGGCGTGATAACAGGCATTAAGTGATAGCTGTCACTCTTGTAGATCTATGGATAGTGAGCTAGGAGGATATTCTCATTTTGTAAATTCGAATACTAACCTTCGGGTTCCAGACACGAACGTTAAGTGGACCGTCCTCGATCTTCTTCAACTGTACGGGCTGGGGCCAATGCCAGGCCTTCATAATCTGGAAGAACTTGGCAACGATAGTAGCACTGGCAGCTCGTGGATAGAGCTGACAGACTCGCGCTACCATCATAGCCCATACTACACCACCTGGAAATCCGATAATGTTAGCGTAAATGGCGCGACGTTGGGCCCATAGCTTGATGGCCCTCAGGGCGAGACGGAAAGTGCTCTGCTCTGGAACGAGGTTAAGAATCTCCTTAGTAACCCTAGTCCCGTTCAGAGAGCGGAGCTCGCGATCGTCTAAGCCGCGTAGATACTCGTTGTTGGTTAAGTTCAGCTGGCCGTGAGGTGGGAATTGTTTCAAAGTGGCAATTCTCGAGAAGATCAAATCGATACTGATTCCCCAGTATTCGAATTTGATGATGGGTACGAACGCGTCCTCGACAGCAGTCAGATCTGTCACAGCACCCTTAGGAGCCATCTCTTGTAGTAATGAAGGGAAGTACTTGAAATAGTCATCGCGCGTAACGTATTTGGGAGCAGTAACAAGGGTATCGATATCCGACCCAGGACCATAAACGCCTAAACAGTAACTTCCATACGTGAAGACTTCTCCTCTGGCATCTCGAATAAGAACTTCGTTCTGCGGTTCCTTCTCTTTTGCCACTCGTCGCACAAACTCGTCCGCGATCCGCTGTAGGTCGGCTAGAACTCTCTCCCTAGAAGGTTATATTAGTACAAATAACCCATGAGCCTGCAATTAGCATTATTGACTCGCTATCCGCTTACCTCTTCTTGGTCTCTGCTACAGATTCGAAGGTATTCTGGCGCCTTAGCTCCTCCAGAAGCAGATGGGTCGAGTGTGTCTCCGCCGCCGTAGGGAGTGCTGTCGCGATGGGGGGGGTTATACCCCAGATCTGTTCGGTGTTTTCCATGGTGTGAATGTAAAGAAAGGATTAAGTGTATCAAATGCGGGATAGAAACGGATATAGCATAAAAGTAGATGATGGTTCAGTAGTTCTATGGTGGTTAAGTAAAATGTAAAGAGGGAATGATATTATTGCATGAAGTTCTGGTAGTATGGGGTTGAGAATGACTGGAAGCTGATCGCGTCTCCTTGAGTGCATCGGTCGTCACTTCAAACGATCTAATGACGCTGCCATGGATATCGTCGGGGGTGTTCGAGGGGTCGTTAAATGCAATAGCCTAGGCAAACGCCCCAAGACACCTAGACTCAGAATAAGTGAAGTGTGTCGTGGAGGAAAAGGGGGAGAAGAGACGTGACGGGGAAGATGGCAAATGTGATGAAAAACAATGTTTTTTGTTGATGATGACGACGAAATGGAAGAGAGAAAATACACAGTCGAGAGTTTACTTAGTCATCTACCTGGTACATTTAATGGCAAGGTGGGTCCTGCGAATTAACTTTTCGAATCTATCGATAGCGTGCGCCTAAGATGACACTAGGTGGCGGCTAGCCAACTTTGGATCCTCCAGCAGCGTGGAACCATATGTACACCAACAAAAATAAAAATAAATAGGTACAAAGGTACAAGTACATGTAAGTATCCATAGGCTAGAATATTCAGACAAATGCTGCCCAAAATTGTTATCACTCCTTTCTTTACTAAAAGAAGAGTTTTCACTGAATTTTTATCATTTTAAATATGTGATTTGGGGAACGTCACCTACTCAGGACCTACATACTAGACATTCAACCGCCGAGTATTCTTTCACTCCATTATAAAAGACACAATATGGTATTAAAAGTTGGATGTATTTGGCAAGGCCAGCACTATCTGGTTGAGTAGAGTTACCACCACCACTACTACTAAATCACTTCGTACAATTATGGTATCTTATATATCCATTCCCCAATGTCGAGCCCATTCATCCGCAAGTTGCACAGGTTCCATTTGCCAATGCTGCCTCGATACCCAGTATGCTAATCCGCCCATGACGCCGAGACTTCCCATAACCTCAAGAGCAAACCACCCTTTTGCCTTCAAATCCGCCGTAACCTGAAGCAATCCCAGTGGGTCTTGATGCTGTGTGGTCTTGGTTGAAAACCTACGCTTAGAAGTTTTCCTAGTCTCTGTCGAGTTCTTGCCCCTGACCTTCCTCACGGCCACAAGTGTACCATCTTGCACACATTCATTCAATCTCTCCGTGAGCCAAACCGCACGTTCACCACAAGCGAGTGCCTCGTATCGAGTCCGCTCGCTTGAAAGGCTACGCTGAAGATCGGCTGCCCAGTCTACCACACGAAGCTGCGGTGGTCCGTGATCTCGATGTTGGTCATTAAGACAAGTTAGCGCTAGCGCTGTACATTCTCTTGCCGTGTTTCCTGTGCGTGGGGCTAGGGCTAATGATGTCGCCGGGCCAGGAGGATTCAGCGGCCTATATAAGTGACGAGGTCGTGATGGAGTGGTGTTTCTCCATTCCAGGTACTTCTTCGTTGCGGTGTGCCGTAACCAGGATACTCCGTTGGGGCTAAACACGTTATCCACGACATATCTCAGGTCCGATGTCATCAGGGGTTCAACATAATCCGGACTCATGAGAAGGCTCGCATCCATTATATCGTCATCCGACCCTGTCGCACTGGATACGGCATAAGGGATACTTGGCATCCGCGTAGCAGACTCCTGGTCTACCGTTGCAAAGCTGAACGGTTTGAGACCTGCTTCTCTTAGCTGGCCGGCAATCTGCTCTTTGCATGATACGAGCTGTTTTGGCGAGATCGAGTCGGCGCGAGCCAAGATAGGAATAACATTTGTAAGCGGTATCAGTCGACGGATATACTCCAAATCAACTGGTCTCATCTCTTCATAACTGGTCAGTAACGGAACCTATCAACATCGGGAGTTGACTTACTTTGCGAGATGAGATAAAAGACGACGTCCACTTGGAAGCCTCCACCGCCCCCTAAAACATTTAGCATGTCCGAATCACTCAACAAGTCCGAGGACATTTTGTTCAAGTGGGATTCGACATATTCAATACATGACATAATATTTTCCATAGCCTAGACGTGGTCAATATTTCTTATCGCCATATGAGCCTAACTAGACTTACCGATGAGCCGTTCCGATAACCAGGTGTATCTACGAAGCACACATTACGTTCTAGGACGCTGTCGCCGAGACTCTTACGCCTTTGGGGATCATGAGGTTCGTCTACCGTCGACCACCACTCAGGATAGGGTTTGGTGCTGGCATATATCTCCGATATGGCAGATGACGAATTAGATGACTTTCGAGGCAAAGCGCTCTGGCTTTTATGCGTGCTAGACTCTGCCTGGGAGGGGATAGGATCAACATGAACAATATGTTCGCAGATCTGGACAATTGCTTTGACCATGGAAGTCTTGCCAACACCTACGTAAAGGCCATTAGTTACGACTAAAATTATGAAACAGGCTTAGGTGACAGAATTACCAGAATCGCCAGCGAACAGCACCTTGAGGCGGCCTAGACTTTTGCCTGTCTCGGTGAAAGGACGGCGACTCGGCATCTTTATACTGGGCATAACCAATTGAGGAGCACTACCACTATCCAACATGTTCGAAGGTCTATGATCAAGCGATTCCTCGTCGGAGCTAACGGCGTGCTCCGAGAGCGATCCTGTGAAAGAGTTCCTCCTTGAAGATGGGCTACTAAGTGCGGATCCGGTGAACAACGATGTACCTAACATAATAGGAGTTATCGGCCGCGAGGGCGACGATTGATTATGGGACCTCATCGAGGCTGGGCTGCGTGTAAAGACCGAGTCCCTTGACGACGGAGAGTAGGCAAATGTATAATCTCTATCTTGGTGTGCCGCGGTCTGCCTTGAACTTTCACCGTCTTTGTCATCTTTGCGAGGAGGTGGGTGGACGGTAGAGGCGGCAGCCTTTCGCGCATCAAGGAATCGGCTATGGGGGTTCGACTGTTCGAGGTATGAATCCATGGATGATTCGTCGGCGAAGAAGAATGACATCTGGCTAGAAGTGGAAGCCATCAAGGGGGCCGGATCGTGGTCGGCCGATCGCTGACGCCCGAAAGCATCGTCGCCAGGGAAGGGTCTCATTATAGAGTTAGAGATTAGAAAATCACATCTAGGTAGAAGCGAAAGTTACAGGTAGTAGACAGCAATAGCGCGTATACAGTTCAGGTCATTACAAGATATATGTTGGCACAGGTATGTAAGTAGTAGGTAGTACAATAAAGAGTATGGTTCGATATGACTTCACACAGGGGGTATCACAGGTGAAGGGTGAAGGCGGTAGATGGGTGGTAAGGTGGTAAGATGGTAAAGTGGTAAGTGGTAAATGGCAAATGATGACGAGTTGGTTTATTGGTCTGGAGATGGGGGTTGCTCTCTCTTTCTCGGCGGTCTTGCTTTCCTTTTCTGGGTCGTGCGGTTGGAGTTCCCAGTGAATGGCTGAATGAAGAAACACCCCGCATCAGATAAGCTCAGGAGGTGCAGAGGTGCAGAGCGTGTTGAGTTTCGCGGTCAGGTATAAGTACAAAGAACTACGACCCTTAAATTGGCTTTTTCAATAGTCGGCGGAGTTGAATAGCCGTACACACGGGTACAGTCACGTACCAACTCCACATTTGGCTTTGGTGAGTGGTGCGATCATTTCTATATCTGCTTAGAACGTTGGAACGTACCAAACCTTACGTACCCTGTCATTCTTCATTTCTTATATACATATATTTGCATAACTTCATATATGCATATTAGGACCTACGTCACGCTAGTGGCTGCTCGTGCTATTATGGGCAGAGTCGAAGACAAAGGCAGGGATGAATAAATTAGTGCATACGCTAGGCAAGTACGTACCTAAATGACATGCCCAAGCCCCGGTGTCACCAATCTTGCCCCTCAACTTTCAATCGCCAACCGCCAACGAGAATCCGAGAATCCAGAATCTACCTACCATTTTGATCCTGAAGGAGACATAACGGACGAGTTACTGAACATTAAGCGCCCTGATTCAGCCGTAATTGTCATAAACCCTTCTGCTAAGGTTACTTCACGGTCGCTTAATAAAATTTCTCTGACGCCTTTTTTATTTTCTGCCGTCCGTCGCCCGGCGTCATCTAAGACCAGAACCTTGCCTTGCATTACGACAAGGCTCTTTAATATTTTCCTTTTACCATCGTCACGATTTCCGAGGACGCTCCCCCAGCGTCCGTTCCCCTCGAACAACAAACTTCTACCTCTCTAGATCCTATTAGTCAAACTTGCACGGCTGGGGGGATATTGTTCGACCAAAGGCACACTACCCGACAACGCCCAACTCGCGGCAAGATGGATGCTAAGAGACATCCAAGCTCTTTCCAACAGCTGGAGAAGTTGGGAGAGGGCACCTATGCCACGGTAAGTTCCTTGGCGCATTTACAATTTTAATTGTGCGTATTTTCTAACTCTGACGGATATTCTAGGTCTTCAAGGGACGAAATCGCCAGACGGGCGAACTTGTCGCCTTAAAGGAAATCCACCTCGACTCGGAAGAAGGTACCCCCTCGACCGCAATCCGCGAGATTTCGCTCATGAAGGAACTCAAACACGAGAATATCGTGGCCCTGTACGACGTGATCCACACAGAGAACAAACTTATGCTAGTATTCGAATATTTGGATGGCGACCTCAAGAAGTACATGGATGCTCATGGCGATAGAGGAGCGCTGAAGCATGCGACCATCAAATCCTTCATGTTCCAGCTGCTGAAGGGCATCGATTTCTGCCACAAGAACCGCGTCCTCCATCGAGATTTGAAGCCTCAGAATCTCCTTATTAATGGGAAAGGCCAACTCAAACTTGGAGACTTCGGATTGGCGCGCGCGTTCGGAATCCCCGTGAACACGTTCTCGAACGAGGTCGTCACCCTGTGGTACCGCGCTCCGGACGTTCTTCTGGGCAGCCGCACGTACAACACGAGCATCGACATATGGTCGGCAGGTTGTATTATGGCGGAGATGTACACGGGTCGACCACTCTTCCCCGGCACGACGAACGAGGACCAGATTATTCGCATCTTCCGTATAATGGGCACCCCGACAGAGAGAACCTGGCCCGGCATCACGCAGTTCCCCGAGTACAAGCCGAACATCCAGATGTACGCGACTCAGGATCTTAGGGCCATTCTTCCTCAGATCGATTCGCTTGGCATAGATCTCCTACAGCGAATGCTAGTCCTTCGTCCGGAGCATCGTATTAGCGCGCATGATGCCTTGCAGCACCCTTGGTTCGCCGAGTTGGTGCAACACCAGATGCAGCAACAGCAAGCGATCCAGGCACAGGTTAGAGGCTATGCCACTCCAGCTGTTCCGTCACAGGGTGTTTACGATCCCGGATACTAGCCAAGTTGCGGTCGGTATCAACCAAATACTTTTGGCGACACATCTCTTGGGGATATGGGTTAAGGAACGGCGAATCGATATAGGCTTTATTGGCTCTCGGCTACGATAGGACCGCGGTGAAGCTGCAGAAGCGGTTAGTGGCTAGGTTAGCATATGACGATCGTGGGCGGTATCATGATGTGGCTAGGAGGACGGTGGTTATGGACAGGCGTTCGGCAGAATCCATAGGTCATGACAGCATTCATGGGCATTTTCGAGCAAGATTCGTTGCTATTAATGAAAACGATATACCCCAATTTTTGGAGTTTTTCTGACTGCTGGCAGTATATTGTCTTAAATACATTTATGGGAACTAATCGACAGGTATGCTGAGTGTGGGATGATTTCTTCTCTAGTAGCCGGATATTCGTGTATCGCATCCTCGGTATAGTTTAATTCACTCTAGGGCTCATGGGTTTCCCCTGGGACATTTAGTTATGCCGGTAATGAAATATTCATATTACATGGTTGACCCATCACAACTTGAACTCCTGTCTCTATTTTAGGCCCCTATTTCGTCTAGGTACTTGTATCCTATATTTGAGGAAGACAGCAATATGGTTATATATTAAAGGTTATGGTCTCGTTCCATGGAGCGTCCCATACTAGTCTGTTTGCCTGGGCTTCCGGAGAGCGTAATTGATTTGCACTGTAAAACATATTTTTTATGTCAGATTTATTCTCTGATTCTCTCTATCAGAAACCCCATTTCACAAAATTTAGGAATACCTAACCATTGACTAGGTCATAAAAAGTCTATTGCTTCGTTCAATAAGTAACTCCCGAGGAAAGCCAACACAGCTCTATAAATTCTATGATATCTCCTAGTCCATACAAATGCCGAGGGTAGGCTCTAATCCCTTTTGTTTACCAACCCATCATCAACATTACTCTTGAACCGATCCTTAGGCGGCTCCCTCGCCCACGTCTCCGCCAGCTCGAACCCAGGCTCGTCGTTATCCAGGTATCCCAAGCTCCTCCTAACCTTCAACACCTCCTCGCGGACCCTCCTCGCGACCTCGATCCTCAGGTCCACGGCCTCCTTGCCGTATTTCAGCTCATCCGTCAACTCCCCCATAGCCAGGCGCCCCTTCCCGCCATCCCTATCCCTGCGCACGAGGTCCCGCCACCTAGCGCGCAGGTCGCCGAACGTCTTCTCGGCATCGAGCAGCTCGCCGAAGGCGACGCGGAAGCGGACGGGGAAGCGCGGGAGGAAGCGCGGGAAAGAGCGGTCCTCGGGCATGACGCGCTGGGCGCCGTCGACGAACATGGGGACGACGTCGGGCATCGGCTCGCTCTCGAGGATGAGGCGCGAGACGCCCCACTTGAAGTAGCGCAGCAGCAGGCGCGGGTGCTGGTGCACGCACGCCTCGGGGAACACGTGCACCCAGCTGTGCCGGTTCCGCGCGTAGATCGACGGCGCGACGTACCGGTCCGCCCCCGTCGTGGTGAACGTCGGTTCGCCCGCGCTGCTGAACGGGTCGGACACGTCGTCGTCGTGGCGTCCTCCTGACGCTTCTGGCGGTGGGGCGCCAGGGAATGGCGCAGCGGACAGGAGCCGGATCGCCTGTGGGATTGTGGGCTGGAAGAGCCCGCCGTGAGGCGAGTGCTGCGACCTATGGGTTGGTAGGACTTGGCCGGCATAGAAGTACGATCCAATAAGCCTAGCTGTTGGTGTGAGTGAAAAAAGGAGGCTATCGTGGAAAGGGAGAAGATGTGCGCATACTTGTTCGTAAAGCATATGTCGTGGGCTCCTAGACCCCATCTATGGTTAGACGGGTTAAAAGCGTACCGTAGCGGCAGCACTCCCCATATGACAGGATCATCAAGTCTAGGCGATGAATTCATAAGACTTAGGTCCAGAATGATCGTGGGTGTACATCTTTACCTACACACTGATGTGGTTTGAGACTGCACTGAGATTAGTTCTCATATTATGAAAATGGTCATTAGCCATTGAAGTAAAAGTCTCATACCAGTAATAAGACCCCTTTCCCTCTTCTCAACGTCCTTCCTCTTATCTAGAAGCTCTAAAAATCGGTCTAAACCGACTACTTCGACTGAGTTCAAGCCATAAAGAAACCCCCTTGAAAGAGCGGCGGTTAAGCCCATGACCATGGAAGAAGTCATTCGCCATGGTAGACTTGGCTGTTGAAATGACAGCCTGTTGGGGTTGGACTTGGACATATCGAGTTCGTCCGAGGCCATTGACGCTTCGAAGTGGAACTTGGCAGCATAGCCGTTATGAACTTTACATGGAAGCGAATGTAATAGAGAGAAAATGAGTTGTTAAAGCTACATGTTAAAAAGGACTCGGCACGATTGAGACGGCAGTCGCACCCATTAATTGAGGCCAAATAGTTTAGGTAATAACTATTCCGAAAAGCAACGCTGTTTGCTGGCTGCACCTGCAGGAACGGGATGATCCTATTGGAGGAGAATTATCGATAGTTGGGGTCCCCTGTAAATACATAATACGAGAGCTGCTATTGCATCACGCTTAAAAGAAGAAAAACGTTATCGATACAGACATACTATACAATATGTAACATTCAATATCTAACATCCATCTGCTGCCTCGAAACATTCCCAAACCTTGCCTTTGATACCTAGATGGAGAGATATTTCCAATAGTTGTTTCCGAATACAGACAGCTCAGGATGTCTCACAGTAAGACCCCTCTCACAAACTCATCGCACAGGATAGACGGTGTAGGCATAGGTAGCTAACCTCCCTCCTACCAGGCAAGCGGAACACGTCCCGCGCCGTCTTCACTTCCCACGAGCGAGACGTCGCTAGGCAAGCATGGAGCTCGACATCGGCGCGTCTCTCGCGCGAGAGTTTCCTCCCCTTCTCCTCCTGCGGCCTGTGCCTCGAGATCGCCCGGGACCCCGTCTCCTGCACGCACGGCGACCTCTTCTGCCGCGAGTGCGCCCTCAGCAACATCTTGGCCCAGAGAAAGGAAATAAAGCGTCTCGAGAAGCTGCGCGAGCAGGAAGAGCGCGACGCCGAGGAAGAACGCATACGCCAGGAAGAAGAGGCTCGCGAGCGTGCGGTCCGCGAGTTCGAGATGACGCAGATTGGATTGGATGTGAAGGCGAAGAGTGGTACCAACAATAAGGATGCATCCGGGGCAACAGGTGAACATAGTACACCGCCGGCAGCAGAATCGTCGAATGGCGGGAAGAAGCGCAAGTTCGAGATGGATGAGGAAGAGCTGGCACGAATAGCCAAGGAAGACAGGGCGAAAGCACGCAAGGCAATTGAGGATGAGAAGGCCGCAAAGCCTGTATTACCGTCATTTTGGACGCCGTCAGTAGCGACAGCAGCCAAGACGAATGAATCGCTACACGAAATCGCCAAGAAGCAGAAGAGCACACCTATGTGCCCTGCGGCAAGAGAAAATAGTCCTCATACTTACTCACTACATACGCTTGTGACGGTGAACTTTACGGAGGAGGACGAGGGCGATGAGAGCAGGGGTAACGGCACCTCGAGCAATAAGAAAAAGCGCATACGTGTATGTCCATCATGCAAAAAGGGACTAAGCAACTCCTCGAAAGCGATGCTTGCAAAGCCCTGCGGCCACGTTCTATGCAGGAATTGCGTTGATAAGTTTATGCGGCCCTCACGGCACCACGATCCTCACGCGGTAGCGAGTGAGGCAGAGAAGGTGAGGTGTTACGTCTGCGAGGCGGACCTTACCGAGAAGAGCGTCAATGGCAACGATACGATCGAAAAGGGCAAGAAGAAGGACAAGGAGAAAATACGGCCGGGACTCGTGGAGTTGAGGAGCGAAGGTACGGGTTTCTCAGCTGGGGGAGCAAATCAAGTACGAAAGTCTGGCGTGTCATTTCAGTGCTAGCTGTGCAAGCCTACCGGCTTAATCAGCCATGTTACGATTCTACTCTACGGCCATAGGAGACCATGGCAGTACGGTCAATAAGCTACCTAATTTCAAGTTCACAGTTGGATTTTAGGAGCGCAGTTTATGTCAAAGAAAGAAATGAAACCCGGGGCAGCAGCGAAATAAACATCCAATGCCAACACCCGTGATTATATACCCATTAAAAGAACCTATAACCCCAAAACCATGGGAATGCTATGCCGTACTTATGCTATGCTATCCTAAACCATGTCTGTCTGTCCTGTTCCCAGCGACAAGCTATTATGATCGTAAACCGCGTACGTACATGATAAGTCGTCTTCACTTTCACTTTCACTTCCCCCTTTCGATCGATTCGATAAGACGCCAACTCCGACCCCATGCTTGTAGATTACAATATTACAACCTCGAGGTTTTTTTGCTTTTTACAAATGCCAGTTTGTGCCTCCCTCTCTAGAAAGTCCAGTTGTTTGTGTATGTCAGACGAAACAGAAGAAGACTCAATCTCGACCGGAAAATAAAAAAGGAGTAATGGATAGTAAAAAGAGCCCGGAAATTTCCAAAAACTGACTTTTGTTTCTTCGCCTCGCTCGGTTTGGGGAAATTAAAAGACGGCAAGGACGGGGAATAATAAAAGCAAAAAGCGAAATAAAAGTCCAGGAAAGAAGAAAGGGTAAAAAACTCCGATGCTTATGCTCATGCCCTTTCCTTTCCTTTCCTTTCTCTGGAGGGACGTACTGTACGCCACCGTCCCGTCGTCTCGTCTCGTCTCGTCGATCTCACGGCTCCGATTCCAGCTCCGGCTCACCCAGCGAAGCAGCACCAAGAGCTAAACCAACACACCTCATACACATCCTCCCCATCTCGTTCCAACCGTCCCAAGTCATCCTTCTCCTTCTCCCTCATCCTCACCCCCCGCACATTATCATCTCCCCCCTTCCCCCTAGTATCTTTCCCCTTCTCCAGCCTCGCGACCTGCCCCTGCGCGGCAAGTCAATGCTTGATCTCGCGCTGCGTCTTCTCAATCATATTCGCCACGACCCCGACCACGAAATCATCAAACTTCGACATGGACCGCCGCTGCGGCTGCACCTGGAACGCCTCCTTGTACGATGCCGCCGCCGGCACGTGCTTCGTCGCGTATGACGGCAAAGACCGCGGGCCCCATTCGTCTTCGTTGTCGAGGCGGTATCGCAAAGCGCGCAGTTGGCCGCGCGGCTGCGCTGGGGGTGGGGGCGGTTGCGGCGCGAGGGATGGGCGGGAGGGAGGTGTGTATGCCGGGGGTGGGGTTGAGTAGGCGTTGTTGGTGTTGTGGTTGTTGGTGCTGGTGTGCGAGATTACTGAGCTTGAGCGGCTCGGCTTCGCGGGCGGAGGCGAGTATGCCGGGGGAGGGGGCAGCGTGGACCGGTCTAGGGAGGAGGTTGAGGAGCGTGCGGAGGATGGGATTGATGGTGATGATGATGGGGCCGGGAGCGCGGGTCTGCTCGGGGCGGCGGGGAGAGCGCGTTCGGTGGCCGCGGGAGAGATTGTGGCGGGTGGTATGGACGGCGTTGAAGAGGCTGGTGGTGAGGGCGTGGGCGTAGGAGGGGAAACGATAACGGTAGGCGCTTTCGGAGGTTCAACCGCTTGAGGCGCCGGTGCTGGGACCGGAGCTGCCGTCGGCACAGGTGTAGGCGCTTCAATCGCCTTTAGTTCCGGCGTTGGAGCCGGCGCCGGTTTGACCAAGCCCCTAACAACCTCCTCCTCGACCACCGTCGTCGTCACCTTCGTCACAGCCGGCTTCTTCTTCGTCCTCTTCGCCGCCCCAGCCCCGGCCCCGGCCCTCCGCGCCTTTAGCTCAGCCAGCACCCCAGCCGCAATGAAGTACAGCCGAAAGAGCAGCCGGTGCACGACGCCCTTCGCCGCCATCGTCAACCCGTGTCCGAAGAACGCCATCAACAACTCGAGCCTAAGCCCCTCGTACAGCGCCCCCACCCCTTCGGTGCGCGCGATCCGGACCACCGTCGCGAACACGCTTCTACGCCCCAGGTTCTTGACCGCACGCAGCGCCTGCGCCTCGATCTTGCCTTCGTCCGTCGAGTTGCGCTCCGGCGGCGCCACGTTGGCCTTGAATCCTCCCGGCGGCGATTGCGATTTCGGGGATACCGCCCCGTCGTCGTCTGCTCCTGCTCCTTCCCTGGCAGCAGCGGCGGCGGCCCTTTCCGCTTCGTGTTTCGCTTCGAGCTCCTTGACGACTTCTTCCCAGCCGCCTCTCCGAGCCGCGGGCGAGATGTCGTATTCGACCCTGGACAGGGCGGTCTGGAAGGGGTAGGTGACGGCGGTGGCGATGGCCTTGCTGACGGCCGCGAGCAGGAACGTGGTCGCGGCGCCGGGGCTGCTGTCCCGCTTGACGGCCTTCCTCCCCAGGAAATCCTGCAGGAAGAAGGTGATGCTCGGGTTCAGCGTCAGCACCAGGCTGGCCGAGTACCCGGACCAGAGGCCCGTGATGCCCTTCTCCTTCCGTATGGCCGCGATGATGTCGCGGAAGCTTTCTTCGCGGCCCTTCTGCGAGGCCAGGTTCGTCAGCGGCGTCGAGAAGAACTTCGAGCACGCCCCGGCTACTACGCCGATGGCTAGCTCCTCCAGGACGCCCGCGTCGTGGACTCTCCCGCCTCCTCTCCGCCGGCCGCGCGACGGCCGCGAGCTGCGGATCCACTCATAGAAGAGAAAGAAGAGGAAAGAGTCCAAAGCAGATCTGATTGCATCTTGGCCCAGGCCAGTATAGAACGCTCTCGGCCCGCCACCGGAACTCCAGATCTTTGAAAAGGCTTCGGTGATCCCTGCGTACGTAGGCTCGGGCGGTGCTGCTGCTGCCGGACCTGTCGTGGGTGTGGTAGAACCTTCTTCGTCCTCCTTCCGAGAAAGTTGGTCCGCCCCCTTCCGACGGAGAATACGCTGTTGCTGTCTTTGGTGTTGAAGGCGGGTCACCACTAGTGAAAGAGGATAGAGAGCGCATGTCGAGATGAGCGTGCCGGCGGAGCCGGAAATGGCGTGGTGGAGGGCCGGGAGGAAATTGTCTGATGCTGCTGCGTCCGCGAGGTTATTGGCGAGCGTTGTCGATGGCATGGCTGGTTGGCTATTTATATATATCCCACCGAGCTATCCTCTCTCTCTCTTTCTCTCTCGCTCTCGCTATCTCTCTCTTCTAGCGCGCTGAGTGGTAGACGAAAGGGGGCCGTTTAGACACCTTGGAGGTTTATATCTAAGGTATAGGCACCTTGACTACTAGGTAGACTAGGGCCAGGACGACCAATCTTCCGATTTGGGCGCCGGGGACGTTTGAACCTCGGGTGAGCAAGACTACAGGTTGGAAAGGAAAAAAATGGAAAAATCGACTATGAGAAGGAAAGGAAAGGAAAAGTATCGTCGAAGGGGCTTTTACGACCAACCGAATCTCGGAATGGAGACGTTTAGTAACGGGATGGTCAGGATGGTGTGTGTGCGTGTCTAGTGTCTGTGAGGTCAAGCGTGAGCACTTGCGACCCCTATGGTGCCAAGAGGCTGGTTGATGGCAGATCAACGTTCAAGGGGGGGTGAACGAGCCCACCATGTTTGTATATAGGTAGGTTATGCTGGATAATGTACTCTTAGTTAGACTACCCGGCCTACGGTCTGCCGCACTGATATCTGTTTGCCCGCCATTGGATCGACGAGGTCGTACAAGGGCGGCAGCATGTTGTTGTTTGTGTGTGCTGCGTGTGTAAACATACGAATGGAAGAGACTCCTGGCCGAGGCTCGGGATACGTCTCACGAGGTGATGAAATATCGGCGACGACGTCATATGTAGACTCGTAGGTGCTGCATGCTACAGCTATACGTAATGCATGCACTATGCACCCTGCACTCCATACATTCCATTCCGTTCCATAGCCCGCAGGGACTCGAGTTCCAAAGTTCCCAAGTCCCAAGTTCCCATGTTTCCCATGTTCCCAAATTCTCAACTTCCCAACCAAATAATAGGGAGGATATTATGGAATATTATGGGACGTATCTATTATTGTTCCCCGCCCCCCTTTTTCCTGCAACCCCTCTGATGGATCTGATGGATCCGATGGATCTATTTCCCATATTTTCCCATATTTTCCCAAATACTTATGACCTTTGAGGCTGACAATCCATTAAACGACCCCATCGCTAATCCTTTGGGCCTAGGCCACCCGCTTTGCCGTCCTGCCGTCTTCCGTACCCATGCTCATATCCCTATCCATCCTGTCCATCGTCCAAACCCAAATACTCCTACCGGACGCTTTACCACTTACGCACAGTGAAAATAACATCATAACATCGTAAATTAGGGTGTTTCCGCAAGGGGCTATCCGGTGAGGAATTGACCAGTAGGATTGGCGCGTTGCCATCCGGAGAGATTGGCGAGTTTACACGTGTTCGACAACACTCCCGCTTCATTCTAGTATTATGCAGCTTGAAGCTTTTAGTTCAGGCTTTGGTCTTTATACCGCCACTTCGGGCACCGACACGTGTGGGTTGCAGCCCTCAGCCTGACCGCACAGCATGAAGAAGGGATGTGAGCTTCCATTCCGAATCGCTCCCATTGAATGGATGAGCTGAACCGTACGAATCCTGAAACTATGTATATGTATGGCCCATCGCACCCGTGGCCGATGTTAGACTAGTCGACGGCAAATCATAAGATGCCTGCTGACCTGTCCCGCTTCTCGCATGCCTTAACGCCCCAAATTCATTCGCTTGCTAAGTAAATCCGAACGCCAAAGCGGCAAAGCCGCATGCTCTCAAAGTTGGTATCCCCAATACGCGCCTAAAATGACAGTGATCGACCCACCCAAAATGCACTTAATTACCCAACCCTCAATTTACACATCGCTATTGGGAGACAGAAGCTCGTGCTACATGAACGGGATAACATATATCATGGTAACCGATTCTGCCCTAACAATATTCGCTAGGAATGAATTGAAAGCAAGCTCGTCTGCTTACTCTCTACGTACGTATGTTCTCGTATCAATCTAGATACGGAACTTGCTGGGTGTTGCGTGTAAGTTGTTAGTGTCATGCTCGGCCTATCACGGACGGTCGTCTTGAGTTGGCTTGCATGCTAATACTCGAGGATCTTCTTACACCCAGGGAGCCCATCATTCCCAGGTCTGGCTCTCCGGGTGCGTCGTCCATATCCATATTCATAGTAGTATGGTTGGCAGCGTGATTTTCAGGAAGCCTTTGAGCACCAAGCCCTACCACTTTAAAGATATTGGTGCGCCCGCCATTGGTTGCTGTCTGAAGCTGCTCGTGAAGACGTGCGAGTTGGTAGGTTCGCTTGATCGGCGCAAAGATGGGTTGTGGCACGACCGGTTGCGGATTCCATCGAGCTAACGCGCCCATGACCGCCGCAGTCTCCTCGTCAGAGTCGACAGGTCCGGCATTAGCGTCATCGTCGTCCTCCAGAGGGGCGTTCGCATCCAGCGCGGCCTCTGTAAAATGGTTAATCAACATATTCAGAAACGTTACCAGGGTGGAGCCTCATACTCTGTTGTTTGGCCTGGTTCTTCTTTTGGTAGGCAGCTAGTAACATGTCGTAGGGAAGTGATCTGCCGGCGACGGCTCGTTTGGCGCCCATACTGTGGCTTTTGCATGTTAAGGATCTGGCGCACGGCTGTCCGTTCGGTAATATAACACCACATTGCTTCTCGACGTCCACAGGGCCTGGGATAAGTTAGATACGATGAGCACACCTTCAGCCGTAATCGTAAGGAACTGTAATGGTTAGATACCTTTAGGCTTAGGGACCTTGGGCTTCGGTTCTTCCTTTTTCTTTTTGCTCTTGGGTCCCTTGTCGGCATCGCCGTCGGCTTTGCGCTTCTTGCCCTTGGGCTCGCCGTCTGGTTTCTTTCCTCCTACCTTCTTGGAGGCCTTGCCACCTGTACCCTTCTTTAATGATCCGTCGTCGTCATCGTCACTGTCGTCGTTCATCTTGGCGTCGCCATCTTCGTCGTTCTTTCGGGCCTCCTCTTCCCGGGCCTGCTCTTTTGCTCGCTCTCTTGCCTCGCGCGCCTCTTTCTTACGCTGTGCTTTCTCCTTCTTAATTCGTAGGCACTGTGCGATATGCTCTTTTGCGGCCGTCTTAATGATTCCCTTCTTGCAATGCTTGCATTGTTGAAGATTAAGGTTATCTTCAAGTGGCCGTCCGGTCGCAAAGGTGTCGCGGGCAGAGTCGTCTAGTTGATTGACCACAGGTCCGGGAGATAATGAGCCGATGATGGAAGGATGTTCTGTAGCTTTGGATTTTTTATCGTCTATGAAATTGACACGCTTATTAGCTATCGAATATATATATATATATATATATATATATATATATGTATATATTAAATATGTGAATATAGTGTATGATGTGACTTATAACTTACCGTTAACGACGCTACCCTCTCTCCAATTTCCAGGCTTTATCTGCTTCGGTATAGGCTTCTTCAATTTTATTACGCCGTTTGGTCTGTCCTTGGTGACCTTCTTCGAGGCGACGTTGATGGTACCCTCGTCGTCGAGACCTGGAAAGTGGGGCAGATATTCGCATCAGCAAGACGCGCTGCACTTACGCATTTGCGCATTTACGCTTGATTGACACATACCTTTTCGACCCTCTCCCCCGGTCGCCATTTTGATAGCCCTCCGATAAGTTGGTTACATTTATCGATCAAGCAGAGGCCGTTACCAATTAAGCACGCGAAAAAGGAGATGAAAGCCTTGGTGGAAAATGAATTCTCGATGGTTGATGTCGGATGTTGTAGTGTGGTTGAGGAGCGTTCAAGCTTTCGTCTTTTGTCGCAAAGAACCAGGTTGGAGCCTTGGGAGTCAATAGGTTGGTTGATAAGATCTTATCTCTCTTATCTTTGTTATCAGCGCCTACCGAAGAACTACCGCAAAGTTAGGGAAAATTACCTGAACTCAGCTGGAAGCTAAGCTGCCACAGAACTCAATTTCTCCTCCTCTCACTACCCCAACCTTTGTTCAAGGTTGTACCATGACCATGACATTTAGGTTAAACTCGAAATCATTGTTTGCTAATTGCTAAAAATGGGCTGCTCTTTCAACTCAAATTCGTTATCATCAGTAGGTACGTACTCCCTCATCTTCTACGTCCAGTGCGTCGAAAGAGAGCATCCCCAAGCAAGTCCATGTCCTGGAAATGCATGGATACAATCAAAGTCTTATATATTCTGTATCAAGAGCCATACGTACTTGTACCCAAGACCCTTCACCAAGGCCCGTAGCTAACTACGAATTGGTATCGACGTACATTTCTCTCGGGAATGCATGTAGATAAGCCATCTTGTATGAATGAATATAGATTTTTGCGTATTTTTGTAACATATTCACTCCAATGCCCTGTGAATGCCATTCGCCTATATATAACGCTGCCTTAAATATGCCCAAACGTTTAACAGATCAATGATACCCCAGATCCGGCCACGCCTGCGAATGCCTTTCCGAATATACCACCTAGAGGTCAGTATTCTAAACCGTTCAATGCCTATGCGTTGTTTTATGAATCCTCTCCCTCGAGCTTCACTTCTTGTTTGATAAGTGCTTTATCTAGCTTGGTCCGATGCTCTTCCATGAGTTCCGACAGCGCGAAGGCGTGTTGCATCCCCATCTCCTTCCAAATCACCAGTAGAACGTTATTAGCCCATTCCCAATACTCGGGCGGTACGTTCGGAGCGCATCCAGCCACTGCGAGATGCCAAAGAAGACTAGGCACTCCTACAGCTCCAGAATTACCAAACCCGCCCGCTTCAAACTTATGAGTGTCTTCTCGGTTTAGCATCGGGTGGTGCCAATGCGATGGCGTACTTATAAGAATATCTTCGGCAAGTCGTTCAATAGTCATATAGCATCTAGTTCTTCGAGCTGTAGATATGACCCGACTACATGAAATGGGACAGTCGGTCATAAACTTGACGAGTCTCTGCAGACCTAGAATGCGGGCCCATCGGTAGTGGTTCCATATCCTAGCACCCCAGACCTCGTTATATTTATGCCACTTCCCACGGAAAACTGCCGGCGGCGGATATTCCCCCTGGTTCTGCGTAAAGGGGAACGCTTCTAATAACCGGCTTTCTAAGCTGTCAAATACATCGTCTAATCGAAGGAATTGTTGTATTAGATCATTCGTAGTTGGTCGTTCATCAGTAAGAATAATGTGGTCGGTTATTTTTAATAGTTGGAGGAGTCGAGCAATGGCAAGCCCTAAATCAACGGAACAGCCCTCCGGGACATCCTGCATCAGCTGCTTGCAGAACTCAAGGGTCTCGAAGAAAGTGGGTGGCAGAGGCGATTCCATCATGTAATACGGGATAAACTAATCTCGTCAGTGCTTCGACAGGATAAGCAAAACAGGGTAATACGATACCGATGAAAACAATAACTGTAAGACGCCATGGGCGCCGCCATTAGGGGCATGCGGGAGAGGCAGTACAGATCGCAATACAGCCACCGCGCCATTTATGTGTGTACTTGCAGAACCCACTGTCCCTTTAGGTCCTTTGCCCTGAACAACCTGGACGTAGTCAGCGTCTCGTGCCAATACATCAATTTTCCGTGGCTTTATTTTACCTCAAATAAAGCGAGTGTCACGACGCTCCGAAGACGAGCTATGAGGCCGGTAGGGTTATTACTAGCTATCAGTTGCCCAGTTTGTTTCAAAGCCGCAACGTATTTCGACCGGGCAAGAAGGTTCATGTTCTTGTTTCCCAGCAGATTTGACATGCCAGCGAGACCTACAGCTACCATAACGTTTTGAGCGGCATCCGCGCTCGAGAAATACTCTGCTACCTGGTCTCGTGTTTTAGGGGAGTCCGGATGATTCATGAGATAACGATTGATATAGAATTGCATTCCTTGTTGATCCACGTTCAGGTCTACCTTTCTCGGTATCCGCACAGGCGCAACGTCGCGCGGCGCGACGGGAGTATCCGCCGGTGGGCTATCAGAGGTAGAGGTAGACGCTGGCGACTCCTGTGTCCATGTGGAAGTAGAAGATGAGGATGAGGCTAACGACGAACCTCCGGGTACATCGGTAGGAGACCCCGAAGAGCCCCATTGAGCGTGTGCTTTTTGTATAACCTTACTACTCTCATCTCGGAACATAAGCGATAGCTGGTCTCGATAACCCGGGCATTTCTTGCCCACTCGAATGCATTGGGAGCATTCTGGTCGTTTTTTATCGCACTAGAAGTTCCTAGTTAATTATGGGTCGCATTTATCTACTTGTAGTCCCGATAGATTGGGTAGACCCAGGCGATTCCACGCGAGGCAGTTAAACCTCGTGCAAGTTCATGTATCTCACCTGCATAGCAGGACAAGGAAAGTGGGTGCAGATATCTAACGAGAGGCAGTGAGCCTATACGCACCTTTATACGCCGGGTTCGACAATTTTGGCAACCCTGGGAAGCCTTCCCACAATAAACCATTGTGCGAGGAGGCCAGGATAGGCAAGCTGAACGAGCAAATCAGAAGTGTGTATCGATTTTAGTCGTGCGTATCAAGTTTCGCGCCTGCGTAAGTGGCAGTCGTCGTTGGTCAAGATTGCTTTCTGTCGGGTATCGAAAAGGGAAAGCAGCTCGTCTAGGTCGTGGGGAATAAGAAGGATCATGGTTGTGTGGACTAGCGGCCCTAGTATTACTCCTCCTCGCCTCCCTCTCCGTTGCCTCTATAAAAGGCTCGCCCAGCGCCGTGTCCGGCTCCTAGCTATTTTCTCCAGAGTCTCCGAAGAGTTTTGCACCGAGCCCGGATGGATGCACAGCACGTGTCCTCAAGATTGGACATTCAACGGCGAGTCGGCGGCTTTCATCAACCTTCAATGTAACTGAAGGCTTGTACACCGATACCGCTAACCGGTTAAAAGAATACTCGGTATGATATCAAGCCGGCTAAGGTAGCTAGCTGGATTCAAATTTATCTTTTCTTTATAAGCAAGGTCGCGTAATGATATCCGGAAAAGAATGTCTTATGAGAAGCGAAGGATGAAGATGCTCGAAGAAAGTTGCTAGGCTAGCAACTCTACCAAGTGTGTGTGAACAGCCTGGAAGCTGGGACGTAGGTAAGTAGCGGCGATGCGGGTTCACGGTATTCGGCAATAGTTATACTGTATGCTCGCCTCGTCTGGTTCTGCTTGTTGCTGTTCGGGAAGGGTTTGGTTTAATCATAAATCCTTCAAAGCGACCAGTCTAATGACGATGTACCACGGCGCTTGACTTCCTATCTTGCAGATGGTCTACATGGGTGTGTCTTTTTCTTTTCTTCCCTTTTCCCACACTGCGAATTGGTCATGTTTGAAACTCGAAAGAGACGTGAAAACTCGAGAGCCGCCAAATAGGAATTTCCCCGCTCTCACTTAGACCCAATCGTCTGTCCTATGTGGGGGTTAAAGATGCACTGTTAGGGATTGCTTAGGGATCAACCGTTGATCGAAGTCGAACATCCTGGCAACTTGGAACGGGATTTCTAGGGTTGGGTTCTCGGGTTTTAGATGGATGTTTACGTTGGTAGGCGGGATTCGTGTAGACGTAGCAGCCTAGTTCTTTAATTCGCCGGTCAAGTTGCAATTGGAAGGCGCTAAAATAGGTAGGTACAGGCTTCGTAGCTTCTCATGGATTAAGCTTCTAAAGTTCTATGGGCGTTCTATGCCGACCGCATTCAATTAAGGTGTGCTCTGATGGCATTGAATTGAGGACACGGGACGGGATCTACGTCATTTGAAGGTTATGCTTAACCTATTTTTTAATCCGGAAGTTACCTTGATAATTACTACTACTAGATAGCTCGGGAGGTACACACGAGACTTAAAAAGCTCTCTATCGCGGTACTCCATATTTTCTTTCATACCTACCTCCTATGGATAGGTTCTTCTCATTCTCCAATCTAGTGTCCCTTAAGAGCCGGGGCTGTAAGGCATCAGAGCGTCTTATTTGCTTAAGTATTTGGCCGGGTGCTACGTTACGAGGAATCCGGATGCCACTTTCCGGCGTGGCGTTGCGTAGAGCCGAAGAGCTTGCGATGCCAGCAAACAATTTCTCCCATCTTATCAGATTTTTTTCTCGGAAGTTCTCCTCAAATATTACCAATTCGTCGTCTACGAGTGATCTTTAAAAGTTCACTTATACTTCATAAGTCTTCACTTACCTTCCTACCAACAAAATAGGTAATATGTTAACATTCAACCCGATGAGTAAGTTGTTCATGACTGACTACAAAAATATACGAGGCTTAATTGACCATGGTATCGGTCCGGGATATTAGCAGGGCCGTCACTCTTAAGCCATCAGACCCTAATTCTATGGAGTCCAGCCCAGTGTGACAGGGTGAGAAGGGGAATTTTCGAGACAAGACAGAAACTCTCCGAATCCGAAAACTTCCATTGACAGCTCACCCCTGACAGCACTGACAAGGAGAAACTGCCAGTATCACTTTCGTTTGTTACTGTGGTGAAGTCTGCATGCAGCCAAAACATGCACGTTACCCCTCCTCTTGTACAGTGCAGGTAGCATTCTGGTGCCTGTCGGATTCGTAAGGCTTCGAGACAGACGATGGTCCTATCCTCACGCCAATACCTTGACGTGCGTCATTGAATACCATCCAATCGTTAGGCGTCAAAAATATGAGGCGAAGAAGAGCTCTGGATAAGAAATGCGAGTGGTTCACAGTACTTGCCCACATGTGCTCTATCCAACATCGGAAAATAAACGCGGGTGATAAACGTCTGGTTTTAGCTTCAGATGCCAATACCGGATTGTCATTGGCTGGTTTTCATCAGATTGTCAAGTTTGTTGGTATTTCCACCAGCGATGGTGCTAAAGGGATCTAACTAACGTGACGACCAAGTGTTCGTCCTCCGCTATTGTAGGCATTAGAGTTAAGTCCCCTTCGTCTAATGAACCCCTGAAATTTCTATTGAAATCGAAGACTCCTTAGTAATAGACATTCGCTTGATCCGGCCCTAACCCTGCAAAACAAAGAATACCAGAAATTCAACTAAACCCGGATGATTCTGATACATCCTGGTTTACCCTAGGCACTCCTATATCTCTTGTAACGCAGTAGCTGAGCTGTCGTCACCTCCCAGTCGCCTTGTGCCTACTGGATTCTTTGGGACTCTAAACCCCATAAAAGGGAGATAAGACCCCGGGAAAAAGAGACAGAAGCTCACTACAACCAAGAATATAGGTAAAGTATCCAAGATATACATGCTATGAAGCACTCACGTCAGTCTCCAGAAAGAAGTATTGGGGAGGGATAGACCTGTCCATGACTTACTAGAACTCCTTTTGCATCACAGAACCATTCGAACCTTGAGCGAACTCGACAACACGGAATACAGAACGGATCTACAGGCTAGTGTCAGAAGGTCCGTATCACCAACCAGAGTTTGATCTCTCACCAAAATCAGAATGCAGGAGGCATTCAGAGCATATAATAGGCGTCTCCACTTAGGGTTTATCTTCCGTGACGACCCTCGGACGAAGACAGCCTTACCACCATCTACCTCCTCTAGCCTCCAGCTGAGGCCCGCCACAAATCGTTGCGAGGTAAAGTGAAACCGAGCAGCGATAATTGTGAAAAGTCCAAAGGCGGCTATTTGGATTCCAAGACCCGCGAGCGCGATATCCTTGCCTATCTTCAGCTTATTCATTGCGTCTTTATCAGTGGCCTGCGTGCTCGACACGCTAACGGCACCGATTAATTGGACTAGGAGCGCGACGACATCGAAGGTGACAAAAATAGGGGTGATCCAGCGGGCTACAATAGTCAGTACGGAATGTTTTTCCTTTCGGCGGTGGGAGACGTACGAGGGATCCAGAGAAGTCTTGTGGTTCTCTCCTCGGCGGGAACAACGTGGAAGACAATTCGACCAAAAACGACATAAATGGCACCGGCCATAAGAACGGGGGCAAGGATGATCACGCAAAACTGTACCGCGTATGGGTTTAAGCTGGTAGGGTCGTTGGCGGATACTATTCGAACTGCATATCCAACTACTTCCACTATAGTACCGGCTAGTCAGCAGCTGCTCGTATAATATCAATGGACATTCGAAAGACATACTAGATATTGCGAGTATCTGGACTATCCATATCCATGACCTCTTCCGGATTGTCATGAAGGTTGACCATACGAGAGTGAGGCCGAACAGAACGCAACACACCACAGCTGCCGGGACAGATGGATCATAATCATAGAAGGAAAGATTTTGGTCTTTTGACGCCATATTTACGACTTGTTGTTAAGAATGAAACGAGGCTAAACGAATGTATAACGAGGGTAAACGCAGAAGGCGAAAATCTTCAAGTTCTATGGTACAAGTTGGGATAATTATCTAGTTGAATTCAACGTGCCAGAATGTCGAGCGCCAGTGCCCAAGACAACTTCAATGTCTATAAAGCAGGCAATAGGACTTCTTAGCAGGCAGAATCATACCGCGTGCTGTGTGTCACGAAGTGTCTGCCTGACTGGCTGTGCTGTAACGCGCCATGGGGCACGGAAAGGTTTGCAAAGCCTGAATCCTACAAAGATTTGAGATCGGTAGTTTTAGTACATATCAAGATCGGGGCCGAACCCGAATACCTAGACGAAACACCCAGATCCGTCTCGTTCTCGCTTAGATCTGTTCTTTAATTGCCAGGATGAGGCTGGGACCTTATTAGTCCAAGGAGGCTTACGTGTCGTCATACCTACCGGATAGTTTTGTATATTGAGGCTGAGCAACAAGCTGAACTATCACCAGGAGCTGAACTTTCCGATCACAATAATCTTCCGATGCTATCTATCAATACGAATTACACAGCCACTTATAAGGAAAGATGCTAGTTTTAAGTACATCTATAATGTCATTAAGGCCGACTCTTTGGAGTCGCACAAGCCTTTCGAAAACAACGTAGTATTTATCAAGCATCCTAGGTACGCTATTATAAGAAAAATCTCGATAATTGTGAATCTTTTAGGAAAATAAGCTGATCTCTTTGCTCAACGATACAGGGATAAGGATATAGGCAGACATTATTTGATACTCAAATGGCAGCATTTATTTTACTCATGGAAGCTCATGACGGAATAAACAAGATAGGAAGCATAACACGAAGTGATATTATGTATAAACATGTAAGGTAGATTTGATTAGTTCTTTTAGCTATTACATGTTCGTTGAATCTCCTACTATTTGTGTATACACTTGATACTTTGTAGTGATAAGTATTCCCCCAGGACTTCACTACCACTCTAGTCACTGGTTACGTTTGATGATATTGTATCATAGGTACCTACCAATTCCAAAATATGATGGACGATTTCTTCCAAAAAGCTCTTTACTCTTCTACTTAGAATTTCGAAGTACGAGGGACGCCATAGCAAACGGGGATGATTTACCTTTAGCATGCAAGTTCCCGCCATGAGGAATAGTAGATCTTAGAAAGATTGAATCGTTCCACTCGTTACATTTTCTCCCACAGTTATAGATGGATGCTTAGGTGAACTTGTAGGTACCACTACTTCCTTCGTATACTTTGCTAATAAATAAAGCTTATTAAAAAGGGAGGCGTAAGTCATTATTTCTTTTGCGTATCATTGATACTCTAAGTTGAATAAGAGGATTTAGCCACTGTTGTCTTTTCTCGTTATCCCCTGAATGCCCCACTTTACCCGGTAGGTAACGAATGGTTTAACCTAAGTAGTTTCGTAAGCAACAGCTTCCAGTACGTATGCAAATCCCCGCGTATGCATGTGACATATAATGAAATTATAGAAAGGTAGATGGAACATTTCATTCTCAACTGGAGAAAGCTTATTGCGTCATCAAAATGTGTGCGATCATTGCTGCAGCGCGCTGTAGTGATTCACCTACAACAGTAGCGTACGCAGGACGCGCAAAAACCGAAAATGAGGTGTGATGCTCACGGACCGTACAATGCACGTAAGTGCCGCGGTCGCCGTCCACGAGAAATCCGCCTTCATCCCAAATATGCGCGTGTGCTGGATCTTCATCCGGCATGAAGCCGATCTTAAGGTCCTGTCCGGGTCCACCACGTCGAGTCGCGTTCCAAGCAGCCGTGCGGAAGAGCGAAGGTATTTCGCTTGCATTCTCGCGCTCCTCGGCTTTTACGACTCCTAGTAGCGCGTACATGTGATTAACAAAGCCACACCCGCGCGCCGCAGATGATATGGCCTGCGAGTACGTCATAGCGGCGGCATCGAATAGAGATCGCAGACAGGCTTTTGAATCGTTTCCGTTGGCGACCGCCTCTATGAAGGTTCGAACAGGCGAAGAAACAGTCTGGACCCAGTCGAGGCGACCGTGGGCGAAAGTGCTCAGGGATACAATCTCCCAAGCTGGTCGTATCGCGCCATCGACAAGATATACTGCTAGGAGCACAGTAAGATGAGCAGTAGCGTGAGGGGATGCTCTGGTGTTCCCTAGCGATATCATGCCTAGGCTGCTGATATCTGTGGTCTGATGGTCAATGGGACCATACGATGAGCACCGCTGCTTGACGAGTTCAACATGACGGGTGATGGTTGGGCTTGGTTTCCAAGTATGCTCATGAATGGGATATGCAGTAGATGGGAAAGAAGCCACACAACCAGAGGATTCGTCAAACAGCGCATCCACAACTTCCTTATGAAGCGAACGAACGTCCAGGGCATCAATCTTGGTGTGCTCATAGACCCCTGCCGACAAGCCATTGGCGGTCACGACGAATTGGACAGTCTTATCCAGCCATCGATTCGTGAGAGGATGGTCACAGCCGTTCCAAAGATACTGCACATGGCGTTCTCCGGGGCTCTGCGGTGCTTCATCATCTAAACACACTACAAATGCTGCCGCATCAATGGCGGCTAGAGTTGCGCTGTTATTAGGATCAAGCTCCAGCTCATTACGCATCTTCGAAGAAAGCGGTTAGCATTACACAACAGAGAAGGGGAGCGAATAACGCACCATGGTCCACGAACTACGTTCATCAGCGGTTAAGGTACAAATGGATAATTGCGGCTCTTCCGAAGCCTCGAGAATTGCAATGTATGCCGCGAGCACCGCTGGCAGATGTATTGGCATATTGGGGTCAGGGAGCATTAATTGGAAAACGTGACCTCGTCTCAGGACGGCAACGTTTTGACTAGGTGCATAGCGTTCCATGCAGTCTTTCTCGAGGCCTGGCTTGCGCGTCGCGTAGAATAGCCAGTTACGCGCTTCTGTATTCACTGGCATACCATGGACTGTGTCCGGGGCTATGTTGCCTGTGCTTAAGCGACGCGAATAGTTGACAGCGGCTGTTGTGACGATAGCTGCGCGCTCTGCCTGCGAATGAGCTGGTGCATCTAACGCATGACCCACTGTATATTCGCTATAGTCTTGAAGGGGCTCACGTCTCTCAAGATATATTTGACGATCATATATTTCAGCAAGATCACTGGGCGTTGATTCTTCGACACGCTGCTGCGATAATGGACCTTGGCCTCCCAGAAACTCCTGAATTGCGGTAATCGTGTCTTTTTGGTCTTCGAGGGGATCGATCGCACAACGAGATTCTTGAAATAAGTGCAGAGTTTCTTCAAGCGTAGGAAACCCGAGGGGCGGGAGATCGTTCTGTTGGACTTTTAGGTCTGCAGATGCACTCATATTCGTAATTGGCGACATCACCTCTTTCTCACCGTCGTATTCGGAGCCGACTTCACTGCTTGATGTGTTCGCTGATACTGAAGAGGCTATGCGGGAACGAGCTGCCACCTTCTCAGCGAGAGCACGAATGGGTTGATCAATCATGAGTTCGGATGACTGCAAAGGTGCATCGAATTCCCGCATCAGCCAGTTGCGCAATTCTATGGCGACAAGCGAATCAAGTCCGAGGCCAAGGATGGAGCCTTCGTGGTCTCTAACGCGATTCACATCAGTTGCGATCAGTTTTGCTAGCTGCGTGGTCATAGCATTGGTGATAAAATCAACAGCTAAGCTGGCACTACCGATGGATAAGACTTCTTGAAAAGAGGAGTGAGTAGTCTCCGTTGATTCCAGAGGCTGTTCATTAGATGGTTCCTCTCGAACATGCCGGAACATAGCTGAATATATATTGCTGTTGCGAGCAGTTGCTTGGGCGAGCGACATAGCGTCAAACCCGATGATGGCCTGGGCCATACGAGAATCTGTGTTTATTGTTCCTAAGATATAATCGAAGTAACGCGATAACTCTTCATGACTAACAGCTCTGAGACCAGAACGACGGAGACCGGTCAACCGGGCATTATTATCGGCGGTATGAATGGCGTCTTCGATCCACCCGATGTTGAGAGAGATGAGATGGTATGATACGTTTCTGCCGTTCTGGGCCATGGCATCCTGGACTGAATTGCCAGCATTATAGTTAGCCTGGCCGCTGGCACCCACTATATTAACAGCGGATGAGAGCATAAGGAGGAACTCTAGATGAGGCGAAGCGAAAACACGCTCAAGCGTATGCGTACCCTCGACTTTGACTTGGCTCGCAAGCAAGAAATCGTCATATGTCATCGATTCGAGCGTCCGATCCTGTAACAATCAGCCTTGATAGCTTTGAAATCATAAGGATTTTACTCACCTGAAGTATTACGGCCGACTGGATCACACCTCGTACGGGAGGTACTCCCATTCGGATCAAGTTTTTGGCGGCATTACGTACACTGACCTCTGATGTTATATCACATTTGAGGCAATGAAGAATACAGCCTGGAAGTATTGCTTGAAGCTGTGCTTGTAATTCATGGTAGTCCTCAGTGCTAATAGCACGTCGTGAGAGGGTAACGAGGAACTTTGCCCCCCGTCGCGCCATAAGGATTAGAAGACGTCGACCAAGATCGCCTAGACCACCAGCGAGCACGTACGAAGCGTCCTCTTTGCCCCAGTCGAATCGACCTTTACCTGGTTGCATTGCAGTTGGCACAATTGAGTCAGCCCCGGCGCGTAACGTTATCTGATCATAGGCTCCGGTCCGGACAAGCCGCAGTGCCTCTGAAACTTGTGAAATATCACGAGTATAGGGCTCTAAATCGCTTACTGGAAGGTACTCAAGTGCGACGGAAGTCTTCTCCATGAGGCTATTTATCAAGTCTGGGCAAGCTTGGAGTAATTCTACGATGTTAAAATGATGGAATGTTGTGTTTGGTGGAAACTTCGCAATATCTTGCACTGTTTGCGACATGGAGATGATACACGTGAAAGGTCTGAGGTAGCCCAATATCTCGATAGGCACGCTGTCGCTGCTGGCCAGGACGATGGCATCTAGGGTACCAGCATATACGTCTCGTGGAGATTGTCTGCGAGGCGAACGACGACTAATGAATATATCGCTGGGTCGTACACCAAGCTGGTCTTCTAGTTGCTTGGCCTCAGCAAGGCTAGAAGCTGTGATCATGACATGAGCACCTATAGCACGTGCGACAGCCACTGTAGCTCTCCCATTTGCACTTGAGGCACCATGGATCAAGATCACTTCCGTGGGCTGCAACCGGGCGAGAGTATGCAGCGAATATGAAGCACTTATGAGGTTCATGAGGTACGCTACAGCCGTGCTGGGAGAGATGCGCCCCTTAATATGGCCGACGCGATCAATAGAAATTCGTGGATGGCTGGCACCAATGGTCGATCCGAGAGCTACGACGCTATCACCTAGGGACAGGCCTTTGACATTCGCGCCGATCCGTGTGATATTCCCTGCAAATTCGCCGAGCCCTGTCGCCCGACGCGACTTGGATAGTACAAAGGCCTCAGTCTCAATCTCGACTTCATGAATTCCCAGTGGTGTGGTCTTGGCAGTTTCGTCTTCAACGAACAGAGGTTCGGTAGTAGTATGATCATTCCTAGGGAGAGAAAGGACAAGTGGCCGCGTGCTGTCCCTGAACCGACGCAGTTCGGTTTCGGGGAGATCGTCATTTGTCTGGATAGCACGATTTAACCGCTCACTTCGACGAACACGCGGTATAAGAACGGTGCCGTCACCTGTTATTCTATATTCACGCTCCCAATCTGTCGTGGGCTGTCCGGCAAGACTGCGACTAACGCAGCTACTAAGAACTTGAAGAATACGGTCTTGGCCGAGTAAAGTTGATGAGGCATGGATTGTAATCAAACGAAGATCATCATTCTCGGCATGAGCAGTGCGGGCAATGCCGGTGATTTGATGCATTGACGAAGGTTCGTCAAGGCTAAGCCAGATGATCTGGACTGGCTGTCTCAAAAGAGCTATTACGGCGGTGAAACAATCGCGATCGGAGAGCATCGACTGTTGTTCATCATCAACTATAACGTAATAATGGTCGTCTTTAATTCTAGTCGAACCTGTACCCAACGACTCTAGCGATACAATGTTGCCAAGGTCTCGTAACCCTTTAGCAATCATAGTGGTCCACGAGGACGGGGAATCAGTCGGCGAACGAGTCAAGATCTGGATGTTGTGTGATAAGTGTGGTCCTTGGCCACCAGCTATGGGAAACGCGACCTGCCTGTATTGGCCTTCATCACAGACGACTAGCTTCGACTCGAAATCTATCGATGCTCCTCGTGAAGCAGTGAGCCAAGTATCCTCAAGCGAGTTCAATATGAGCATGCCGCCTGTGCTCAAAAGCACTCCGGTCTGGCGGGCATATTCGGGTTTTGAGACCATGACGACATCGTAATGCTGCGGCTTGAATCCTTGCGCGACAGGATTCGCGACAGGGTCCATGGTTCTGTAATGAATTGAGTGGCCATGAAGTTGCCGTTGCGCATCGTCAAACAGTGCGGATGTAGAGTCCACAAAGTCATATGAGCCTATCTGCCCTTGGTGTATGCTGACAGCGTTGAGAAAGACCGTGGACAGATCTCCGCGCCCGCCACCGAGTTCAAGGACCGCGAGCTTGGCATTCTTGAAGCAGATGTAGCTGACTACATCGCTTAGGCCCGGATTTGATGGTAGATCCTGAGGCCGAAGATGATCTATATCAGGTTTCCACTCAAGCTCATAGCAAATACCAGCTTTCCCAGTAGATCCATCCCGGTGTATTTGCTGTCCCAGACTCCTCAACTCAATACCCGAGGCCGATAGTATTGGGATGTTGCCGGCAAGAGCAGAGATTCCAGAGTACATAGTACGAAACTCACCGGATGTGACCTTTGTCGATACGGATATCCTATCACCGGGGCTGGTCACCATCGCCATTGCGTGTACCGATAGCAGCAACTCATCAATATGAACTGGCATGACCGCACCGGCACCCAGACGGCGTCCTACCAAGGGCAATGCTGTGTGAAATATAGCGTCAAGGGTAGATGGATGAATGAGATGAGGCTCTTGATGTTGTGCTGGCATAGTGGCTGCAGTATCACTAACATTAATCTCTGCTGTAGCTTGTGAAAGATCCGAAGCCATTGTGAGCGATTTGATGCTTGCAAACGTTGGCCCATATTCATTACCCGCTCCAACGAGTTCACGATAGAGCTCAATAGAGCCAAGGTTTAGGCCTCTACGCACCGATTCTACCCCATTAAGGGGTGACACCTCTTCTGGCCCACTGTTCTTGTTACTGAATAAAACGCCCTCAATGACGCCTCTGCAGTGTTCGTGCCACGCACCGTCAGATAGAGCAGAAATAGAGAAAGCAAAGGCAAATTCCTTGCCAGATTGCAGCTTCAGGCTCAGCTGCACTTCCGTACGCTGAGGGGGTTCGGGTATGACCAAGGCTCGTAGGAAGGTAATGTCATCCAGGGCGATCGTCTCGAGTGACTGCAAAGGGTAGTATTCGCGGCAGAGTTGTCTGACCGCTTCGACTGCCATACATAAGTAGCCTGACCCTGGGAAGATGACTAGACCATCGACTACATGATGGGATAGCCAAGGCAAAGTAGATATGCTAACCATATGTCGCCAGCGCGGCTCAATCGTCGTTGAATCAGCAACACGCACTCCCAATAGATCATGGTACGGATCCTTGCGCATACGATATTCGAAACTGACTCTGGATTCGTGCCAATGCTTAGTCGAATGATCCCAAGGGTAAGATGGGAGGTCTGTCAGCATGTTGGCAGTCTGGAATTCCGAGGATAGCGTCGAGACGGCGTCGATGACGAGCTTCATTGAATGCTCAAATAGGTTAGAAGCAAGCGTCAAGGCACTTGTGACGGCACAAACTTTCCTTTGTAGAACAGAATAGTAGTCAAACTCGAGCTTAGAGAAGCTCGACTGCGCAAGAGTTTGGCGGACTGGCCCAGCGAGTGCTGGGTGCGGTCCAATCTCAATAAAGACCAGAGGGCGTCCAAACCCTCTCGCAGCTTCATCGCGAGCCAGTGTTTGGATAGCATCGCAAAAGCGAACAGGAGACACGAGGTTGGTAGTCCAGTACTCACTATTGAAGCAAGATGACTTGTGAGTGCCTGTTACTGATGATATAAAGGTAACATCATTACTGCCCGGCAGCACGTCGCCGGCTTGTAGCTTGCCAAGACTAGCTCTGTAGTCTTCAGCTACAGCTTGCATGTGGTAAGAGTGATAAGCCGTATCCACCACCAAACGCCGAAGAAATGTACCCTCGGAACTAGCCCTCAGTCGGGTTGCGAGCTCGTCAACAGCATCTGAGTCTCCGGAAATGGTGACGTTGGTGGGACTGTTGACGCACGCGATACTAGCGACCCCTTTTGTTAAAGTATTGCAATAAGGCGCGACTTCACTCTCGCTCAGGCCCACAGACATCATGGCGCCATGCGGTAGACCCTTAAGCTTAGAAAGCCCGGATACGCGGCCGCGGTGGTAGGCAATTTCCAGGGCGGCGCGATGCGAGATGTAACCCGCCGCATAGGCGCCAGCGATCTCCCCGCTGGAGTGGCCGACTACTATCTGAGGTCGTATACCCTGAGAGCGGAGCAACTCGACAAGCGCGATCTGAACCGCCGTCGTAGCCGGCTGGGCTAGTTCGGCTGTGTTCAGGAGCGTCGATGTAGCGTCGCGGAGAAGTTCGGTCTCGAGATCCCACTTCGCTCCAAGCTCCGTACATAGTATGCCGCGTGACGTGCGCAAAGAATCCCGGAAGACGTTTGGCAGCGTGGTATTCGCCAGGAGCTCACGCCCCATGCCTGCCCATTGAGCGCCTTGGCCGGTGAAGACGAACATGATGGATGGAACTGATGAAGCGGGCTTTCTTGGCGTCGTGCTTAGCCCCTGGTGTAGCTTGTTTAGCAGCGATGATCGGTCGTCGGCTACACAACTGAACCGCCATGGTAATCGCGAGCGCCGGTGACAAAGCGTATAGGACAGGTCCGCTAAGTCTACATCCGGATGAGAATCAAGCCATTCATGATGAGCTTTGATCATGGCGGCTAGTGATAACCGTGAGTACGCCGATAGCATGAAGAGTCGAGGGACTCTAGCTCGGCGGTCAGGCGATGTTCGTGGTGGTGCGCGAGGCCCCTGTTCAAGAATTGCATGACAGTTCGTGCCTCCGAATCCAAAGCTGATACTAGTGTTAGGTCAAAACATGAAAACAGGACAGAATAGAGCCTTACCTGTTAATGGATATGCGAGGTACGACTCCGTCGATGTGCGGCCACGATATCAATTTATCAGGTATGCGCATCTGGTCTAGGGGAAGGCCAGGCTTAGGAATAGAGAAGCCCGCGACTGGTGGTATGAGTTTGTGTTCTAATATCAATACCGCCTTAAGCACGCTAGCAAGGCCGCTGGTATTCTCAGTATGTCCAATATTGCCCTTGATAGATCCAACATATAGGGGTACAGCACGGGCCGAGCTCGTGAAGACATCGGCCAGAGCAGCCAACTCCTCCCGGTCGCCGGCATCTGTCCCGGTGCCGTGAGCCTCAACGTACGCTATATCTTCCGGCTTTAGGCCACTCATAGCATATGCGGTACGTATAAGGTCCGCCTGGGCTTTGCCGTTCGGATGTGTAATACCGGCTGGTGTATAGCCGTCTTGATTTACGGCGGTGCCACAAATAATGGCGCGGACAGGGTCACGATCCCTGAGGGCATGATCGAGACGCTTCAGTGCGAATACAACAAAGCCCTCTCCGCGTCCGTAGCCTTCCCCCCTGATATCGAACGGATAACTACGCCCAGTTCCGCTGATTAAATGCATATTGCTCATACCAATATGGTGATCCGGACCTAAGGTCAGATTGGCGGCGGCTACTATAGCCGCAGTCGACTCGCCATCTCGCAGGCTCCGACAGGCCTGGTGCATAGCTACAAGGCCGCCAGAGCATGCGGTATTCAGTGTTATCGAGGGTCCCCGTAAGTCAAAATGGTACGAGATCCGATTGGCCAAAATGGCCTTTTCAGCACCGGTAGCGTAGTATGTTGGTAGGTCGAGTGTGTCTTTATACAGATTTCGATTGAAGTCTGCTGTAAAATCGGCAACGTAAACAGCGGTGCTCGTTCCGGTGAGATCCTCGTTAAGCCAACCAGCGTTCTCGAGTGCCTCATACGACATCTCGAGAAGAATTCGTTGCTGCGGGTCCATAGCGGCCGCCTGTTGAGGCGATATCCGGAAGAAAGAATGGTCGAAGTCCCGCACATCTCCGTCGATGAAGTGCCCGCCTTGGTGATTACTCGTTCCATTAGGATCATCGGCGCTTGGATGGTGAAAGGCAGCCTGGTTGAATCGGTCACTTGGAACCGGAGTCCAACTCTCGCCGCCTCTCTTCAGGAGATCCCATAGTTCGTCGACGGAGTTGGCGCTACCTGGTAATCGACAGGAAATGCCTACCAGAGCCACGGGTATATCCGTCTCTCTCACTGTTGATGCCATATCTGTAGCGGATAGGGGGCTTCGAGCTGTTTCGGAGGCTTGTTACAATGTTGGAAACGATGTCAGAGAAAGATAAGCAGACCAGGGCTTTCATGATACGACGAACAAGCAAAGGGAAATAGGCATGACGGGCTACTTTACGAGATTAACATATCGGTTGGTAAGGCTCTGTGAAGCCGACGCTCGTCTTCGTGCAAATGAAATTAACAGCGTGACGGCCATGAGCCTTGGAATGAAGCCAGTCTCGAATATGGTCTACATGTAGGGGTATGGGGAGCGTTCTAAGTCCTATCCATAGATACTACCTACCTAAGCTTACTGCTGCGTTACGCCTGGACCGATCCCCAACATCGCCGGGAGGCGGAGATGAAGAAGCCATTTGTACGACGTTCAAGGGGAACAACCTTGGTTTTTTTTTCCTCGCTTATTTTTTTCTCTTTTGCTTTTTTTCTTTCCTCGAGACCAATCCGCACCGTTTCGACACAACCGAGGGTTTACCCTTGAATGCCGTCGTATGTTCCTAACATTACACAGCATAGACATGCCCGAAATGGCCAACTTCCTGCATTTCCTAATCGAAACACATATATCCATGCTTGCGGTAAGACTCCGTACCTTATGTAATAATGGTGTGCGGTTCCTCCTATTTTGGTGCTGACAATGTCAACACAACGGATCCTTATGGCTTTCTTTCTCCGACCCCTTTTATCTGCTACTTTTACTGGCTAATTAAATAGTCACTTGCGGCTTTAAGACAAGTACTATCTCAGACTACTCGCTGTCCTCGAAGATATCTATAACCTCTTAATCCCCTATCTTTTGAACGTACCTACTACACAACTTGTATTATTGAAATTCGGCCCAATGTCAACATCATCTGAGTACGCTGGTTGGCGGCTGGTGGTTTTCATCAGTATGTTCACGCCGTTACAGACCGCTGCCGTGGGCCTCCGCTTCTACGCACGTTCTCTTACTAGAAGTTCTTATGGCCTTGATGACTGGCTGGTCAGCGGAGCCCTCCTGGGCCAGTTTATTGCAACAGGTCTTGCTATCGGTAGGTGCAGGAAAAGACGGAGATCTGCTATATGGATAGCTGACAAACTAGCAGGAAGTGTTAGACAAGGCGCAGTTGGATACCATGCTGGTTATCTCGAAATAACAAACCCTGAACTTATCACTGTTTTCTTGAAGTATCTGGTCGCTATTTCGGCCTGGTACTTTGCGACTATTTGGCCATCCAAGCTTGCAATCTGCGTGCTGTACCGACGCTTGTTTCCTCAGCGTATTGTGTTGGTAATACTCTGCGTTACGGCTGGCATCTTCATCTGTACCAGCATAGTGAGTCTTATCGTGGATCTAGCTGCTTGTCGGCCATTTGCAGCTCAATGGGCTTCAGCATCCGTACAAGCGACCCAGTGCCTCAACAAGGAGTCTCTGTTCATCTGGAGCTCATTGCCGAATATAATAACAGATGCCATCATGCTCTCAGTCCCGCTTCCGATTGTCTGGCGGTTGCACGCGTCAACGCATCTGAAGGCAGCTTTAACAGTTACGTTCGCGGTTGGAAGCATGTCAGTTTATCTTTTCTTATTGCTCTTTCTCACTGCTCTCGGTCGAATTCTAACGTTGCTATAGCGGTCTAATTGCGTCTATTCTACGATTTAAAGCGTTCCATAGTACTAATTCTTTCACCGATGCCACGTATAATGCGGTAGAACTCATCATTTGGACAATCGCCGAGCCTGGTATCTATCTCATTTCAGCATGCATGCTTGTCTATCGACCGGTACTGGAGAAATTGTATGCTAGATATTCTCGGAGTAGAGGCAAGCTGACAAGTGCATCAACGGGGCAAGGAGCACAAGCCAGTGGCGATTCCTACAAGTTAGGGCGGATAATGGACAAGAGTACAGACACCAGGGTGTCGAGACGGACTAATGGATTCGAGCGGCTCTGGGAGGATGAAAATGATAGCCAAATCATCTCACGCGCCGATTGCCAGTTGCCTCAGCCTGTGTACTCAACAAGCAATCAGCGGGTTGATGAGCAGTCAAATGGCATCACTCGGACTACGGTCATTCATCAATCCTGGAATTAGTATGCGGCTAGGCAATTAATATCGCCATGCATAGAGCCTTTTTGATTAACAGCATGATTACGTGATGGTAGCTTGAGATATCTGGGAAATGGTCGCGTACCATTGCTCGCAAGGGGAATCAATACATCTCGGATCAAGGCACAGGTGCAGCTGCGTGTCAGCCCTCAGGCGGTTGGTCACAGCTTACTGCATCTTACATTAGACATTGGAGAGAGATACCATCTACCACAACTTCAATCAAAGTCATCACCAATAAGCTCTTTGCAGGAATCGCAGGAGTGCGCCAAAGCCGGAACAGTGCAAGCAGATAGGTATGCCCGCCTGCGGCACGGCCATCCCACCTCCTGCAGGAGACGCCGCTACATAAATCTAGGTAACAAACGACTTTCGACAAGGCGTAAGGCTGCCGAGAAAGATAGGTGATCCCGTTTAGGTTATATCTTACCCAGCGGGAGATGCCGGACCTATCGAAATGCCTCGATACTGTAGGGATATGCGATGTACTATATAATTGTGGGCAAATCGGGTAGTGAGCCGGCACAGTTACCACTGCTTCGGGTCACACAGAGATTCTAGCGTCACACAGAGCCTCGCCTTCATTCCGCTACCGCCGACGCAGTCATTTTAAGCCTTTTATTTAAATTGCTTATCGTGTTAGACTGAACCATCCGGCTTAAACTGTGGAAGGTTCAAATTAACGCCTCGAAAATTGGATCTAAGCTTAGTTGGTTTTTTTCAAGATCGATCCTTCCACCATAATTGTCAGGTGACGAGACTAGTGCCTAGGTACGTTAGAGATCATTGGAGCTGTAGATTATCCTCGGAACTTAGACCTAATCAACAACTATTCTGAGCTTCATGGCACTTCATGCTACAATAATGAGGTACCTACCTAGTTAACTACGCACCGCCCACCAATGGGGGGTACTGACATACCATGCATGTAAGACGGTGAGAACAATACGCTAATGCGACGCAGATATCTGTCTCTGTACTACGGTAATATTAAGCATGTGTTAACCTCGACCCGTCAACAACTTTCCGTCGGAGTTAGGCACATAGGACGAATGATGCCTAGAACCCTGTCAAGTGTAACACTCCTTAATTCTTAATGCGCTTCCACTCCATTCCAACAGCACAGAAGCAGCATAAGCCAGCCGCAACGACGGGCAAGACATAAGTGTCCCGCAAGGCGCCGTTATATGCAGTACGAACCTTGTCGGCTATTACGCCGGATACGACGTTGCTGATGTTGGTTGGTCCAGCCTGGATCACGGTTTGTGCGTCAACGCCGACCAGCCCCTGAAGGTTGCGTGCCAGGAGGCTTGCGAAGATCACCTGGGCTACGATGATACCTAGGATTGACCCGAGACTGTTCAAGAAGCTGCATAGCGCGCTGCCTGGTACCATGTCACTCGCGGGTAGTACGTGAAGAATTGACGTGTAGGGGATCTGGTGGCAGAGGCCGCCCCCAAAGCCGGCTAGAAATTGGTATGCGATAAGGTTCGCCTGCGGCGTAGCGCCACTCAAGGTCGTCAGGAGTCCAGCGCCAATTGTTGCAACGATACTGCCCAGGTACATGAACGGTACGTACCAACCAACCAGGCTGATCGCGCTCCCGCTCACCAATGGCGAAGCCAAAAGGGGCACAAGAAACGCTAGGTTGACAACCCCAGATTTTTTGGCACTATCTCCACGGACGGCCTATAGTCAAAGTATCAGCTAAAAGTCTAGAGGAAATCTCGGTTAGACAGTAAACAGTTGTACCTGGAACTGGAAGGGCAGGTAGTATACCAGCGCACCTATGAACATGTTCATGAGCAGCATGAAGGCAGCGCTGAAAAATACAGTTCTTTGGCGCAAAATGCGATATGGTATAGCAGCCCTAGAGAACGGTAAGATTTCCAATATGGCCTTTACGAGATGCTCACTGATACTTGGAACTTACTTGTCTCCTTGGTGGGCTTGGTAAAGAAAGTAGAGAATCAAGGCAAGGCTGGCTCCTACGAGCATTCCGTATATATGTGGATCAGACCAGGAGTACACGATACCAGCCCATTGAAGGGCAAGTAATAGCATTGAGAAGCCGCCGAGTAGCAGAGTCAAGCTAAGCCAGTCAACAGCCAGTAATCTCTGGAATACCGATCCCGCCACAGCTGTATGTTGAGGAGGGTCACGCAAATACCACCACAATACAACAAAGGCAACAAAGCCGATGGGAAGGTTGATCCAAAAGCAGAAGCGCCAAGTCAACGATGAATCTGTGAAAACACCTCCGAGCAGCGGTCCCGCAACAGATGCGGCTCCGTCCAGGCTTGTGACCATGGAAATGTACGCGGCGCGCCGCTTCAAAGGGACAACGTAGCCGATAAGCACTACACAGCCGATATAGAGACCGCCGCCACCGATGCCCGTGACGATCCTGCCGAGTATGAGGGCTATAGATGACGGCGCTAAGGCACATAGGATAGAGCCGGCCTCAAAAATTAGCAGGCAAGCGAGAAAAATGAGTTTGATCGAAAACAGTTTATACAGCTGCCCAAAAGCTGGCTGCAAGGCCATGTTTGTCAGGAAGTATCCGCTGCTGTACCAGGCTGCATCCTGTAGCGCATTGAAGTCCGTTGTTATGCGTGGTATCGCCGTGGCTGCAGTGCTTTCTTAGTAACACAGCGTCAAGGTCACCCAGGGCTTCAACGTACCGAGAATATAATGGTCGAGACACATCAAGAAGACGATGCCCATCATACCGACTGTAAGCATGATGAGCGGCATTCCATTCATGGTAGCGTCTTTCTCATCTTGGCTTGCCGGTTCCTCCTCTGTCTCATCTTCGTTTTCCTTGGACCTGGCGACATCTGTATGCTGTACGCAGGATGCATCTTCGAAGACCTTGCCGTAATTCTCGACAGAAGTTTCTTGCGTGGGTTGTTGAACCGAACCCAATATCCTCGTATTACTCGCCGTAGACGGCATCAATGATGCTTCCATGGTGAGTGGCCTGAATAAAAATGCTAGCTAAGAAGGCAGAAAAATATAGTGGAGGGTAGAAGCATTCTGTGTAAGTAAGGGGGGTGGGGGGCTTCCAGTTAGCAAGTCGCCATTGGACATGATTATGTCAAATGTTTTTCGATTTTTGTTACACAAGCGTTGAAGTGAAAGGGCTGAATCTATTATTAGGAATCCTCCCTTACAATACATTAAGCACCCCCAAACCGTTCCAACATCTTTCCCCATGTCACAACGTACCTAGGTAGGCACTTTGGTACCTTATCAGTTCTGTACTTTACCACATGTTAGAGCTACCTACATGTAGGTACCTACCTACTTAAGTCGGTTCCAAGTTGTCTCTTCCCTACATAGATTTCCTTTCAAACCCCACATTACCTTGAATTCTACACCTTCCCTACCACACCCAATTTCGTTTACAGATATTCTCGATGGCTACTAAACACGCTAAAGTCTCACGCTGGCAGAATGATCTTCTGCCACATATTGTCGACCGACTGGCTCGAGAGACGCCTGATGCAATCTATGGCTTATGGCCCGTCGCGCCAGCTTCATACGAGGCAGGCTTCCGAGATGTGACTTACGCGCAGCTTGCCAACGTGATCAACGGGTTGGCGATCTGGCTCGAGGAGCAGCTCGGACGGGGCGAACATGATGTCTTAGCTTATGTCGGACCGAACGATGTTCGACTGACTGCTCTAATTATAGCGGCTGTCAAAGCAGGTTATGTGGTAGGCTTGCATGCTCTAGCATTTGACATCAACGGCATGCTAAGTAGTTCTTCAGCTCTTTCTGACGTCGCCGCGCAACAGTCCGGCGGCACAGCAAGGACTTTTTGAATCGCTAAAATGTCGGACTCTTGTGACGACGGACCCGGTACCGCCGGCGGCTCTAGTAATCACGGAGGCTGTGAAGCCACGTCAACTTACAGTACCGAGTGTTGAAGAACTCCTTGGCACGTCTTATGCCCATTATGTGTACACGAAGACATTTGAGCAGGCACGCTGGGACCCGTTGATGGTCATGTGAGTGAACCCTATCTCATGTAAGTTGTAGCAGCTCTGATGCTTGATAGGCACACATCCGGATCGACAGGTTTGCCAAAACCCCTGATCTGGACTCAAGAATCCGCAACACGACACATGAACTTCTGCGCGCGAGCGCCTCCGAATGGTGTGCGTTCAATTGACTATTCGTTTCACGGCAAGCGAATTTTGGTGACAGTGCCATCATTCCATGTACGTGGACCCCTTGATCCTCCCTATCTCACTATATCCTGATAAGGCGTCTCTAGGGGGCCGGCCTTTTGCAGTATCTTCTTGGCGCTATCCCTTTTGGCAATGTTGTCATTGCCACAGCGGCCGCGGCTATACCAACAGCCCAAGGCGTAGTAGACGCGCTGCGGCAGACGCAGGCACAGGTAGCACTATTAGTGCCATCAGTAGTGGCCGAACTGGCACAGAATCCTTCCCTTCTCGATTACGTTGCAGCTCATGTCGAGCTGCTTCTTTACATCGGAGGGGACTTGCCACAGGCATTTGGCGATCTCGGTATGTATGTTTCACTCTTCAAGTCCTAAATTAGATCACTGTAGTTCCCAGATACACGTCATTGGTAACTCGATGATATCCCACATGTTGATCCATCCCTGAATTTTTTGAATTTTTATTCATTTGGGTGAAACTATTACCCGACGGGACGGTGCTCACACTGTAAAACTCCGTCTGCGTATACTTGATGAACTTGCTGACCTTCTATGGCGTAGTTGCCGCCAAGGTGCCGCTGCGTTGCCAATGGGGTGCTTCCGAGGTGGGCATCCCTCATTCGCTTTGGCCAACAGAGCTTGGGGCAAAAGACTGGCACTATATTCGCTTCCATCCATGTATTGGTGCCGTCTTCGATGAAGTCACCAATGGAAACTATGAATTGGTAAGTATACCTCAAAGCTCTGGAAACCCCCTGGAGATCTGCCTATGACGGTTATCTATCTATAATAGGGATATCTTTAGAGGGTGTGCTTTGTGCAGAACTCCTAGCAAATCATTCGAAACGTGATCCCCACCTAGAAGAGAAATAACTAACGCCGACTCCTATAAGGTGATCCGACGCGATGATTCTTTGATTGATACTCAGGCCGCCTTCACCATTAAGGGCCAGGAACTTCTTGAGAAAGAATATCGCACACGCGATCTCTTTGAGAAGCATCCGACGGTGCCAGATGCGTGGCGCTGGAGGGCTCGGGCTGACGACATCATAGTATTCCTCAATGGCGAAAAAACGAACCCGGTATCGATGGAGCAGCATATTGTAGCTTCTAACCCCCAACTGAGCGGCGCCATCGTTGTTGGCGCACAAAGATTCCAAGCTGCATTGTTATTAGAGCTGGCAACTACGTCGCATCAGACCACAGCAGAACAGGCCGCCCTCATTGAGAGGATATGGCCCAGTGTTGAGAAAGCCAACCAAGATGCCCCTGCCCATGCACGCGTTGAGAAATCACTAATTCTTATCGTACCACCTGAAAAACCATTCATTCGGGCTGGCAAGGGAACTATCCAACGAGCTGCTAGCATCGCTCAATGGTATGTCTAGACACCTATGGCCTAACGCTCTCCCCCTTGCTAGAGTATTTCAGCTTGTTTTCTTCTACAAAGAGGCACTAACTTGTCGCAGTAAGATATAACCCGGATAGATCTGAAAGCATTACCTTCTGTCAACTCAAAATGAAAATGGGTGGCTAATTTTTATATCCATCAGATGCTACCGAGATTGACAAGCTGTATGCGGATGCTGATGTCGCTTTCGAAGAGGATGGTGATCAGTCGCCGCCAGACCCGGCTGATACCAAGGCTATTACGCAGATCATTCGGGACAACGTCCTCGCCGCTACTGGCTGGACAACCCCGGACGAATCTGCTAGCTTTTTCGATCTTGGTATGGATTCATTACAGGCATTGCAGATCACGCGTGCTTTACGGCGTGGTCTCCGCCGGCCTGAACTCGCTCTATCCACAATATACCACAATCCCACGATTGCCCAACTCACAGCGGCCATAACCACTCAGCGAGATGTGTCCAACGAACGCGATATGATGGCATCTTTCTTGGATACTTACCGGGGTTTGATACATCAGATTACACCGCCAAAAGCTTTAGCATATAAACAAAATGAAACAATCGACGTCATCCTGACTGGTAGCACAGGAACGTTAGGTACCTTTGTGCTGCGCGCTTTGCTTGATAGGCCTGGTATCGGTCATGTCTTCTGTCTGAATCGCAGTGAGGATGGCCAAGCTCTCCAGAGCAAACGTTTTGCCTCTGCTGGATTAGAGACAGACGGACTTGATTCTCGAGTGACGTTTCTCCAGGCAGATCTAGCACAACCATCTTTGGGACTCGGCTCAGAAACGACCGAAACTTTACGATCTCGCGTGAGTCTCATTGTCCACAACGCTTGGCCAGTGAATTTCAACCTGGGTCTTCAATCATTTCGGCCGCACCTCGCCGGATTGGTAAACCTCTTTGCATTCTCAGCCTCTTCTGCCCCACGCGTAATGCGTGTTTTATTCGTCTCGTCGGTTGGGGCTGTCAGCGGCAGGCCAGCCGAGAATGATAAGGGCCTCACGCCGGAGACTGTATTCGAGTCGCTGGATACTCCGCATGCCAACGGATATGCCCGTAGTAAATTCCTTTCGGAACTTCTGTGCGATACTGCGGCTCGTCACTTGGACATCCCCGTGTCTTTCGCACGTATCGGTCAAGTTGCCGGTGCCATACGCCGGCCTGGTATTTGGAACCGATCGGAATGGCTTCCCAGTCTTGTCATCAGCTCCCTACATATGGGATGTCTACCAAAGAACTTAGGTCCCCAGTTCTCGGAGGTAGACTGGATTCCATTGGATCTGTTGGCCGATGTATTGGTTGATCTTGCTTTGTGGCATGACGACAAGCGATCCACGGCGGCAAAGGTATTTAATGTGCGTAATCCGTACACGACGGCATGGGATACTCTCCTGCCAGCTATCATAGAAGCAGCACAGTCTTCTCATCTCAACCGAGGTCTCGAGGTGGTGGAGCCGGCAACCTGGCTCTCCCGCCTCCGGCAGAGCGCGTCCTCTGAGGTCGGTAATGGTGGTAGTGAAACTACCACGTTGAATCCTGCCGTCAAGTTGCTTGATTTCTACAGTGAAGGTCTCTGGGCCACGGACGCAACTGGATCGAAGCTGCAAATGTCAATTGAACAAGCGCTCGCGGCGAGCCCAGCATTACGTGACATATCACCAATAGGGCTTGAATGGATGTATAAGTGGGTTGTCGAGTGGATTGAATCAACTTCGAATGTTTCAAACGAGAATTCATCAGGGCAGTGAATGGAGGAAGCTTTGAATTAGTGAGGATCGTGCTTTGGATATCAAATTTGTCATTCACTTTTGCGCACGCCTGCTATAACACGACATGTCACTATGAGACTCCCTTTCCCTGATCCGACATTAATGGCAATCGGTCTGTTAGTGAATGAGCTATCATTTTTCTGATGAGATTGTATTTTGATTTAAAGTCAGTGAAACATTCTGTTCAAACGGTATCACGGTCCAACTACAATAGCTTGAATATCAACTTGACAGAGATATCTAGGTTTAGTAATTCAGTTGTACTAAGATACTTGTAATATGATGGGCCCTCACTTATATGGACTTTTTTAACTATCGAACCGTTTTCTACGTATTAATGACGTGCATCTCCAACTCTTAGACTCACGATTCTGAAATTTGATAGCAGCAAGAAGGTAGTTCCAAAGTTTGTAATAGGTAGTTCCATATTAGTAATCTCGAAAGCAGGGATGGCCAGAATATGGCCCAAGCTTCAGATCAAGCTTGGAGCGTGGGGATAAAGAGGAGCTTACCAGGATCTAACCTTCCTTGGTAGGTAGCAAGAATCTACGCAGTTACGTAGAACGGGCAGAACGGGGGAGGAGAATGAAAGAAGTGCCGATAAATATCCGGAAACCTCCAATTATTCTACGATTTTTTTCAGTTTGATGGAGCCCGCCAGGCAAATTTCTACTCTGAAAAGGTGCCCACGGCAAAATTAATTTTTGGACATAACCAGTCCAGCCCAGCCCAGCCTGTCAAGCTTCTTCCAACGGTACCCTACTTACATACCTACCTACTAAATCATACCTAGTCAAGAGATCGTCTCTTTGCCACCACACCTTTCCGTTTTATTCTTCTTAATTCAACTCCTCAAACGTCTTCATCATCGTCGATTTCTTCTCTTTGTTTTCTACACCATCCCTCGCGGACTTAGATCTCTGTCCGTTTCGATACCCGTTGGACTCTCGATACCTTATTACGTTAGCGCGCCGCCGCATCCTGCGCTAGTAACAGTTAGTTAGCTACATAGTACCCATACATACCTACATACCTACCTAAGTATCTTGTCGCTCGGCAGCAGCCCGCACGCATCGTACCTACCTTCTCCGAACTCGTCCAAACAATTCTCCAAATCAAAATCAAAATCACGTCTAGTCGAATATTTCTCCACCACAACTCTAATAAACCTTCCTCCATTTTATCCATCGCCCATCTCCCCATCACCCACTTCTGCCTCTGTCACTTCCTCATTTCACTCACGACCACCTTCCTTTTCCCGCCACCTAAAGAAGATAATCTATCATCTTCTTTTCCCTCACTTTAATAACCCGACCTGATCTGGTTCTTCCTCTTTCCACCTGATCCGAACACCCTTCCTACCTCGTTTCTTCCGAGACACGACCCCATCCGTGTTTAATATTTCTGGTCGCGCCACTGCAGTTGGTATAGCACTTATCGAGCTTTTCTATACTGCAATAGTCGGTCGTGAGATTAGTTGCATTCTCATACTCATCGAATCCTTCTTAAACGTCTAACCCACCCGACCACGCGCGCAAAATTCTTCCACCCCTCAGCGCAACCATGGCGACAAACGGTAACCTCCCCCATACCGACCAATTCCAATCGGGCTCTATTGCCTCAGCTGCCACGAGCACTGCTACTGCCGACCAAACGAGCGGTTCCAGCTCAACCAACAATCTTGGAAAAGATGAGGTCGCCTGGTTCTTCGTAGAGCAATACTACACCACTCTGAGCAAGAATCCCGAGAAGCTCCACGTAAGTCTCCGTCGCACATTGCGTCTGTCGTAACCAGTCTTGCTAACCTTTGCTTTAGTTATTCTATGGAAAGCGCTCTCAGTTCGTCTATGGCCTCGAAGCTGAGATCGCTAACGTTTCTGTTGGTAGACAGGTTAGTTTCTCTAATTTCTAAACGATATTGTTGCCGATATATACTAAACTCTTTTTCCTTCTTCAGAACATCCAAGAGCGCATCAAACAATTAGACTTTCAGGATTGCAAGGTTCGAGTTTCCAACGTTGATTCTCAAGCCTCGTACGAGAATATCGTTATCCAAGTGATCGGCGAGACTTCCAACAAAGCTGGCGACCCGAAGAAGTTTGTTCAAACTTTCGTTCTTGCTCAACAGCCCTCTGGATACTTCGTTTTGAATGATATTCTTAGATATATAGACGAGGAGGGTGACGAGGAGCCAGCCGAGGTTGCTCAAGATGAGCCGGTGGAGCCCGCGACCCAGGCCGTCCCCGCCGCGAAGGAGGAAGTCGAAGCCCAGCCCGCAGAGCCTGTCGAGAAACCTGCTTCGTTTGATACTGGCATTGTCGACAAGAAGCTGGAGGAGGAAGTTAGCGCACCTCCTAAAGAAGCTACTCCAACCAATGGCGACGTAGCAGCTGAGACAGCCGTTGGTGCAACAGCAGCAATCCCAGAAGCCGCTAAGAAACCGGAAGCCGAAGCAGCTCCTGATGTTCCTGACCCCGATGTAACCGCGCAGGAGATTGCTGAAGAGGACACGAAAGAGCCCGAAAAGCCCGCTGACCCGAGCCCGACGCCCGTACAGGCACGCCAGCCACCCGCACCCGCACCCGCACCCGCCGCCGCCCCGGTCCCCGCTCAACCAATGAAGCCAATGACTTGGGCGAGCCGTGCCGCTGCCGCCGCGGGTCCCAAACCTGTTGTGCCTCTCGCAGCGAAGCCAGTCACACCCGTAGCTGCTCCACAATCGCGTGCTGCTGCTGCTGCTGCTGCCAACCAGCCGGCTACATCTCAGTCACCTGCACCTGCTCAAAGTTCCGAGGCCAAAGCTCCTGTCGCCCCTGCCAAGGAGGCACCTACGGAATGGCAAACAGCTGGCAACGATTCGAAGCGGCAGAACAGGCCCCAGTCTATCTCTGGCCCCCAAGGCGAGAAGGACGGCACCATGGTTTATGTCAAATACGTCAATGAAAAAGTTCAGCACGATGATCTGAGATCGGCATTGGCACAACATGGCGAATTGGTCTACTTCGATATCAACCGCCAGAAGGTATGTTCTGATAACGTAATTAACTGTGGTACATAATCTAACATGATACAGAACTGTGCATTCGTCGAGTTCGCCACACCGGCAGGGTATCAGGCTGCCCTGGCCGCAAACCCTCACGTGGTCAACGGCGAGAACATCGTTGTCGAACCCCGTCGTCCTAAGGCAGGTGCCTACGGTGGCAGCAACTACACTGCAGGACGTGGCGGCGTTCAGGGCCGCTCAGGACGTGGGGCATTCGAGGGTCGCTCTGGCAGTCAGGGCGGACGTGGCAGCTTTGGAGGTCAGGGTCGCGGTCGAGGAGGCGCACCTCGAGGTAGAGGTACTTCTCAAGCAACGAACGCATGAACGCCCTACTAGGGTTACAGGTCTTACGAAGTCAAGTGAGTTAACTGGGTACGGGGCTGTCTGCGGACTCTAAAATCCTTAAAGGACAGGGAGTTTTCGCAATCATACCCCGGAAAAGGTTAGATGCAGGGTTTGGAGTTAAGACGTGGTAGGGTAGGGTTTATGGGTTGAACCCGGGACTATGTGAGCATCTCCCCTGGGGCGGTGTATCCAAGCGTCGGGTTTAATTCGAGCACGCATATATCATTGCACGATCATCCTTAAGCTATGCCGCCTCTACTTTGGGGGGTTTGTACATTGATGGACGGCTGGAAAAGTTAACGCTCATCTGCATGGGAGGAGTGAAAAGGACGGCATTTGGGAAATTCAGGGCCAGACTTGTACAGTTGTACAATACGGGCAAAGAAATTAAGACATCTTTAAAGTGTATTATTGTAATGTTATAAGTGAACGATGAGCTTGCTTGTGTTCATCATGATATTGGGCCTTAGGGTATTCTGTGATCTATAACAGCGGTCTATACTGATATCCATATGATACCCAGGGAGGTAAGATTAATGTGTAGCTTGGATATATGTTCTACGTGTTATTCCAGTCTTCTTGCATGAGACAATATGCAAGACAATATGCAGCCTCCCGAAGCTACACGGATACTACAAGATCCGTCTTTATTCAAGTCTCCGGAACTTACGGAGGACCCTATTTTAGAAAGAGAAGCCAGGTTTATGTATGTCTAAGCCTTCATTATCCCTATAAGTTTTAAGATGTCACATGTATAGTATAACTTTGATCAACGAATTGTACATAATCTATCTCCTACTGCCATCCTTAGATAATCATAGGTATTATTGATAGATCACTGTTGGGAATGAAGTACCAAGGTTTTCAATCGCCGTCGACCTTAGTAACAATACCAACTTCTCTTCTACATCCGTCAATAGAAGTCCTAGTTGCTTTAGACGGAGATGCTCTCAGGGAATATCTGGTTGTGGCTCATACTGTTCGTATGTAAGATTCGTCGTTTGACATGAAGTAGGATACCGAGGGAGGTAAGGGATCACTAATTCGTGACCAGTTTATAGTAGGTATGAGTGAATAAATTGGAAATGATGAGGGTCGTCTATCGCTTACGCAGTGGCGTCTACCGCTACCCCCCGCCCCCTATTCTCACATTGGTCGGAATTTATTCTCAGTAGAATCGCCTCTTAAAAAGAGAACTGATATTACCTACATGTGTATCATGCCATATCCATTTCATCGGAAAAAGTCCAAGTAACCTAATCTGGCTATTGAAATACAGCTCAGCCAGCCACGTCGTACGCCATAACGCCAGATCCATGCATCACCCCTTCCGTCTTACAGAAACCGTAGAATCATAACAAAGAACCGTGACACTAATCCCGATGCCGACTATCATTCGCACACGATAGCATGATCTCTTACGACTCCGTCATTTCGGCTTCCACCATCCTCGTCTCCTTAGCGAGGTCATCCGCGACATCATCGATCTGGCCATTAGCCCCGTCGATGTCTTCAAAAACCTTCTGCAGGAGGGCCATCAGCGACTGCATCTCCGCACGCTGCTTCTGGATATCATCAAAAAGCTTCGCATTGTGGGCCTGGACTGTTTGTAGTTTTGCGTTGAGTTGAGATTGCTGTTGTGCCAAGTGCGGTGCTAAATGCGCAGCTAGAACCTGGTCTGGCGGCAGCATATGTGGTCTTTCCGGGTTAGCTTATAATTATTCGACGTAGGATAATAGGGGAGAAAAAAAAAAAAGACACATAAAAAATGCAAAAGGAAAACGTACAACACCGGGGATTCGCTGGTCGTCACCGACCCAACTACTGATCCGGCGATATCTGGCTTATCTATGGGAGAGCGGACGGGATCCCGAGTTTTCCAGATCCTCTGGTCGTACGTGATAGAACGTAACCCAATTGCAGTTTAAATAACACAACAGACAAGCGAAAAATGGGAAAATCTGCACTTACGGAATAGGCGGCTCCGCCACGCCGGCGTCGTCCCTCCTGTGCTCGGCCTCGCTGACAAGCATCTCGAGCTCGTTCAGCTTGGCCACCACGTTGCGACTCTGCAGCACAGAATCGAATTCTTTCTGCGAAGGGGTTAGCAATCGACTCCCAACGTCCACGTCTCCTTCTCTCAACCGCCTGCTTTTCTGCATCTCCACTCCATCCACAAAACTCATCCCTCTCCTCAACCCCCTCATCGTCATCACCGTCGTAGAAAAAGCGACCAAAGCCCTCTCCCCCGAAAAAAAATGAATAAGTAAAAAATAAAAATAATAAAACCCACCTTACACAACGCCCCCAGCCGGTCGACCATCTGCTTCTGCACCGCGCGCAGCACGCCCGGCGCCTGCGCCGCGATCGTCGGGTAGCAAGCCGCGAAGTTGTCCCAGCTGATCTTGGCGAGCGTGTGCGACAGGCTCGAGTCGAGCACCTGCTGGAACCGCGACGCGCGGGGTCCCGGCGTCAGCGGCGTGTGCCGCGCCGGCAAGGGGGGCGACGGCTCCCTTTCCCTTTCCCTCTCCCTCCCCCCTGTTCCTGCTACAGCTGCTGATTCCTGGCCGCTCGCTACGGCTGCCATGGCGGGGTCTGCGAGTCTGGGATCTAGGAAATATGTATGAGTGATTTAGTCGAAGAGGTATATCTTCTAGGTTTCCTGAGTTTTATGTGTTTTCTATTGGCTCGTGAAGAGAAAGGTGGATTATACACCTAGGTATGACGGGAAAAGGAAGAATTAATGATACGATAAAGCGCGTTGCCAATCTTCGAAACCGCGAATTTAGGTTGCGGCAGCTTATCGATACGGCGCGACCGCACGTGGGCCGGTCCGATTTCTACCCAATTAACGGTCGGCACCAACCGGGCAGGGGGTATGTGCCATCAACGCTTAGAGCCATGGTTAATTTTCTAGCACGAAGACTAAATCGTCTCAGACCGAGTTCGAAGTTTCAACTTCTTTAGTATTTTGAATGTAACAGGTCCTGAGACCATAGAAAAGTACATACAATTGGTGTTCTATCAAAAGCGTCGTCGTCCAAATTATCATTCTTTCTTTATGTCCATTCACCCACCCAGTCAATACAATACATCACTTAGAAAGAAACCGATTGGATATCCTGGGATATCATGCATAAAAAAAGACCACTTTTTCGAACTCGTTCATGAGCCATATCTGATTCCCAACGTCGTAATCTCTTAGAAAGGTGGATATATTCGCCGAACAATGCTCCCTGGGAATACGTTCAAGTTCATGGACGAGTCGAATCATCATCAAAGTAAAGTAGACGCCAAAACACCTAGCAAATGCGTATTGGAAATGATTATACGCGGTTGCCGACACATCAGGTATAATCGACCGTGCCCGATCCAGGTCTTTGATCTCTCCTTTCAAGCCGTCTCCGTCGTCTCCGTTCCGCAGCTGACGGAGCTATCGAGCCTTGCGTACCCGTCGGTCCGCTAGGCGACGGGCTCATCCCGCTCCACGCATGACTGTCCGTAGCTATGCTAGAGATGGTCGGATTTGCCATCGCCATTCCGCCTGAAGGACCCGGTTGACCAGAGTAGTAAGCCGAGTCCTTGCCCGCACGTCTGCCTCCGGCAAACGCAGGAGAAGGCGGCGACATCGGATCGGAGGAAACCAGTCTCTCAGTTGCAGCTTCATCTGCCGTCCTATGCGAACTTGAGTCACGTCGGTATCGTCGGCTAGGTGCTTCGCTGTCGGATATAGTACTAATAGAATCCGACCTTCCTCGATTGCCACGCCGTGCTGCCTCCGCTTCTTGTTCGGTAAGGCGACGCAGTGTTATGTTCCTATCCCGGTCGTCATGGTATCTTACTTTGACACTGACAGGTTGGGTGGAAGCTTGGCTGCGATCCCTTCGGCGACGTTCATCTTCCTCAGCAGCTAAACTCGAAGACCCAGGAGCAGCTGCAGCTTCTTCTCTGCTACGGTGTCGTGACGAACCTTGCCTATGAAGCCCACCGCCACTGGACGCGAAAGAGTCGGTAACAGATTCTTGGCGGATTGGGTGGAGCACACCGTGTGGGTCCGGTGGCATAGCCGGCATCGAAATGGGATCGCCGAGACCGCTATTCCTCGTCGATCTCGACCGAGACCGTGAATGAGAGTGCGAGTGCGAATGCGGGCCGGGGACAGGAACTGGTGCTGGAGCGGGAACTTGCGAACCTCTAGGGCCAAGGGGTGGCATTGGGGGGCCACTAACACTGGTTCCCGGAGGACGGGATTCAAGCTTGGATGATTCTGTGTCGGTGGTATAAGTCGTGGCAGTTAGAGCAGATGGCGCGGGTGGGCGACGTCGCGATGACCTTGTCGGGGTACTAAACCCATCTCCTGTAAATTTCGAGCCGCGGCGTCCACCCCGTCTCTCGTCCTCTAACTTTCGACGTTCCTCTTCTTCCTCTTTTTCATCTCGTTTGCCCTTCATCTTCTTAGCCAGCCAGCCCAGTCCAATGGTAGCGAGAACGCCCTTTGCGACACTACTTTTGTCATCATCCACGGGCCGCCTTGACGGGCTCACGTATGATGAATAGTCAGAGATGTAACTACTTTCTGGGGGAGGTGGTCGAGAGTGCAATGGGCGTGGTGTAACGGGTTCGGTGTCTGTACCGCTTAGAACAGTCGTAGCGGCAGGGTTTCTAGGACCAGGTAATAATGGTGTGTGTGGCCTTGGGCGAGCATGTAAGTCTGTCCGATCGTCACTGAACTCACTCTCGGTATACTGGTCGGTAGTAGTTTTTCGAGCCCCACTGGGACGGCTGAATCGACTAGGCGTATCCGTCGGGACTGCTGAGTACTCTTCGTCGTCATATCTTCGTCGTTCTCTCTTATCCCGGGCCCCTTTAACCAAACTCCCAGCCCCAAGAAGTCCTGCCAAACCGAGAAGCCAATTCGTGATACCACCACCCTCGCGGCGGTCAGTTCTTTCAGAAATCTTTTCGTCCATATAGCTCTCGGAGCCTCTCTGGGACGGAATGACCTCAGGAGCACGACTACGGCTGCTCCTACTGATGCTTTCGTCTCGTTCGTCTTCATGTTTCTTTCTTCCACGCATGAGTGCCCAGATGCCAGCTCCTAATGCTAGCGGGCCTAGCAAGCCCCCTCCATGCCCAGACTTTCGCTCCGACTCTGTAACCTCAGATCGACCGCCATGGAAATCTTCACGTTCGCGGTTGCTTTCATGCCGCCAGCTGAGGATGAAGTATGTGAAAAAGAGAATTGCCATCCACACAGCATAGAGGATGAAAGTATACAGAGGCGACCCGTAGAGCGTGAGTCCGAGTGGGATCTGTACAATTCCTAGGATTGCAATCGCCCTCCCAAGCCATCGGTGGAGCATGAGTCGAAATGACTTTCTTCGGATATGCTTCACCAGACGGCCTCCGACAATCTGAACCATAATCATTGTATAAATGGCTACTCCGATTCCATGGTGAGGATTCGTCAAACTTCGACTTGGACCCACAGCGAAATATCCGAGCACAAATACAACGGTGGAGAGAAGGACGGCGAAGACTTGTAAATATGCGTGCAGCCGAAGAGAAGAGCCGTACGGTCTAAATCTTGCGTACATGACCGCAGCCGGCACAACAAAAAGGAAGGTAATGACAGCGAGAATCCCATGGCCGGTGACCAATTGATGGTACTGTTCTACCGTCGAAAAGCGATTGCCCATGCCTACATAGAGAGAGATCGGCCATTAGCTACCCATCCTAATTTGTGATGATGATAAATATGGAAATTAGCTTACCATTGTATCGCATAGTATCAATATTCAGGCCCATAAGATTCGGCAACAGGAACGTATTCTTGGTGAAGTCCCAAGTCCCATCTCCGACTACCAGCGTATCGGAGGCGTAGGTGGCCGTCCCGGGCGCCGATAACGAATCGGCCGGCGCCATGGCCGCGGAAAGTCTCGTTGACGGGCAGATCGGATAAGTTTAAGGTTGAGACGCGGTAGAGAAATCTTGGAACCGGTTGGAATGCGGAATGACGACAAAGTTGGAGTGTTCGGAATGTAGAACGAACGATTATCTACCAGGACGGAGGTAGAAATGGATCCGGGTACCTTGGAATGGTAAAATGTTGGTATTAAGCAGCTAGCTTCGACAAAAAAGCGAATCAGCTTCAATTGGATATATCTCTCTCATGAGTTGTCTTATGGGCCCAAAAGGCACCACAAACAACAAATAGATGAAAAGAGAAAAAATCAGAAGAAAACAAGAGGTTATCCTTGAAAGGAAAAGTGGTCATGCAAAAGCAAAAAGGAGATAGGCGTACATGGAGGTGGAAAGATTTGAGTGACCTGGCACTGCATGCAAACTATTTAACAGACCGACAGGGTTCTACTGTTTTCACTGTCGGGTTGCGGGGTGACGAGAGAACCCTGCTCCACTTTGGGTAACGGCTTGACTGGATTGAGGTAACAACGGGACGGTATTACTTGCTGCTTGCATAAACGGCATAATTAGACGTAAACTTTCTAGTTATACGTTACACAAGCTGTTACGGATATTATGTAAACGGATGTACTATGTAGCCCGTCGCTAGCCAGGTTCTGGCAGGTGCACCCATAAAACAGCTCGGGTTCAAATGACCTGGCTCCATACTAGTAGGCATCACACGCAAGCTAAACGGTTACACGTGGGATCGGACCTTGGACTTTCTTGCCCAAACATGAATTACATAGTATGCAATTGGCAATCAACCAGAATCAACTCTCGTTGACAATATGTTCCCTCTGTATAACTACTTTTTAAATACTTACACATAGCTTTTGGCAGCTAGCGACCATGCCGACCGCACGGTTAACGTTTCTATATCCTCACCTATTCCGTGCGGCTCGCTTCGGCGAGTCTTCAGCCCATAGGGCGAAGATCCGATGTCGCAAGTCTCCGAACGATTGTAAACCACGCATGGTCGCTTTCTCCTCCACAACCCCTTCGAGGCAGGCTGTTTTTGAGAGACATGGTAAAGCCGTAGAGCCATTCCCAGTTACGCCAGACGTCGTGAATCTCCCGGCACCCAGCACCGATCCGTCGAAATTGTCCAACTTCGAGACGGCTACTAAGAAGAGTGCGAGTAAGGAGAAGGAGACGGCGCAAGACCCTGAAGAGGAGGAAGATGTAGTAACGAAGGAGCCGGAAAAGGGCGAGGCGACGTCGCAGGCAACACCGACTGCCTCTAGCTCGTCGTCCTCAACACCTCGACAAGCTGCGACGGAGGCCAAAATGCAAGAGAGCGGACCAATGGAAGCAGTGCTACATATGCCACCGCCGGAAGAGATCCACCCTCCTCATATTTCGACGCCTCCTTATGTCCATCATTTCGACACCTACACCTTGGTTAAAGAGTTGGAGGCAGGTGGTTACACCAAGGACCAGGCCATCACGTTGATGAAAGCTATTAGAGGACTTCTGGCTCAGAACCTAGATGTCGCCCAGGAAGGGCTGATCAGCAAGAGCGATGTCGAAAATGTGGGATAATTATTCTAAAGCGATACCTCGCCGCTTGCTAACGGGACATAGGAAACGTATTTGTTTCGTGCGGCCTGCTCTGAGCTCAGCGCCGAAGTTCAGAATAACAGAAAGACCGCTGATGAGACTACGCGTCAGCAGCGAACCCAGTTGCAGCACGAGGTCGATATCGTCAATCAGAGGATGAGCCAGGATCTGATGACGTTGAAGGATGATGTCAAGGGCATGTTCAACGACCGCAGGATGAACGTAAGGGAAGAGCAGAGGACCATGGAGAGCGCTGTTTGTTAACCACCGTTCAATATTTGCGACCTCACATGCTAATCGTCTTATAAAGATTCAACAGCTCAACCTCAAGATTAGCGTGGATCTAAACAGCGATTCCAGATCGGATATAGAAGGTTTGAGATGGGTGCTTATTCGTAGATCCGTCCTAGGCATCCTCTTCATGGCGGTATGCACGCTAGGGACTCTACGTTATGCTACGTATCTCAAGCACGAGAGACAGAGGGAAGTAGAAGAAAAAGCTCGTGAGGCCGAGAAGTTAAGGAACAACCACGGAAGGGAGGATCGTGCTCCCCCGGTGGACGCGGCAGAGATCTTGGCGGCCAATTGAAAACATGATACCCATGGGAATAGACAGCGGCAGTAAAAGAAACGCGCGTTTCATCGGGTTCTGGATTGCGTTGCGTATGTATAGACGTTTGCAGCGCCTAAAGTAGCGTGAAGTCATGCAAGAATTGATACCCCTTGATCATATCAATCGAAATAAACTATCCCTAACGCCGACCCGCAACCTATGTAGTGATTAATCAAGTAATGGCGATTCTCAAGTAGAAGAAAGTCTCTAAGACTAGCTTCTGTCTTTCTGGTCGGAAGCTTCCCTCTCGACGGCCTTCCGTAATCGTTCCTCTTGTCTTTTCCAATGGCTTCCCTCTTCGTAGTTCTTGCTTATCTTCAGCGCGTTCCGCAACCGCTCGCTCTCCTTGATCTTCGCGTCGGCCAGCTCGTGGACTTGGTGCGCCTTCAATTGCTTCCGCGGCGCCGCGTCTCGGCCGCCCTTGTTCATCTTCGCTTGCAATTCCTTGCGCAGGGCGTCGCAGCGCTTATCGATCTCGTCTTCATCGACTCTATCGTACATTAGTCAAAGAAAAAAAATCCGATGCGTACGGATGGCATGAGTATGGAAGCATACCCTTCGTCCTCAAGCTGGTCCCGCAGCTCGAATACCTTGACCTCGACCTCGCGCTTGCGGTCGTGTTCCAAGATCTCCTTGTCCGGCTGTCGCTGGCGGTGCTTCAGCGCGTCGAAGTCCTTCGTGCTGTAGGGCGCCGCGCGGTCCCGCGGCTTCAGGTGCGCTAGGTTGCGCTGCACGTACCCGGATGTTCCGCTGCCTCGCGGCGTCGAGAGCCCGACGTTGTCCGACATGATTTTGTCTTGGTGCGTACTATGTCGAACTTAACGATGAGGATGATGATACTTTTAGGTACAAGTTAGATGTAACTTGATAGAGGTGAAGAGAAAGGAAGGCGGTAACGGGTGGCGCAAATAGAATGGTGGGGTTTTTACACGTACGGGATGGATTAAGCTACAGTTTAGGTTGGAGCTACCTACCTTGAGGGTCGCAATCTTGCCCCGCTATACGTCAGATTCGGCGGAAAGTATGAGTCGCAAACGAGAATTTGGACCGGTGCCTGGCTCGGTGGTATAAATATTATTGGAAGGAATATCTAAATTTTACCTTTCTCAGTTTTGGTTGTGAAGCTTTTTTATAAAGGAATTCGATATTTACCAAAGACTTTTAAGATTACTTCAGGCATAAGTGTAGAAGATGCCTGTATCTACGTCCGCCAATCCACAACCGTCCTCTGGAACGGCAAATTCAGCGCTTCAATTTCCGCCGATTACGAGGGATCATATAATCAACTGTTCATACGATTCTTGGTTCCCTAAGTAAGTAGACTTTCACCATAAGCTAGTCTTATAATGTGCAGTGTAGACAACTTACAAGTTAACAGATACCGCACATCCTGTATAAAATCACGGATAGTCCCACTTTCACCAGAGTTCATAGATTACATTCGTGAGGATGGCATTGTCCTTGCCGATGACGATGGAGCTGAACCGGAGGACGACGAATGGGAATCAGCACCCTCTACATTCCGACCACCTGTCGAAGAAGTCGATTCAGACTCTGACAGCGATGAGGAAGAGGAAGTGCCGAAATTGCCGCCAAATCAAAGGTTTCCCGAACTTCACCAGGCGATTAAGGATAAGATCGCTGAGCTAGGTGGCGCAGTGGCGCCGAAGCTGAATTGGACAGCGCCAAAAGACGCAGCCTGGATATCACCGCACCAGAACACAATTAAGTGCACAAGTCCCAACGACATATACCTACTGTTGAAGAGCTCGAATTTCATCACATATGACCTCGAACATGCCTTTGACAACTGCACTCCCACCAGCAACACTCCCGCTTCCACCTCCACATCCACCTCCCCTCCCTTCAAGCCCGTCCTTGTGCTACGCTCATACTTCAACCCGCACACAGCCATGGAGTTCCGGTGTTTCGTCAAGCACCGGAATCTAATTGCCATTTCGCAGCGCGACCTAAATTTCTACGAGTTTCTGAAGTCTTTGCGTGCGGACATAGTGAGCAGGATCGGCCAGTTGTTCAACAAGAGCCTGCGGTACACGTTCCCGGACGGCAACTTCGCCTTCGACGTGTATATCCCCGAGGGCGAGGACGAGCCGTTGACCCGCGCCCGCCTCATCGACATCAACCCATGGGCTCCGCACACCGACAGCCTGCTGTTCGGGTGGGACGAGCTGCTGGAGATGGAGGTCCCTAATGGCCCGGTGCTAGGGGTTATCGGCGGGACTGATGAGGACGTGCCGGGCATGTCAGAAGACGAGGATGAGGACGACGAGAGCGAAGACGAAGATTTCGCGCCGGAGTTACGGCTCGTCGAGAAAGAGGACCCGTCGGCGTTCAACTTCAGCTCGCCGCAGTATTCGGCGCATAAGCTGCCGAAGGACGTGGTGGACGCGAGCTTGGCCGGAGAAGGAGGCATGCGCGACTTCGCGCGGAAGTGGAGGGAGATGACGGAGTATAGGGAGAATGTGGCGAATTGGGAGATGAATGATAAATAGGATACCATATCAATACCGGGATTCGGTATGGTATGTTACATCTCTACCTATGAACAGGGGGTAGATGTCTACTCAAAATCAACTCATTCATATGCCCTCTGTAAAGCATGGGCTGCCTAGACGTTCTCTCGTGGATATGATATTGGTATTTACAGATAACCAGTGTTTTGCTGAATACATTGATCACACAGCTCGCTTGACACCGAGTTCATCAATAAGACGGAGAATGTTATTAACTAACAAATTGATCAGTTGTCAATTGATGAAATAAATTAGACATCTTTACTTGTGTAAGTCAAAATCTAGAAGTGTACCTTCTTTCTCACCTCCAGAAAAAGTAGGGAGATGGAAACGTTACCAGAAGATAGCCCATGACGGGAATAGGGGGCTATAAGTTAAAGTATTCAGTTAGTAACACTCAATAACAATCCTTAGTATCCCCTGCGGTCAATGAAATGGAAACTGCTCTCGTAAGTTCTCAAAATCGTAAGTCCTCGGTCCTACATTTCCTCTAAGGATTTCGTGTATGCACCGGAGCATTAAATTTAGCTGCAACTGTGGATTCTCCGTTAGCACTTCGGTGTCACTAAAGGGGTAGTCGAGTCTCATTTCGCTACGGAACATTGGTCGCTTTGTCCTCTAATCAGGACAATCGCTGATGATATAGCCTCCATTGCCACAAACTCTACAGATCACCTCATTGACGTGCTTTTGCAAGTCAGTCATGATAAATCAGTGGAGAGCCTCGTTTCACTCTCGCTAAGGGATGCCGATGACCTCGGCGGCCTTCTTTAGTAGATTCTTCCCCACAGATCACGACGTTAGCCCCTAACCGAGCGTTCAAGTTAGTAAGTCTACCACCGCGGGAAGCAAGCAGTTAACCTTTAAATTAGACTCGGAAAACTGCTTGTCAAGAATGTAGACCTTCCCCCGAATAGCCGTGTGGTTGTAGCGGTGCTCTTCTGGCGCCCGGTATCCAGAAATGATACGTAGGGCCTACCAGATTAGGGAGTGACGCCCCTTTTCCAATTTCTCCCGACACCGGTGGTAACAAGGTGATGACCCGCCTACGAGCGCCGTCGTATATTGATCTGGATGATGGAGATCTACTACATCCGTCAATAGGCACAATATCGTATATTATAAGCCTCTGGGCATTCTCTTCAATCCGTATGTCCTAAGTGTGTACATCGATCTACTCCGTAGTCATATAGCCCGTAACATACAGCGCAATGCCAGTGAGTTTTGAGGCAGCACTCTTCGGATCCCATTAGGTTTGGCGTCTTTATTGTTCATTGCCATATCTACAGAGGTGGTTTGATCATATCATCTGATGTTGGCCATATGAGTGAGCAAATATTACAAGATGTAGACGTAATTAGGTAGGTACCAATTAGTAGAGCTGGGGCAAGGACGAAGTTGATGAAAGTAACAGTGAGTTAGGAGATATGATTGCAGAGTTCGTGAGGGATATTTAAATATGAGCAAGAAACTTAGGACCGCTGTCATAAATAACCTTAGTATTAAGGTTAGGTTCTAGAGATGTCAACGATATTCTTTAAACTCTAATTTTATATGGAATTATAAACGTTCTCACTTAACATCGTAGATCGTATCGGAGGATAATAAGTGGAGAAGACGTTGTGTATATATAAGGGGGGTTCGCCCCTTTATGTCCATAGTTTTAAAGGATTTCGGGCGTGAATACAGTCAACTACCTACCCCTAACCTGCGAACCATTGGCAATTTACGGGACCAAGGCTCCAACATTTCATTCTTAGGCCTAGCAGAGAGCCGTCTTATGCACGAAACTTTTCCAAAGAGGTTGCTATTCCAGCTATACCATGTTCCTAGCTTCTCATGCCCTGCGGAGGCCTGGGACGCTGCCTGGCAAGAAGACGGACCTGCTGACCCTGTGGACCTAGCTATGGATAGCCTGGTGCAGAGGGATTATGACAAGCCTACAAAGGCTGTCTGTAACAAGCTAGGCGCTTTTCGTAACCGAGCGACCGGCCGAACCCATTACTTCGTCTCAAATGAGCCGGCCATTATCCGCGTCCGCTACCGTGCGCCCATGTTCCAAGCTTCTTGTGACTACCTACCTACCTACCTTTCACTCGAGATCAAGCTCCCAACTAATGGGCCTATTCGGTGACAACATGCTCGTGAGAGTTGCTGGGTTTGAATCGGCACGATCGTGCCGTGCAACTGGAAGACAATAGAGACTCATTAAATAACTGTCGAGGGCAAAAACTTCGATCAAGGTCATGGAATGGATAGTATTCCTGAGAGCTGCCACAACTGCCCCTAATTTCCTGCAAAATGCTGTCGAGATGGCACCACCGTCATACCTGTTACTTCCGTAATGGAGAAAGAGAGATGTCAATGTTTTGCACAAGGGACGTACTCCTCTCAGACGGTCACGATCATCTCTCCTACCCAGGTGGCGGATCTCACTCGAAGTTTGGCCTAAGGCACGAATATTGCGACAAAGTTTTCTTCACCTATAAAGAAGTTGCCAGTCATCGCCGCTTCATTCGGGGCGTTCGATATGCCCACATTACAGCAACAATTTGGCAGCGCCGGGAGAGACGGAAATCACGGAAGACTGCCGATGGCATTATTTGTGAACGGTTTCGGGCAGGGGAAGGTGAGGATACCTTACGGTCACGTCGACCAACTAGGTAATCAAAGCTAGATGTAATTGAAGACAGTTGGTCGGCTTCTTCTTAGACAACCAGGTACCTGTAGATTGCGCGCTATATCATACCTCATTTTGCGGGTGCGCCCCCGTAGACGCTGGCAATCCATCAGGATCAACCAACAGTGCTCTGAGAAGTTCTGTTCCCTGAGAAGTCTTGTTTTGATTTTGGTCTTAGAGATTATATTCCTGAGAGTCCATTGTGTTGGTAGTGTATCGAGGAGTGCTGTATTCAGAGAAATTCTCTTTCTCGAGGATCTTGTGGTGGCTGTCTTTTGCACATATGAATTCGGATGAGGAAAATCTTGTTTTCGGACCAACCAACACCAAGCACACACACTGACTACTCCCCGCTAACCGAAGGAGTGAGACGCTATAAGCTAGACGGGTTTGATTTCAACTCGGCCTAGTGGCCAGCCGTGATCTCCGGCCGCGGACAGCTCGCAGACGATGTCGACGACTACGCGGATCTCCTCAATAGGGAATGGCGGGTGATGTTCGACTTGTATGCGCAGCACTTCGAGGCCGTCCTCGCTGACTAAAGATCGATGGCGCCGGCGGGAGTGGAAAGCCTTTTATACTCAGTGTCCTCTGCACTCGACCCCGCTAGATAGCTCGCGAGGCCAGCCACCAAGCTAGTTGTATGGTAAAGTTGGAGATTTGGGTTGTTAGTTTTTATAAAGTTTTCTAATGATTAGAGTAACTTCTCGCTCTATATGAATCCCACCTAAATCTGGACAGAGCCACCATCATACTAGCCACTGTCGTTGGATGCATCTTGATATGTTAGTCTTGCCGGATGACTCTCCACTCAAGAGTCTTCCGGCGCTGATGTGTGAACCAGCTAGCTACACGGCTGAGGCGCGAAGCGGTGCTGAAATATCCCACTGAAGACACGGTACACTAAGTATAGCATTTGCGACATAGATTTGCGACATAGTTATCTAGGGTGATGATGGCGTTGTCATCTCTTTTCTAAGCTTATGTGGCTTGCTGTAGGGCATGGAATGGAATGTATCTACTTAGATATGGCCTTCTTTCGAATAGATGTAAGAGTTTTGTCGTACTTCAACAGAGATTATTATTTAATAGCACAAATATGTAGGTTTGTATGTATTTATTGGGTCTGTATAACCCTCGTACCCCTGACTGCAGGTCTATTACCCCCCCATAATCCGTGGGTCGCATACTCCGATGCGAGTACGCGTACATACATCTCCGTATGATCGTTTTATGTATGCAACGACTTATTACGTGAGCCACAGCATAAATACGCCATACAGTGTGTAGGGGTCAGCAATAAGAATAGAGCAGGTACCTGACAGAATGCCGCATTTGATCAGCCAGATCAGCCCTGGCCCCTGGGACTGTAGCATTGAGCTCTTCTGGAAAAGAATACAAGATAGGGGTTATTAAGACATCTTCCTAGGGGAAGATAACTCCACCAGATCTCTGATTATGCGCGAAAAAAATTGGATATTATAACTTGCATGGATTCAGGAGCCGAAACATAATTCAAAGAGTCGAACCCAATACCTACTACATACCTTTACCTACCAACATACATGCCTAGGTAGGTAGGTAAGGTGTTTAGCTCTTCTGTTATATTCTTTTGATCCTATTGCTGGGTTATGTCGTATTATATACACATACGTTCAACTGCCATTAGAATAATTGGTCAATTATTTCATACCTAATAAACTACCAAGTTACTTACCATCCAAAATGGGTCCTTATAGCCAATATTTCAAAGACCCACAGTAACTACTACACACTGCTACAGTATGGGAGGGATCCATTACTTAAGGAAAAAGATCAAAAGGAGTTCACTCTAAGGATGAATAGAAGAATACTCTGCTAGGAACTTCTTACTGTGAGATGAGAAAATTGCGATTTTCATAGAGTACGTATTTGACCTAGGTATGTAGGATGGTTTAAGTTTCAAGACAGAGTACGTAACCGGATTCCCCAGCCTCTTGAAACGACATCGAAGTTATATTGAACTAGCCATATTAATAAACCATGCCATCCACGCGAGAAGTCGATCCATCCCACCATCTCGTTAGGTGGATTAGTTACAGGTTTAAGCGCCACCGCCCCTGACGCCAATCCCCATTCGTTAATGGTTCACGATGACATGAGGACCAGTTCTCCAGGGTTCATATTAACCAAGCTAAGTATCAATGTGGATTGCCTCTTAGTTAATTCGTAAAAGGAACGTTTACAGTTCATCGCTTCTCGCAAATCGTCACAAGCTTCGGTATATTGCCAGGTATGTATGTGATAATAATCTATGTAGGGAGGAAGGCTGTTGCGTTCTTCACCGAACGATTCCGCCATTTTCAAATGAACAATCTTAGTAGGAGCCGGGGGCAGGAATACCTATTCAGGTAAACAGCCAATTATATTTCATCCTTTTGACGTTACAGTCTACGCCGTTGCCAATGACGCTATTCAAAACCTATCGATTCTCCTCGTGGTCAATCGGGATCCAGGCCCAGAGGAGATTTTGGCTTAGTCTTTTACGGAAGATATTTCCCACTTTACCTCCACGATTGAGATAGGGCTCTAGTTGACCTAAAGCTCCCGGTGCTATGATAGAAGCTTGAATACTTTCAAAGAATTACCGGGCTGTCGTTCCGTGCATTTGAACATCATGCGTATGTAGGTCTAATATAGTTCTCGGTTTCAATAAGGCTGTTTCGAGATCTCCTAGGTTTGGGATAGATCATGCTTTGAATGCATGAGCGCAGAATCCTTCTGGAAGCCCCCGATATGCAACCGAATCAATCGGCGTTATTTGGCTCTAATGTGCTAAGATGGCACGCCCGCATAAGCTGAACCTCCGTAACCTTGGGAGCTGTCAGGGCATTCGTATCCCGCAGTTGGACACACGCCTCAATATGTCATCCTGCAGAAAGCTAAAGAAACACCTCACCAACTAACCCATCCTCTTATAAATGGTCTTCCAGACAAAAGATGGAAAAGTCGGGCTAACATTTAAACTCTTTTTAAGTGAGGAGGCCTATACCGCATTATGAATATTGCATATATACATAGTAGTAGAGAATCGCATCCCTTTCCCTTGGTGATTGGTGATTCGCGAGTCAGGTCTCGGTGGAATTTACAGACCTACATAACCGGGAAGCGGGCTTTTCCCAGCCACCAACAGTAGCGGCATTGGAGAACGGGTGAGCTGCAGATCATCCACCGCCCTGCTTCGCATCACTAGCTCAATCAAGCTTCCGCAAAAAGTAAAAGCGCCAACTGGCAGGTTGGGCAGCCTTTGTTATTGTTACCTATTATTAGCATGCTTTTTTGAGACTTTGCGGCTCACACAAATCTGATCCATATCGTAGCCGACGCATACAACCGTACATGCCTAAATTGCCTACCTTGACAACTACAGCTTATCACCTAGCACCTCTTTTGTTCACCGAGGGGTATACTTGACATCATGGCCATTCCTTTAACACGATTGGGAGATAGAGGTATGTCTTGCATAACAACTACACACATATACCATCATTTCATAGCATTATGTGCCCGCTCATCCTTCATCCCCTGTCCACGATGCAACACCCCAAATATATCAGATCCACAAGCTCACAGACAATTGGCGAACCGCCACTACAGCCTTCAATCATAGTCCTAGCAGCGATGCCGAGGCCGAGTATGACCGGCTCCGGGACCTAGCGCGGGCGGAAGCCGCGAAACGGAACAGTTGTTTTGACCGGGTTGGTGTTACATGCTTATGTTTACCCTTACACCTTTGCTTACTCACTCACTCATCCTCTTTTGATGTCTACCTTCATGAATACACCAAATCTTAATTGTCATATGAACATAATCTTACGTAGCATAACATGTAGGCGCACCAAGCTTACGAGCGGGGCGATGGCGCCGAGGCCAAGGAATTGAGCAACGAGGGCAAGCGGCACGCGGCTAAGATGGACGAGTACAACAAGCAAGCAAGCGACTACATCTTCCGGGAGAATAATGCCACCGACCGCGTGGCCGACGACACCATCGATCTGCACGGCCAATTTGTCGAAGAGGCCGAGGACATCCTCGAGCGCCGCATCCGCTACGCCCAGCAGCATGGGCAGACACACCTCCACGTGTATGTGAATGATGTCCCATACCTATGACAAAGTCGGATGCTAATTGCAGCGTAGTATTGTGGGCAAGGGAAACCACAGTGTCAACCACGTCCAGAAGCTGAAGCCGCGTGTCGAGCAGGTGTGCCGCGAGCTAGGACTAAAGTACGCCACGGAGGAGAATACGGGCCGTATATACAGTACGTCTTCTCTTCTCTTCTTAGCTTCATGTTGAGATATCGATCACTTACACATCTCCCAGTCAACCTCCAGGGCGGCGAGGCTGTGATGCCGCCGCCTCCAGCTCAACACGGCGGGCACGGCTACTCCGGCGGCGGCGGCAGCGGCAGGCCGACCCACGGAGGGCAGCAGCAGGCGCAACACGGACATCACGGAGGGCAGTCGCAGCACCACCAACAGCAGCAGCAGCAGGAGCAACCCGACGAGATCGACCGTCTGGTATCGAAGTTCTTCCGCAAGCTTGGGGACTGCTGTATCGTCATGTGAAGATACAGAGTTTAACGGTCCGGTTTCCGCTGCCGTGTACCTGAAATGGCTGGCTATAATGGCGCTTTAGATATTACGGGCGTCTCGGGAAAGTTTGGATGACGACTTGACGAAGAAAATTGAAACGCTTCTAGGCTAACGAAAAAGGGAAAGGGAATCCCGGCGTCGAGTAAGGAGTTCGAGAAAGGCTTCTCTCTAACATATTCTTTTAGTACTGCTACAATAACAGAATATCAGACAAATAAGTATTATAAAAATAGACTCAGTTTGACATGACTGATGAAATTATTAGTTGAACAGACGGCGGTGAAACCATCCTAATTGACCATGTCATGTACTAGCTGAGATGACTTTCTCCATAGTATTTTCAAGGCTTCAATTACGTGTCGTAATTCAGATGTGACATTATTATAAGATCTTGCTCTTTGTACATAAATAATTTAACAATACGAATTTTGGTTTGCTTAAGAAATATATCTCAATCCCTTATATGACTTGAACATTCACTGTGTCCCATGGCATGAATATGAATAAGAATGCTATAGAGGTTCAATCTTTAGACCCGGATTATCTCTCAAGTCTAAGTAAAGCCTTAACTAACAACAAGAAAGTCATTAATCGTATTCATAGTTACTATCACTGAGAATGACTGAGACTATACTAAGCACGCTATACCTGATTTGTCAATAGGCAGATTCAAAATAATTCATATCATCATTTAGTATAGGAATACTGCATTAGCTCATATAGTTAGGTAGGATCAGAGGTGCAGAATATAATACATTTCCTGCCGCGATGAGTCTGTGATTGGGCACGGGATAGAAATATGCACTGCGGCGAGTCCGGGCGCCTGGCAAGGCTGGAAGCTTGCTTCTTTCGATCTGCGATAATACTTCAATAGATACAGTATTCTGGTTACTGTGGATGAGGTAGTGGTTCTCTCCAGTTTCCCGTTACCAGTTCGTCGGTCATCTCCTGTGCTAATAAAAGCCGCGTTCGCCCGTGGATGAGGAGCTGCTGGTCTTGCTAAATGGATACTATAACTGGGTAACTGGAGCAAGACTGGCAAGATAAACCAGTAAGATGCCAAGTATTTTTATGGCAATTTTATCTCTGCATCTGCACTCGTTTAAATAGTATTTGCTGCTGACATGAGTTTGGCATGCGTGTAAGCAGCGAGCGAGCGAGAAACCAGTATCATTCCCGAGGTGACATACATAATTACCTACCTACCTACTACCTTAGGTACCACCTATTACCTACCTACATACCTATGTAGTACATCCCTTATCCACTATATGTATGTACCTTGCTACCTTGGTCAGTATGGGACGAGGATTTGTGGCGGCGTGGAAATTGCATCAGAACCTTAGCCAGATAGGAACCAAAAAAGGGTGTTGACGATTGTTGAAATTCTCCTTCTCACGTGGCGACGGGACACTCACTTGCTCGGATGGCCGGATGCTGAATTATTCTTCGAAGTCTTGTTGTTTGATTGAATCAATGTTTCATGTATTAGCTGAATCTCTGTTTTATGTAGTAGACATACATGGATGGATGTATCCTCGAGATACTTCGCACAGTAGTTATTCTTAGCATTCTACACTGGGTTAATCCATTCTGCACTTCAATGGATTAGTGGGTTGCTAGGCTCTTGACATCGCTAGGTCAATGGAAGGTGCATGTTACTCTATTTCATCTAGCTAGTCGATTTCTGGAATAGTGCCAGCATCGTTCCTCGCATAATCTGTGATACGCCTAACCGTCTTAAGTCAAAGTCTCCACATTTACTACCCAGCCCCGGCTTTGTCTCTACCACCTCCATTTCCCAATTGATCCATCCTCACCCCCCTTCTTTCCCCCCCTTCCTCAAACTTATTCCTACAGAGCAGGGGCGTCCGGCAACAAAAACCAAAGCTGTGCTTGCAAAGGCAAAGCGTAAAGTTGCTCCACTTGCTCATCCATTCTCGCCCCGTCACAATCTCTCGCGGCCACCCTTTTTTTCCTTCTTCCTTTCTGTTGTCAGCTTTTCTCATCAAGTTCGCCGTTCTTTTACTTCGGCGAATTTATCACCATCTCTTACTTATCGTGAGGTTACTTGTCAGTTCAATTGACAATCATTGGTGAGTGGTTTTCTATTACTTTGCGATCCTGATTTCATATCATTCACCGCGAAAAAAAAACAACGCCTTCCACCAAACCCGGCGCAAGCACTTGACCTACTAGTGGCTTTCCCGTTTGGTTTTATAAACGCCAAAGCGCCTCAACGACTGTTGTCAAGCATCGCTAGGCGAAGTCGAATTGTTCTTTGATCTGTTCAAGCGACGCCAGTGCTCCCCTGGGAAGAGAATGTTTTCGTAGTCGTTGTGTGACGAGCTCGGTGTTTTCCATTCATAAATATATGGAAGGGTTGAGGCCACTGCTAACTTCAATCCCTTGCGTCAATACAGTAACGATCCGGTCCTTAGGGCACTAGCGATTTCCGCCGGCTTTTCTATCGTCACTATATTCGTTTTAATTTGTACCGGTCCTATCCGTCAAGATGGGTTGTGGAATGAGCACGGAGGAGAAGGAGGGCAAGGCCCGCAACGAGGAGATCGAGAACCAGCTCAAAAGGGATAAGATGATGCAGCGGAACGAAATCAAGATGCTTCTTCTGGGTTAGTATTGATGGCTATCTGCGTGTTATTGCTGGCAAGATCCTAATCGTCGTAGGTGCTGGTGAATCCGGAAAGTCGACCATCTTAAAACAGATGAAGATCATCAACGAGGGTGGTTACTCACGCGACGAGCGAGAGTCCTTCAAAGAAATCATCTTCAGCAATACCGTCCAGTCCATGCGCGTCATCCTCGAAGCCATGGAGTCTCTGGAACTGCCGTTAGAGGACCAGAGAATGGAGTACCACGTCCAGACAATCTTCATGCAACCAGCCCAGATCGAGGGCGACGTATTACCTCCGGAGGTTGGCAACGCGATCGAGGCTCTATGGAAGGACCGTGGTGTCCAAGAATGTTTCAAGCGATCGCGCGAATACCAATTAAACGATTCGGCTAGATAGTACGTGCATCATCTCGTGTCCCAAAACAAGTTACTGACCTTGATGCCTACAGCTACTTCGACAATATCGCTCGCATTGCCGCGCCGGATTACATGCCTAATGATCAGGATGTCCTTCGATCCCGTGTCAAGACTACCGGTATCACCGAAACGACTTTTATTATTGGTGATTTGACGTACAGAATGTTCGATGTCGGTGGTCAACGATCCGAGAGAAAGAAGTGGATCCACTGCTTTGAGAACGTGACGACTATCCTGTTCTTAGTCGCCATTTCGGAGTACGACCAGTTACTCTTCGAAGACGAGACCGTCAACCGTATGCAAGAAGCGTTAACTCTATTCGACTCCATCTGCAATTCGCGATGGTTCATCAAGACCTCCATCATCTTGTTCTTGAACAAGATCGACAGATTCAAGGAGAAGCTCCCTGTTAGCCCGATGAAGAACTACTTCCCCGACTACGAAGGCGGTGACGACTACGCGGCGGCTTGCGATTATATTCTCAACCGATTCGTCAGCTTGAACCAACATGAGACCAAGCAGATCTACACGCATTTCACATGCGCGACGGATACGACGCAAATCCGATTCGTCATGGCTGCGGTCAACGGTACGTTTTGTCTTACATTGTCCATTCTCGAGTTTATTGCTAATTTCGTTTCAAGATATCATCATCCAAGACAACCTTCGCCTCTGTGGTCTCATTTGATTGTATAAAAAGGGGGACTGATCATAGAGATGAAACCCGCGATAGAACAGCGGCTTACCACAATACCCAATCGCACATTCGATGGCTGCCAGTAATGCCATATACCTGGCTAACGACTTGACCTGTACTCACCACGAACTTGGCCGACGATCTCCTTCCATGTGTTTGCTTTGCGCCTGAATTATCTCAGATACTCCTTGATTGCGTTTCTCTAGCGCCGCTTGCCGGCTTGACCCGAGGTTTCAGGACACCGTTTACCATAGGATCTGGGAGTCGTGGGGCAGTAGGGAGTACATTTGCATCTAAAGTCATGGCAGATTACATATCTTGTTTAATTATGAATTTGCGGTCACGCCGGTCTCTTTTCTTTTCTCTTTTCTTTTCTTTCTGGCATCAGGCATACGGGGTGCCTGTGTACGGCCGATATCTGGCCAGGTGTTGTAACTGAAAGCGGTATCTTGAAAACCGTTCTGTAAGGGGGAGGATGACTGATGAAGCTATACCAATGGAGGAAAAAGGGTCTGGAGAAACCGATCCTTGACAAAACGGTTGGATCTGTGTAAAGATCAATAAAACCAACCAGTATTTAATATGTATACCCTTGCGACAATGTTTTGCAGTCAGCGAATGGATTTTTATCGAGTTCATTAGACGATACGTACCTGATTGTGTATCTCGATGTTGTCTTGGACGTATGATCTCTTTGCTCCCGGTACCTACGGTCAAGAGATATTCAAGTAGAGCTGCTTGGTTTTTCATCTTACCAGATCAGCGACGTAGCAAGCGCTTACCTGTATCGGGATGTCCTATTCTATATACTACATACTAGTTTATTTATTACTTGACCATAACGGTATTGATAAACAAATGGGAGTAAGGTAACATTTTATGTTAATTTTACCTTCCAAGGTTATGCTTAGGTACCTGCATATACCCGCATATGCAGTTAGTTCAAGGTTTAGTCTTGCTGAGTAACCTGGTCGTCAACTGAACATGAATTCTAACAGTATTTGAGTACCTAGGTACATACATTTTAGCGCTGTCACCTGCACATGCATGTGCAACATTGAAATCAGGTGAGGGGTCGAGGGAATAATAGTTTTTCCCCACACGCTCACATTTACCCATCGTGTTTTTCACCTTTTGCCTTTTACTTTTAGACCCGACGCAGCTGCTGACAGCTGAAATTTCAACGTTTTCTTCCGCACATCATTTCTTTCAATCACCAACTGCCCGCCAGCAGACAACCATTTTGTCAAATCGTTATCACCTGGCCCATGATGAAGGGCGTTCTTCAATCAGTCCGAGGCGGTCGGCCTCCTAAGGTTACCAAACAGACTGGCACGCCTCGCGGTCGGCCTGGTCGCCGAGTCGGCGCATCCGACGCGCATGGTCTTACCAATTCTGACCTTGCCGACCTTGAGCAACAGGATGTGACCACTGATGAGGACCATGATCCTAACCCTCACGCCAGCTTTGATCATGACGCCGCGACTATCGCCGCCGCCGCCGCTGCCGCTCAACATCATCAACAGCAGCAGCAGCAGCAGCAACAAGAGCATCAACAACAGCTCGATCTTACTGCAGCTAGTATCCTAGCTAGCAGCGTCCACACCACGAGTGACCACCATCCTGACCTTGGTGGTACTCACATGGATGACGGTGCCCGTACTGCTACCGTCGAGGAGCTTGCTCGTGAATCCGGCTACACAGACTTCGTTGTTGAGAGCGCACTGGCCAAGCGCCTGGCTGGAGAACCTGGCCAGCGTCTTGCACAACAACGTCGTCCTGAACAGCATCTCAATCTCACACGGCGCAGTAATGTCGAGGCCCTGTTTGCGCACATCGCCGGTACCGTGGTCCAAAACTGTAAGAACTGTAAGAAAGGCCATGGCCCGTGGACTTTGTGCGTAGTAATCGAAGGCCAGATGTGCCAAAGTTGTTCCAACTGTTGGTTCAACGCTTCGGGTGCGCGATGCTCACTTCATGGTGCGTTATTCTCATTTAATCATATATGTACTACTAGCATGCTAATCGACGATTCAGAGAGTCGAGATCAGAACTCGCAAGGTGTACAACAGATGCTCAACAATGAGAACATTTCATTCCCCGTGCCCACTGCACCTCCGACTGCCATGGCGCCGTTCAACTTTGCGGCTCCTGCATCTGCTGACCCTGTTGTCCGCTACACCGTCGAACAGTCTATGGCGCTGGTCCGGGGAGCTGACAAGAAGGCCCGGTCGATGCTCATGATCGAGGCTACTGCTCGTCAATTGGCCTTCCAGATCGCTCAGTACGAGGAAGCCCTTCAGGAGGAACAGGGCCAATCGCAGGTGCAGGCACAGGCCAATGCACAAGATGCTTCTCAGCCGGTTATCAATGAGCAAGGTGCCCCCTAGGTAGGACTCCTTCAGCCGGTCATGAACGAGCAAGTTAGTTCCCTCCAACCTCAGCCGGCCATGACTGGGCTAGTTGCCCCCCCAGTCCAACCCCAGCTGGCAATCAACGGACAGGTTGGCTCTCGATCTCAGCCTCAGCTGGCAATCAACGGACAGGTTGGCTCTCGATCTCAGCCTCAGCTGGCAATCAACGGACAGGTTGGCTCTCGATCTCAGCCCCAGCTGACGATCAATGGACAGGTTGGCTCTCGATCTCAGCCCCAGCTGACGATCAATGGACAAGTTGGCTCCCGAGTTCGAGCTCAACCTCAGCTGGCAAGCAATGGGCAGGGGGTGCCTTAGGTGGGACCGCCATATCATGGTTTATCGGCGCATATCGGGGACGAACTTGAAGCAGGTTACATCCCTCAATCATACAACCAGCCCGGATCATACTTCGGCACTGGCTCTAACGTCGGATCCGGATCCAATACCCTAATTGGATCCAACACTGATTTCGAATCGGACTTTGGATCTGGATCTACTACCTTAGTTGGGTCTAATACCTTGGTTGGATCCAACACTGACAATGCTTCCAACATCAACTTCGAAGGCATCCGCTTTGATCCGAACGTGGACATGGACGACGTCGATTTGTCATCTCTTCTCCCCCAGTAATATTGTCACCGAAACGCGCATTATATGCTAGGTGAACTTGAGCATTCTGGTGGATACCTAGATGGATTTGCAAAGGGGTAGTTTCTTTCTCGTTGCCACGATATGCCATCGCTAGGCCTTGTTCCTTTGGGCCTACTCTAATGGCGTATAGTTCAATTACATGGCATATTTGCGAAGTCATTGGTCAAATCGTTGGTCACATCTGGGGTGGAAATTGGGGAGGTGGAATGTCTTGTCATCAAATTTTGATGATTTTTTCTATGAAGCAAGGAGTTTGGGTTCTGCATAGTGTTTCTAGGAGATCTGGACATGATGAGTTCGGCAATCACTCCTAGTTACAGTTTCTTCCGTAGTTGCGCAAGCAAGCAATTTGCGGTAATATATGAAACTTGCCCAAGATGGCTATACGCTTTTAAGTGACTAAATGTTGTCTGCGAAATTAGGGCCCACTGTCTTAACTATGGATATAGGTGTCGTTGTTAACTATTCGTCTAGCCGGTCCCTATGTATGTATGCTACGTTGTTGTCATTCGACGATCAAGAGGTATCCTCCCTTGACTTCCAAACCACTCGCTATTTGACTGATCCTACATACGGAGTCTGCAAGTCTTCATGCCTAACCATTTGCCTCCATAAGACAGCAAGCCTACTACGAAACAAGTAGCTGTGGCTATACCTTCAAGTAGAGTCAATCTTTAAATGCAAAGGTTATAAGTGAATCGCGTCCTGAGTAGGGTATCATTATTATATTATGCTTGATATGCTCTATAAGTAGGTAGGTACCGCATCAGGCTCAAGACGAGAAGTGGCAAGCTCAAGATACTATTCACAAGGCGAAGCAAAGTTCCTCAACTCCCTTTCTTCCTAGCCTAGCTCTTGGCATCCTGTATATGCTTAGTCCGGTAAGTGGCAGGATGACCGTGCTCCTTAGCGTACTTCCTGATCTTGGAGTATATGTCGGGCAGCACGAATATCCATATGATGGGCATGAGGCAGCACATCAGCGTGTCGAGGAGCCAGCTATTCCGCGGCGACCCGCCCAAGGCGCCCCAGCGCATCAGGTGGCCCAGGAAGGCGCTCGTGACGAAGTACTGGCCCTGCTCGAGCTTGCGTATGGCGGCGGCGGCGACGTCGTCGGGCGTCTGCACGGGGTCCCCTTCCTCGATCTGCTTCGTCACTTGCGGCTTCGTCATGTTCTCGCGCGCGAACCCCGGGCTGCCGATCGAGGCCGGGTACACGACGTGCAGGCGCACGCGCTGCGGGTACATCTCCAGCTCCTGGACCAGCGTGTCGGCGAGCCCGCGCAGCGCGCTCTTCGCCGGCGTGTACGGCCCGTACCCGACGACGGGGAAGAAGGCCAGCACGGACGAGGTCAGGATCAGGTGTTTCGCCTCCGGGACCACGGGCGCGTCGGCCGCGCACCATTGTCGTAGGACGGCGTGCGCCATCTCTGCGGCGCCCCAGTAGTTGATGTCCATCTGCGAGCGCGTGAGCGAGAGCGGCGTCTCCAGCCAGAAGTCTGGCGCGCTTGTCCCTGCTACGCACCACACGATGTCGAGAGCCCGCCCTTCGTTCCAGGATACGGCCTCGGCGAGCAGAGGGGCGGCGTAGTCTGCTTGTGATACGTCCGCTGTTATGTACGTGAACCGTTGACTCTCTGGGTTTCGTGCGGCGGCGCGGACGTCGGCGAGCGCGGCTTCGAGCTTCGCTGCGCTGCGGGAGACGAGGATTATGTGGGCGCCTTTCGCGGCGAGTTGGATGGCGGCGCTGCGGCCCATGCCTTCGGAGGCACCGGTTATGAGGATGGTCTGGGGGAAAGGCGGTGGGTTAGCAATTGGTTTGGCTTGGTTGGGGTTAGGTTGGCTAGCTGGATGGCTATTTGTGGCGTACCTTGCCCTCGACGGGCATCTGGTTCTTGCTCGAGAAGGCACCCATTGTCACGATGGTGGTGGTCGTGATTAGCACGATTAGGATAGCGATTGCAGTATTCGTCCACGGAGAGGAGAGGATGAAGTCCATGAATGAAGAATTAGGAGAGGCTAGGTGACCATCTCGGATTTTATCGAGTTACGGGAAGTAGGGAATTGATGTACCGTGCCACAATTAATGTGGAAGACAAGGGATGAGCTGGCAAATGAAGAACGAAGCTATCACTAATCACAAGCTTTTTGTCGTCCAGGGGTCTTTCAAGCGTTTGGGGCCAACAATGCGCTATCCGTATGCAACCTTGCTGCCCTGTGCCTTCCGTAACGCTGTCTGCTACCAATTCGTTAATATGGTTGGCTAGAGGCTCCACCAGCTATTGCACATAGCTGTTGCCCGGCAGTCCGGCAGCTGTCCAGGTGCCCAGGTGCGATGGGTAGGTGGTGGTGTGGGTCAAGACGATAACGATAAGGAATTCAGCCGCTAAGCTGACGTGGGGAGAAAAAAAAGTTCTGACTGACAGGCTTTAGAATTTCAAAAGCACATTCTAAGTCCACGACCACAAATACCGATTCCTGCCCACTTTCGCTTCGCCTTTACGTTTCCTAGAGATGGGGAAGAAAAGAAAGGCTTCAAGCGGTCCTCCGCAGCCAAAGGGCCCCCGTGAATACGATCCGGCTGATGCGAGACTTGGTCCTATCAATAGCTACGAAGATGTAGCCGACTCGGAAGATGAATATTTCCTCAACAAGGACCAGATCCTCTTCGACGATGGTCCGAAGTCCAAAAAGCAGAGACGGATAGAAGAGGAAGAAGAGTTTTTGGAAAATTCAGATGAAGAAGCACTTGCTTATGACGACGAAAACTCGGATGATGACGGTGAGGGCGACGACCAAGATGACTACGCCCGCAAACCTGCGAAACCTGCCAAGGGGCGGCGTGATGGTGGTTCTGAATCTGGACAGGAAGAAGGCGAGGAAGGCGACTTGAGTTGGTGGGGTTCGTCAAGAAAAGAATATTATAATGCCGACAATCTCGAGACCGAAGCCGACGCCTTGGAAGAGGAGCAAGAAGCTCGACGGCTACAAAAGAAGAAGTTGGCTAAGATGTCGGAGAGCGACTTCATTTTCGACGAAGCTGAGTGGCTTGCTCCTGAAGCCGACGATGCGGACCAGAACGAAGTTGTCACCGAAGTTTTGAAGGACGTCGAGATTCCGGCTGATATGGGCGTTGAGGAGAGATATCGTCTCTTACGGACAAGGTACCCCGAGTTCGATTACCTAGCGGATGAGCTCCAGCAGTTGCAACCTCTACTTGTCGATGTCCAGAAACAAGCAGAAGGTCAACCGTCAAAATCGCTACCGGTAGTCAAGTACCGGGTCCTCGGTTGCTATGTTGCTACGCTTGCTATGTATTTCGCTACTCTGACATCGCCAGCTAGAGATGCTGCCAACGGCAACTCAAAGGTACTTGATCCAGCAGAACTACGCGATCACGAGGTCATGGGAACACTACTCGAGTGTCGAGATGCGTGGAAGAAGGTAGAGAACCTCAAGGGTTCGGACCAAGTACGAGCAACTGCTGCTTTGCCATCTCCGCCGGAGGAAGAACAATTAGCAGTAGGGGAGGACGTAAACATGGAAACAGAAGTTCTGAAGAAATCAAATAAAGAGTCTGCAAAGAAGGCTAAGGCTAAAGCCAAGGCGGAGCGCAAAGCAAAGGCTATCGAAGAGTCATTTGCCGATCTTGATGCGCTTGTTACTACGAAAAAGAAGGCGAAGAAGCCAAGCGCTGAGATCGCGACAAGGGAAAGCGACTCGGACTTTGGGGAAGAGGAAACCCTCGATGCCAAAGCTGCTGCTGAAAAGGCTGCGCGCAAGAAAAGTCTCAGGTTTTACACTTCGCAGATCGTGCAGAAAGCCAATCGCCGAGCGGGCGCAGGCAGAGATGCGGGTGGTGATATGGACATCCCTTATAGAGAGCGCCTGAAGGACAGACAAGCTCGCCTGAACCTCGAAGCAGAGAAGCGTGGGAAGATGAGCTCGAAGATGGGCGCTGATCTTGGCGATGATAGCGATGAAGAAGATGCGCATGTTGCCACTGCTGTGAGAGACGACGAAGACGAATACTACGACATGATTGCTGCTAGGTCGAGCAATAAGAAGGAAGAGAAGGCAGCTAGATCAGCAGCTCTCGCGGCAGCTAGCAGCAGGGATCGGGTCGTTCAGAAGGAGGAGATTGGCGAGGATGGAAAGCGCAAGATTTCCTACCAGATAGAGAAGAACAAGGGACTCACGCCTCATCGGAAGAAGGACGTGAGAAATCCAAGAGTAAAGAAGAGGAAAGCATATGCGGAGAAGCAGAAGAAACTGAAGAGCATGAAGGCAGTGTACAAGGGCGGCGAAGGTCGGGGAGGGTATGCAGGAGAGTTGACTGGTATCAAGCCAGGCTTGATCAAGAGTGTCAAGTTAGGATAGATACCAACAATATTAATGCGGCGTTCCACGATATTCTACTTGTATGGGTTTGGAGGTGATATATCTAGAAAACCCAAGTTGTCCCGTGACATGGAATCCTTTCAAACTCCCGTCTGATATCGATCTGTGTTTGATGGAATGAGGCTCCAGGCAGCAGGGGTCTAAGCTACATCAAATAGTTTTGCCCGGCAACCAGCTGTGACGTGTAGGCACATGTATATATCGTGTACAATTCGCACTTCCAATTTTATAAATAGGTACCTAGGTAGCCAATGTGACATGCTCTTTCCTCTGGCTGATATTTACTTAACAGTCGCTGCCTACCTAACTCTACTGATACTTTCCAATCTACCTTTTACTTTAACATTTCACTTCCTTCGTTTCACCATTGAACAAACTTTCATACTGCATCAACTTTCTTTTGTTTAGCACTTCGTCAATCTTTCGCGACGCAAAATGTCGTACCTTCGTGGTAAAACCCTTTCTACTAAACCTCTTTCTACCAAGACTTCTTCTTCCTCCTCCTCTTCTTCTGTTCCTTGCACCTTGGACAAGGAGGTCACCCTACCATCTGATGCTGAAGACACCATTTCGTCCGTCTCATGGTCGCCTACTAGTCACCACCTAGCAGCCGCATCGTGGGATGGAAACGTGCGCGTCTACAACGTCAGCCCCACCGGAGTCGCACGAGGAGTCGCGCTCCTCGCCGCAGGTGGCCCTATTCTCGACTGCGATTGGGCCAAGGTAAGTCCGTGGATTTTTTTTTATTGTGCGGCTGAAAAAACTGTGGAGGAAATAAAGCCAATATGGAATTCAAAATAGGTAAGTAGGCGGACGTTATCAGCGGTTAAGGTGTTCGGGAAGGACTGAAGAAAGAGTAGGATGGTTCAACGGTCGCCGCAGGAGGCGCCGACAAGACAGTTCATCTCCTGAACATGAGCACAAACCAACAAGCTACTCTTGGCAATCACGAAGCCCCCATTCGCAGCGTGCGCTTCGTCGATGTCCCGGAATGCAATGAGCCTATTGTTGCGACCGGATCCTGGGACAAAACAGTCAAGTATTGGGATCTTCGACAGCAAGATCCGCTCGGTACCATCACCTGTAACGAGCGTGTTTATTCGATGGATTCAAAGGCCCACGTTTTGGTCGTTGCGAATGCCGCGCGCCAAGTTCATATCTTCGACCTCAAGAACCCGGGAGTTATCTACAGAACAATCGAATCGCCGCTCAAGTACCAGACTAAGGTCGTCGCCGCGTTCCCCGACGGCAAGGGCTTCGGTATAGCCAGCATCGAAGGACGATGCGCGATGAACGCCGTGGAAGACAAGGATGAGACGTATTACCCCCGTTCTTTTTCATGCCTACTGTGCCCATACTACTCCCCCCAGTCCCCCTTACCTATATATTATCGCTGAGCAACTTGAAACAATTAACTAACACTTGGGTTTTCCTTCCCGTCAAATAGTTCGATCAACTTCACATTCCGATGCCATCGAGAGACCGAGGGCAAAGTGGAAAAGGTCTACAGCGTCAACGACATGTCGTTCCACCCCATCACGCATTCGGTGTTCTCGACCGGCGGGTCGGACGGCGTCTTCCAGTTCTGGGACCGCGTCACCCACACGAAGTTTAGGCACTACCAGAAGGCTGATGAGGCAATCACGGCCACGGCTTTCAACCGCGACGGAAGCTTCCTCGCCTACGCCATCGGCTACGACTGGAGCCGTGGCTGCGCGGCGAACACCCAGAAGACCGAGACTAAGCTCATGCTGCACCCTGTCGATGAGGAGGATTTGAAGAAGAAGGCATAGGGATGTGCTAGGGATGTGTTTGGGTCTTGCGTGTATATCCAGGGCTACGGGTTCTAGGATTGGGATGGTCTGGAATAACAAATGGCAATCTTGTATTCCACGGAGGTTTCTTTTGTCAGGGGCTTGGTACTTGTATCACTGGAGAGGATGTCACGCTGGTTCTTCATATTTGCAAGGGAGAGGGCGCGATTTGTGTTCAGCTGTCAAGTTTAATCGTTTGGCAGGAGACACGTTTACGTGCTGCTGAGATGGATAAACGAGGAAGAAGCCCATATTATGACTGATGGGCCTAACTGACTTGGTGTACTTTCAATAATAGTGCAGCAACCCAATACTTGGGCTGTGACAAGTCTTGGTTTCTAATGAAGACTCTTCTCTAATTGTTTGTGAATTATCATATGTGGATGTTTGGAGTAGCTACACTTACGTTACTTGCGCTTTATGTGCGAGAAACCGCTGTCATATAGTTCGATGCGAGAAATATTGTGAGTTAGCTTCTACTATTCCGTCCCTAGACTTAGATTCCTCATCTGAACATATCTGTCATGAGGCAGAACCAAAGGGCTAAGAAATAACGACATTGTTACGCGAAGAGCACTGACTACTCCCTTCCAGGGGATGTGGTATACATACGTAGACCTTCCTTTGTCTGCAGCCAAGGGCCAGCTGCCAACAAGGGGGCCTCGTACAAGCCGACTCCCGATCCTTCTGGGTTACTAGCTAATCCTCGCGAGATATCTGGCTATCAGTTCTCACAGAGGAGGCTTCTAACAATATCGTTCGCGTCTGCTGTGGTGTAGTTGGAAGTACACTTCATTTGGGCATGTTACTTCAGGGGGAAGTGGGGCGGGTACACGGTAGTCTTGTTGCCGCGGGATGACGGTTGGAGTGGATATAGGAAGGTAGGTTAATGGTTCGATACCTAGTTTTCTATGCAATTAACTTTGGGACGAAATACTTATTTTCCCTTTGATGTGATCTCCTGGATCCTTACATCAGTTCACCTATGGTGTATATATAGTCATTATGTTAGCAAAGTTCGTCCAGTCGTAACAAAATCAAAAAGTAACACATCGCCTCATAACACAAAGACAGGCTCTCCAGATTCCTCTACCTTCTGCATCTCTCGGATCCTGCCGCGATGCTTGTTCCTCCCGTCCTTAGCTTTCAAACGCAGTATGAACGTCCTAGGGGTGTCTCGGAAGGAAGTCATGGTAAGTTCCGCCACGATAGCTTGCTCCGGCTTCCGCGCTAGGACAAAAATCTCTCTCTCGAACTTGTCAAAGAAGTAGATCTGCTTGTCCTGTAAGCTTTGGGATAACGGTTCCGGCGCTGAGCATAAAACGATGGAGGTCTGCATGAGCAGCACTCTATTTTTCCATGCGTTATTGGTCCTTGGACACGCGATCTTCTTGGTTTCCAGGCATCGGGTCGACATATACGCAAAGGTAGCGCAGTCTTCGGAGTCAGCTAGCACGTTGGCCCAGGCATGGTCGTTTTGACAAGGGATTTTAAAACAACGGAAAATCTCCTGTCCCCAGAAGCATGCGACAATTAGCTTCCCTTGGTGAATGCCCGTGGGCTCAAGTGCGCGCAGTATTGTCCTTATCATTTGTATGATAGCTTCCTCGACTTTCGTGTCTGGGTTGAAACGCGATTCGAGCTGTGATAGAAATTCGTTGAAGTTTGGTCTTCGAAGGGCCTCAATGATACCGAGTTTTCTCAGTTCCTCCCAGATCTCACGGTCCATTTTGGTGGTGTTGTAAATAGAGAGGAAGATGTCCAGTAAATCTGCAACGACTTCGCGGAGCGGTACTCTTCGGGCGACGCCCGTACAATAGCTTATTTGCAGACCCCAGGGTTCTTCAAGGAAGAATACTAGTGTCTTATCGTCCTGCTGTAGTCGACATTGCTTCAAGCTTTGACCGTGTATCTTAGACCATGTATGGTTTACCTGTACTATTGCATATTGCCCAGCCTGTAGACCTACTTGCCACTCAGCATCCTCCCAGTATGGCTTGTGGGTCCCTAGCTGCTCAAGGTGGTGAACATTTCTTGTCCAACATTGCTCTATCTCAGTCTTGCAACCTTTGTTCCAAGTGACCAACGAACCAATCACCAATTGAGTGTCTGGTGAGATGCGTATAGGTTCCGGCGGTTCGCTGGGCGGGACTTGACTCCAGTGGAAAATACATTTCTCTGTATCGGAACACCAAATCATGCCTGATCCAAGCCGAATTGCCGATACGTGAGTGGGATCGTCTTTGCGGACGATGAGTTTTCCAGGCCCCCAAGTATCGAGAAGATCGCCAATGTTTGTGCTTACGGAGAACTTCTGCTCCGTAACTTCTGCTTGTTCTTCAGCTGGTTGGAGCAGCCCAAATGTGATTGCCTGATCATGAATCATCTCGCCTATGCATGTGAGACTGACTAGTTCAACACTGATGCAGTCAGTCGGAAACCCGCGGGATCCTAGCAGATAGATTTTCTTGAGCTCCACGTCTAGAAAAGAAAGCTGGATCGGCCCAACATGTGCCTGGGCATACGAAACGAAGCCTACACACAAGAGTTGTGTGGCTAGAGAGCAACGATGTAGAAATGTTTCTGTGTCTCCCTCAACGCCAGAAAATGTCGTGGGCACGACAAAATTGACTATTTCTGAGGCGTAACTAGCAGCTTTGTACATCAATCTATCCACCTTATTTTCGTCGGCCATGCCCTCTTGGAGGATCGATAATAAATCAGATGCTAACCGCAGGGGAAGTCGACGGAGTTGTATTGAAGGATCAACCGTCGTCTCCGGCCGCACAGCGATGGTGAAACAATTGCAGCACAACCCTGAATCCTGGACCCTACTCACAGCTGTACAGAGTCTTGATAATGCCTCACATATTCTAGTAAGCAAGGGTTGGTGGTATTGCTCGCCGTTTTCTTTAGATCCATACGAGACAAGAGCTGCATTGTTGGCGTGGAACTCAACAAACCCGGTCCAAGACTGTTGTTCGCGAGATTGCGGACTGACTCCAGCTATACCACATGACTCGTGCACTAGCCGCATGATATCTTCATCATTTATTGCGGTGTGTGATCCTACGGCCAAACTCGGTGATGAGGAGTTGTGATTCAAGGTATGATCCAAAACATGATGTGAACAATTAGTTAAATGGAAGTCTGGCCGAGCATTTGCCTCGACGTGCGGCATTGGTTCGAAAAAGATCCAAGGTGAGTCGTTGTATTGCTCGAAGACAAGATCTGCTATTTCGTTTGAACTGTAACCGAACTCCTTTAATTCCTTGAGCCAGAAATATTCACCAACCGTAACTTGATCAAACTGGTCTGCGATCAATCCATGGAGGACTTCAATATTGCCTGCTTCAAGAGCATCCTTGATGGTCCGTGGAGAATGCAGTTCTCGGTCTGCTGCACTTTCGTCTATGACACCATTTGATGGTATCCGGTCGCTGTTCTTATATCCTTTACTTGAAGGACTCTGCATGGCATTGTCATGTTCTTCACCAGTGACGTTCAAGTCAGCCCTGCGTTCTTGAGATACATCGTCGATATTCTTGTGCTCGGCGCGTACAGTAGCAAAGGGTGTACATTGAACTTGTGAATTGGTGTCAACCCTATATTTTAGCAGTATTCTGACAATTTCTGCGTGCCCTTCATGTAATGCAACATGTAGTGCATGTTGACGCTGGGAAATAGTGTTGATACCGTGCTTGAGTAGTGTCCTGACAATTTCTGTGTGTCCTTTATATGAAGCAGCATGGAGGGAAGATTGACCTTGAGAATTGGTATCAACCCCATATTCGAGTAGCACCGTGACGATGTCTGCGTGCCCTTCGTAGGAAGCAACATATAGAGCAGGTTGAGTCTGAGAGTCGGTTTTGACTCTATAACCTAATAGCATTTTGACAATTTCTATGTGTCCAGCATACGAAGCAGCATAAAGGGCAGATTGACCTTGAGAATTAATGTCGACTCCATGTTCGACCAGCGTTTTAACAATTTCTGCGTATCCTTTAGACGAAGCAGCTTGGAGAGAATTGGCATAAATTCCGCTTTGAGTATTGGGGTCGGCTCCATATGCTAGTAGCATCCTGACAATGTCTGTGTATCCTTTGCATACAGCGGCATGAAGGGCATTGCCGTATTTTCCACCTTGGGCATTTATGTGAACTCCATGAGCTAGGAGCATTCTGACAATATTTGCGTGCCGTTTGGTGACAGCAGCTTGGAGGGCGTTGCCAAATTTTCCACCTTCCGCGTTGATATCGGCCCCATAGTCCACGAGTAGATTGGCCACATTTATATGGCCCTTGTATGAAGCAGCCTGGAGGGCATTGCCATATAATCCGCCTTGAGCACCCAAGTCAGCGCCTTCGATGAGCAATCTCTGCACACATATGAAGAGCCCTGTGAGCGATGCATAATATAAAACGGGTGGTGGCTTATAGTATTCGTTGTCTTTTCTCCATGGCCTGTCCGGGCTGTACAGTCGATAGCAAGTGCAAAATGATTCTTGGGATTTGAAGAACCTAAGAATCGAACCTTGGACTGCATGTTCACTCTTGGAAGCATGTACCATCCAATATTGTGCAGCGTACTGTGCCATAGGATAGGTTCGTCTGAGCTCCTGTATTGGAAGGCCAGGTTCCAGATGTAGTAGGTATGTTAAGCATACTTCTACAATAGATGCTCTAGCAGTTGTTTCCCTCAGTTGGGGAGGGATTTCGTTCTTCGGTGACATCAAGAAATCCCTGATTGAGTGATGTGCGAGACCAATTTCTAGTTGAGATTCATCGTCTCTCCAATTTGTAATTACGACGAAACCAGGGTAACATCTAAGGATGTCTTCTAGCTTGGTGAATCTAGCGTACGGATTGGACCGAGATATGGTTGGCACTGTTGCCAAGGCATCAACAATTTCCGCGATACGTAACGACCGTTCGGAGTAAACCAAGAATTGCAGGATTCGCGTATGATGCCGACGCTGGAGAGTCACGTTGGTTAAGATGCGTGTGTAAGTCTCCTCCAATGCCTTCGGCAAGGACGCGAGAGTCTCTTCTATGGAGCGGGCCTTAGAAGATATTTCAAGCGCATCAAGCTGGGATGAAACCCAGCGGAACCTGCAGTTTGTTAGCAATCAAGTATACGATACAAGTTGGGAGATCTTACATCCCATCCGCTCTTTTCACTAGCAGATTTTCAATCTTGCTCTGTTCATTTATATTCCAGTTCCGTGCTGACAATGTTCTTGAGTAAACATAAGCGCCTATGTCTTTCCTGATTAAATTGCTGTAGATACGGAAAATGGATTGGGTATTGATGAAGCTCTTGACGGTCGATTTGATATATGGCTCCTGTCGACTTGTGACAAGAATGTGAACATCCCCATGCATTCTTCGGAGCTCTTTGATCTCTAGAAGAAACAACTCTTCAACTTGACCTTCGCTGTCCGTAATACACTCATCAAGTGCGTCGAGGATGATCCAAACTTCGCCGATCTGTTGGACCATCTTCTGGAAAGCTATACGTAACGACTCAAGGGTTGGATGCTTCTGGCCATCTTCACATGCCGAGTAAAGTGAGTCTAGGTGACCTCGGGCCTCCGTTTCTTTCCTGTAGAGTTGCATAACAAGCGATCGAAGCATGTCATTGTGATTTCGTTGATAGGGGTCGCGAATGTCAAAGTAGAAGTAAACGAGATTGTTGGAATGAGTTTTCTTAAGATCCTTAATTACACTTGAAGCTAGGATCGTCTTTCCACATCCAGGGATTCCGGTAAGCCAAAGAAGGGAATTTGTCGTTAGCTTCCAGTCTAAATATCTTGGGTGTTGAAGGAACCAAGCGCCTGTTCCTGGATGGCGATGGCGTAGTGCTCTGTTCAAATTGACGGACGGATTGGACGGCGAGAGCCAATTTCTGGTACGTTCTTCATCTCCTTGCACTGCATGTCGGTTAATGGGGAAAATCCCAATACGACCTAGGATAATTGTCTGCCTTAGGAGAAACGAACTTACCATCAGAAAGAATTTTGCTGAGTTTGCTCCCAGCTTCTACTCTACTCGGTGCTGTTGCGCCGAGGAGAGCTTTCGCATGGGCGGCTGCCGCTATGGCTGCGTAGGTCTCCCATTCCGTGCCCTTGTACGTATCACAGTAGTTACATATGCCACAAATAACAAGGTAGGGGAAACAATTTAATAATCTTGAAGCTCCCGTTTCAAAGCACAGAATGTGTTTCTTGAATGCGAGTTGATCTCGAATCTCAGCATCCTGAATCGTCCTATCCCCCGATGCAATAAATCCATTGTGTACGGCAGGGGCCCTCTCATTCTTGAACCGTGGGCTTCTCGGAATCAATCCAGATTTATCGCCTCTGTTATAAGTGAATGAGGACACGTAAAGCTTGTCAGTGTCAGGGTTTGGTAGCTTTAGATCTGGGTTGTTCTTAAAGAACGTCGTGATGGTGTCTTGAAGTTTGAAGCTCTTGTTTCGATACTTGGTTCGGAGTTCTTCTATTGCTTCTTGTATCGGCATCGACGGAGGCTGTAAAACTCCTCGGGTGACCAATTTGTTTTTAAGGATAGTCTTCCTATAGTCGTATTGGAGGACACTTCCAGTGTTGTAACCAGCGAAGCCGACCACTACGTCGCCTAGGCGAACGTCATGCCTCTGGCTTGGTGCGCCGCCGCCAATGCTCACGAATAGGTAGACTCGCACGTTCGTGAACTCGCGTACCAAGTTCTCAGCAACTCTTGTAGCAGTACTAGGTTGCTGCAAGGCGAGAACGACATTGTGCTCCCCAACCCGGCCTAAGGTATAAATGTCACTGTGTTCTTTGAATCCCGGATCTTCATGATGTTCATCGAGAACACTTTGAGCAGTCAGGTATTCCACAAATCCTGCACAAATCCAGCCAACAGTGTAGTTATTGGGGTCTGGCATGGCACCCTAGTAGGAGTCCTGAAATTGAGAAGATTGCACATTGTGGGCGGTGATGTGAAGTGAACATAGCAATTCTTCGCACGAGGCTGTGGTTGCTTACTTAATAATACTACCACCTGCAACTTCAAGATGTTACCAACAGATTAATAGATGGGGTAAGCGCCAACTTACATAATTGGAGATGTCATCGGGTATTTGTGGGTCAGATTAAGCTTACCTTACATTATACCCCTCCAATCCAATCCAATCCAAACCTAATGCCTATGACTGGGGATTGTGGAACTTTAGCCCGTTAGGTACCTACTTAGATACTTTCCACCCAGCATTTAAAAGCTGCGCCTTGTTAATTGAACGTCGCAAATGATACTACTATGTAGACAGAAACCACCATGACCGACTGGCGAAGCGACTATCTCGATTCCCTGCAGGAAGCAGAGCGGAATAACCCGGTGAACAAGGACCTCGTCCAAGCTTGTTAGAGGAACCCCCTTCCTACCTGATATTTGTTCCTTGTTAGTCTCTCTGACAGATGTCGCCGCAGGCTCCCAACTTGCCGATCGTGTAGCCGCTCTCGAGGCCGAGAAGGCCGTGTGGAAAGCATCAGGTAAACAGCAGCAATCGCCGGAAAAGCCGGCGTCAGGCAAAGCTACCGCCGCGACCGAGACAACGACAAATTCGGACCCGAGCGTCGCACAGCTGAGGCTAGATCTCGCCGAGGCGCTAAGATCAAAGGGCCAGCTGCAGAGTAGGCTCAAGACCGCCGAAGACGAGTTGCAGAAACTGCGGACAAAGACTAAAGTCGACACGAAGCGGATCAGCGACTTGACGATCGAGAGAAATGCTATTGCGGCGAAGCTAGGAGACCGCAACGAAGAGCTAGTTGGGAAAAATAAAATGTTGAAGGTATGGGCCAATGGTAGACTAGGCAGACACACCACACTGTGCCGCTGCTAATACGTAGTTGTAGGATATCCAGGATGAGAACCTGACTCTTAACATTCAGCTGGACGTCACCGAGCAGAAGGCGGCAAAGCTCACTGCTGAGAACAAGGACCTGGTAAAGAGGTGGATGGAAAGGATGAAATACGAGGCTGATGCTATGAATATGGAAAATGAGGCACCGAGCGGTAAGAGCCGGAGGTGACGCTCCAGCATGATTGAAAAGTATCGGCTCACTATATTGTAACGCTGCACTCTATTTATGAAGCTTAGCCTAGACCTGTATAGTAAGTGCTTTTTCCATCATGCTTTCTTTGGTATCCTTCCAGTAACGCTCATCTATGCAAAAATGGTATCCTAACTCGCTCTTGTCTACCCGCCGTCCAAACTCTTTAAGGACAAAAATGTTGCTGACTCCTTATACCCTAGGTTGTTTGGTATTCTCGGCCTCACTTCTTGGTCGAGATGTAGTAATCGCCTTCCGCGGCTGCCCAACTGACCCAATTTTCGTGATATCGAAAGTGTTCGACGTCGAGAATACTGTTGGCGACATCGTTGACGGCGGTTTTGTTTTCGTGGACGAAAGACTTCAATGATATGATTTTGCAGCCCTTCTTCAGATCCAAGAACATGTTGATAAGGGCATCGTTGAGAGTAGAAGTGAAGGCCTTATTGTTGACGAGTATTACATCTGCCTCCTTCAACTTTTCCATGATCTTGGCACTGGCTCGGAAATCGCCCCTCTCGAGATGAACCCGCCCATGCGCCACGCCCCAGAGAAGACATCGGGCTCTGAATTCCTTCTCTTGTGCTTCAGCAAGGTTGCAGGCGTTCTCCATTATCTCGCAACCGTAACTTCTACAGCCAATCTCGAGTGCGGCTTGGAGGACGACGTTGCCTACTCCGGACCCGAGATCTATGAAAACTTGGTCGGATGTCATCTTCGTTTGCTCGACGAGCATCTTGGTTATGAATGGATGCAGCAGCTCCCCGTAGACGTTATCGCTTCCCATCTCGTACTTGGTGAGCATTTCTACCTTGGGTGCGACAGTACGGTCGTACACCTGGGTAAGGATAAAGGACACCAGGCTAGGCGGGAGGTGGTGCAGTCCTTGTATATTCTTTTCTACAGTGCCATTCTCAACCAACTCTAATAGTTTGTCGTTGTAATTCTGAAGTGCTGTTCTGAATACAGGAACATCTCTATATTTTTCGCTTATTGCACGCTCCATCTGTCTTTTGAAGCTACCGTTGTGATCGATGAAAGGCTTCGCTTCGTCATCGGTGAGATATGTCTCGGCTACATGTTCGACGACCGACAGAATGTCTTTGACGGCGTCGATCTTATCTTTTTGCCATACCAATTCGTACCTTTCGACTAGTTAGTTGGGGTCATTCTACAGCACTCCTAGACAATTGATAACCTTACCTCTCACGTTTGCACCGCGACGGATATTGCAGCTCAATCGCGACCTCTTCGGGTTTGGCGCCCTGAATTATCGGGCACTTCGTAGCGACTGAGGCAATATCCGCCGCGTGGATGATGCGCGAATCCCTGATCTCGCTGCCGAATGCCTTTTTGTGGCGCAGCTTGCGATTCAAATCAGCAGATCTCTCTTCGCTGCGTCGCAATCGCTTGCGGAAGGGATCGCTATCTTCGTCCGAGGACTCCGAGTCGTTCCCAAAGGCGGGCGAATCTCGCGGGGTACTTGTGACGGCCTTGCGCTTCCGTGCAATGGCCCCCCGCTTCTCGTCGGAAGAGGACGGGTAAGGCGACGCGCTCTTGGGCCGCGACAGTCGTGGGTTCGGCGAGAGGCGGGGTGACGCGGAATACTGGCTCGAAGACGCGCGCGGGCCATTCGGGGTCAGACCTGGCCGAGGCTTGCTCGGGACGACAACTTTTTCTATGCGGATATCCTGCGGCGCCGGTTTGAGTTTGGACTTTTGGTTAAAAATACCCATCGTTTTCCCTTCTAACGGCGGCGCGGGACGAGCGCGCGGCAAAGGTGTGGGGATGATAAAATGTGTTTAGGTAAGATGTTTTAACCTAGAAGTATTTTATTTTTATTTTTCGGGAGGTAATATTAGATACGTAGGTATGTACTGCATTTAAAAATTCTGCGAAAAGAGGGACGAACGAGGCTCTAACGCAATGCATAAAATGAACGGGCAAAAGAGTGCGATGCAGTACTTTGAAGATGAAGGGTGTGACGAGGCGAAGGAAGGAAAAAAAAAGACGACTGGACTGATTGATCGAATTATTCTAGGCAGGTGAGGCCTGGAGGGCCTAGGGGACATGGAAGGTACCTTGTACGCGTTGTACCTTACGAATTAAAGAACGAATTAGGAATGAGGCGGAATCCCGTTTGTCTCCCGCCCCACTGTTTCCTACCGACCTGAGCTTGCTGAAGCGGGACGCTAGGCGGCCAACTAAAAAGCTTGGCGACCAGCTGCCTCGCCTGCCTTGCAGCGGACAATTATTGAGTAAAATGTACTTACCCAGACTTACCTTATACCTTGTCTGTTCGTCTCGCTTAATTGCATAACCGCATAATGATATGCATTATGTGACGATTACCAATGACATAGCACGTGCTACATTCAACGCTACACTCGACATGATAACTCTTTCATTCTTTCACCTGAGCTCGGCTCCTACTACGTGCCTATTCCGCTATACCCGGGAATTATAGTCTGATGAGCGCGTTTTATCCGCCTGTGGTTCCTCGGTCGCGATTGCCTCTGATGAAGCGATGAGTAGGTAGGTAGGCGGTCCCGATTCAAGAGACGCCGCGTAACTATATTGCGTCTACCTTACTAGATACTTCTAGGGAACCTCTTTGTGTGCTAGTATCGCTAGAAACCTATATCTAGGTACCTGTTCATCAAACTGCCTATAATACTCGTCGGTCCCGCGACTGTCAAATCGTTCAACAATGACTTTGCGAAGCGAAATTATCAAATCCCTTAGCTCTTGTTACGTATTAAAGACCATTCGGGGCCTTGAAAGGGCCAATTTATTTTTATAATGTGCCGCGTCAGACTTTCTATTGTATGGCTATTCCCTTGGTCCAGACGCCCACAATGTGAGGCAAAAGGTTTCTGGTCAATAGGCAACGGCAGTTCTCTATCAAAGCGAAGCTTGACGGAAATATTACCGGAATGGGTTACCCGTCAAGGACCCCTTTAATGCTTGCTTTGATATTGTTGCGTAGACGTTGAGGAGAAAATACAACAATGAAGCTTTATTCTCTGAGTTGCTAATATGACCAGCGGCAGTGCACTCGTGACGGATTTTTGCTAAGGGTATTCCCTACTAACCAAATCATTAATTTAGATTACCATAGACCATTTCTAGGTCATCAAAAATGTCAAAAGGAGGAATTATTGGTTTACTCACTGCATTGGGCCTCACGGCTCAATTCGCCAGTGGTCAACTCGAACCTGACTGCAATCCGCTTCACGCAAGTTGTCAGCCGAATAAGGCTTGGGCGAATGATGATTACTACATCGACTTCACGAAACAGACAGGCCCGCCATCGGACTGGACCATTGGAAGCTCGGAAGCCGTCAAGTTCACATCGAATGGAGCCGAGTTCTCATACGCAAAGAAAGGAGATGCACCGAATATGTGGACCGACTTCTACATGCTTGGTGGTCGTTACGATGTCGAGATGAAGATTGCCTCAGGTCAAGGTGTGATTAGCAGCGCGACCCTCTGGTCCGATACCCAGGACGAAATCGACTATGACTTTTCCGGCAACCAATTCGGCCAGACCCCTTTCCCACCCAAAGATGGCATGTGGGCCGTCGAAGCCAACGTCTTCGCCCAGGGGAAGATGTGGGATGGTGCGGCAACTCAGCAGAAGGATTCGTACAAGCCGGCAGAGCAATTTCATAAGTATTCCGTTGAATGGGACGAGAGTCACATCCACTGGTACGTCGACGACAGGGTTGTCCGCCAAGTCCACGTCAAGGACACTCCCACCGGTTTCACCTTCCCCCAGTCTCCAATGAAGCTTAATCTTGGTATTTGGGGAGCTGGTGAGTCAGATAACGACCATCGAACTATCCAATGGGCTGGTGGCGAGATCAATATGAAGGGCGCTCCCTACACTCTGTACGTAAAGAGTGTCAATATCACAAACAAGTATCCCGCCTGCCAGTACAAATATCAAGATAATGTATGTATAATCTATCAATGTGTCAAGGAGATAGTACTAATGATTTTTTAGACTGGGAAGATCAGTTCTATTGAGAAGGTTACTGATGGCTGTGGTCTGCCAAATGCTGAGCTCCGCCGGAGGGACTATTCCATGAGCCCACCAGCCTCGACCGCCAGCGAGGTTGCACCATCTACCGCAATCATTCCGTCTTCTTCTCCTTCTACCGGTTACCCCACCTCTGAAGGAGTTCCCACGTATCCAGCTAGCCAGCTAACCTCTAGCCATTCATATTCTACATATTCTCTTGCCCAGTCTTCTGAAGCGTCTCCGGCTAGTAGCCATTCGGCTGCCTCTTCTCCTGCTGAATATCCTACATACACAGCTAGCTCTCCTTCCGCAAAGTCTTCGTCTTCTTTGGAAGGGTATCCCACAAGCAAGGCCGAATCCCCATCTAGCAGCCATCTGTCCGCGTCTTCAGCTGGTTATCCTACGTCCAATGCTGGGTCCTCATCAGCTGCCGTCCATTCATCTGCTTCTTCAGTCGAATCACCTGGTACATATCCTGCTGCGAGTGTATCATCCGCTAGTCATCTAAGTACCTTTGTTGAATCTGGCTCATCGACTGCTAAGGATACATCGTCAACCGCGTCTGGGTCGGCAAAAGCTTCCGAAACCTCTTCTAGCGGATATCCTGTTAGCCCACCTGCTAGTAGTGTGCATCCGGTCAGTTCGTCGAGTAGCGATGAATACCCAATGAGTTCTCCAACAAACAGCCACAGTGGAATTCTGGGTAGCTTGAGCTCCTTTATCTTAGGAACGTCTAGCAGCGCTTCGACTGCGGCTAGCTCTAGTGAAGCGAAGAATACCTATTCGACAGCGTCGTTGACTGCATCTGGTTCTATTCCGGTTAGTAGTGCCGGAACTGCTGCGGCTAGCTCAAGTGGCTCTTCGAACTCACAGGGATCGAACTCCGGCTATCCGACCTCGTCTCCTTCAGCAGCCCACTCTGAGATTTCAAGCTCAGTAAGCTCGTCCGCGAATAGTTATTCTATGTCCTCTGGAAGCTCGACAAACGTACGGGGTGATATTACATCTACAATATACTCGACGAATATATACACGGTCACGTCTTGTGCTCCGACCGTGACAAATTGTCCTGTCGGTAAAGTAACTACTGAGTTGGTCTCTTTGTCCACGACGATAAGTTCCGCTACCGAGGCAGAATCCAAGCCAGCCACATCAACTGCTGTCAATTCCGCCAGCAGTGCAATTCAGTCAAGCTCATCTGCCAAGTCTTCGGGCGCTTCGTCAGAGGTTGGATCAACAGTTAAGACAGGGGCTTCGTCACAGTCTTATTCGGCCTCTGTCCCCGCCTCTTCATTGACAATGCCGAGCACGTACAGCGTTAGCAGCGAAATTACCACGTCGATCATGTCCACTGTGTATTCGACGAACGTTGTTACCATCACATCATGTGCTCCCTCAGTTACGAACTGTCCTGTCGGTAAGGTGACTACTGAGACTAAGTCTTTGTACACCACTATCTGCCCGGTTACTCAGACTATCCTTGATGGGACGACTTACGGTGGAACTGAGACTACGAAGGAAGTACCTTCAACAGGTGGGTTCACCTATTCGATGAGCTCGTTCCATCCGACCTCGGTTAAATCATCTGCTTCGCCAAGCTCTAGTATTCTATCTCACTCGAGCGGTTTAGTCAATTCTGCGAGCGCAAGTTCCTCAGTGCTCAGCTCTAGCGGTGTCCAACCTGTTGCTACTCCAGGAAGCTCTGTCGGGACAAGCTCTTCGCTATCAGGTTCTAGCAGCGGCTATCTCATGAGTAGCCCGGTAAATTCCGTAGGAGCCAGCTCTTCAATACTCAGTTCCAGCGTCGTAGTTCAAAACGCCACAGTGTCAACCCCTGGGAGCCTCCCCGTAGCGTCATCGTTGACTTACTCGGCCTCCAGCCCAGTTACCACGACAGAGACTAAGACCCACGGCAGCTCCTCCGCTCTCTCGGTGGCAACCGATACTTCTGCACCAACTCAGCCAATCTCTTCATATGCTACGCAGAGAAATATCACAGCCTCCAGCCGTGCCTTGACAACATCTACTGTTTACACAAGCAGTATTTACACTGTCAGCTCATGCAGCGCTGGAGAGGCTGAATGCTCTTCTAAGATTGGCTCGGTTACGACTGAGACGGTTCCTCTTTACACAACGATTTGCCCAGTCGAGGAAACTGAAACAGCGAAGGCGGAGGGAACCACCAGCCAGACTTTATCTGCTTCCGTGGGCAAATCTAGTGCTACTCCAGGTGTATCATCCCAAGTTGTATCATCCTACGGAGTCTCTTCCGCGTCCAGTTATCAAGTTGAATCGAGCGCTTCTCAAGCTGCGTCATCTCATGCAACACCTGCACAATCTGATGTCACGTCTGCTCCATCTTACGCAGCGTCTGCATCGTCTTACACAACGTCAACTGTCTACTCCACTAACATCTACACTGTCACTTCATGTGCTCCAGGTGTCACTAACTGTCCCGCGAAGGGTTCGGTAACGACAGAAGTCGTTGCTGTGTCCACCACGGTTTGCCCCGTTGCAGAAAACTCCAAGGGAGTTCCAGGCTCGAGCGTCCCCGCTGCGGGAGCATCGCAGTACACCACTGCCGCTATCACGTTCAGTAACATACTTAGCGGCTCAGTAATCGTAGTCACTTCGACTATTAGCTTCGTCGACACGCCAAAGCCAACTTCGTATTACCCTACCCAAGGGGCCGGCACGACTACCTCTGCAGGAACTGCCGCTGTCGAGTCTAGTGCACATGTAACCAAGCCGGGCACAACCATATCACTCGGCTCTTACTTCACAAGTTTCATCGAGTATGACACGATTACGCAACAACCACCAGCGTCTGTCTCTTCGGGCGCAGTTCCTACTAGTTACTATACCGGGTCCTCGGCAACTGTCGATGTCCCGAGCTATCAGATGAGTCAAGCATCTAGCATCGTGGGAGCAGGCCCCAGCTCAGTTCCCGTCGCCGCCAGCGCCGCTTCCAGGTTAGTTTCCCTTTCTTACTTTCTCCTAGTCGTCTATTTAGCCTTCTTATTTATCGAAGCCCTCTTGGAGTAACCCAGCTGACGGTGTTTCCTATCAGCTATCCCGCGGCGCCGCCGCCCTCGGCCGTTCCCAAGAACGTGCCTGAAGGGTCTTCGTACCCTGTCTCCCCTGACTCCGACGAGACTACGACAATGACCTCGGCCCTCACTAACACGCACACCGTAACTCAGACCCGATCGGGTAAGCAGTTTAGCACGTGTGCGTGCGATCAGGCGACCGTCTACGTGACTGTCACAGAGACCGCTGCAAAGGTCACTGTTACGAGCACTGTTCAGCCTCCTTTCCCCAGCAGTTACGCTACGGGAACAGCTCCGGCTGCGACTAGCGAAGAGACGGATGGAGCGAGCACGTATCCAACTAGCAAGCCTGCTGGTCTTCGTAGGTGGCTCGGGCGAGGACATGCCCACGGCGAACACAGACATTGATGAGTAGTTGTGTTACACAGGTATGACTAGGTAAGTATAATTGGAACTCATCTTGCATATAGGAGGATAACATACATGAGGTTTCCTATGTTAACGGATTTTTTGGAGTTGAAAACTTGTACCGGATACAATTACGGTCTCTATCTATATACATATTCCAACTAGGTTAGGGCTCTAAAAATAAATTTGTTTAGCGCATTTCCACGGGTTTTGAGGATGAGAGATTTATCTGGGATGCTGCACCCCGGTAAAAGCTCCCTAGGTACACAAAGGAAAAATGATTACTCATTGTGCATGTGCTTCATGCTTCGATTTGCAGACTTCCGGGTGAGATATAGAAGCATTACAGTAAGAGTAGTAAAATAACCAATTGAATTTAGATGCGTCGGTGATTTCTCGTAATAAATTATACCCTCCACCGCACATCTTGAAGAATAAACCCATGTTTCTCGTTCGAGCTGGAAGACTCCTTGAATATCTCTAAACTTAGTTTCGCTATAATACGAGTTTCCTACCTTCCATTCTATTGGCTTGGAATTTCTAAAAGAAGCCGATTTTACGCTGGTCCGGGGTCAGTAAGAAAATTAAGTAGCTTCTCGAAGTGTACTAGCTAATTCCTTTGCCAGGTTTATAAGGGTCCTTCAGCCGCATAGTTCTCTGAGGAAGACTTGTACCCACATATATGCGGCTAAATTCTTAATAATTGGAATCTATAAAAACTCACGATGAATAATCAACGGGAAGGATGAAGCTTTATTCCTAAATTCTCTTAGCCACCACATTTATCTCGTGGGATCTTGGTCCATAGACCAAATATCGCCATTAATTATCTATACCCGTACCCAATCAGTGGAAATCCTATTCATTACTCTATCTCGTTTACCACGTTCTTAATTAGGAATCTTATATTCAATCTTTCTTGGAGTTAGCACTGCGGAGGAACTGACTGTGTTAAAGCTTAGTCAAATCTCATTGGTCAGTTTCTAAGCGAGCTCGAGGTTGGGCTTTTTGGTGAAGAATTTTATGCTGTCATAACTCTAATTAGCGAGTGCGTAGGATCGCCGCTTCTCTTATATGTATGAAGAGATAACACAGCAGGAGTTCTCCTGGCCCATAAAGGTGTATTGTCACATAAGCACGTTGCCGAAACACGCGTACGTCGGTATTGTCGAAGCTGGAAAGGGTTAAGCGCGGCACTCTCCAGGATGTCTTATTTGCTAGGGACGCTTACGTGATACGATTATCGCCCAAATTGGAACATCGGCCCGCAGCATATTGCCCTTTTTTTCGTGGGCTGGGCGGACAAAATTATCATTCAATATGCACGTCTGACATTCCACGTAGGCAGTGCCACCTGATTGTGCAGTAGGCCCGAGATCGGTTAAGCTGTGTATGTGATCATGCTGATACCTACTGCACATGTAAATCCAATAACCCCAGAGCCTCCTGGTTTTGGTGTGCTTGGACTCGATCCCTTGGTGGGAGATGGATGATAGCGGGCCGCCGATATACCCCACCACATCCACCACATAGGAGGTATGAGATCCAATCGGTTGGGTCGCTTCCCCATGTCCCTCCCATCTAAATATATATAAGAGCTGGAGAAAGGACGGACATGCCGGTCGGAGAATTTGTGTCTTCGATTTCTTTGGGTAGGACGACATCGCTTCACGACGATGTACGTACATACATTCATACATTCATCGCACGAACTAAGCCCAGATAAGGGCTTAGCTGACCGAAGGCGGTAATATGTGCCGATCAGCTGCTTTCGAAGATGATCAGCCTTACAATGCCTGGAGTGAAGCTATTACGGAGTCGATTTATTTAACAAGTGGACTTCTACTCGCCAGTTCGTATTCTCGTCGAGGCTAAGTCCAGACCATAAGGGTAGAAGGTCACTGCTTTTCTCGTTTCCAAATTACCGGTACTCGTCCGTGAGTAGCGATCACAAGTTTCTACTACCGCTCATCGCCGTCTACGTCCGGGTTCAGAGCTAGAGATGTCTAACGTACGCAATATTACAGTGCCGTGGGTGCCTCTCGATGAATTCGATTGGTCGTTTGCACGTAGCGGACCTCTCCCTTGGAACTTAACTGTTTGGTACGATGGCTTCGGATCTGAGGCATATTGCGCCATCACGAAATGTTGACTAACTTGATTTCAGGTCCATCATAGCAGTTTTCACTGCTTTACCGTAAGCATCCTCCTTTTTTCAACGAGTGTCTTTGGTCTTAAGCAGGGCCCGTACCAGATCACGCCGAAAATTGATTTGGTGGGGACTCTGATCTTGAACTCCGAGCTTAGACTCCCGGATAGTCGCCAAATCTTGCAAAAAGAGGACATGCTGATTCGCGATGCTACAGGATTTGGACGACCGTCGAGCTCACATTCTGGGTCTTCTACACTTTCGAGAGATGGAGTGGGGCGTACTTTTACTCAGTTCTGGGAACTACTTGGGGCGTGACGATCCACGCTGTTGGTTTTGTCCTTAAGTTCTGCGTGCCCGAGGTGAACTGGGTCCTGAGTACGGTGCTCTCCGAGATTGGCTGGGTCGCCGAAGTTTGCGGCTTCAGCCTCGTCCTGTGGTCAAGACTCCACCTAGTGATTCCCGGGCACACCAAGCTCCTGCGCTATGTCCTCGCCATGATCATTATCGACGAGTTCTTAATCGGTGTACCGACTATCGTGTTCCAATTTTTGGTATCGGGTCCGGCCACACATGACAAATACGTCCCACATATGGAGATCATGGAGCGTGTACAGATCATGTGGTTCTCTGTCCAAGAAACAATCATCTCGGGCATATATGTGTGGGGCACCATGCAGATGCTAAAGCTGTCGCTCAACACTAAGGCCAGGACCACGCTGGCATTTCTCATCATCGTGCAGGTGCTCGTTGTGCTAGCTGACGTGCTCGTCACCGTACTCGACTACCTTCAATACTATACTCTCAAGGCGGTGCTGCACTCGTTCGTTTATGCCTTCAAGCTCCAAGTTGAATTCGTAGTCTTGAACGAATTTAAACAAATGGCAAAGGGAGGCATGACCGGTGGCAATGGATCGCTTGGGATAGGGTCCGCCGGCTTTTCGATATTCAACAATAACAACGTCGCCCTAGATATGCCTAAGACCGGCGGCGGCAGCACCGCGCATAACAACTCCGGCGTGACTGTGGTAGGGTCCGCCCAGGGATCGCCATCGTCGAGGGCGACAGGGTCGGACACCTCCAGGGCGCAGGACGGGCATGCTGCACAGGAGCCCGACGCCCTCGAGCTACAATACCTAGGAAGGTACGGAAGGGCTATGTAATTTTATTCCGTTTTGATATGGCATTTCTAGCAGGACTTTTTTTGGATTTGAGACTGGATACCCCAACCTCTGCTGCGGCAGCTCTGTACGTTTTAAACCTTGAGACATTTGGTCAGCGATGCATTTACATAGGAGTTAGTTGGCTTGGGAACAGTGTAACAACACGATATTATCAACACCATGCAGATACAGTCCCCAAATACGAGTAAAGTGCGTGATGATGAGGAAATGTTATATATATTCTGTGGCACAAAGGCGGCGCCTCTAAATCCAAGGACTGGCAGTAAACCCATGGCCTCGTTGTTCAGTGCCACGGATCGAAGATATTCACCTCTTGGATCAATAGATCAATATAAACATGAATAGGTATTTGTTCAAAAAAGGGGTACCTGTTCTTGTCTTGGACGATGATGTAACATTCGCCATCTCGAATACATCCGCAGTAACGGTCATATCCAGGGCAGGCGCCCCTACATCAACAGTGCCTCATTTCGCATAGAAACCACCAATGTAAAACCTCCGGTTATCGCCTTCCACGACGATTAATCCCTATTTGAGAAAGAAACTTGCTCATATTCACCCCTAGGTACACTCAGGGTACCTATTATGGCGATATCTGGGGTAAGAGTTTCCCCAGAAGCCTGAGTTTGTAAGAGAAGGTTTTTAGAATTCTAACTTAAATCTTACTATATCTTCTCACATCCGCCTATAAATACCAGTATCTCCCACACCTGATTCCAATCAGCTTCAACTTTTTAAGCAACATACACCTAACATCCCAACTGTCAGAGGATAATAGTGAAGGTGTTGTGTACATACAGGAGGCTTTGTCCCCTTTAGTTTTGAAGAGGCTAGGGCGTTAATGCAGTGAACTAACTACCCCTATCTGTGAGCCATCAGCGTGCAGCTGGCATCTACCTACCTCTTACTCAACCACCGTTCGACGAGTACGTGACCCACACGATGAGGTGGAAAGACGGTGGCTTTTCGCATCATCCTTGGATCGCCTTTGTCGTGTTTAACAAGATTATGAGGAAGAGGATGGACAAAAGTAGCAAGTTCTACATCGACAAGCCGTGAGGCGGCCGGCGTCGAGATCAAGCTAACAGCTAAGGGACCTACTCCCCAACACTAACCGTACCTCCTCGTCTGGGTATGACGATGGGAGGAAATGGTTAAGAGCTTGCAGTTGCTCCGACCTTAAATAAGATGCAGTCCGCCACCAAAGAGTCATTGATCCAATGCCGAGACCTCTTTAGGTAGTCAGCTATCGGATAAGAACGGACCTACCGTTGCCGATAGGATCGACACAAGATACCCCGATGTGTTCAGATTCCAATACTACGACGTGGGAAGGCACAGAGTTGCGCGCTGCGCAAATAAAGGAATCTTAATTGATTCATCTTCAGAAGTTGGGACTGTGGCCTTAAGGGAAAGCGAGGAGTGGATAAGTATCCGCGGCCTCAATGGATGATGCCTGCACCGGAATGGTACACCGAGGAAACGAGAGTTCACTAGCTTCAGCATCTGGGCGGCGAATATGGGCACAACCCGTGAAGATCGGCAATTGCTTGTTGTTTGAAGAATATGAAGAGGAGGAAACACTCCCTCTGTCACATGACGACCTACATAGTGAGTTATGTGGGTTAGCCCATGTATAGATAGTGTATCCAAGTACGACACGTGGTACCCACGAGAACTATTGACCCAAAACGCAATCGAGTTGGCGGATGAGTTTGACAAGGAAAACCCGTTATCTTTTTACGGATTCAGGATTTCCCCAAGGACAGGGACAAGGAGTGCTCCTTAGGTAAACTTGGCAGGTGCCACTACAATGTATAGATACTTCTGGGAAAGAGCGTCCAAAACCTTTCATATATACAATGACATATCATTTGAATATCTTCATGATACCGCGTCTTCACCAAGAAAATTTCTCCTTAACCAGTTCCTCAGACATCTTCCACAGTCTCTCAGCTCCTTCGCTTGACAACGCAGATGGTGTTGCAAGATTAGAGATTTGGCAATCAATGAGGTATGCTCCATAATTCTCCTTTCCATCCTTATCCTCGGGCATACCCAATTTCGGATCCAAAGCACTGACAAGGCTTGTCGCTGAGCCCTGGCCAGCCGTCTTCATAGTGAAGAGCCCTCGCTTTTTCATGTTACCAACTGCTTCCAACACGTATTCCGGGGTATCTCTGCCGAGCTCGGTGTTGATGATCCCTGGGTCTAAAAGCAGGAGTTAGTAATTCATCCTTTACGAGAGACTTTTGTGGGAGTTGGGCATGTCTTATGATCAAGGATTCCTTTACCAACTCGATTAAGAAGTTCTTACCCCTAAGGCGGGAAAGGGGGGGGGTGGGGGAAGCGGGTAAGGGAACTCTCGATGTCACGTACGTGGAGCGAAACTCAAGATCCCGTACTTTTCATACAGTTTCTTGCTTATTGCGATACTGAAAAGTACCAGAGCCACCTTGCTCTGGTTGTAGCCTTCGAGGGGCAGGTACGACTTCTCTTCCGGGTTAACTTCGCCCCATTCCCTATGTCTTTCATAGAAAGGCTGTTCGTCCTCGGGCAGGTCTTTGTTTCTTTTCTGTTGGTTGACGTCCGACCACCGCATCCTAGCCATGGTCGGGCTCAAGGAGACCACGTTAACGATACGCGTAGCTCCCTTCGGATTACTCTGAGCGGCCTTGATGAGTTTCGGCATGATCAGGCAAGAAAACAAAAAGTGCCCGACGTAGTTGGTCCCGAATTGCATCTCAATCCCATCTTCGTTGAGGATTCGCTCGGGTAGATTCATAATGGCAGCGCTGTTGACGACGATGTCGACAGTAGGCACGTCGGACCAGGATAGAAGCTCGGCTGCAGCAGCTCGGACAGTCCTTTGTGTAGAGAGGTCGAGTTTAAGAGCGCGGTAGTCGACATCGGGAAATTCTGACTTGAGCGCAGTGATAGTCTCTTGGAGTTTGGCGGGAGTGCGGCCGGCGAGGATGAGATGGGCCGGAGACTGAGAGGCAAACGCTTGCGCAGTCGTATACCCAATACCCTTCGGACAAGCCGAGTTAGTATAAGCGCTCCTGATGACCCCTTTTACAAATTACCTTGAGATTTGCGCCCGTTACGATTATGGTCTTCCCATGTATCCTTTCAGCAAAGGCCTTGGCGACTTCCAATGCCTCGGTATTTTCATTGAAATCATATGTTGTAGCCGTCATTTTGATGCCAAGTGTATTGGATACAGCTGTTTAATAAAATGGGGTACTGTTCTTTGGGAGATTTTGAGGATTTGAAGAGACCACAGTGGATATAAGACTGGTATAGATCAAGATATATATTTCCCGGCTCATTTACTTGTTCCTTAATTCCGACGGTGAAAATACAGACACAAGAAGCTTTCTCCCAACATGTTACATCGATACGCCAGTACGTGATACATTAACCTACACGCTTCAGATTAGATCTGGCAGGCAGCTGGCAGGTTTGGCAGCGTAGGGGAGTCTCACTCACGGACATATTGTTTAGATAGTGCCAGGAGTGTGATCAGTCAGCTGGTAGGCAGCTGGTGTATAGCTTGCCGTGCTTATCATGATTCATGATGCTATATTCGAAATATTGATGAATGAAGTCTGGAATTATCGGGAATAACCAATGTTTCCGCGAAGCCCCTTAAGCCCGATGGATATGGCTGCTTCGTCGGCGTGGGTACGTCGGATATACAACGTTGAATTTCAAATAATTCCGAGACTCCTACGGCGAATATGAACGGACCCGCGGTCCCCGGCTAGTATCTCCACTATTCCCGATACTATTCTGTCCAGATCATGATAAGTATCGTATATAGCCCCGATACCTCTATGATAGATTTTCGTCGACTCTTTTTGAGAAGAATATCATGGCTGTGTACCTATGGAGTGTTGCCCTGTTCCCCTTATTAGCCAACCCCGCATCTCATGTCCTTACATAGCGTTTACTGGTGTCTTCATGAAATGCTAACTTAGTACCTACCCAGGGCAGGTAGTAAAGGTATATCATGAATGATGAAACACATGTGCACTTGATGATCGGCTTTTGACAATCGACGTTTCTCTTCTCTCGAGTCAGTCTATTTTCACGAGGATCGAACCTTAAGATCCCAATTAAAAGCCAGACCTGGCCAGACTAAATCCCGGAATTCCCCGCATGAAGAAAGTACGATCGGGTGGGGGGTTTGTGCACGGACCTTTGCTACTCAGACGATAGTTACACGATACATGGTTTGTTCTCATATATTTTATAGTTGACGAACGACGCGCCAAGACGTTCTGGTATCGATCTCCCGCCAGGTATCTACTGCATCTACCCGGGGTTAACTTAGGCTTCCTGGTTCCGCGATTGGTCAATCCATTCTTTTTGCATTGAATGGTTCGATCTCTCAGATCTTGGTGGTGTAACCGCATCTAGAATCTGGCTTTTTGGACGATGTCCCACTTCCTCCCAGAGCGGTTGCCAGGGGTCGAAGCTCGTATGTGTACGTATACATGAGGATGTTGGCGGCTAGGTAAGTGGGCACATCTACAATCAACTGAGACGTATTCTTCGGCGTTGCTATGGCTTCAATGCCTCTTCCCGAATTCCCGAATTTGGCCAGCGGGCAACTAAATCTGTAGGATCTCGGAAAAATGTATCAGTCACCAGATCAACTCGAAAAGAAAACGGTCCCCGGGTTTTGGAAGTTTGGGTATGTATGTGTCAGCGATCTCGCTACTATGTTAAACATAGTACTAGTGGCATCCCTCGACTGTGGGGAATGAACGGGTTTTGGCGTGTTACGAATCTCTCCTAGACCATTATCCACCCCATAAGCATTCACCGGCATTAGCGAAGTTTTAAATACATTTAAACGATACAGATATACTCTATAGTTTTCGTGTTTACGCAGTATTATGCACTCTAGCGCTCCGCACCGCCATCGACGACCGGGTAATCCCGAATCATACGATGCTCAACACATGCATTCGAAAATAACATGCCATTTGAGCTCATTTTATCAATTATGCTCTTAGAAAGCAGCTGAGTGCATAGCGAAATGACTCTGAAACCTTTTACGTTTATCCGATGAGACGAGAATGGCTCGGTGTTTATAGTAACATAGTTTGATCACTAATTTCCCTCAGATGATTCATCGTGATCTATGGATGCATCTGGCTATATATTCCCATCTCTCAACCACCAAGACAGACCCGCTATCTCCTATATCTACCAGATCACAGCAACAGTCTAACGCCACGCACAATCCTCCAACAATACTCTAAACTATCAACCACCAACCATCAACAATCACCAATTATCCATCAACTTCAATCTATTCGATAACAATGGCACAAACATCCTCTCACGTCCGTGCTTCCCAAACCCAACCTATCACCATCCCCACGCCAAGCAAGAAGACCAGCGGAAGTGGGGCCCTACCACAATTACCCCTATTCTCGCTCTTAGAACCCGGCAGCCCGGCCCTCAGCGACTGCGAGTCCGCGCTGGACGAAGACGACACCGCGTACGACATGTACCACCTACCCGCACACCACCGCAGGAACGCGCTGAGCTTCGAAGAAGGGTTCGAGTTCCCCATGTTCCTGCGAAGGAGAATGTCGGCGCCCCACCTGAAGTGAACAGAATTTTCGAAATTTTTGGTTCAGCTGGTCCTAAAATACGGCGGGGAAGACAGCGCGAAAAACATGCATTCGCCCGACTCGACTTCTCCCCGTTCAGCCCCGTCGCGCCTATATATACCTTATATATGTATATATATACAGATTACTGACGTCCTGGCAAAGCAAGCGGCGCTCCGCTGGGAGTGGGAATATGGTCCGGTAGATGAGACGGCGTGGTCTCGAGAAGATATCCTCGAACCTCCGCATTCGAAGCAGTTGAAGGAAAATAGGGATGGAGTGTATTGATTATTACGGGGTGTTCGGGTCGGGCAAAATACTTCTCTCGGGTCTTGGCGTTTATGGAAGGAAATGGCTATCTGGTTGACGGCAAAAGCAGGCTCCGGCGTTATACATGGTGTTACTTATGGCTGGACAACAGCTTTGCGCTGCCGCGGCGGATGTGTCTTACAAAAACTATTCGAATATTCTTGGAATTTTATGTATGAATAAGCGGACATCAGCAAGTACGGGTACCTACCTGGTACATCGACTAATACTATGATATTCCTCTTACAATTGATCTTTTTCTGGTGACGTGAAAGCTGCTCAGTAATGTGATGAAAGGGGAGTAACAAGAAGGATTAACTGTATGACCAAGCATTGTTTACTAGGACAAGCGTGCTGTATGCATCCTGGCCATTTCCTTTCACATGGATACTCTATCAAATTTTAAGAAAAGATAGACATTCCATCCTCCTGTCAATCTTGAGAACATTGGTCTGGGACTTAGTATGTGTGCAGATACAGAAGCTGAATGCTGTCTGTTTTGCTTTTAGGACTACTTGTACCGATATTCTATCTTAACTCCCTAATCCTTGATGTTCACACATGCTAAAAGTCTAGGAGGCCCCTCTGGAGGAGGGATTTGATCCTTTTGTCTTTTTATGGTGATGATGAGCTTGTTAACGTCTAATGGACGTGACTAGGTATCTAGGTATCTATCTAGGTACCTTACCTACGTGATGCCCAGAAACACGTAATGCAGATGTATAGGACGTCCAAAGTACCCTTAAACAATGCTAGCTCTCCCTTGTCTAGTCCAGACTCATCGAGTACCTTATGACTCAGGAATAGAAATCTTCCTGTATAGTTTTTCGAGGGCAGCAGCCAAGCACTCTAGCTTGTAGGTCCTCGGGTCGCGTCGCCCGCGACGCTGAGCTTGTCATCCAGGTCCTCGCTGAGGCTGTCCTCGTCGGTAGACATGGCGATGGATGATGATCCTTGGAAGGAGGTACACATTCATCGTTTTAAGGTTAGACCCGCAAGGGGCATTCATTCGGTGAGCAGGTATGTGGAGCCCTGCTGGTCCTTTCCACGCTCCTCGACAGACTTATGTCTGGAGGCGAGCACGGCTGTGCCCACGAGCAGAGCCGAGAGGGAACTTTTGGTAATTGGTCATCGTGCCAGTGGCAACCAATTACCAATGTACTGACAATTATGGTAAGGATAACGGCGGAGAACTTGAATGCTAGCCAAGTTTTGGCTGCGATGTTGCAAATGCTTTGTTGTGGCCGGAGCAGTTCTGCCAATCGGTGTATCTTATCTGCTCTTGACGTAGGCGAAGAGCATTATGGAGTACATGATCGGTATTTTCGGGAATGTTCAGGGTATGAAGCTCATGAATTACATCTCGCTTTTATTTTCCCCTCAACCGTGTGTTGGACTGATTAACGAAGGGCAGCGCCGCACGCTTAGGCGGAATCGTAAGTGTCTGTAACATGTTAGATTCACGGAATGACTGGTTGCCTTTATTCTAACTGACTATTCATTTGATGTGTTTACGACGTTATGTCGTAAGAAAGGGTGGGATAGGATAGGATAGGAATGTGATGCCCTTTATCTGGAGGGCGGTCCCTTGATAAAGGAACTTTGTTAAGAAAGCTACAATCAAGATCGTAGAAGTCAGTTGATATTTCTCTTGGTAGATAGAGACGGGAATATGTAGAGGATACTAATATAGTATACTTACTAAATATGTGTTAAGCACTTAAGTTTGCGCTTTACGAGATCTAAAAAGCGTGGTAGAAAGGATGTGTTTTTCGTCCATGTAAATATCATGCGCGTCGAGGCGACACCTTAAGTTACAAGGTAAAATGTTTTACGGGATCAACAAAAGAAAAGGATATAATTTACATAGTAAAAATGTTTAACGAGTCCAGGCACGTGAAAAGTTGTTGTCACTGTGCGTTGCTGTTGTCGAAGTTACTGAGACGAGTCATCCTTCTCGTCACCTACCATCCAATTCTACAGTTGTCAGGACGTTCTACTGAACAAACTTTATTTAATCCGGGCTGGTCTGATTCAACTTTTCATCTTAACCTTCTCTCTACTCCATCCTTTCTTCCTTTCCTTCCTCATTCTTTTCGTCGCGAACCATACACTCGCGCTCTCTCACCCAGACACGAAAGTTTGGATCGCACCCATAACTCATCAACCAACCGTCCCAATATTAACTGGTATGTTCAAAAATCTTTACATTTAATGATTTCACTCAACATCTTGAGATAATTATTTTCCCTTTACGACACGCGAACACATATTTTGGTGTACGTTAGCTGACATCACCTACCTACTAGTACCCCCGACTCTCTACAAGATGACTTCTTCTCCCAAGTCGGCTGGCGCCGGCCAAAGCCATCGTGTAAGTTCAATCCTGCATTCCTTATCTTCTTACTCAAACCATCTTGTTTGTGGCATCCTTTTCCACAGAATTTCTACCAGTCTTTTGAAGCATCGTACTCACAAAGAGTGATGTCCTCGCCTCTTTCTTTTCTCCTTTCTTTTGCCGCAGCGCCGAATGCACTACAATTTTCGTTAAGCAAGATCGTCGCGGGCAATTTCTGGCAGTCCGAAATTCACATTACTCTCCATCAGTATCTGGTTTTTACTGACAGAGCGTCTAGAAGGCTATGCCCGCTGGCCGTGCCGACCGCCCCCGCCGCCACAGCGCCTCGTCGTCCGAAGAGGACCCACGTGTTATCGCTGACAGATACCACGACTACGTCCGCAACGTGGACTTCGTGGTTACTTTCGAACGATCCCGTAACGTCAGCAAGATCATCAATCAACTCATCCCTGCCTTACTCGATCTGAGTGAGAAGATCGAGTACCTCAACAACGAATATCAGGATGACCTCGATCAGGTGGAAAAAGACGTGGCTAAGCTCAAGAAGATGGCCGATGCCATCAAGGTGCCCGAGCGTCGCGTGCTCGCCTTCAAAGATGCTGCCTATATCTTATCAAGCGTTGTCCTGGGGGTCTTGTCTCCTCTGTTCCTCTTCTCCATGGGCAGAGTAACGGCAGGCAGCGATTGGCTTATTGGATTCATTTTTGATTTCCTTTATGCCATGGCTCCCATTGCAGTGCCCATCGCTTTTCTCTACACTCTTGGCTTCTATCAACAGTAGTCTGGGGTCCTTGATGTGCTTATTCCAAGGAACAGATATGGGGCAGGAACAGGGGGTTTACTGAGGGTGGATAAGGATGTCCAGGGAGGTGGTCCATAGATCGGTAGTCCTCACTGCTTATCGGGTACCTATGTTAACGGCCGGCTTGCAATGCCTGCAAGTGACATCGTACCCTACTTGCTTCCCCTGGACTACCTACCTATTAGGTACACATGAATGGAAAACATTGCCCCACACTTAACATCCACCAACAGAGATCGTAGAACGTGCTGAAAGTAGTTAGATACTTGTGACAATTAGAATTATAGCTGTATTTTAGATATCTCTTGTGGAAATAATTCTTAGCATGTAAGGCACAAGATACCTCTTCAATGACATTTGCTTGTACGAAGACCTGGGCCAAAGATTTCGCACATCTACTCAAGGGCCAAAGCCGTATAGTGTGGAGTAAGTTAGACGGCTTTCTTTAGTGACTGAGCTCTTTGGCCTATGACAATAATCTACTGGAGCTTAGCGGACCAATCACTGTATCTCCAAATCTTAGCTTAAGACTGATACAGTATTCGATAATTAATTATCAAATTATGCACTAGGCAAGTATGGCGGGCCAGGTGCAAAACTTTTGGTCACTAGATACCATAAGAGGCCTTCATAGTAGCCAGTGCAATTTCTTAGTGTAGTATGTATAAATAATAGTAATAATAAATGAAATGAAATCTGTCTTCTAGCATTTCCGACATCCTTTTAGGTATTTATTAAGCAATTATCACATTCCATCAACAACTTTTGCAATGAGCTAAAGAACATGTCAATCAAGAATACCGGAAAAGGAAGGTGGGTCTATTAATGGAATCAAATGATTGGCTACAGCAAGATGTTAATGGGCTCTTATTAACTGCTTAGGCCGTTGATGAGAAACATGCTATTAGAGTTATCTTAGCAAACTAAGTGTGAGTTGAGCCAAAGAACCGGCGCGTATTTTCATTTATACCGTTTATGTTAGTTAACTCCTTTTTCTAGTTGGAATCTGGGGCATAGCAAGTTCTATGGCTTAAAAATATTCCTTTCCATGTAGTTGACAGCTAGCAACTCTGAATGTAGCTGGTATCAAGTTTCTCTTAGGTACTCTACGTGTACGATGTAATTTTATGCTTTAAACGCGATATTTCCCGTTAACAGTTTTCGAGAAAATTTCACTTGCGCCCCAGAGCCTCAATCACATCTGTGATATAGGGGATTGGCAATTGGAGGTTCCTCTGACTTCCCCAACTACCGTTTCCTAAGCATTCTAAACTGATGATGCTTTCATTCATTGAATTGGCTGTGGACGGACACAACTCCACCGACTGTATCGTGGGGATGTTAGTCCATCTCACAAATCACACTTGAACATTGACTCATGACTAGTATTTTATGGATGAGAAGTCATGACCAACTATTTGAACTTGATTGTTGAGATGTGAGTTGGTCAAGCATAGACGTGTCGTCTACTCTAGCATTGAATCAAGTATTTTGCTGTTAAAATTCAGTCGGCTCCTATCACCCCAACCAGGTGATCTATCTCTAGTACTCGGTATATTCCGGGTTCCACTGCAAGATACTGGCGTCCTTAGCTCATAATATGCTCACGATATCGTGGCGATGAGCTTGCGCAAAATGATTGGCGTTGCTAAGGGAAAATCTTGGACCACACGATGCCAAATATTGAATGCCAAAGCTCTTGACAAATAAGGACAGTTGCATAAACGTATTTTATAAATTGATGTCTAGAACACGAGAGATCAGCGTTGATGAAGTGTTAACGTATGCTATCATCCACCCTGTTTCGTGCGGGCAAACCACGAAGCAGCCACAAAGCACGCGCTTAAAAACATTATACACCCTGCCCATATTTGCATGTACAGGAATCGACCGCCTGCAGCATCTACCAACGCCCCAGCGATCGGCGGGCCGGACAGGCATCCGATGGATCCGATGGTCATGATCATGCCGCTGCGAACGCCAACCTTGCTCAGATCTTTGGTCAGGGAGGGCAAGCCCGCCATCGATATGGCCTGCACGCCGCCATTGACTAGGCCGGACAAGACCGCGAACACGTACAGAGAGCTTTCGTCTCGGATGCCGATCCAACCGAAGTACAGAACACTCGAACCGACTGCGAGCGGCACCAGCGTCCGGAACGGCCCGAGATAGGCGTCGGAAACGAGCGCTGGCACGATTCGGCCCGGGACGCCAACGGCGTTGGCGATGAAGAGCGTGTTAAGCGAAGTATCTGCATCCATACCTATGATCGTCCTTCCATAGGTGTTGATCTTTTTGAGAAAAAAAAAATGTCAGCTGGAACGTGAAATATTTTGGAGTAGTCGCTTCCTTGGGCCCAAAAGGCAGACAGGGCTTACATAATTGTACGTCAAGTAGACCCCCATCAGAAGACAAAAAGCGCCTGCTGTGTAAAAAGTATATGGGAGTTCTCTAAATGCGCCCCATTCGACAAGCGGGCCTCTAGACCGAGGTGACAACCTCGATCGAGCAAAGAGGAGCATGACCGTAGCGTTGAACAGTATGACGAACCCCATGACCCGCATCGTCCACGGGAAGCCAACTTTGCCCGGCAGCTGCTGGGCGATGATTGGAAAGATGGTACCGCCCGTCGCAGCACCACTTGTGGTTATGCCGATCGCCAGGGCACGTTTCCGCCGAAAGTAGGTGGCCACGTTGGAGATAATTGGGCAATACAGGATGCCGGCTCCGAGTCCGCCGCAGAACCCTTGCGCCAAGAGCAGTTGCCAGTATTCTGTGGCTATGGAAGCCGTGAAGACGGCCAAGAGCTGGAGCACAGAGCCGATCGCAATTAGCGACCGGAAGTAGCCCGCGTCGAATAGGCGGCCTGAGAACATGCCAATCAAGGCTAGTAGGAACACCTGCACACTCCCGGTCCAAGATACGGCCGACAGAGGTAGGTGCAATTCCTCCGTGTAGTAGGCTTGGAAAATACCATAACTGTTAAACCAACCAAATGTATTGAACAGGGCAAGACTTGTGGTAGTTGAGTTAGCTTAGTCATATACCTAGGCATAGAGGCAATTCTGAGGCAGGTTAAAGTGGGTTTCTTGACCTACTGTCCAACAAAAACTTGAAGCCATCCAAGGCCTCCATCCGGGGGTGGATCGATTGGCGCCGTCTCATTCTCGCTTTGAGACGACTCTGCAACACCCACGGAATCCTCCTTGTCCGAATTCATAGCTCCTCTCAATTTTTCCAGATTGTGTGGAATTGAAGAGTTCTGTAGTAGAAAGAATGTCAAGAAAAAGATTCCTTGGAAGTTGTGAGAACCGGTGCGAGTCGGCACTTCTATAGGGGTCGGCCCTTGCGTTAGGGATACGCCGAGGAACGCAGAACGAACCCTTCAAACGGCTTCCGTGGCTTTCGTTGGTTGGATAGAGAAGGTGTCTATCTTCGTATGCGTCCTGCGTCCTGCAATCCGACAACTGTTTACTATAGTAATGCTCGTAAGGTTGGCGTAGTATTCCACGTCGGCTAAATGCTCAGAAGGGGATCTTTCTCGTCCCTTAGCAGGGTGAAGATCCTGCGAATGCAGGCTCGGGACTCGTCAATACCTGCTACATTTACAGTTGCAACCACAAGAATATTTGACTTGTCCACGTGGACAGCCATTGAAACCAACACAAAAGGAAGGCAAAAAGGACGAAATCTTCTGGAAGGGTTCTACACGTGCAATAGCGTGTTCTTTATGAGGATGAAGCACGCTATATACGTAAGTGTCTCTAACCAACATGTTTCTCCTTGTTGAGTCCTTGTCTAAGTCAAGTACGTACCTGGTGCGGTAAGCTGCATGAAACGGGGACTTTAGGTAGGCTAGGATTCCTTCCGGTTGGAATCGGCCGGGGTTCGTAATTGGTGACAGCAGGGCGAATGAAAAGACAAGGATAATTGCCTTACTACGTACATATGTATTCCGTACAAAGAGCCTTCGGCAACAAACGTCCCATCCCATCGATTGGTCAATTTTACGCGGCTATGCGGGTGTCGCGAATGGCCGGCAGGCTTCCGAATCGATTATCTCCTATGCTATGCAATGCCGCTGCCCGTAGTTCTCGTCGAATGAAAGGATCGTGCCTCGATTTCAATTATACATAAGGTTTTGTTTGTTCTTCGTTCCAGTCCCAGAACTTCTGCGCAATACCTGTGCCGCCCTCCGACTGGGGTTTTGATCCTTGGAGGATATCCTGGCGAATATCGGCAAACCGTCCCCATGGAACGACTAGTAACGGACCATGTCAGCACTCAATAAGTATCCCGTAAAGAGACGAAACTCACTCCAATCGCCCGATCGTTCGAGCGTCACCTCATTCGAGAGACCGGCGAATAACTCTGTGTATGCTCCGTTGATGACAGGATATACGGTAAGCTTCCGATAGAGCATTTCAATCGGATTGCAATATCGATCAAGTTCTGATGCCAAGTTGCCCGGGTTCAAAGACTGCACACCTGTCAGAACGTTCTGGACCTAGCAGGGTTTGGTGCCCCTTCTTGTTTAAATTCTTCACCGAGACCGCGAGACTTAGTGCAGCTTCGTCAGGCTAAGTTTGGGTCGATGCGCAATGGGGAAATGGGGCTTAATTTTAAAACCACTTACAAGGCTGACGATCCCGTCCTTGCGGTGCCTCCGTGCGTACTCGGTCGACTGATAAACATTTCCGACCTTGCTGACGCCGTATCTATACGCGTAAAATAGATCCTTCTTATAATCGAGGTTGTCCATATCGATGCCGCCTTCCACGGGGATGAGATGTTCAGCAGCGCTCGACGATACCCAAATGACGCGGACGCTACCCTCGGGGGATACCTTTGCCGTCTCGACTAACGTCGGCGTGAGAAGCTTGGTGAAGAGGAAATGTCCCAGACAATTGGTGCCTAGCTGTAGTTCGTATCCCTGAGCCGATTTACTCCCTTTAGGAGGGAACATAACGCCAGCATTGTTATACAAAACATGAAGCTGCGTCTCTTTTGCTAGGAACGACCCGACCGACTTCTTAATGGTGGATAGGTCACTTAGGTCTAGGAGTAGAAACTCCAATCTCCCTGTCGACGAAGGATGTGCCTCTTGGATCGATTGAATCGCAATCCGACCCTTTTCCTCGTTTCGCGCCGCCACCCAAACGACTGCATTTTTGGAAAACAGAATGCGGGCAACTTCTTTGCCGATTCCCGTATTTGCGCCGGTCACGATATAAACCTATTGACTGTCAACTCCTTGATTGATATACGAGAAAACGTCGAACTTTCTTACCTTGCCTGACAGATCCGGTATGTCTTTGTCGGTGTAGGTAGGTTTGCCAGGGAAAACCTGACGTATTGCCTCGATGTATAACGACATCTTGACGATGTAAGGGTTACTGTGTTACACGAGTCCTTGTCCCTGGCATCGAATTGAACCTCCCCTACCTTGACCTCGGTATCTCCAAATGCCAAGATATTAGTGGGGATTGTCGGCGTTGATCTGGATCCCCGCAGCTCAGAACGCCTCAAACATGTGCCACATGCAGCCACATTTCCATCAGGGTTCAGAGGTTTGTTTCACTTTGCGTAAATTGTCGTAGATAGTGAGCGTCCTTCCGGATCTCTAGCTCTTATATTCTCTACCACATGTACCACTTCACTTTCGTTTTTACTCCAACGTCATCTTAAGCCGTCAGCTTACTTCCCATGATTAAGAATCCTGCCACTACTGTGAAACATGACGTTTAACCCCGCGCCTAAGACATATCATCGTCAATACTAGTATTTTCTTCTTAAGCAAGCCTACGAAGTATTTGACGAGAGACTGTATTAAGACAACGCATGCATTCCATAGGTAATTACTAGGAGTACCTATGATGCCGGCCTACTTTATGGAGCCTCGAGGTCCGGCACTGTTAAAAACGGTAATCAAAACAGCCCCTCCAACCCCAATGGATGCGCCTCAAATCGTCTCAAGTTAGTTATCAGGAGTTATCTGAATTTTACTTGCCCGACTCGAAATAATATTGCATAAGGAGCTTAGGTATATATAGTCAAGGTTAATTCTTAACCTGGCAACACAAGGACATAGACACCGAGGGCTCAACAACCTATCGAAAGAAATGGACATGGAAACATCTAATAACTTCAAATTGAAAATATGGTCGGTCAAGGTATGCTCCAAAGTAGCTAAACAAGCACCGAGTCGCTCCTAGAGCGGCAACGAGCAGAGATATTCATGATAGGGGTACTGTGTCTCCGCCAATGGGATGCTCCGATTCATTTTCGGGGCTAGTCTGTGATTTTCCAATACCAGAACCCCGAGATGTGTCGGGCCTGATCGGTTCAAGCATGACGAGACTGTGATAATCCTGCCTCAATTTATATTTTGAAGCTTTTCTGCTCTTTATCTTAGCTAACACCTTCCTCTGCACTTGAATCAACTTCTCATCGCTGATATGGCCTCCGAACAAGGTCAAGAGGAAACAACACGACGGATAAACTTCAGTAAAGACGTGAAAGTCGCCACTAAGGACGAAAACAGCAATGATGCTGGTCATTCCGGGCTCAGATTTGCGTTGGTAATGCTGTCTGCCTTTTTAGCGATGTTTTTAGTATCCTTAGTAAGTTGGCATCTCCTATAATTCACATCTGACATATCAACCGTAGGATCGAAGCTGACCAAAAGCACTAGAATAAACTCATAATCTCGACCGCCATTCCTCAAATCACTGACACGTTCGATTCGAAGGACGATATTGGATGGTACGGCACGGCATACCTGCTAACCAACTGCTCTTTCCAGCTCGTGTTTGGGAAACTGTATAAGTTCCTCCTCGTCAAAATCACCTTCCTGCCATCTTTGCTACTATTCGAGGCTGGTTCCGCCCTCGGTGGTGCTGCTCCAAGTTCCATCGCATTCATATTTGGGAGAGTCATTGCGGGCTTAGGAGCCGGAGGTGTTCTTCCTAGTGTTGTATGCTTTCCTCCCTCTTCGAGATGAATTTCGAAATCGTCTACGGGATCAACTGGCTAACACCGTACAACTCCAGATGGTCATAATTGTTTATACCGTCCCGTTACAAAAGCGGCCCAAGTACCAAGGCGTCTTTGGTGCCGTATTTGGTGTTGCTTCGCTGCTTGGGCCTACCGTTGGCGGTGCCTTCACCACAAACGTCACATGGAGATGGTGCTTTTATATCAACCGTTTGTGCACACTTGGACGATCCATGATCCGGTTGACTAACGCTTATATGCTAGTTCCTATTGGAGGTGCAGTCATGGTGCTAGTGTTTCTCTTGCTTCATGTACCTGACCAGACAGGGGCCAAGATCTCTCTTAAAAGAAAATCTGTATCAGGCCAATTTGCTAGGTTTAGTCTGTCTCGTTCCTGCTCCTGATTGCCTTTATCTTGGTTCAGATTTGGCTGCTTGAACAAGCTATTTTGCCACCGCGTCTCTTCCTTCAAGGGAGCATCGTCTCGGGTCTCTGGGCAAGCTTGTGCATCGGCGCACACCAAACCATAATTCGTAAGCTCCAACCACATATCAGTTAGGCACCTCTGTCCTCATGCTAATGTCAGAATGAGAGTGTACTATCTTCCCATCTGGTTTCAGACCATTCAAGGTCAATCGGCCGTCAAAAGCGGCATAGACCTACTTCCCATGGTGCTGCTCGCTGCTGCAACGTCTGTCTTAAAAGGGCAACTGGCCTCATTGGTCGGATATTACGCGCCATTTTTCGTATTTGACGTCTGCTTCGCCGCGACTGCCACCGCTTTGTTCACCACTCTCGGAGTTGACACTTCGGAGGGGAAGTGGATCGGCTACCAAATCCTTTACGGCGTCGGCCGAGTTCTGGCCTCCCAGGCCCCGAATATGGCTGCGCAGACGGTACTTCCGAAAGAGGATGTGGCTATCGGTGCATCTCTGATGTTTTTTCGGGTAAGTTGTCTCTCTTAAGGCAAATTCTCGTTCATCGAGACACGTCCATTGTGCTAACTCCTATGCGTTCTACCTCTAGGCAAACACTATTTGGCGCGGATTTCGTTTCGGTTGCACAGAATGTTCTCAACACTTAGGTAACCAACCGCCTCGCCGGCATCCCGGGAATTAGTTTCGAGCTTATTCAGAACGCGGAGGCTACCGACATCCTCGATAGTGTTAGCACGCAGTACCGCGCGGCGGCACTACAAGGGTACAACGACTCGCTACGCGTGGTCTCAGTGGTTGCTCTTTGCATGGCCTGTCTCGCAGTCCTCGGCGCTGTGACCATGGAGTGGCTCACGGTCAAGAAGAAGGCCCCGACCAAAAACCCGTCCGGTGAGCACGCCGCTGAGACGGGTCTGGGCCGGGATAATAGGAGCGAAAAGGAAGCGTCGGGCCCAAAGGAAGTGGCCGCGCATACTGTTGATAAAGAGGCATATAACGGTAAGAATGCCTCCGCATCCAATGCTACAGTGAACGAGAGAAAAATTGCATAACAAATTTTTGGACAGAGTTGAGAAAGGTCCGTCCCGCGAGTAACTTCGCGATCTTAATAGTTGTACCTAGGGAAGATAAAATTCTTGAGATAATACCTACCTAGGAAAACTTGCCCTTCTGTGTATAAGGGCACATACCCCTTACTTTGTACTCCGCTTAGCCATTATACCCCTTTAGTCAATTGCATTGCCTTGTGTAACCTGGATCCAACCATAACTTACAACATGTTAGACATGATCCATTCAAAGTCGCATACTTCTTTTATAATCAGCTTGTCTCTTAGATTTCGCACGATATATTTAGTAGATGCCCAAGTAGAGAGATATGGTGAGGACTGCTCTGATGAGAACCAACCACTAATAAATCCCGGCCGCGTACGAACCATACCTACCTAGGTTTTGCAACAGGCGACTAAATATCGTGATCGAAGCCCCATTAGAATTTACCGGAACTTCACGAGGCTCGGAACTCCCGGTGCCCATAAGAGCCTTTGAAATATCCCGTTCTGTCAAACTTAGATTGTACGATGCGGTTAGCATCGGTGAGTATTACATCCGAGTAAGTGAATATCGGCTAACATGAATATCTTCCTTGTAGGAAGCAGTTGATGAGTAGTGCCAGCGTTTGAAAGGTGCTTCTTTATAACTGGGCGGGCATTTGCCGAAGATCCTACTATCTTCAAGCGCTAGCAACTTGCTTTCTTAACCTACCTACATCAAAGATGCTGCTAAAAATGAGACATGACGACAGACCACCATTCTTAGAGCAATCGCCCTTCTAGTCGCGTCACAGGTTTATTACCAATGGGAGAAGATCGACCACTCGACTAGTTACAATTTGAGAGTATTGCAGGACTTTAGTTTGTGTTACATTAAAGAGCCGGCATGGCGAGCGGGGCCGCTTAATTCTCAATTGTGCCGCCGACGACCGGTGAAGCTTCGGACATGTATTGAAAGATGTTCATTCGACCGTATCTACAAATATTAATAATCATGAACTGGCATTTCAAAGACTGGTATATAGTAGGAATGCTATCCACGCAGCGATTCGGTTGATCAATACTAATTAGGAAGTGTTATACGGTGGCTGTCTTTAGCCCCTGAGTTCTGATATCGTGGGTGGGGAACTCCGGCACACACAAGTACGGACTACCAACTAGACCACACCGTCCCGAAGGATCGCTCATAAACACCTATTATATCCAAGGGAGGCGTTCGAAAATCCAAACGGACTTTTCTGTCTTGCCTGCGGACACGTCGGAGCTCCGTTTTGTGAAGTGGCAATTTACGGGAATACCATACATAAATAATAGCCAAGGTCAAAAGTTGAGATGGAGCGAGGCATCGTTACTGGTTCTGATTTGAGCCCTTGCCCAGTTCAAATTTGAAGTAATTCCAACGATGACTGCCGGAAATATCAGCTTCGACGGTAGGCTCCAAGAAACGTACCATTCGCGCATATGCAACATTCCTTACTGATGACATTCAGACTACCTCGGTCTGCAGACCTGCTTGGTCGAGTGGGCTGACAGCTACGACAGCAAGGACTGGGCCAGGCTGCGAAAATGCATCGCGCCCACCCTGCGGGTGCGTCCCAGCCAATCAATCATCCACAGAAACTTGACGGTATTAGTCTAGCGAAGCTAACGCAATGCAATAAAAAATAACAGATCGACTACCGCTCGTTCCTGGATAAGCTCTGGGAAGCGATGCCGGCGGAGGAGTTCGTGGCGATGATCTCGAGCCCGGCGGTGCTGGGCGACCCGCTGCTCTCGACGCAGCACTTCATCGGCGGCACGAAGTGGGAGAAGATCTCGGACACGGAGGTCGTCGGCACGCACCAGCTGCGCGTGCCGCACCAGCGGTACACGGACGCGAGCCGCCGGACCGTCGCGGTCAAGGGCCACGCGCACTCGACCAACGTGCACTGGTACCGCAAGGTCGACGGCGTGTGGAAGTTCGCCGGCCTCTACCCCAACATCCGCTTCTCCGAGTACGACTTCGACAAGGTCTTTGCCGACGGCCGCGAGGAGTTCGGCGAGGAGGAGGCTAAGGAGGTTTCTGCGAAGGCGCAGGGCGTTAACGTTTCCGTGGAGAGCATCTCCGCGGAGGTATGAGCGAGTGCCTTCTTGTGGATTGAAGGGGCTTTAGCTAGGGTTGGACGACTGGAGGCGTGTAAAATCAGGTACCGCGCGATCATTATTTTGGGGACTCTGCTGAAGCTGGATGGACATTACGGCAGTAACCTTGGGGCTTGCAACGGGTTTCTAGGTCAATACAAAGAGGTAGATATCCTAGGTAACAGATGACTATTGAACCATCAATCAGGCCATATTGCAATCACGAACACCATCATGCTCACTCGCTTTATTCGTGTATGGCCACCAATCTCTTCTCGCCTTAAATCAACTGACGCAGAGTAACAGATGCGAAGCCGCTTTCACCTATCAACGTTGGATCTCTTTCTCCCCCAAATAAGACAAGCGCCTAATTGACATACTGTAATTAATTTGACACGAGACCTAAAATTTAAACATCTTTATAGAATGAGCTTAAATATGCGACTTTACTGCTTCGAGATAAATGAAACACCAAAGATCGCATCTTGCATCTAGATCTTAAGGCTGAGACCGGTTCATTTAACCCACATACTCGTCGATGCATGTGACTTGGCGCGACAGACGCGCTTTTACAGTTTTCCTGTCAACAATGACATCTGTCCACTTTCAAATACACGTCACGTTCCGTGTTGGAGTGGTAGGTACCGTTGATGATTCGAGAACGCTTCATCCATGCTTTACGATATAACTACCCATGAGTTAAGCTGTTGGGCCGCAACAGAAATTTCAATACTTCTAATAAACCCCTTACATGATTGAAAGCTGAATGTTCTTATTATAGCACCCATGTTAATAATAAAGTTATCAAAGCTTCCTTGCGACCCGACCATAGAGTCATAGCTCATAGCCGGTTTCTAGAAGTCCGTGTGTTGGCAAATTTTGAAATTCGGGCTTGAGGACTTAACGGGGATATTTTAAGATAGGTCCTAAATACGTAGGATTCAATCTAATCTCAGAGAATGGAGAGGTAGGTACGTAGAAGTAATTCTTAGTGTAGCTCGAGATATCTCCGTGAGGAATTTTAAACTAATAGATGACTGGTATAACAAATACCTGGACTTACGTGGTGGGGGCCGCGTAAGGATGTGGAAATTTCAATTCATGCGGAAGAAAAAAAAAAGAAAAAAAAAAGAAAAGATGACTGTTACGAAGTATTTCGGGTCAATTCACCATATCGATAGTGCGTAAAACGAGCAAAGCCGCCGGTGGCGATTCTGTTTGGCCATTTACATAAATAAAATCGGCAGCGAGCAGCGAGCCCGGTGATTACAAGAACCATGTAATGGCATGCATCTGCATAGCTGCGTGCCGCAAACGGACGTATGGGACGTCCAAATAGTCTCGTAACCTAGACTACTGCTGTGCTGCGCGCGTCCCAAAGCGCCAACCTGCGTGGTGGGACTTTCCAGGGCTGGAAGTTTGACAACCCCCACGTGCGTCGCCGGTGAGACCAGGCCGGGAGTCCGGCAGCCGGGGAATAATGTCGGGAGGGCGGTGAAGTACCTGGGTAATGGAGAATCCGACGGCACCATGTAGAATATTCTATACATGTAATAAGTAATAACCGCGGAGAATCTTAATTACCTAATTACGCAGTAGCCTCTTGGCTTCGATTGCTTGATACGGGGACAAGAGGGGTTACAAGAAGGGGAGGTATCATACGAGAAGCTTGAACAAAGCTTGCCATGTTGCGACCGCGGTGAAGGACGTCGTTTGCCAATGTTCTTGCCAATGTTTTGAGTCTTGTCGCCCAGAACGCCGAGTCCGTTCTATGCATTAAACAGCCACTCAGGGTAGCGTTGGATAGGTATTATACGGACCGGTGTATAGCTGAATACCTTAGTAGGAATCGTAAGCGAGGGAGACGACGGGAGAGGACGACGTCAATGGTTGGGATGGTTGGGATGGTTGGGGTCTCGCCGGTCCCCGTAAGAGCCGCCAAGAAGACTAAAAAATGTCACGTTGGACATTGTTGGACAGTTGGACACTGCTCGTCAAACTGCGCCACGACTCTTCTGCTTTTTTGTTGCATTTTGTTACGCCACTATTACGAGTCATAAAAGGCATATTAAAAGATTGTTCTCGAAATAAGTTCCATGCGTGATACTGATGCTGTGGTAAGTGAGGAAAATTTGACACTTCTGAAGAGGTCCAATCATGGTCGAGGTGGTGATAGTGAAGAGTTTCAGAAAATGATGAAAACGTCAAAAAGCATTCGAAGCTTCTGATTGAAGAATCATTTTTTGAGACAAGGGTCGTTGGAAGTCGTATCCCACGAGATATTGAAACATTAAGTACCTTCTACGTACTCAGGCGGGAGGTGGACTATCCGACTTGAGTTTAGCGCCATGCCGCTTTAGCTTTCTGGCATTTTAGCACGGCTTATCTTTACTTGCCTTGAATAAAAGTCTTCAATTGAATAAATCAGATAGGGAAAATCTTGCTTTGCTCATCGTACGTTAAAACGGAGGAAGTCAATCTAGCAGGTGTGATCTGCGGAAGAATATCTACCTCATGCTATATCTAAGCTTGCTCGGCTATCTTTTTCTCATATTTTTTACTCGATTGTGTCCAATACTATAGTCACATGTCTATTCGGAGACGCACCTTGGTTTATATATGTACCGTCACCCCGCGCGGAAAATCAATCCATCAATGACATTTTAAGATACCCAATACCCAACCTGCCATTGCCTATCATCCGGGTCTGGACGGCAACTCGGCTTAAACCAGAAGGAAGTCCCGCCTACCCTCTTCCGAACTTTTCAACACTTTCGACCACTTTCGACCACCTAACTCATCGAGCAGGTCAAGCAGGTGTGTATTATTTGTCAATGTTCGTTGTGGAATGATGTGGAGTTTCACGACATCGGAGACGTCAGCCCGCGTCGACAACATTCCGGCGGTTCATTTTCATTTTTTCAGACTTTTTCACTTTGCCGGACCTCTTCTCTTCTATGTTAGGGAGGTATGCATGTAACACATTAAGGAGCTTCTATATCCGCATGCAAACAAAGAATATCCAACGAAAAGGACTCCCCGCAATCTTGGAGATGGATACTATGTAATTCATCTGGAATTTCTCTCCCCCGCCTTCACCCGCTCTACGCTAAGTTTTATTCTAAATCCTTTGTTCGGTTGAGCCTCAATTGTATCAGGTCATTGGTTCGTCCTCGTTCCGCAGGGCTACTTTGTTGGTAAGCCGGGTCATGTTCTAACCCTCCGCGCCGAGGATAAGGGTGGGATATGGGTACGTATGTGTGCTAACGAGGGTAAAAAGCGGCCAAGGTTCGACCTAGTCCGCGGTACCTCGAGAGTACACACCGCCCAAACCCGCCTTCAGGCCTATCATCGCGTACCGTAGCAGGTAAAAGCAGAGTCGTACCCATCCGGGTCGCATGGGCCCCTGCTCTATTGCCCAAGCCCCCACTACGAATGGACTAGTCTCTACCAGGATCCCTGAATCGGACCCATCAAATCCCTAAATCTCATCATCAAGCTAAGGCCTGTTGCTCATCATGAATGTTTTTTTATTTCAGAAAGTACAAAAACTTAAATGCTGCCACTTCTTTCTTCGTCTCGTTATAATTCCAACTTGTACCGCAACTTTGTTTGAGTTGCGCACCCAACTTTGGATTATTCATTTATTGTTATTTTCCATTTTCACTTTTTTCTTTTCTTCTCTTCATCCCCGTCTTTTCTGATCCCTTGCTGGGCATCAAGACAGTAAAACTGATCTGATCTTATCTGCACATTCTATTTGCTTGATGCTTCTTCATGCTACACGGCGCATCACCCCTCATGAGCGCCTACTACGCGTAAACAAATGTATTAAGAGATTTCGTTGAATCTCGCATTTAGCGGCTATCTCGGCTCCTTTTCTCGTCACAGCCCCATTGTGTAGCTAGTTTGCCAGTCACTTGGCATGCAATCGTCCTCCTGAATGCATCTAGATCAGAATATCCTCCCCAGGTCCGTATCCATAAGTCGGGGGTCCTCTAACCTTTCCTCGCCTCTTGGACTCTTTTCGCTTTCTACAAGGGATCCGGTATTTGCGCCCTCGTCCGACCAGCGACCTCCTTGAACCGCGACTTTTAGTCCCGTTCTTCTCTCTTCCCTTCTCTTCCCACGGACTCCCGAACCGAGTTTGCCCCGTGAGGTTCGACGATAAGCCATGGCGTGGGATCACCTCTCGATCACCAAACCCCATTTGGTGTACATCATCTTGGGGGGGTTTACTTCGCTTTTTATGCTCTGTTCTTCCGTTATCAAGGAGCGCATGTATATCGGTGAAGCAACTATTGCTACTTTGTGCGGTGTCATCTTTGGTCCCCATGCTGCGAATCTGATCAACCCCGACTCGTGGGGGAATGTTGACGAGACCACCCTCGAATTCTCCCGGATCGTCTTGGTCGTCCAGTGCTTTGCCGTCGGAGTAGAATTGCCAAAATATTATATGGAGAAGCATTGGAAGTCCGTCGTATTCCTGTTGATCCCTGTCATGACCTTTGGTTGGCTGATTACGAGTCTGATCGTCTGGTGGTTGTTCCCGGTGCTAACCTGGCTCGAAAGCCTGGTTGTTGCCGCTTGCGTGACTGCCACGGATCCTGTTCTTGCTTCTTCGGTCGTAGGTAAGGGGAAGTTCGCCAAACGGGTACCGAAGCACTTGAGAGATGTGCTTTCTGCCGAGTCCGGCTGCAACGACGGCATGGCCTTCCCCTTCATCTACCTTTCTCTCTATCTACTCCAAGAGAATCTTGACGCTAAACAGACAACCTACCATTGGCTTGTCTATACTGTTCTCTACGAGTGTATATTTGGAGCCTTTTACGGCTTTATGATCGGGTACATTGCACGGCACGGTATCAAATTCGCTGAAAAGCACGATTTGATTGATCGCGAGAGCTTCCTAGTCTTTTACTTCACGTTGGCTCTTTTCTGCGCTGGGTCGGGCAGTATCCTGGGCGTGGACGACTTATTGGTCGGATTCGCTGCTGGTGTTGGTTTTTCGAATGACGGTTGGTTCAGTGAGAAGACTGAAGAGTCGCACGTATCTAACGTTATCGACTTACTGCTCAACTTGGCTTACTTCGTTTTCCTCGGCACCATTATTCCCTGGGAGCAATACAACAATTACGAGATTGGCCTTTCCGCTTGGAGACTCACTGTTATGGCCATCTTCGTCATCTTGTTCCGTCGAATCCCGATCATGATGCTACTTAAGCCGGTGATTCCTGATATTAAGACCTGGCGCGAGGCTCTGTTTGCTGGGCATTTCGGCCCCATTGGTGTGGGTGCGATATTCGTTGCCTTGCTTGCTCGTGCCGAGTTAGAGAGCGAGCATAGCATTCCGGAAGCTGAACTTCCAGAACCTGGCGCCAAATTTTATAATGTTATCGTACTAGTCTGGCCTATTGTCACGTTCATGGTAGTTGCCTCTATCTTGGTTCACGGTTCTTCGGTGGCCGTGTTCACCCTGGGCAAGCGTATCAACACCCTATCGATCACCATGTCTTTCACAACTGCGCCGGAAGATGGACCTGCATGGATGAGTCGATTACCACGAATTTCGTCGCAATCACGATCTCAAGCACGAACTATGTCTGACACCGATTTCGAAGAGATCAAATCGCCAGACTTTCCTCCTGGTACATTAGGACCTGTTGGGTTACCTGGGCAATTTTTGCGTCGCCAGCGTGAAGAGGATAACCCAAGCAGGGCAGGGAGCCGTGCCTCATCTCTCTCTGGCCGACGTCGCAGTCGGAAGAAGTGGGACGATGGTATTGGACCTGGTGGGCCTGTCAGTCAATCTGCTATCTTCCCCCAGCGAAAGAGTACAAGTGAGATTACAGAACCTATGTCACCTTCTGACTCCGTACCACCTATGTCCCCACGGCAAGAAAGTCCTAGCTCTCCATCGGAAGAAACTCCTGAGAAAGATAGCGAGAAGGATACCGAGAAGACCTTGGATGTCGCGAGGGAGCACGAAGCGGAACGTGAGGCAACCCGTGAACGTCCACGTAGGCGCCAGCAGCATGAGGAACTGGAAGTGTATGACGAAGGCGATCACATTGTAATCGAGGATCAAGAAGGTCAGGTTCTTGCTGTACAAGAGACTGGGCAACAACCGACCAAGAATCTACACGAAGTAAAGGAGAAAGCCAAAGCTGAGGTTCAGAAGCCTGGTTGGACATACGACTCACTGAAGAAGAGTATTGGAAAGTGGCGTGAAGAGGAGTCGCAAAAACGCAAGGAGAAGACGAAGACCCAGCGGAAGCATGAGCCGGCCAGAGCATATCAGTTTGGCAATACGGTAAGCACAGTCTACAATATCCTTGTAGGGTAGAATTGCTAACATCGATATCCAGATTATTGTTGAGGACGAAGACGGAGAAGTGGTGAGGAAATATGATTTGCCTAACGACGGCAAGGATTATGTCGCGACGAGCTTGAAGTACATGGGAATGGGTGGCCTCGTTAAGCCATCTGACAAATCTGAACCCCAGACTGGGGAATCATCTACTCAAGCTAGTGGTGCCAGGCCTCCAGCCGCCAGAACGAGAACAGGCGTATGGCCTGGTTTCAATCGCGGAGGTGCTGCCGAGCAAAGGAGGCGAGATGCTACCTCTCCAACCGGAAGGAGATCAGAGGATGACCGAGGTATTCGATTCACGATCGGAGGTGTTGGACGACGTATGAACAAAGACGATTTCCTCAACGAGGTGCAGAAGTTAGATGCCAGAACTCGCCGCGAAGTGGTTGATCAATCTTCGGCAACCCCGGCAGTCAAGTCAATAGCAACGGAAGGACCCGAAACGAACACACCCCCCGTGGAACAACCTCTAGCTCATCCTCATATCAGTGTAACTCAGGCTAGCACTAGCACGCGAGACACGAGCAAGTCCCCTACTCGTCCGGAACCCGCTCGCGGACGCAGCACAACAGTGGGTTCGACAGTGGGTGCGGAGGCGCCGTCTGACGCTCCGGAGACCGCAGCCGAGAGACGCCGTAGGTTAGCTGCTTTCGCCAGCGTGCGCGAGGATAACGATACCGGGGAGACGCCAGCGGAGAGACGGAGGAGAGAGGCTGCTCTAGGTGTGGACAGCGGCGCAGCAGATGACAGCGACAGCGATGACGATGATACCCCTAGAGTACCACCCGCACGGCGAGGGATCCGGTTTGCGGACTCCCCGCCTAATAAGGGTTAAGTAGGCACGTGCCTTACGTACATATATTTGTACGAGCGAGAATCCGGTTTTATGTTTTTTTTTTTTACTTTTGACTCTTTTCATTGGGAATGATAAGATACACTTATGGTTCCTTACGGGTCGGAATGAGACCGGACGATGATGAGTGGGGAGGTCGGTAGAAGTTATACGCACAGGGTACCTAGAGAGTAAATAATTTCCTTGAGGTATAACTTGATGTTGAGTGGTGTTGGCGGCAGTGTTATGTTAGTGTTAGTATGATTGGTATTAGATGCGTAGTGAGCTCCCGGGCACGACGACGTATATGATGGGTTTGGATACGATATGGATAACTGGATATTGACATATATATTTAGGTTATGAGTATAAGTTTTAATGGTAGTATATATACATACATATACACGCGCTCAATCCGTATTATCGTGGTTCATTGCTTTGGCTTTGTTATTTTTGATCCATACCCAGTGTGTATCTACCTATACAGCATTAGCTATCGCTGATTGAAGAGGAATGACGTCATAGGAGAAATTGGAGGGGAATAGTCACGATGTTTGTTTCTATATAGGTAGGTAGGTACATATATAAATGATATTGATTAAGGGATATGGATCTTGTATCATACCTACTCCAGACCAGAACATAGGTAGAGTCGCATGAACTGATTATTTGGGTTCGTAAGTGTCGACCTACGTATCGTCAAATAAACTTTTTAGGTTGCTATGGGTGAAAGAATAGGGTTTGCATAAGAACAGTCGTGCCCAGAAAATAGTTAGCGGAGAATGTACTTTATCGTTCAATTTGCACATAGAACTAAAGCTTTCCTAACTTCGTGATACTTCTTTTCCTATCTACCCCACTCTCCAACTTCAGCACAAATAATCTCGGTGACCGTTCGCATAACGCGGAGACCCATCCACCATGGAGCCAATCAAAGCAATCTTTGCAAAAAGAGGTTCCAAGATGTACCCCAACTTAGATCCACAAGAAGATTTTAAAGAATTACCACCTCCAGTTCCACCCAACACTCCGACATTGCGACCATTTTCTGAAGGCAGCCTCGAAAAAATCGATTACTTCTCACTACACTTCTCACTACCCAACGCGATGGTCCAGCTTACAGAGGTTGTTGATGAGCATTTCCAGGAGGGGCAACCCGGTCCTGATGAGAATGACGAGGATTACACGGATACGGGTACGTCACGAGGTCCTCTTGAAAAATTAAAAAAAGTTATAATTTTTCATATATGTCAGCTACATATGGCTTCTGGATTCGACCGGCATGATTGTCGCAGCATCTGTCCCATTTGCTTGCGTCGCTTACAGCTAGCTAACAAATAATATATCCAGATTCCGAGATCTCGAATGAGTCCGATTACGATCCTTTGAACGAGACGTTTGCTGAGCGTCTCTATGCCCTCCGTGACATCATCCCGCCTCAGACCCGAACCTCCATATCGAACAAGATCAACGCGACCACAGATGCTATCGGCAGCGTTCTATCCTTCAGCGGCAGAACCCTCTGGGTCCTCGGCACCTCCGCGCTGATCCTCGGCGTGCCTTGGGCCCTCGCCTGGTCTGAGGAGCAACAGGTGATCGAGATGGAGAAGGAGATGAAGATGCGCGAGATGGGTGGAGACGTAAGTTTTTTATTCCACGCTACAGCGACCTTGAAGTGAGAAAGATGGCGATCGCTGACCAATATTGTAGCTGCTCACCGCCGGCGCCAACGGTGATCCTTCGACAGGCGACGCTGCGAAGGATGCCAAGCCTGCTCTATAGAGCGGAACGTCTTTACGATGAGCCCGGCTCTTTCGCGCATATATATTGCTACTTGGGAAATGCGCGCGCATTACTTACGCCCTCCCTCCCGACATATACTTGACGGACCCTACCACTATCTCATGAGCCGTCTTCGATACCGGCCGCTGCGCAGAGTCGCAGCTGCTTACCTCTCCTAGCTAGCGGTATACAGTCTCGACGCGCATGCTTTCCTGTGATGCGATTACGGGGTTGAAGGGTTTCGTGGTGGAAGGGGAAAACTAGGGACTCTCAACTCTCACGCGACGGCTTACGAATGGGGGAATTCTTTTCAGCTGTCCTTTGTACGATAGTTTGGCTGGCTTCACGCACGTCTATGACATAAGGGACTCGGTTGCATTGTGTCGGCGTAGTCCCGGCCGCACGGATTTATTCCCGAATTGATGATTTTCTGATGCCCTGCTTGGTTTAATGACGTTGTATTCTCTGTGATCAAGTTGGTTCCGGTGTGACTTGATCTTGATCATCGGCTATCTACATATGAAACCATGCTGGCAAGAATTGCGAAATAGGCTAGATCCCTTCAGAGGTATACATTCGGATTATGAGCTTTTACATCTCGTGTAGAGGTTTAGGTAAGTTTGTTTTCAATCTCCTTTCCCCTTTCTTACATTATTCACTAAGACAACGAGGAAGCAAGGGTGAGCCATTCGCAATACTGGCCTCCTCCTAAAATACCCAACCCTAGTGCCTAGACTTGCAATCTGACGGGATAGTTGATAAATAATTTATTGGCGAATTAGACGCGTGGCTCTAGAGAGGCTCCGATCACGGAAGTTCTCACGAAGGGTGTCTACGAAGCGCTTCAACTATTCGGTATATTCAGGGCTCGGGTTTCCCGTTCTCCACGCTAAGTCACACGGAAAAGCCGGCGTTGATACGAATGCTGTCTATAAGATGTGTTGGCAGACTTCTCTCACGTCGGGTACCCGAAAACAGGTCAAAAGCGTGAATAATTTACGCTATGGCTTCTCAGGACTGTGTGCCAGCTGAAGAGTCGAACTTGGAATTAATTGAGGTTGGCCAGTTGGAGGACCAACAACCAACCCCTGTTCATGCCTACCCGCCAGATCGCGGCAAACATGCCTGGCTTTTCCTCTGGGTGGGCTGCTTCTTGATGGTTGCGTTGAATTGGGGATTCCCTTTCTCGTATGGCGTTTTCCAGAGTTACTATGCGACTCATCCTCCTTTCTCCGATCATCCTGAAGGGTTGCCGGCGGTTGGCACTACGGCGTTGGTAGGTGGAATTAGTCTCTGCCAGACATGGGGCTCGTTTTTGACGTCTGGTTCTTGCTTTTAGGGGATCCTATACTTGACATCGCCCCCGTCTTTTATCATCTTACAACGGTATCAGTCGTATAGACGGCCAGCGCTCATCGCTGGGTCAGTCGTCGCATGCCTAGCCGTGCTCGTATCTGCGTTCGCTACCGAGGTATGGCATCTGCTCCTGACGCAGGGAGTCCTATACGGACTCGGCGCCAGTGTTGTGAACACGGTGACTATCCAGTTCTTAAACGAATGGTTCATCGAGCGAAAGGGTCTCGCCTTCGGCATCCAAGAATCGGGCGCGGCTATGGGCGGCGTAGTAATTCCGTACGTGAACAGGTCCTGTCTATTGAAACAAGCATGTAACTAATATGATGGATAGTGTTCTCATGACATGGGGACTTGATAAGTACGGACATCGCGATATGTTGATAACTTGGTTCGTTGCTACTGCTATCCTATCCTTGCCGTCAATTTACTTCCTCCGAGAACGCGTGAAGCCGAGGCCTGCTCATGCTTCCGAGATTGGCACATTAGGCTTCGTCGCCACGCCGATCTTCTTGCTTCTTCAAGCCGGAAACGTCTTTCAAGCTCTCGGGAATTTCTTGCCCGGTATTCACCTTCCGTGTACGAAATATCCAGCTAGATATCGCTTGTGAATCTTGATCCTTGCTTGCTAACATGGCTTTTAGCGTTCGCCTTGAAATTCGGTGCTTCCCCGTTAGCCGCGGCGGGTATGCTGTCGCTTTACAACGTCGCCTCCGTCATAGGCGCCATCGGCACGGGCTACCTGGTCGACCGCTACCACATTTCGGTGACGCTGTTCCTCTTGTCGCTAGGGGCTGCCGTCGCAGTCTTCTTCGCCTGGGGTTTCGCGGTCAATTTCGCAACGCTGTGCGGGTTTGCCTTCATCTACGGCATGTTTGCCGGCGGTTGGAGCTCGACCTGGGTCGGCATAGGGCTCGAGATACAGAAACGCAGTCCCCACGCCGATCTAGGCCTGCTTTGGGGGTTCGCGGCGGCGGCGAGAGGCGTCGGTAGTATTGCGAGCGGGCCTATCAGCGAGCGGTTGATAGAGGAGGGGGCTGGCAAGACGGCTTGGTGGCCCAAGAGCTATGGTACAAATTACGGCGTTCTGATACTGTTTAACGGGATTATGCTGGCTTTAGGGGGCGTCGGTTGCGCAGCTCGTATATTCGAAATATTGAAGAGGTCTGGGCATCGGCATAATGATTAGTAGGCTTTCCACGAAATCGCCACCAGGGCTGACTGACTGACAAAGGGACGGTACGCCACACTGTTACACACGAGCAGGGCGAGCGGGCAACAATATAATTGGACATATTCATTGACCGCCGCTATGGGAGGTGGGCGACTTCTCCGCTCCGGTGATAAGCAAATTTCAAGTTCTTCTCCATGATCATAGCCTCACCTCTATGCCCTATAGAATTTACCCTCGAAGCATTTCTTCATGCCTTAATCAGGAATATTATCTCGCGGGGTTCGCACGATGGACCCATTTTCTGCAATAGGACTTGCTGGCAATATTATCACATTTCTAGACTTCGGCTACAAATTACTATCCAAGTCAAAGGCCATATACAAATCGACATCAGGCACTACTGCTCTAAACAATAAACTTGCCTCAGAAACACAGCAGCTCCAAGGCGTCACAGCTGGGCTTCAGATGCCTGGTCTGGTCGGATCATTATCAGACCAGGAAATAGCGCTCGAGCAACTTGCTGCGGAGTGCAGCATTGTATCTTCAGATCTTACGGCACTCATCAATGATCTCAAGACAAGAAACCCAAACTCCATGAGAGAAAGCGTCCGCACTGCATTTCGGGACTGGAGAAAGAAAGACAAGAAAGATGAACTACGGTTAAAGCTCGATCGCTGTAGGGACCAGTTGAATCTGCAAATCACGACATTAATGAGGTGAGATATTGGTATTACCTAGTAATGGAAATGAGCTAAACCTTACGATTGAGCTAGAGCTGAATCCTTGGACCGACTAAACAAACTTATCGTTCATGGACATGCAAGCAGCAACGAGCTACGATCGCTGGCCAGGAATGTTGAGTCATTGCAAAAAGGTTGCAACGTCTCATGTCTGGATACTGAGGCTCTTGGTCAGATTCGCTCACTACTTGGGCTGACAGAAGAGGCCGTTTTGAAAACCAGACAGGCTCGAATATTAGATGGTCTACGTTTCGAATTAATGAATGAGAGGTACGGGGACATAGAAGACGCGCATGAGAAAACATTCCGATGGATCCTCGATGTCGAACCGGAAGAAGACAAAGAGGTTGAAGAGAGCAACGATACTGAGACCAAAAGCACTGAGGAATCTCCTGATTATGATGAAGTCAGCGACGAAGAAGACTACAACGATGACGATGACGATGACGACGATGACAGTTTCTCTCAAAGGAGGGGAAATGTTGACAATAGCGGCAGTCGCAATGATAAGGATTCTATTCACTCGGGTTGCGATCCAATAGACGATGATAACTCAAGTTTCGAACGCACGGCCGAACCGTCCAGCAAGGCCGCTTCCGAAGTTGAATCAGCCTTATCGGAAGACGAGATATCAATAGGCCCATCAAGAATCATAAGACAACCTCAGCCTTTAAGACATTCATCAGAGCCCCTAGATGAAGCCATGGTTGAGTCGCGTAATCGATTCGTTACCTGGCTAAAGCATGGCGACGGAATATTCCATATTATAGGCAAGCCTGGCTCTGGGAAGTCGACATTGATGAAATACATTTGCCGGCAATCTATCACCGAAAAATATTTACGACTTTGGGCTGGTGACTCGGAACTCGTGACAGGAAAATTCTTCTTCTGGCGGCCGGGATCATCCCTCCAAAAAAGCCTAAAGGGGCTTGTTCGTGGACTCCTCCATTGCTTTCTATCCAAATCCCCGGAACTTATTCCCCTTGCATTTCCCGAACAATGGCAAGCTTCCATGTATCGAGAAACTATCCACATCGAGAACGACGAATGTCAAAAGGGATTTGAAGCCCTCGTTTCCCCCAGTACCACCATCAAGAAGCACAAGTTCGCTCTCTTCATTGACGGTCTTGATGAGTTCGAGGGGGACCACGCAAAACTGGTCAGACAGCTATTCTCTTGGGTGAATAACACCCAAAACATAAAAATCTGCGTTTCGAGTCGCGAGTGGACTATCTTCCAGGAAGGATTTCGAGATTGCCCAAAACTCTGGCTTCATGATCTAACACGTCTAGATATTCGACGCGTGATCCAGGATCGGTTTCATGAGATGGATTTACCTTCTCTGCTTGATTCTACAGATGAATCAGTTTTTGATAGTGCAAAAACTCTAGAAACGGAGATCTGTATAGGGTCCGAGGGTGTATTTTTATGGGTGGTCATTGTTCTTCGGCACATTGAAGATAGTCTTGTCAACGGCGGCCAGATGGAAGATCTCATAGAAGTTGTGAGATGCTTCCCAACCGAACTCGAGCCTCGTAAGTACCTCAACATCTGTCCTATCTGTAGACCTCATGCTATATTCACCAAGCGAGTGTTATTCTATTTCCCTAAGAAAGTTATTGTTAACGGAAAGATCCTATTGTCACATGTCCAATGCTTACTTCAATTACTATAGTGATGTATCAACTCATAAGCTCGATACCAAATGCCAACAAGAAGCTAGCCTACGCGACCTTATTAGTTGTTTTGCATTCTCGAAAGTATCCTAGTGAGCCACGCTTGATGCAATTGGCTTTACTAGAGGAATATATCAAAGACCAAGATTTCGCTATGAAAATACCGGTAAGCACATATTCCGCAGAGAACACTATTCAGAGGCAAGAAAGGACAAGAAAACGAATATACGGTGTATGCAAAGGATTCCTCGAGCTACGCCCTTTGCTCCATTCAACCCGGCCAATTGTGGTTTCAATCACTCATTTATTCGGCGACACGGTCCGCTTTACACATCGGTCTATTGTGGAATTCCTGGAGAATCGACAATTCCAAGAGATGGCCCGGTATGAACTGCAAGATTTTGAACCATTTGATGCCATTATCCAGACTTATCTAGGATTACTGCGATACTTGAGGTTACCGAGATTCTATTTTGCTCCCAAGCTTGCCAGTCAAACTAGCAAAGGGCTTGAGACGCTGGAATCATTAATACTTAGCATTCGCCACACACCGACGCTAATATGTGCCCCTTCCCCGTCTTTCATTTCCGATTTAACTAGGAAGATTTGTCTGATTTACAACGGCTCAATTTCACAAAGGGAAACGGAGAGAATTTTACGTTTCTTAGATGATATTGGCCGTACAATTCTGGATTTAGGTCTAAATACCGCTGTGCTTGCTATACAGGAACAATATGCTGGCAAGATATTTCGTTGCCCACTAGGACATATCCCTTTCTTGGTTTCGGTCAATCTGGGCTTGTTTGAGTACGTATCTCTGCCATGCCATAATATAAGCTCAAAGTTGGTGGTTGGCTGCATCAACACCTCTTTGCTAAATTATGTGTTTCCCGGGGTCATTGGTTCTCCGACGACGAAGGAACTCGCGCATACAAGACGTTTTAAAGTCCTCGAAGCGCTTTTATCTCAGGGAACCTCAGTTGATTATATGCGTGAACTAGAAAAGCTGTTGATATTCGAATCAACTTTTGCAAATTGGTGCATTTGGGGACGGCGCTACTTACGACAGCATCTACCTCATATCGCGTTGTTTCTTTATCATGGAATAATCCCAGGAGTTTCCCTTGTTCTGAGCAAAAGAGTATATGAAACCCGTTTTGGACTAATCCATAAAGCATACTTCGAAACGGAGGTACGGGGTGAAGGAGACATTGTGCAGACAATACGATTCAACCCTCTCAGATGGGTGACTGTATCACCATCAAACTGGGTCATACTAGTACATGCGGGAGCATCAGGAGATAGGATTACCGCGGAGTATGGATTCACCCTCGACTTCAGAGCGCTAGTCTCGATGTTGTTGCCAGAACATTCAAATACGCTACGAGAAGTTTTTGATTGGAATCGAGAGGTCGGTATTTCACTTGATACAGATCAACGTATAAAATCGCTACAGTCGAAGTTCGGTCGCACGCTCCGTCCATTATTTGACCAAGACCACCCCGATTTCGTCGGCTGGAAACCAAAACCGAGCATTAAAGAGGATGATCCGATACTATTCATACGAAAAGAAACCTTGATATACTCGGAAAATATGCACACCTAGGAAAAAAAAGCCAGTCGGTAATTATTTAGAGCTCTGGGGACATTGGGAATACTGCAGGAATTTGGAACTTGATGGGGAATTGGGAGTTATGGAGGACCTGTCAAGCCCTTCCAGTTGACCAAATCGAATTGTGCTTTTCCTCACGTGGATAACATGATGTTAACTTCGCTTAGTGATGTCGAGATAGGTGTTCCGCGTATATGCGATGGTATATGACTATATGTATAAACTTAATGCTGCTTATCCCAATACTCATTCAACTCCGAATTCACCTTGTCCCAGAAACCGCACGCGGAGTAGTCTACCACGCCGGGCTTCATCACGCTATCCATCACCACGCCAACGCTCCCGTTAGACCTCCAGGCAGGCCACGTGCTCTGGTCCCCGGGCCTTCCAAACTCGGCGAGGTTCGTCCAGGCGCGGCTCATGTCGCGCGACAGGGCCTGCTCCGCCGGCGTGAAGGTGCAGTTGCCGTCCGGCGGCGGCATGTTTGTCGTGAAGTTGAACACGAACGGGATCTCGCTCGTGTGCGTGGCGCCCAGGTACGGGATGTACGCGGGCTTGATGCCCGCGTACCAGCCGCAGCTGGGCACGTGCGAGAAGCGGTAGCTCCAGACGGGCACGCCGTTCTTCTCGGCCTGCGCCAGCGCGCGGCGCGACGGGCACCGGTACGACACGTCCGTCGTGACCTCCGTCATGGCCTTCAGCACCGAGCCGTTGAAGGCCCGCGCCACCGAGTACGTCTCGTTGACGAGCGCGGCCAGCGGCCCGAAGTTGTACGCGAGGAACTCGTCGTACTGCGTCTGCGTCACCGTGTTCTGGATCGCGGCCGCGCCGTACGAGGCCAGCACGAAGAGCGCGCCCTCGGCCGCGTTCGAGCCCACGATGGCGGGCACCCTGAGCCCGGCCGCGGACGGCTGCTGCTTCACGAGCTTGCCGTCGACCACGGCGGTCCAGGAGCTTCGCGTGCCGTTGTTGGCTAGGGCTGTGTTGACGGTCATGACGGAGGGCGCGGGCATGGCCTTCACTGCGGCTTTGATGGCCGTGGTCGAGGCAGAGCGGAGGCATGATACCTGGGTAATGTGTGAGAATGTATCATAATAATGGGTTCTGGGAGGGGAGTTGAGACGTACATCTGGCGTGGTGCAGTTCATCGCGTGGAGGAACTCCGAGTACCAGTCTTTCGAGTCGGCTAGCGTCGGTAGGTCTCTCCCGCCCCCAGACTCGAGAGCAACAGCTCGTATTAACTGCGGTATTTCGGGTAGCGTGCTAAGGGTGAAAGAATCAAAGGCACCGGCGGATTCTCCGAATAGTAGCACTTTTTCGCTACAGGATGATACCCATTAGTGTCGAAACTCTACATGCCATCTTCTTCCCTATGACTACAGGATAAACTTACGGGTCGCCGCCGAAATTAGCGATATTTTCTTTCACCCAGCGTAGAGCCAGAAGCTGGTCTTGGAGGCCATAGTTGCCGGTTAGGCCGAGATCTTCCAGTGCTAGGAAGCCCAGTGGGCCTAAGCGATAGTTGATCGAGACCACGATAGAATCTTGGGCTGAGAAGCAACCGTTATACGTCGGGTCGGAGACTCCTCCGCCTTCGTTGCTTCCTCCGTATAACCATACCTTCACAGGTAGCTTCGGCTTTGGAGTAGCAGGCACCCATACATCTAGAAAGAGACTGTAGGGTGCTTATGTCAATGAATGTCACAACGTTTGAGGGGTACGATGAAATCTTCTCACCAGTCTTCGCTCTGTGTGTTCGTCTCGTCGAAGAGTCCTCCCGAGAACTGCATACACGAAGGAGCCGGGGCCGTGGCGTTGACCACCTTGCGTGATGAGTTTCCTAGGGGCTCTGGTGCTGCGAATCGCAGCTCGCCCACCGGCGGCTTGGCGTATGGGATTGAGAAGAAGTAGTTCACGTCCGTCGTGCTACACTTTCCGCCTTGGAATGTTCCAGTGCTCGTTCGGACGACTTTGGACTCGACTGAACTGGAGAGGGCCAACAGCCCGGCCAAGGTAGTGCTCTTGAAGTACATCGTGGATCGCTTAGGGTGTCTTGAGTTGCTGAGCGGCGATGAACGTTTGACGGCGGGCAACTTCAAGGGTTTATAGAATTAGGCTTATATGATATCTTGACTATAACAACATAACGTCGGGATAGGGCACCGCCTTGGCAGAGACTGTTGGTGAGCCGCACTTTGAGGCTAAGCATGTAGTCGGGAACCTTGGCGCTTTATAATTCACATTCTGATCTTATTGAGATAATGTCGTGAATTTCTGCGCCTAGTAAAAAATCCCCGTCACCGTATGATACCTGCACTCTGTAAACATGGTTCTATTTTTGTATGTACGTGCGTGCTGGCTATGGGCACGACCAGAGGGACTATTGTCTATTGCCGTGCCGCATGGCTTCTTAATCCGATTCGCGTCTGTAGACATTATCTGGATCCTGGCTGAAGCTGAAGGATTTAGCTAGTTAAAAACTGGGTTAGTTACTCCAGAATACAGGTTACAACAGAAATGGGGACTTGGACGTAGTTCACGGGGCAGTGGGAATTAAATTCGCATTTGTCCTCTCGCTTATTAAAAGATGTCAAGCCACTCTCCGGATTCAAGGATATGGCTAGGTAGGTTCTCGTGGGCGCCTTACCATCCTTGTCATGTTGCCCCTTCTACCCCTTGTGATCATCAGTAATCATATAACGGAAAGTGCCGTAAATTCAGCCCTATCGTTTGGGGCTTTGGGCGACCGATACACACCTACGTAGGGCCCCCTGTACGTACCTCCCCTTAATTCGGATTCGGGTTCGCTCTCACAATGCCAAATCAAGTAATGATATTCGAGATGTAATATCGCTATTATGTATGCTGCGCGAATGACGACGGTATGCTCAACAAAATATCTCCGATATCAATCTTTTGATGCGATTGGCTCATCAAGTATGTAGCTGTGCATGGCTGTGGTGGGAACGGGAGTGGTGGTCGAGATTGGATTTCTAAGCTATTAACCTATCACCTAGGTAAATCCAAGTAGCATCGTGATAGGCTTCATATTTTACCATATCGTTACGCACATACAAGGTAGGTAGGCGCCTATCAACATCTTAATAGGTAGGACGCATCATCTCGAACATTTAAGATCGTTCATTAGCGAATGCGAGACTTAGCGGCGGTCAACCAATATGAAATAATACTACCTAGTATTATCTCGGTAGGCAAGAATTGATATGAAACATTACTAAGTAGATATTCTCTCTTTCTGCATTCCCACATAATTCCCGTAAACTAGATGATTATGAACGAAAGTATTATCAGGAGATGATTTTCTGGAACCAATCCAGAACAACTTGAGCGCTCAACACTGCCGCACCAAGCGAGCAGTGTTCGCCAGCCCCGTCGATGGAGTGGAACAGATGATAGGTAGCACGATCACCCAGCTTTTCCGCCAGTATCTTCGCTTGACCAGCAAAGAACATGTCGGCCTGAGCATCGCCAACAAAAACGGGAGCTGTGATGTTCTGGATAATCCCATCTAGGGTGTATTGTGTCACCTTCTCATACCATATGAATGCGCTCATGGTGTTGAAAGACCATAGGCCCTGCTGGATAGCCCAACGAGCGCTGGTAGGGGTGGAAGAGTTGGCGAGGGCCTCGGAAACGATGTCGTTGAACAATGTCTCGTTGCCGGATTGGTAGACGGCTTCTAGCTGCGGCCCGAACTGATCGGCGATCCCCTGCGCGAAGGAGTAGATGCCGTCGAAGGCGACGACCGCGGCGAGGCGGTGCTCAAACGCCGCCGCGCGCGGCGCTAGGTATCCGCCGAACGACTGTCCCCATAACCCTATCTTCTCAGCATCGACGTCGGGCCGCGACGAGGCGTAGTCTACGACGGGCGTGACGACTTCCTCCCACTCCGGAATGAAACCGAGCCCTTGGTACCGCCGCACCGTGGGCTGACCGGGACCTTCGAACGTGATCACGTTCATGCCGCGCTGCACGACCGCCTCGCCTATCGCGTGATACATCTCTTCCTGCGCCCCGTCGAAGCCGTTGCACATGAGCATGGTGGGGCGTGGGCCTGGTAGACCGCTGCCGAAGAAGATAGCTGGGATTATGAAGCCCTTGCCTTGGAGCGTGACGCGCTCGCCGGGCGTCGGTAGCAACGCTATCGCCTTGTCGAAGGCTGAGAGCTGCTTTGCCCACAGCGAGTAGATTCGGGAGTCGTTCCAGTTGCCGTGGAGGTAGAAGTCAGCGGAGCGGTAGTAGGTCGCTTCTCGAAAGAGCGCGTTCCTGGCTGATACGGGATGGACTTTACTGTCTATCGCGCTCGCGGCGTCGTGAACTCGGTTGCCGAGGTCGTTGAATGCGGTATAGTAGCTTTCGAAGTCGCCTGGAGCGATCTGGTTCGCGGCGACCAATACCTCTCCTATGTCGCTACCCTGGTACGGTGCGAGTCCCAATACTCGAAGAATTCCGAAGTGGAAGTCCTCATCGGAGCTTAGTTGAAGCATAGAACCTGTATTTTTGCTATTATCTCTTTTTATGGAGTGAAATTCCTGGGACCTTGTGAGCGAGTTCCCCTGATAATGGACATCAGTAAGGCCAGTGACTGTTTATTGTCCCATCAGCATAGGTACCTATCCGTTTAGATACTTACGAGAGCTAAACTAGAAAAAGCATGAAAAAGTAGCGGCGCACTTTGTAACTTCATTTTGCCTGGAAGAAAAGTAGATGTTGTCTATTAAGTGTGATGCTTGGTGAGCTGAATACTGCTTGATAGGTATCGAGGACATATTCCACCTTTGAATCCCTCTTTATACTTCATCTCGAATCTTTATGATCATGATATTTTCTTGACGTGACATGTAAGCTGCATTGTTTGCTATAAGACAAGGTGCAGTTGTTTACATGCCATGTCCGGGGTGGGATGTTGTTGAAGCCATTCAACTTCAGCGCTGAGAGTGGATTCGTCGGCTATATAAGCGAGGACGAGAGCGAGAACGAGGACGAAATCGCTAAAGTCTGCCTACTTTTGGACTGCTTTAAAGGGCCGAGCTGGTGAAATCTTCGAGTGCGTTCGCTTTGGAAAATCCGTAGCCCATTGTTTTATTTTCTCCAATGGCCATAGAAGTAGGTACTGCCATTCCTCAGGCAGTGTGTTGGCAATCCCATGGACTTCATCAGCCGCTACATTTCCAACCCACCAAACGTCGTTATACCTTGCAAGCAGTGCGAAGAAGTGGGCTAGTATCACTAAAGCTCTCGGGGATGCTTCTTTCACTAGCTTGACATATCTCTCGTCTGCTAACATCGGGAACATAAGCAGCATTCGTAAGAGATTGCCCGATGATCCTTCAGCTTCCATGAGCTTCATCGCATTGCATATATAGGTAAGTGTACGCTCATATCCATCTTGAATTTCCGAATCCCAGTCTTCGCCCACACTGAGTTTCTTGGAGCGATCCATTAGATGCTGCAATCTTTGGATGTCCCCACGTTGCGGCAGATTTCCTTTGTCATGGAGGTGTGAATTTGCCCTGATCAGTTGGAACGCTACGGAATTGGGATCTGGGCCAATTAGTTGGTATGCTTCGACAAATGTGGCAGTTGAAGTGCGAGTTAGAGCTAGCCACTGCCACGGGGGTGTGTAAGGCTCCCGGTTTCGATTATGCAATTGAATGAGCGTCGCTGCTCGCATCAGGCAGGATGTTAAACAGACTATGTCTGTCGTGTTCTTGTTGACTTGGAATATCTCTTTGTTGTGCTCTCGAACAGCCATCGAGAAATATCTGTTAGCGACATTCTCGGCGCCGTCTTCCAGTTCGTTGTCTCCGTAAACTCTCGCTATATTCAGCGCAGCGAGACAGTACATTGAATATAGCAGCGCGTCGGAGTGAAACGAAAGCTTTGGGATCAGCTGGCTATAATAATCTGACGAATGCTCATCGGCTGCAATTGTCATCCCCGTCTCAGTTACATATTGATGCATCAACTTTGCTTCCAGCATCCGACGTGATCGACCTTCCGGCGGGTCATTTTGCTCAGGCCCGTCGACAAATAGCTGAGTTGCTGCCGGCTTTGTGGATACCTTCTTCGCGAATGTATCGCGATCATAGTTGCAGGGAAGACCATGCCGCTTGCAGTTATGGCAGATGGGCTTTTCCTCGTTACACTAGATTCAATGAAGATTTTAGTTTTCACAATTCACTTATCATACAAGACTTCAGATTATAATATGCGCAGGAGTGTACCTTTACCCTTCTAGCACGACATCGCTGGCAACCTACGGTGTGTCAGATCAGAAGCCAAGAGTCAAGGAGATGTCGGAGCTCGGATTTGATCCTACCAAACATGGATTTCTTGTGGCCTAGCTTCGGAACTCGGCGGCGTGGTGGGATACCACCAGACTCGGTCTCCATTGTTATGTAAAGACTGGCTTTCATGAAGGTCAGGATGCGCAGTGATGGAGGTATGAGTTCCCAGGTACGGAGAGCTTAACAAGGTTTTACGGAGTAGAATATTGTGTTTAGAGGGAGCCTACCCACCATCTGGAGCTGCCCGAGTAAGCGTGCTGAAGAAACCGGCATGGATGACACGTTCATCAGCTGAATCGGCGATGTCCCGCCAAAACTGCCAAAAGAGAAGCTGATTGGGGCATAGATGGGCTTAGCACCACACAGCCACGAAGTTCTACGACCTACTATAAATAGGTACAATAGGACTGAATGCCTGCGGATGCATCTATCGCGAGAGGTAACAGCTCAGTCTATGTAACATTTACAATCCTACCTACAAGTTTACCTATATAGAGTATATTAACTGTTAGTCTACCACAACTAAGCGACGTCTAAATCTAGAATACTTCTCTTCCTTTTTGCCGGCCTTTCTCCCTTTTGCTCACTGATAAATGGAGGCGCATTGTGAAAAACCTTGCTTTCCAGTTGCGGGCGCTTCTTTTTCTCTTTCATGAACGACTCAAACTCAGATTCCGTTACACCAATCGCATTCTGGAATTCTTCCTCGGACATGCCGCTAGATTTGAGGAAGGCCTTGATCCTCGACTTGACTTTATCCGGTGGCACGAACGATTTCTTATCGTAGAGCTGCATGTGCACCGCCTTGAGATAGCGCTCCTGCTTATCGATTTCTTCTTGTGCGCGTTCTATATCAGCGCTAGAAACTGGCACGGCGTCGTCGCTCTGGCGCTTCGTGCCTCGTGGGTACACTGGGATATTTTTCTTGCCCGTTTTAGAATTGCTCTCATACAGATCCAGAACAGCGGCCTTAACGATCGCGAGCTTTGTCGGGTCCATCTCCTTCATCTCCAGCTCTATGTAGAACCGGAGAAAGGACCAGGATACGTTCTGGAAAGTGAAAGGCCTGCCATTTTTCATCTTCGGTTGGTTCGGGTCCGAGAGATCCACCATAGCGTTCGGGGGGCTGCTCATATGCTTTGCATTCCGATTGACGCAGCGGCGCTCCAGGATTCTAGCTTTCTCAACTGTCCAGCCAGCGGCGAGCGCGACGTCCGCTAAGATGCGACGGTTGCGAGGATAAGGCCCGTATGAATAATAGGAGCCGCTTATTTTAAGAGGTTGGCCCTCGGCGCCTTTTAACCCTTCGATGTTTTCGTATTTTGCCCATATCTTATCGTCGTCGGCAACAGATGAATTGGGGTCGTCCTCTTTGTCTTCGCCATCGCGGATTTGCTCTGCGCTGCGAACATCGCGCCTATTCATCTCTCGAGCGGCCTCGAGTACCTCTTCCGTGATAACCGTGATCATTTTATTCTAGAAAAGATCTGACGGCTCAAGACTATGGGTAATATAAAGAAGGAGTTAGGTAGTTGCATGCACCCCAGACCGCAACATACCATAAAAACGACATTCTCAAGGAAGTTAGGATAACTTCATATGCCACTTACACGCATTTACGCGTCGTAACGTAAATAGAATTAGATCGCGGAGTGGCTCTTGCACTATTGACCCCTAATTACGAAAGTACGTCATTGTGGATCTAAATCTAGCTTAGGTAGTTCTCCAACTTCGACTTGTTAACGCTGCAACTTTTAGTTTTATGCCTCATGACTTTTCTCCGTGTGCTTCGGAAGATTCCTTCGCTGGTAGCTTACCACCGGAGCCGCCAAATGGAAGATATTTGCCTACCTACCTACCTATGTAATACCCCTGATGTAATAATAACTATGACTAAACTTAACCCACCTCGGGTCGTAGTAAGACTGGACATTCATGAAAAGGTGTCTCCCTGCTAGGGCTTCAAACCACAAGATACGACATGCTGCCTATTGCTCACATGTTGACATTAAGCCAATAGTCAACTTAGATTGGCAGCGATAAAAGACAGCCGGAGTCGGAAAACGTGGGATCAGTAGAGTAGTCACCGACTTCTTTAGAGATGCAGACGAGTGTCAAGACTTTGGCCCACCTTACCTCTACCAAAGCACCAGCCCGTCCCAATTGAACGGACTACCTTCCAGACATTATCAATATCCCGTACGACAATTGGGATTTCCAAGTGCCCGTTAGAAGCAAGACATTGATGCCAAGTAGAACAGATTGAAAGCTGCGCATGCCTGACGCAGGGACCGCGGAGAGTGATTCTTGAGGGATGGAGGATCACGACTGATTGCCCGAGGACGAGGTGGTAGATGCGGAGGCTACCATCAACCGCTCGGACTCCATTCCAACGACAATCGGTTGCGATACTTATCCGATTCCTTATCGTATATTCCTGTATATACTGTTAATAAGTTACTCACTGCTATATCTCATGTGTACACTCGGTGGCCGTACGTCTGAATCTTCTGTTCGCTCCTCGGAAGCTCACATAGTAGTAGTATTGGCGCCATTTCTGTTCGGCCTTTTTGATGATGGATGGAGCTGCTGCGCCTTTGCTCTCAACCATCCTGAAGAATTATTTATTGCTCGAAGTAACGAATGTAGGCCTCACTCGTTTAGCACGTGTTTGATGTTTCATCAGCTACCCGTTATCGGTTATTCCTACCTAGTTGAACTGGTGCACCACCCTATGAGCGCTGCTTACCTACCATCCCGATAGGAGAAGATGGTCAACCCCGCCACCACAGCCTCACTGCCAACACGCAACGCAATTCATGCCCAACAATTTCTTCGGTAGACAGATCGTGAGCTACTATTTCCCTGCGGAGTACGAAACATTCTACATCTCTGTTGCAATGTCGCAGACAGCATGTCCCCCAACACGACCGCTTAGATTCTGTTGATAGTGGGAGCGATGCCGAAACGAATCGGAGAGGAACTAATACGAGGGGAAGAGAAACGGCGCCGGGTGGAGCACCGGTCGTCGCCCCAACCTTCCACTCGAGACGAGCCAGTCCAACATCCGGGACAAGAGCGGGCCGTCCGGCTACATATCGTTTACCCTCTTAACGAAGATGAAAGTAAGACCGACCCAGACATCGACATCATTGCCGTCCATGGCCTAGGCACGAAGTCGCCCGATACATGGGTCTGGAAAGATCCCAAGGATCCCAGCAAGCCTGGAGTGAACTGGCTAGAAGACAGACATATGCTCCCGAAGTTAGTCGGCCGCGCTCGCATCTTTACCTGCGACTGGCCGGCCGACCTATACGAAACGTCGGAACTGACTCAGAAAACGATCGAGGAATCTGCTCGGCTTCTACTCAATGGTATCCAAGGTCGTGCAAGAGAAAACCGGCCAATACTCTTCATCGCGTCATGTCTTGGTGGCATCATTCTGATAAAGGCCCTTGACATGGCTACTCAGGAGTACTCTTCTATTAGAACGGCGACACGGGGGGTTATTTTCCTTGCCACGCCGTTCCGTGGCTCTTCGTTCAGAAACATAGCCAGTTGGGTAAAGCCACTGTTGAGGATATGGGCTTCCATACAAAGTAGACGAGTGACCATACTCCTCAATCTGACGACACCGACTCTCGATCTTAGCGAACTCGTACGCCGGTTTACACAGCTTTGTAACGAACACCAGTACGAAATAATTACTTTCTATGAACGACGTGCCACCAATTTATTTCGCAGAATCTTTTATTATTTTCCAAACTTTTTTCACACTCCCGAACCGGTAAGAATCAATGTTCTAAGCTACTGGGTTGTTCGCTAACGCTTATCCAGTTGGTTGATTTTAACTCTGCGACTCTGGATATTGTTCCACATCCACTGCCACTCGACCGATCCCACATATTGATGAATAAATTCCAGGGCCCTGACAAGGCGTCGGATAAGGATTTCGAAAAGGTTGCGGGGAAGATCGAATGGTCCCTTAAGAAGATTCGGGCAGGTACACCGCTCGAACAGGCGGACGCCTGGATATGTGACAAGCACTATACGGAGGGGAGACTCAAGATTCAACGGCTGTCAGGCGAGTTTTTATCCATGGACCAGTGCTATATCAACCTTGCAATTATTAAAAAGCTCGGAGAAGATGCGCGACTCTCAGAAGGCGGATCTGGAAATCTCGAATATCAGCCTTCCCCGTTTTCACTCACCAGCCGGTTAAAGGTGCAAACGCCGCCTGAAGAGCTCCTGGTCGAGCTTCCGACGCTCTTCGACCCTTGCAAAATGCCGAACGGCCACAAAGAGCCGAGAAGAATATTAATCCGTGGTCGTGCCGGGGTTGGGAAAACGACCTTGTGTAAAAAGATTATCCATGACTTCACTCACGGCAACATGTGGAAGAACTTGTTCAAACGTGTGCTTTGGGTGCCGTTGCGAAATCTAAAATCTCGGAAACCCGGTAACTTCGAGAAGCTGTTCTACGAGGAGTATTTCATTCAACACCTGGAAGGCAAAGATCGTGCTCACGAATTGTCCCGCGCATTATTGCAAACTTTGAACACTGAAGGCGAAAGAACGCTATTTATTCTCGATGGTCTCGACGAAGTTCAGAACTTGGGTGGCGAAGAAAATAATGAGTATCGATTTCTCTCGGAGCTTCTGAATCAGCCTGATGTAATCATAACGACAAGACCGCATGCCACACTTCCAGCCAATGTCGGACAGCCCGACCTCGAATTAGAAACGATTGGATTTTACCCACATCAAGTACAACACTATCTCGAAAAGGTCGTGCCAGATCCGCTTACTGTCCGAGATATCCAATCTTTCCTCCAAAAACACTGGCTTGTGCGGAGCCTTGTTCGGATCCCGATTCAGCTAGATGCGCTCTGCCTCACATGGGACGACGACATACGTAAGAACTCCAGCTTACAGACAATGACGGCCATTTACAAAGCTATCGTGTCTCGCCTATGGAAGAAAGATGTCTTACGATATGGAGGCAAAGAGTATATGACGAATGCTTTTCAATCAGAGGTTGAAGCGGCAATGGAATTCGAGAACGAAATTCTTGAATGTTTCGCCTTTAGTGGAATATACAGCAATTTGGTTGAATTTCAACCAGAACATCAAGACGCCATACGCAGGCACACCATACAACCATCGGTACGACCAAGCGACGTGAAGTCATCATTTTACGATCGGCTCGGAGGTCTCTCATTCCTACGTCCATCAGACCCTTCGGCAGACATGTCTAACAGAAGTTATCACTTCTTGCACCTGACGTTCCAGGAGTTCTTTGCGGCGAAGTATTTCGCACGAAAATGGGAATCCGGCGAAGAGCTTGAATGTTTGGATCTTAACTCCAAAAAAGCCAAAACTATTAAGATTTGTCCTGTGGATTTTCTGACGCACAACAAGTACAACTCACGCTACAACATCGTATGGCGTTTCACTGTAGGGCTACTCGACTCCGAGAAAGTACCGCAGTTTTTTGAACAGCTCAAGAAAAGCCAACCCGACCTTTTGGGACCTACGCACCAACGACTAGTTATGCACTGTTTGAGCGAAATGGATATTTCGACTGATTTGAGACTCCGACCAGAATTAGAGAAAGGTCTAGCAGAATGGCTACTCTTCGGATGTGACCTTGGGGTGACGTCCAGGTCGCTCTTGGCTGCGGAGTCTGAGTTTCCAGATCAAGCTTTACGCACCGCCCTAGAGGCTGCTTGTGAAAAACAAAAGTCTGAAATATTGCGTAGTCTTCGTTGGCGAGGCAGGTATTTGTCGGAGGCGACTGTCAATTATCTTGGAACATTGATCCCAGAGGTGGAATCACGAGTCCGATGTACTGTTATCGAGGCCCTAGGATATCAATCAAATTTACCAGAAGAAGTCGTCACAAAGTTGATGGAATTGCTTCAAGACAAGGCTGTTCAAGAATCTGCTGCTAAAGCCATAAGGCAACAATCGAACTTATCAAAAGAAACCGTCACGAAGTTGATAGAAGTGGCTCAAAATGCAGGCAGCGATATGAAACCCCGATATTGTGCTTGTTTGGCCTTGGCAGGTCGTTTATCGGAGAGTGACCTCGTAGCTCTCGCAACACCACTCAGGAATTCAGACTCTACAACCCGAGGTCATATCCTTGATATTTTCGCACGTCAACTGAGTATACCAGAGCAAGCCGTCACAGTTGTGGTTGCATTAATCAACGACAAATTTCTCTGCAGTCAGGCTATTCGAATTTTGGGAAACCAAACAAGCTTATCGGGAAAAGCTACCACAACTCTCGCACAGCTACTGAAAAATGCTGATGTCCGATATTATGTTGCTGGTATATTGAAAAACCAATCGAACTTATCGGAAGAAACTACCACAACTCTCGCACAGCTACTGAAAAATGCTGATGTCCGATATGATGCTGCTGGTATATTGAAAAACCAATCGAAGTTATCAGAAGAAACTCATAGCGCTCTTAAGGCATTGCTTGAAAACAATGATGCGCATATCCAATCGTCCGTCGCTGAAGCCTTAGGAGTACAATTGAATCTACCTGAACAAACTGTTCAAGCCCTTGTACGACAGCTCGAAGATGTGGATGATGTGGCTAGGAGGAACGCTACTGAAACCTTGGAAAGACAACCGAATTTATCAAAAAAGGTTATCACAACACTTATATCACATCTTGGCGACGATTCGGGCATCTGTAGAAGCGCGGCGAGCATATTAGAAAATCAATCAAGCTTACCAGAAGAAGTTATTGAAACCATTCTGCAACTGTTCGATCATGTGGATGGGACTGGTTATCACCACCTTTTTTCCATATTAAAAAAACAATCGACCCTGTCAGAAAGAAGTATCACGGCACTTATAACGTGCCTTAAGAGCAAATACCAGTACATCCGTTATACTGCCAGTGTGATCTTAATGAAGCAAACAAGCCTATCAGAACAAGCTATTGCAACCCTTCTACATCTTGTCAAAAATGTGGATACTGAAGCCTTCGAAGAACATCCAAACTCATCAGGACAATCTGCATTAGATGGAAGCGAAAATAGAAACGAAACTGCGAGAGAAAAAGAAAGTATTGAAATCTGTGAATACGCTGTTGAAATCTTAGAAGAACAACAGAACTTGTCAGGGAAGACCACCGAAGCTCCTATGGCACTGCTTAAAGATAAGAGAGAATACGTCCAATCTGTAGCGGCAGCAGCTTTAAGCCGCCACTCTAACTTACCAGAAGAAGCTAACATGGCTTTTGTCACGCTACTTAAAAGTAGAGATTCGGATATCAAATCAAAGGCCCTTCTCGCTTTAAAAAAGCAATCGAATTTATCAAAGGACACTGCCAAAGCTTTCCTATTAACATTCAAAGAAACAGACCGAGTTTTCGCCGGATTTCCCTGCCGAGCTAGTGGTGACTTAATGATGGTCTTGGACAAAGCCCTCGCAGCTCTAGAGCCCGTTAAACTTGATTCCCAAACTATGGAATGCCTTTACCGGTTTTTTCTTTGTTACAGTTTTGAGGAACAGTTCTCTCTACATGTCGATACAAACTCAAGCTTACGTATCGACCGGCCAAACGGGTCGCGAAAAATCTGCCTTGACCATAGTAGTTCAGCCGAACAAATTTTGGCCGAAGTTGCAAAATGGCGGAGTGGTTGGAATATCCGCAATCGCGAGCTGTGGTAATGGCCTTTTCAGATGGTGGCATCTTCTGTTACTCCTACCCGTTGGATCTACTAAAGGAATTACACAAGGCTTTGATTAACTGATGTGAAAGTCAGATCAGTCCGTTAGGTGAAAAGGTTGGAAGTTGTATGCTCATAGGAAGGGATATGCCTAAGATAAATCTTGTAAGTGACCGAATTGAAAGTTGTGGAGGGCAGGGAGGAGCAACATCCTTAACTGCTGCTGGAGTTTATGAGCAATATTTATCAATATGAAGTCTTTTGAGAATCAGTCATTACGCAGTAAATTATTGCGATTAACTACTATGTAGAGGGGAGAGGGTTGGGATTCTGGACAGCTGTGACCTTTCTCCTTTTGCCCCTTAATTCTGTCAATACTACAAAGTAGGTACCTATGTAAGTATCAAGATTACGTAAGACTCATCAGGCGGCTTCACGTGATCTAGTAGACTGCAAGACAAGAATTAATGGGGTCTATTCCCCGTTCGTCACCGTCCATCCTACACTCAATAATAAATGCACTCCTCGTTTTATCATCATGGCAATAGAAGAGGAGTCATCTATGAATGAACCCTAACATAAAACAATCTGGCCACATGTCGTTCAACTTTACCCGATTTCAAAATTATCACCTTAAACCAGAAACCCCACATTGATTCAACCTTCATAGAACTATTTACCAAAGCTCCATTGAGCCATCAGCAAAGATGAATCGACGGGATTCTTCAAACCTGCTCGGTAAGTCAGGTCATTTTTATTACAATGATGCGTGTATACTTCTGGTGCGATTTCCCCGTACATATCAACGCTCTTCTGTCGCGTAATCGTTCCTCCAATTCATTATAGGTCGGACGAGAAGGGCATGCGCTTTACGAAATAGGATCGCGCAGCTAGCGCAAGTCTGAAAGGTCGTTCTAAGGATTAATTATAAATTTGATCATGTTCTATGACGATTCGTGGGTCAATGTCGACCTTTAAACCTGCTCTTGCGAATTCTATTGACGTTTCTTCCCTGGCCGTCTTTATCATCCACATCGAGCCTCGCTCTCGGGACGTTGTTACATTTCAGTACTAGAAGCATCGTCATGAGATGCCCAGGTCTTCTAGCCTTTCATCGTCGATTTCAAAGCTAACAAAACCTCAATCATAGATCGTCACAACGTCGCGATCGCCAAGATCCTGAGTTGTTTTCGAAACATCGTCACAGCTTCCACCGCGTCCATTCCCGAAGACGGCAACACCGTCGAGCATGCTTCATCCACTAGTTTCACCATGCAGATGCAGACAGCTGCTTTAGTATGATTTCCCAATCGTCATTTATGTCACCTATCACCTTCCTTTACCCCTCCACTCTACCTTAAAATCACCCTTCCTTGTTTCCACCCCACTTACACAAGCACCTACCCACCTCCCTCCCTCCCTCTCTACGAAGTACCTACCTTTCTACTCACCCGACACGACTAACCTCACCCCCCCCAGATCTCAGAGATCGAAGGCCTACTCGCCATCAACCGCGAGCTAAAATCGCTCTGGATGCGCGGCCCGCTGCGCCAGCCAGGCGAGGACGACGGCCGCGAGGCCGTGATCGACGCGCAGGCGCGCTCCGTAGCGCATCTGTACGACCAGGCCCTCGCGATGCGCGACGCGGCGCTGAACACGACGGTGGTGGACCGGGACGACGCCCGCGCCCGCGCCGACGAATCCTTGTCCGTGTCCGGCTCCTAAGCGCGCGCGGGGGGTCGCGCGCGACCGGATTCTACGTCGCGCGGTTTTCTCACCACCACCCCCAAAACGCCGAAGCTTCCGCCGAGCTTGCGCGACTGCGACGACGGCCCGTATCCTGGCTGAGGTTTACGGATGGGTTTATCGAGGATCGTTGCGTTCGTCAGCGCGAGGTGAGGCGGCAGTTAGTGATGTTTAATGCGGTTGCCTACCTGGGTGGTGGTGATTCTGATCTTCGACGTGGAGCTGATGAGGATGCGGATGCGGATGCGGATGCCGAGGAGGAGCTAAAGGACGAATTTGCCCGTAGTTATGCCGACGAGGACTACCACCAAGGTGCGCGATAGGCTGTCATGGACGTTGTCAGGAAGTGGAAGCCGAAGTAGACTCCCACCTTGGAAGAAATCCTGGGCGGCAACCTGACTAAATCAAGTATAACGGCTGATTTCGCATATCCCCATCTTTGAAGCTGCCGGGTTGCCGTGGATTTGGACAACGTCGCTTACCATGCTGCGGTCCTTCGGGTCGTGAAGTAGGATTGGCTGGCGAGGTGCCATAGGTTCACCGAATGAGTCTAATAGCCTCAAGTTCGATGCGGATGCCTACTACATTAGTGGCCGATGAATACACTGACTTTGGTATTAACATGAGATCACCGAACTTGTGGTTTCGCTATGAATGCGTTTATGTTTCGTGCAAATGCTAAGACCTTAGGTTGACTGTAAGCTATATGGGTAAACATGGGGCTAAACCTCGCGGAAAGGACATCTAACTCTCCGCATCTTCCTCCCCGTCGTCTCCTAACTCGGCCTCTAGTTCCTTGGGTATAGCTCCTATTCGCGTCACCGCTGCGTCTATGCCTCCGGCAGTGACCCAGAGGAAGTAGCCTAACTTGTAGTTATCTATCTGGTGGAAGAAGGTGTGGAACCTGCAAGATATTAGTAAGTCGTTCTCGTACTCCCGCACCAAGAACCTAGCATGGGACAACTTACGAATTCTCCCTCTCTTCCAACTCAAAGATGTGGCGATAAATCTGTGAGTCCTTGAACTCTTGGATCTCCTTCTCGTAGTTGCCGAAGTCGAGTTCCGCGAGGTTGTTCTGGTCCTTGGCGCGCTTGTTATAAGTCTCGAACACGGGTCTTTCTAGTAGCAGGCCGAGTCCCGGAGCTTTAGGAATGCTGATCTGGGTAGGTTCGTAGCTCTCGTTGATGCGAGATAAGGGTGTCGCGCATCGGGTAACGAGAACTGCCATGCCGACCATCTTGCGAATCTGGTGCATCATGAAGGATTGCCCATGAACTTTGAGAGAAAGCCATTCCGTGTCGTTGATCTGAATCGGTTGAGGGTTTACGATGAAGGATCGAATAGTCCGCTTTGATGAGGCCTCCGAATGAGATTTCTTGATGGTATAGTTGTGGAAATTATTGGTACCTTTGTATCGATCTAGTGCTTGCTGCAGCTGGGATATCCGCTCTGGAGTAACTCGGTACCGTCGCTTTGCAGTAACGTAGGCGGCCTTGAGCTGCTTTAAGGCGCGATCAACTGGGTGCATCTCTTTAGGCTTCTTCACCTCCGAGTCCTCAGCGCTTTCAGTTTGAGTAGTGGTGGCGCCCGCTTCGACGTTCAATTCTTCCGCGGGGTCATGCTGCGCTGAATCAGATACCTCCGTCGGCTTGCCTTCAGATTTGCTCCCAGAGACTTCTTCCTTAGTCTCAATTGAGACGTCGGGAAGTTTCTCGTCTGGCATTTCTGGCTTTGCTGTCTCGTCTGCAGCCTTTCCATCTTCGGTATCGTTGAGCACCGCGGACATACGTCGCATGACGGTTTCTCGAACATTAGGATCCAGGCTGTCCAAGATAGGTTGGATATCGTTCTTCCGCACCTCCTCCCAATAATCTTTGACCTCGCCAAGCCGCTTCACGTATTCTTCCTCGATGCCATGTTCTTTGACAGACTCTAGAACCTTCTTTCCTAGGAAGCTTTCGGGATGGGGAGGCAGCAGGCAATAACTTGGCATCAAGTACTCGTACCACCTCGAATCGCAAGCTTGGTAGCAACTGAAGGAGTTGAGTGTCCGTTGGATACCCCATACTCGAATCTGCGGGGGTAGATTCTCGTTGATCTTCTTCACTACGTCAGGGTCCTCAATGATGAGCTTTAGGGATATCATGTTCCCCGCAGCATGGACACCCTTGTCGGTTCTTGCGCATCGCACGAAGCTAGACTTTCTAAGGTCGTCGGCGTTGGCTTTTGATATAGCCTTCGCGGCTACGAGCGCAGCGAATATATCACCCTCAATCGTCTTTTCCTTGTGGTTTATCTGCAAACCGTGATATCCCGTACCGTCGTACCCGATCATAACAGCTACCTTGCGCTTCGGCTTGCGCTCCTCGGCGGCAATCTCTTCCTCGGGAAACTGAATGCTCATGTAACTAGGTTCGCTAGGTTTTGTGGAATTTCCGTTCTCGTCGAGCCTTCTGCGCTTTCGTTCTTGCCATTCCTTCTCGTTGCGCTCACGCTTATTTATATATCCCCTGCTGCGAGCTGGTTAGTAGGTAGGTATTTGTTTAGGTCCCTTGAGCCAATTGTCAGAGGCTTGGAACTAACCTGTCTTTTTCTCGCCCCGGACCGTTGCGCTTGAAGTCTTGACCTCTTCGACGACCATTGGCATTAGACTTTCCGTTCGCGTGTTTGTTTCGATCGTTGCGGCGACTTGGCCCCGCAACGTCTGAATTTGTCGTCGGGTCTGAGTTCGTAGGAAGATCAGAGGTAGGTTTGGATATACCATTGTAAGATGCCGAAGATTGTTTGGAATCACCGGTTGGCGCGTCGCGTATAGTGTCTTCGGAAACCATCTTGAAATGCGATGGTGAATTCGCATCGCTGAACTACGAATTAATTGAAGTTAGAAAAAAAAGTTCCCAAGTTTTGAAGATTTGAAAAGATCTACAGGAAGGAGCTAGGTACTAGGTGCTCCAGGAGGGACGGTTTTATCGATAAGGAAGCCTTTTAGGTTTGCCCACCAAGCATACTGGTACCAGCATTTTGCATCCTATATGCATATTCTAATCTCTTTAGTAAGCGCTCTACCAAGTTATCGAATTATGCGAAATATCCTTCTACAACCAAACCCCTGAAATTAGAATGTTGGTAGAATTCAACCCAAAATAAATCACCGGGACCTCACCCTAAAAACATGGATTCAACCTACCTAGGTATGTAATAACACACTCGCCCTTTACTAAGTATGACGAACCCGGCGGGAAACAAACCGAACAACGGTATATGATATAACTTATTCATTGAGGTGAGAAAAGTGAAACGGCTTCAGTACTAATCCAATTTATGATACAATCATAGATACACTCACTGTTCTCTAAACACTAAGCGTCAAATACGATTTCAATGGTCGAGTCATGGGCACCATCAGGCTTCATAATGTTGGCAATGCGGAGTCTCTCATCCGCCGCAGCCAAGAGAGCCTCCCACCCACTCCTGCTCCTCTCCTTACTGTTAAATCCGGACATCATGAAGATATCCGCGGTCCTAAAGCTTGATGTTAGGATATTGCACATGAGAAGAGGAAAGGAGAATATGAGCGAATCCTGACTCGCCTTTGCGTTTGATCTCTTGTATGGTTCCTGTCGCTCAGAGGAGGGAGAACTAGTTCGCAGATCCAAATCTTCGTTCCTTTTCTGAGGGCTGGTACTAGGTTCTTCAGAATCTTGGCGCCATATTTGTCGCTCCAATCATGGAAGATGTGGCGGAAGAGGTACGCGTCTGCCTGGTGCGTAACTTCCTGCGTGAGGAAGTTATAGCCCGCAAACTCTAACCTGTTTTCTAGATCTCCGGGAACCTTGACATCGGCGATGACTTCTGGGAGATCCAGTACAACGGCTTTCTTAACGTGAGGGTAGGTCCGAAGTACTTGAAGACTACTGTTAGTGGCTTGCTAATGACTGGGAGCATATTTCTAGAATGAAAGATGAGGAGACTTTCTTACCTTGATGACACAGGTCACCACCGGATCCTCCAATATCGACGATTGTCTCCGGACACTGGTCCTTGTCTGCCCATGGCAAACTGTCAACAAAGTATGATGACCTGAAAGCTAGGGACTTTGTTGAAATTCCCATAGCTGAACGGAAGCGGGCCACTCGCGTCTCATCTTCGGCCAGATAGTCGAAGAGATTCTTGCTTGGATCAGCAATCTCCTTATTGATTCCACTCTCTTCGATTGCTTTAGCCTCTCTGAAGGCAAGCACCGAAGCGGAATGTCCTGGCTCCCCTGTCCCTGGATATCGCTGGAGACTTTCGACGATCTTAAAGCAGCCCGTCAATTGCTCGCCTACGAATAAACCCAGCAAGTCCTTCATCTGGGGGACGGTAAACGCAGCGGAGATGGCGTTGTGTCTGATAGACACGTCCGGGGTGACTTCCTCAAAGATGCGGAAAGCGATGGCACCCTGGACTATGCGGCATATCTCGTCTTCCGGGAGACTACAACTCTTTGCAAGATCCGTGTACGAGATCTCATCTCCCGGCGAAAGGGGCACGTGAGAGGCGATGTCAAATGTATACAGTGTTTGGAAAATAGCTACCAAAGCGGGCTATGATCATGATCAGCCGTTGGACTACTACCCAAGAAGGATTTGTACTTACAGTGGGAAACACTTGTGCGAAAAGATAGCCCAATGGGCCTAATACACGGGAACGTAACTCGTCCAGAGTTTCAAGCAGCTCACCACGAGTGGTTTCCAAAGAATGAGGTAGCTCAATTTGTGGTGGAGCTCCCAACGCAAGGGAGAACTGAGCTCCAGGTGATCCTTTCAACCCATCCTCGATTATTCGTGTGTTGCGTTCAATGATTATTGCAAGTTCGGAAATGGGTCTTAGGGATGCCATTGTGTTGGATAGGGGTTGACACGTGAACTTTGACAAGTTAACTTGGGGATGTCGGCAACTATGATGCTAAATTATAAGAATAAAGTGATGTGAATCTGTATTTTGAGTGCGAATCATTTAACGGAATTCAAGACTTTAAGTAGTTATTTGTAGTCCGCTCATGAGTAGACATATATGATGTTACGGCCGATTCCCGAAAGAAAATGCCGAGTCCGGATGGCTCCACATGTGTCCGATCCGGGTAGGACTGAGTCACCTATCCATGTCAAGTTGATCCTACGTCTATAATTCAAATTGGAAAAGCCCAAAGCAAGTTCACCTAAATTTTCATTTGTATATTCTTTTTGCTTGAGTGAGCCTTGTGTCTTAATAATTGCTAAGTTGTTCAAGAGAGACTATGATGTCATGAGCCCGGTGTCTAGGTACCCTCTAGTGCTTACAGATTTAATGATTCGTCATACTTGGGCCCTCTCTCCCGGTCATCCAGAAAATGAGCCGATGTTTGAGGGAAGTCATCAATACGTCTGGCCTATCCCGAGGGTAGGCGCTGAAAGATCCGACCTTCCCGTATTCATTGGCGCCGCTGGTAGTAAGGACGTCTGTGTTTCGCGCAGCGTCGATGCTACCACTGCGTAGAAAATATAGCTCCAGGAGGCTTTTCACACTACGCATTATGTCACCGGTTCTGAGGTAGATGGAGAGGGCAATAAGTGCTGTTCCAGTCTCAAGCAAGGTGCAAAGAACAACGTATATGCGTTAGGGATTGGAAGCACTACTATCCGAACATCCAGGAGGAAGTCATACAGAAACGGGAGGTAGTGCATTATTGGGCATAAGTCCCATCCCAGAGAGCTGAGGAATGTGTAGGTACCACATTGAGAACTTATCAATTCTTGAAAGGCGAGAATTCATGGAAAACAGCGACGATCGTGATCCAAGTTATCGTCCAAACACGGCCCGCTTCAGTCCATAGCAGAGGGTGCGCCGGTAGAAGAAGAGAGCGCTGAGTTCACATGCAAGTGTGTCGTTAGTCAGCAGGTTGAGGACTATTCAAGACTATGTGGATGTTAAGACCATTAGTCGAGTCGCATCATCGGGAGGTGCTGAAGAAAGCGCCCGATGCTCAATACAATGTTCATTTTATCTATGTCTAGAATGTCTTAACACCTTGTTAAATATCACTAAACGTAAGTTCTTAACGTTACCTTCTTTTCTGAATAGCTATTAACGGGCTTAGAGCTTGGGGCGGAAGCACTACTCACTGGAGAACACGTAGATCGACGACCCAATGTATAAAATCCAAAGCTATTGTCGCCCTTCAGTAAAGGCATCTCACAAGTGTCGTTCAGTTTCAAGATATACTAAGAGGAACTCACTAGGTAGGTAAGGTAGGCCAAGGCCGGACATCCAATCGTCGACCGTAATGCGCAAATTGATGTTTGGCTTAAGACTCAAAACACATTAGTGAAAGCACTAAGAGTGGGCTGGAGCTTTGGAAACCACAATTTCTGAAGTTACTATTAGGGTAACCCGGTCGTAACCCCGATCCTTCCAACTCTGTTTCTGCAAGAATACGGCGGAATAGCGCTTTCCAAGACGGACTTGTGGGTTCCTTGCCCCGACCGTTACACAATTTCACGCCACCAAAGACCGTTATTTTTATGAGTCGGGATGATCGGCGAGAAATATAATATAATATAACGTTTGTTACTTTCCCCCGTTAGCTTTATCTTTATTTCTTACAATTTCCTCATCGTCTCTCTTCCCGGACATCCCCACCGCTAAACCATGGCTGAGATCCAGGTCAAGGAAGGCAAAGCGCCCTTCAAGATATCGTCAATTGACGAACCCTGCTTCACCTACTACAAGATAATCGGTGACATTTCTGGCAGCACTCCTCCTGTTGTTGTGGCACATGGAGGACCCGGCGCGGGACACGAGTACCTCCTTACCTTTGCAGATCTCTGGCAGAAATACGGGCTCCCGGTTGTGTTCTACGACCAGATAGGCTGTGGCTCTTCCACGCATCTTCCGCAAAAAAGCGGCGACCAGTCGTTCTGGCAGGAGCAGTTATTCCAGGACGAGCTGGATAACCTGCTAGACCACCTCGAGCTGCGCGGTGGTCCCGGCTTTCACCTTCTCGGCCAGAGCTGGGGAGGCATGCTTGGTGCGGCCTTCGCCGCCCGTAGGCCTCAGGGTCTCCGGAGGCTGGTTCTCGCCAGCGCACTTGCGAGCAAGGAGCTCGCTACCCGCGGTGTTCAAATTTGGAGAGACCAGATGCCGCCAAATATGCAGCACGCCCTCGACGAAGCCGAGCAAAAGGGCGAGTACGACAGCCCTGCATACAAGCAGGCGCTAGGCTTCTACAACAAGAAGCACGTGTGCCGTGCCGATCCATTTCCACCGCGGGAGCTACTGCCGGCTTTGAAGCATCTGACTGAGGACACGACAGTGTATCGCACAATGTACGTTACTTATCTCTATCTTTTCTCTTCTCTTGGATCCTACTATGATACGTCCGTACGCATGTACCTAGAAGGGTGGGTTATGCACCTGATATGCAGAGTTGAATGACTTAATACAGAGACGGAGGGTCGAGATAAATACGTCAGGGGATGCTATTTTTCCTTGCCTTTTCAGGATTCCTTCTTATGTTCCCCGAGAAAGTTTTCCTATTCCTGAACCGTGAATGCCTTGGTCCCACTGTTAATTCGTCTAGGAATGGTCCTTCACCTCTCACAGCAGACGGCTCGCTGAACAATTGGACCGTCATCTCTCGTCTTCCCCAAATCAGCGCTCCGACTCTCGTCTACAATGGCGAATACGACACCTCCCACGACATCGCCCAAGTCCCCTTTTTTGAGCTTATTCCACGGGTCCGCTGGATCACATTCCCAGATGGTGGTCACATGTGCCATCTGGAAGGCGGGGGCCGGCGAGAGAGGATTTTGAAAGTCGTTGGCGAGTTTCTAACGCAGAAGGAATGACTAACGTATAATGAACTTCGAGAATTGGTGCGATGAAGCATTGTGTCGAACCTGAAGAAGATGTTATATCCAGCGTATCCTCATATATCTGAGAGCAGCAAAAGCTACTAATCGAATACCTAGATATCTACCAGTATTCTCGTTATTATTACCAACCTTTGAAGTCATTGAATTGGATATTACTAGCACTAGCTCGTGGCGCATGAGCGAGCGCTGATACACCTTTACCTACCTACTTCTAAATTTGTTCTAGACAAGGCGGCATATTAACCTCCTATCTAATCATTAAGCAGCGTGGCTCTTAACGACGTGATATTATGCAGACACATAACCTAATAATTATTTTTTCAGATGATCCCTATCTAGGGTTAAATACGATATTAAAGCTACAAAATTATTAATTCGATTAAGTAGGTAGGTAAGAACTCCTCTCTGCTTAGTATGTATAGCGAAAGCCTGGCTGATAATCCTCCTATTTGACGTGTTAGCTTCGGTCCAGATTGATAGTTTGGATCATCTTACATCTGATATTTCTAACTCCTTTTCTCCTCTATCCGCTTTCCTGTTGTCGATATAGAATGACAAATCTAAGATGCATACAAGAAGTATGCCAAATAGACAGCAAGCGATACAGGCCCAGAGACCTGGCTTATACCCGGTAGCAGCATCTTGAGACCTGGCACCATGTTAGTGTCTGCTATTCTAATAGTATGAATAGGAAACTCGTTCACCTGAAGACTAAGCTACCAGTGATGCCACCTAAGCTAGCAAAGCTAACCCATAAGGCACTGGAGAAGGCACGCTTCCATTGCCCGCGAATATTATTGGCTTGATAAGTCAATGACCCCGGGATATTTGAATTACAACCAGCCGTTACAAGGAAGGCTCCGAAGTAACGGATCCCGTCATTATGATGCCAACCGAGGATAGGTAAGCCAATAAGAGCGAGGATCATATTGGTGATCACGATAGGGCCGCGGATGTGGTAGCGATCTCCAATCCAGCCCATGCAGTACATCCAGATACCGGCAAATGCGTATGGAGGTGCGATAAGGCATTGGGATTCGCCGACGCCGAACCCCAAGTTCGTGTGGAGAATAAGTGGTAAGAAATAGGCGAGTGAATAAGTCATGGTGTTGGTACAATAAGCAACCAGTCCGTACCCCCTGGGAAAGTGTTAGTCTTGGTGAGATAGACACCAATAGGATGGATATCAGTATCGCCAGGAAAGGTAACCCCTTTTCACACACTTACCAAACTCTCAAGTCTAAACCGCCCCTTAAAAATAGACTTAGCTTAAACTTGGGGACCTCGGTATCTCCACGGTCAGCCTTGACTCTCCTGATGATCCATGCGCGTTCGCGGTCATTTAAGAAACGCCATGATTTGCGCTTAGAATCAGGGAAGTCGACTAGAAGCCAATATCCGAGCATGGCAAGAAGGCAGGTAATAATACCTAGGTTCATTTCTTAATTAGTACACAACGTGTTTCTTAGGAATGGGGTCCATCTTGATTCACCTTCCATGATGAATATCCATCTCCAACCAGGAAGCCCCGCAACGCCATTCATTTGTATCAAACCGAATGCAAGGATGCCACTATGCCACTCTAAGTCAACAAATATGGCTGTGGATCGGAAATGTGACTTACGAGCAAGCAGAGGCTACGCAACCAAGGAGGTAGAAAACAGAGTATCTTCTACCCATCTCATCTAAAATTTGTTAATTATATATCATTAACACTACTCGCGCAAGAGAATGTGATTAGACCTTACATCGTGTATACCATGTTGACCTATGAGAATATCAATATCAGCAACGCGCTTCACTAAATGGTGGTTGAAACCCAACAAGATCTTCTAGAACGATCGGTTCAAGGGAGACCAGAACATACAGCAAGTAGACGCAGGCTGGAAAATAACCGGCTTCGAAGATACCAAGAAGGAGTCTCAGGACGAGGAGAACTTGGAACGACGGACTGAACCCGAAACCAATCATAACGGCACCCCACGCCAAGATGATCGTGGATAGGTAAATTCGTGGGCCAATCTTACGGACGAAGACGGTGGAAGGTGGCTGAAGTAAGATATAAGTAATGAAGAATACGAGGCTAACAAGTGACTATTTTTGAGGAGTTAGTGTGTGCTTATGAAGTGGCGGCCGACAAGCCTTACGTAGCGCGTGCCGACGAGATCCAAGTCTTCGATCATTCCAGAGACAGCGCCGGCGGCGAGGTTCGTCCGATCCATTAAACTGATGCAATACAAGAGCCCGACCAGGGTGACCAGACGGCGGTCGACTCGCCATATGATCTTCTTTCCTTCCTGCTCGGTGAATTCATCTTCCACGGTATCTGTGGACTGCGTCTTCTTGTGTTCAACTTCCTCGACGCCGAGTTCTCCCTTTTCTTGGTCGCGATCCATGGTCATAGCTTGCTTAGGTATTACCGGAGGTTTAAGAAATAGGTAGATGGGCAATAGGGTTCCTTTATAGCTACGAGTGGCTAGCTTATGTGTGATTCCGCATAGGGGGATACGCGTGGAGATGTTAGCGACCGACGGATCAGCCGGGGTTGCTTGGCAGAAGTCTCTTGGGAGGACGTCAGGGGCGGTATGCCAACATTTCGATTGGAAGCGGCTTTCGATTGAATAGAGTAGGTAGGGACTTTAGTTCCAAGTGTATGTCGAGAACTCGATCTGTAGCTACCCTTACTAGCTTACGTGGAAGTCTAGCCTTTTCCCGCCAATCGAGGCGAGCTTAAGAGCAAGCTTATTTAGTCTGGGGTAGATAGCCTTTGTCTACTTATCCCTTAAGTTGACAAAGAGCTGCTCTCGACAACTTGCGGGGGAGTAAGCGAGTGATCAACGCTCTCTTTGTCTAACGTTGCATACCTCCGCTTCCCGAGTGCCGTCATGCCCGAAATATTTCGTCAAGTAACCATGTTTAGGGAGCTAGGTATATCTAGCCAAGAATCATTCTAGGATTCTGGGATACTAAAATAGCACCTGATACAAAGCAAACATTGTGGCAAACGCTAGCCTAGCTGCTGAGTGGCTTTCTAGCTGGTTTCGGGTACAAGCCTACTTGGAAAGGACCCATCCCATTGGTTATTCTACAGTGAAAGATCCGGCGACATCTGCGGTCCCGAGTCCATCTTCCCGGTAGATATCTGTGATGGTGGCGCCGTCTAGACCCACCTAGCCTTCCCCTGACTGCCCTAAACGGGGAGGTATCTTTCGAAGACTTGGTTAGAGGTCGGGGTAAAGCACTAAAGACTTAGATTGCGGGGAAGCGCATGGTAATTATGGTAATTATGCCCTATCAAGTTACTGGCCGACCGCTAATCTGCGGGGTGATCCGGGGTAATCCCATCAATCTAGATAAATCACCGTGGCGGCTTTTGTCAGAGCAAAATAGTTTAATTTATACCTATGTACCTATTCTATTCGATGGTAAGCTGTATGTACGGTGCATGAAATTTCCATCTATCTAGAACTCACATACCAAGACAAATCTATTGTACCCCCAACACAAAAGCCATGTTTCAATTACAAGTTCCTAGTCCTTACATTCTTTTGAGATACACCTACTTACTGATAAGTACGCAAACAATTCGAAATAATTTAATGTCATTAGATCTCGTTCTCACGTAACTTTTAATCTCTCAATTCCTCGGCTAAAATGTGCAAATTCCGAGCTAATAGTATTGCTAGCATTATGTTCTATCTTTACATTCGTATCATGCCCCTTATCTTGAAGATACCTATACGAAAACAACCCCACACAGAATTATGGTTTATTATAATTTTCCCGAGGAAGGGATCGGATGCATAGATTATTTCCTCGGTAAACTAGAAGAGTTGCTAGGTAGGTTGGTACTAGATATGGATAGGTACCAGGTAGCTAGTGAGCCGTGACCACGATAGCAATAACGGTAGCACAACCATTGTGGCCTTTTTGACAAAGACGTGAATCCATGGTGACAAGACAAACGTAAGAACAGATAGTATTATACATGAAGTACATATAGTAAGAACTGTTAGATAGAATAAAGGGATGTGAATAAAGCCCTTATCTTTTTTAAACGGTATGTGTCGGAATAATGGGTGGCTGGATATCTACGCCCCATACCTATGACATATATGTATAACCTACGTACGGCTACTTACCCTCTAGAGTTCTTGCTTTCTAATCTAACCAATATGACACTCATAACCTGCGTCTATTTCAACAGGATGCAACTTACGTGATACGCAATTTTGCTTAATGGAAAAGGGGCTGAATGATTTCCAATACTACATCTCCTTGACTGGTATAAGACTACAACTCCACTGACGTTAGTAACTAAACTGCCAGAAGCCCCTGGGCTCCAATTATGCCCACAAAAGCTTACAGGTATAACGGGCCTGCGTTATCGCTAATGTACAGTTATTGGCTTTGTGGAAGTTGTAATCGTATGCCAGTTATGTAGATAGCTACATCTTACTGTTTATGAAACATCTTGTTGAGTACAAGGTACCTGGTTAACTTCTTGGGTCAGTACAGATGGTTACACAAATATTACGTAAGCTACTATACCCCTTTTCCCTTTGCTCCCCCTTTTCAATCCGCCATCCTCGCATTCTACGAAAACTTTAACGCCTTAATTCTTTCCAACTAATACAGTAAACCTCAAAGGCAATTGAACGTGGAATCTAACACGCGGAATAGCTAGATGATGGTGCCAGATCGAAAAGGAGCTACGCTCCCGTAACGAGAGCGTAGATTTCTACCCATTGTTACTAAGCTAAACTTACGTAATCAAGTGCGTGCAGCGCACTTAACACGTGCTCTACAAGGCTACGAGCCGGGCTCAAATCCCGTGGCAGAATCATTTGGGGCATTTCTCACCGTTGAACTATCGGAAGATGTTGCCTCACATTACACAATGTCTACAATCTTTATTTAATTGGTGCCCCTTATACCTCGCCCATACTTCAAAACCCCCCTAGGAGATCGTAACAACTATCGAATCTCATTCCTTAGCCTATTTGATATCAGTAGTTACCTACTGATAAGTGAGTAAACTTCTGTCCGATTCCATACCCGAGGGTTTTCTCAACAGTCGTTCTCTTAACGAACGGGTCACCTGTGATTAGACATACATGTAATATAGGAACAATTGCTACATGATACGAGATCTTGTTCAAAAACTGCATACGCATCCCGATTCACAGTGGTCGTTCAATCTAACTTTCTCATTACTTAAGGCGGTGAACAAGCATGCAATGGAGAGAGGATTTGGAAGCCACCATCGCAAGGTACAGATACATCTAGATCTCTTTTCATACGCAAACTACCCAATACACAGCCCATTATTACTTCAACTTTACGTTCTAATCGCAAATAAGTCAAGATGGCTCGCTTTGATGACGATGAGCGTTTGCCACATGGCTTCAGTGTCATTGGCTACAACGCGGATACTAGTGAGTATACCGCAGAAGACGAGGACGGTAGTTTGTGGGTCAGCCCACCCGGGACCAAGAATGGTGAATGGCAACGCATCCGCGGGCCCACCAAAGCGCCTCCGGCCTCGGGCTCCCTGAGCCGGCCTCGGACTGCTAACAGTCAGGCCACCAGCTCTGACCCAACTCGCTTCTCAGCGTTCTTGGACCCGCAAGCCTTGGCTCTACCAACTGAGTCGAAGGCGACAAACAAGAGCAGCTTCCGGAGGAAGATGGCAGAGGGTGCGAAGAATGCCATCAAGAGGGTGACTTCCTTGCGGAAGACGGACAAGAAGCCCAGTGAGGTCCTTCCTCCAAGGTCAGAACCGCGCCCCGGTTTTGAAGCTATAAGGCTGCCACCTCAGGACGAAGGCTCCCAAAGGAAGGGCTAAGGTCCTAAGTCATTTTTGTTAATGACGAAATCTCCTTTCTTACAAAATTTTAAAAACTCTTAAAAAAATGTTAAAATATTAAAGAAAAAAAAAAAAAAAAAAAAAAAAAAAAAAAAAAAAAAAAAAAAAAAAAATGGGGGGGGGGGGGGTGGTTTAAAAGTAGTGGGGTTAATTAGAGGGTT